TCGCCTGCTGCGCCTCCAGCGCATGCGGCTCCTGCAGTGCCCGCGGCACTCCCGCCTGTGCCTGCGGAGCCAGCGTTGATGGTCGCGTCTTCGACGCCGGTGACTGCGTCCTCGACGACCGCGACCTCCGCGCCTTTGGCCTGTGACCTCGCCACCCTCGGTGCCTATATCTGCACCTGCACCGGGTCCTGGTACGGCTTGAGCAAGCCCACGTAGTAGACGGGGTGCGCCCGCATCTTCTTCGGAAGATTGAGCGTGTACGCAAGGCCCTTCTTGGCCACAACCTTGAAAGGTCCGATGAAGCGCGGGAGCAACTTCGTCTTGAAGCCGGCTGACACTGCATGTGTAGGTAGGTTCTTAGCGTTAAGCAGCACCAGGTCCCCGACCTCATAACTTTCAACATTGCCTCTGCCTCTGGCATCTGCATGTTCTTTTTACTGGGCTTGGCTTTCAGCCATTGCGTAACGCACATGTCGTAAGACACTCAGACGCGTCGACAAGAAAGCGCCAACCTGTTTACGAACAGTAACCGAGCTGACATCGGCTAGCCGATCAGCTAAGTCGGCTTCTCCCCCCACCCCACCCACCAAGCCCGAGGCCACCACGTGGCGGCGTCAGCGGGACGCGAGGATGAGACAAGCGATTTACGTAGAACGGTGTGTAGCCTGTCGAGGCGTGCACGGCGTTGTTCAGCGCAAACTCAACTGAGGCGAGGCCGATGAAACCTTTGTCGCCCAGGGGGGTTCGTATAGCGCAGCCCAAGACTGTTTCCCAGGGTGTAGACCCAGAGAATCGACTTGAGAGTCAACAGCAAGAAGATAGACCCAGAGATTCGCAGCCGCAAAGCTCTAAACCCTGAAAATCACACTCCTTGGTTGGCGTGGGTACCTTGTGTAATCCCTGTCGGCTCGTTTGTCTTCGACGGAACAACACTCCACCGGTTGTAAATGTAGCCTCGAAGAAGTGCGGGAGTACACGTCTACTTCAGAACGCACCTCCACACCAAAGGTAAACCCAGAGAATCAGATCACCCGAAACCCAGAATATCACGAATTCAGGGTCCAGGATTTCAGTCAACTCCGGGACTTGGAACTCAGAAGACACCTTACCCAAATGCCCTCCTAGCTCGATAAAACCAACAAATACAGAGTATACAAACACTACAACTAGCCGTCACTTATTCTTTTGGACCCTTGGACGCTGGGTTACACACACTAGGCTCACTCGAGTCTGAAATTCAGGGGCCTTGCTCCCCTGAGACTCACACAAACACGCACCACCACCAATAAAGGAGGAAAATACAATCACTATCAGTTACCTTCCCTTCACACAAGCAGTCAATACAAAATCCTGGAGGCGACAACCTAGCACCCCAGAATAACCTCTGGAATAATATGAAATGGGCTACCACGAGCACAGCAAGTGACCCAACTAGGATATGGAATAGATGGATCACTCCAGGAAGGTCAAGGCCGTCGCTGGTCCCCACCTAACTGGACTTGAGTTGATGGAGTCCACACAGACGGCTGTCCTTCGCCGTTGATGTGCCCTTAGCGTCCCGCGGTCGTAGTCTCGGGTCCTCCGGATTTCCGTCGGCAGGCTTGGCCGAAGTCACTTGCGCAGTACAGGGAAAATTGAACTCTGTTTGTCTTTTATCAGCTACTTCTCTCTTTCTCTCTTACTTCTTCGGGCAAATATCTTCTGTTCACTATGCTTGGTGTCAAATGTCTTGTCTTGAGTATACCTTGGGTTCAGCGGTCCAAACTTGCGATCGGCTTGCGAATCCATTGTCGCACGGCGTCGAAAGTGCCAATTGTGGGTCCTTAGACTTGGTTTAGTATGGTGCAGGACTCCCTCCCGACTCCTCAAAAGTATCCAGTCTGCGCATCCACAACGGTTCTTCAAGGTCACGCATCACTTTGATTGCAGACTGACTTCGAACTGACTCGAATCCCTGAGAATCAGGTGACATCTTCTGAAATCCTGGGAATTCTGAGGAATCTTGGGGAAGTGTAGGGATTCTTGGGTGTTGGCTCGGGAAGCTCTTAAGTTCAGTATAGAGAGTCTGGATTTATGGTCCAAACCCAGAGAATCATCTTTGGAACTCTGGCCTGCACTCAGGGAGGTGAACTCTGGGTCATCGTGCGGCACTCTGGTTTTCCGTGCGGCACTCTGGGTAACAAGGCTGCTGCATTGCAGGCTCTCGTGTATCTCCACAAAGCCACACTTTTAGCGGATTTAGCGGCCTCGTGCGCATGACCATGGTGGTAGTGGGTGGATTCTCAGGGTAATTTGATCCTCTGGGGCACTCTGAGCCACAGCAAGATGAGGTGTACTCTGGGATACATTCGCCAGGGACACTTTCCGCCAGACTTTAGGCACTCATCGTAAGGGAAAGTACGCGGCTGGACTGAGTGTTCTCTGAAATCCTGGGCGTGCACACCCAGGATTCACACGTCCAGCCAGTTGGGCCCATCTGCGGTCAGGCGCTGGATTCATCCCGACAAATCACTTCTTTCCCACAGTCACCATCCATGTCACACGGGTACAGCCGCGCCGTATCCAAGTCATCCCCCCCTTGTCGTCCAATACAAGCTCCAATTCATTTGGAGACTGCAGTAGCGGCACCGGCTGTCAGCTCAGCCTCTCGGCCCCCTGCCTCGGGAGGTGCAACCCCACGCAGTAGTCGACGCACCCAGAAACGCAAGGCCGACGTTGAAGAGCGATCGGCGGAACGCAATAAAGAAACTCCCCCGTCCCTCGGCCTCGGCATTTAGCCTAGAGACCCTTCTCGCGGCACCACCTGTTCTTCCGGCAGCGCCCGCCGTCGCATCGAAGGCACCGCAGTGGCGCCACCTCGACACTCGATTATCTACTTGGATAGCCCTCCGCATACTACCCCTGCTACGCGCAACCCATCCCAGCCGATGTCACCGGGCAGTCAACTGCTTCAACAATCCGACCACTACACTGATGATACCTTCGACCTAGCATCCTTTCTCGGGACGAACTCGACGCTCACCGCAGGCAACACAAGCGGGCACCATTGCTTCCTGAGGCATGCCGCCCGCAAGCCTCACCTGCGACTGGCGATACGGATGAATATCGTGACGGTGCCGACATACAAGAACTTGACTTGGCCACTATATGGCGGTCATGGCCCAATCAGATGTCCATTACATTTTTTCAGCGAATAAGCATCCGGTAGATCCCTATTAAGGCCAATCAATATGGTTAGGGGTAGGTATATTTGCTGCCGACACTATGCCGACGTATAATGTCGGCAACGCGGCCAAAATATGTATTCATCCAGGAAATCTAAGTAATAAGGATATAATATACATATCTGTTCTGCTGCCGATAAGTTACTTAGCTTTTGTATTGCCTTTGACGAGCTGATTTGAGCCGTTTGCAATAGCGTTTCAACCATTGCCACGAGCTCAATCGAGTTTCCTGGGCACGCCTATCGACCTACCCATAACATGAACAAGCAGCACTCAGTGAGAGCTGCTCATTCAGAAGTGTCGCTCAGGCGGAGCTTGCTGCATACCGCACGAGCGAAGCGCTAGGAATCACTGCAGAATATACAAGAAAACCATTAATTTATTCCATTTAATATCAATAACTTATTCCTACTCAAGAGTACTAGACGCTAGTGGTGGGGTGTGACTGCGGAGCATTCCACCTGCAGCGATACCCCACCAACAGTGCCAGTCCACACAGCAGCAGCAGCACCCCACCAGCGTCGTGTTGTTGGTGCCAACACCAGCACGCAAGCCGCAGCAAGCCACAGCAGCCACGCCCTCCTCCTGCTGCACGCTTCCCTATGCTCGTCGACTCCCAGCAGGTCGCCGCGCCCTTGCACACGTTTCCCTCCGCTCGATGCCCATACCGCCCTCGCCTTGGCGGCTACCCTCCCCATTGCCCCACCTCCGGTCCGCCGCCTCTTGCCGTTCGCTCCGGTTCTCCTCCTCCTCCTTCCCACGGCGCGGCCGTCTTGTCCTGCGCCGCCATCCTGATGCCCACCGCCCTGCTTCAGGTAACCGTCATCGTCGTGGTGCGCGCCATCTTCCTAGCCTCCACCGCGGACCACTCGCCCGCCGTCGTGCAGCCTACCGCCGTCCTCCCAGACACCACCCACATCTTGGCAGGCGGAACTATGCAGCCCCCCCCCCCTTTTCGCCGGCGTCCTTCGGCTCCCCGCCCTCCTTGATGACGCCGCGCTCCTCCATCCCCGCTCCTCCCACCTGCCGTCCTTGCCTGCATCTTAGAATTGACATTTGAGTCAAATGATTTGACCAATAGATTAACCGCTCAACTAGATGCTTATTTCTACCAATCACGACGCTGTCGGCCACTGTCGACCGCTGTCGGCCACTGTCGACCGCTGTCGGCACCGTCATGGTATGGTAGCCGACCTCGCGGCCCAGGTCGGCTCCCTGAGCGCTATGGTCATGGATTTGCGGAGCCAGCTGGCGGCGGCAACGGCTCCAGCATCAACATTGGTAGTCCAGCCAGTGTTGGCAAAAAACTATCGAACCGATTTTTATTTTGGACCTCTGTACAAAACACGACCATTTACCTGTTTAAACCGATTTGATGCGACCGTGACTTGCTTGTTATTCAGGACTCAATAGAAACATCAAGTCAAGTGCGACATGGCTACAACAATAAAAATCATAAAAATATTTTGTTTAGATTTTTATCCGCGATAAAAATATTTAAATATCTTTTTTGCCAACACTGGCCCAGCCGGTGCGCCCTGTAACTCAACCTCTCATTGCTGCCGCCACGACACCGGCGTCGTGGACACTTGCGGCCGACGGCAGCTACCCCCTGTCCCCCGCTCACTTGCGGGGCTTCGAACATCGAGTTTTCCGTTGACGATGCACCGGAACAGAGGCGACTACGCGCCCCAGCCGACTCACATTCTTGCCGCCTACCGCAGTATCGCAAGCCTTAGCAGATCAGATGGTATGTTCACTCTACCAACCGACACGATGATTAGCTTTCGCGTAGCATTCGATATCCCGTTCGACATGACGATCCCGACCGCGCATGGACTATACAGCGTTCGACTTGGATCCCAAGGCCTGTCTCTCTCCAGCTTTCGACCCCTCTCTGATGATGAACGTTTGACACGCAGTTCGAACAACGCGAACTTCTCAACTGACTTCAGCTCAACCGCGCAACCTCTGCAGGCCCCGGCCACGTGCGCGAGCTACGACGACATCTTCCTGGCACTTTCGCCAACATTTTCTGGTACCCGCACATGATCCGGCTGGTGGGCAGAATCCGGCGGTTCGTGTCTGATAACCCAATTCGCCGATCCTAGCAACAATCCGCTGCGCGTAACTCGCACGTTGCAGTACGCTATCATGTACATGAGCCGAGCGGTAAGCCACCTGCCGGACGATTCCCCATCGTGGTGGCGTGACTTCTGCGCCGCTATCGAAGCGATCGAATACCGGTCCTTCGAATGGTTGCTTGCCCGGCAAAACCTCCCATCGCCCTGCAACGAACGCCCGCCAGCACATCTCTCAGCGGCGGCCGGACCAAACCGCCGCCGATCAGCCCGGACCACTGGGATGCCCGAGCACATCCGCCAGCTGGTACCTCGGCGCGCAGACGGAACCGAACCATGCCTCCGTTTCTTCGGTGGAGGCATGTGCTTCGGGGATTCGTGTGAGCGATGCGCATAGTCGCACCGAACCCACCAGTGGGATGCCCCGCTGCACCGGGACCTACAATCCTACATTAACCGACAGTACGGCTCAAGCCGCCGTGGCCACAACGGGCCTCGCCGCAGCTGAAGAGGCCGCGACGCGGCTGGCTCACCAGCGCTTCGGACCCAGGCACTCACCCAGAATAATGCACACAATACCACCGTTGCGTTAATCTCTACCAAATCCACAGAGCCCTTGTTTCCGCCTGTGCGGCTCCAATACGAGGAGACCACAGCGCGTTCCACTAAACAAAGAGTAAATATCAAAAACACCGTCCGTTTTCGCGTGCAGCACTGCAAAACCAGCAAAAACACCGTTTCGAGAGACGGGGCTGAGTCAGTCAGTGGTCGATCAACGGAGGTAGCCGCAGCAAACTCGCGCGGGGTGCCCGCGAAGCAGGGCCGCGCGGTATTTGCGGAGGCGGGCCCAGCGACGAGCATTCCAGCAAGCCGAGCACTGCTCTGGGTAGAACATACAATCTATACATCGCGAGCGAAGCGAACCGCGGGGGCGCCGAAGGGGCGCCCAGCCAAGCGAAGCGGGGCTGGTCACTGTCACTAAACCAAGGCTTTTGTTGCATCGAAACCCACATGGCCTTCTTCAAATCCGTATGGATAGTTGTTCCGTGGTGCAAATCCGAGGAATAACTGTGCTGAGAGCACAGTTTTGGTGTTTTTGTTAGATCTACGGTGTAGAGGGTACTCCCTTCTAAACAAACCGTCATGGCGGGGCTGGCCCCCGTCGCTTGTCCCTCCACTCCATCCACCGAGGCGGTTCTTCTTCCGACCTCATCACGGGCCTCTGTGTCAGACGATATTCATGTTCCGTCTCGAACAGACACACATACCCGCACAGCCCGGGTTGCGACCCCAGATTCCACCTCGCCCATCCACGCATCCATCTCGCCCTGCATGCTCTGCTACTGGGGAATCTTCGAGCCCCACCGAGAGCGTGGTACACCCCAGCTCTACTACAGCGAGCGCATCTCCAACAGACACCTCGCCAGCAACCACCCGCATCAACCCCAGGGTGGCAGGTCTGCCCTCATCCACACCCCTCCGGGGCCGACCGCCATCGTCCGCGGCAGCAGAGGGCTAGGGCCAGCACTAGATCGGCAACGGGCGCACCTCTGGGATTCCATCCGGCGCGAAGGCTTAGCGGCAGCACTCGCGACCGTCGGTCTATCACCTCCTAACCGAGACTTTCCGACCCATTTCGGCCCCCCACATCAACCATAATACACTCTAAACAAGCATCTCCAGTCCGCCATGTCCGAGTACGTGCGCAGAACACACGTTCCATTGAGATCCCTCATCGATCTCCATCGGGGCCAGTCCACCGCGGATTACCGCCCTAATAAGCAGATCCTCCCACGCCAAATTCAAAGCGCGTGCAAGGGTTACTCCAAACTACCCGCCCTTCTGTCTATTGCAAACGAAGGAATCCGCGTCTCTCTGACGAAGCCACTTCCAACTCAAACCTCTCCCCCTCCTAACCACCCCTCGGGTCGCAATCGGCTTAATGTCCTGCGCAAAAAATATCCAAAAAAACAAGAAGATGCATCGTGGTCGACCTCGACGTTGCCCAGTACTGGCCGGAGCTCTTCCTCAGGCCGTTCGGAGTCGTTGACAAAGGCGAGGAAGGCCCTACTACCTCCGGCCGCGTCATACATGACCTATCTTTCCCCGAACAGGCGTCGGTAAACGATCATACGGGCCGCGACTCAGTACCAGCCGCAGAATATGAACATTGTGATGCCGTTCCTCGCGAGATACTGGCGCGATCAGCCCGATTTCCAGGACACGAAATGCCTTCAGAAACCTCGGCATTCACAGCGCATCTGCCCACATGTTCGCAGGTACAATACCAGAAGACAACGCCCTCATTATCAATTTGTCCGCTTGCTTCGGCTGGATCGGGTCTCCAGACTTCTACGGAGTAACGGGTGATGCGATCGCCTTTATTCACGGTCGAACCACCAACGCCATCTATCCTCATGTTTTTTTCAACTACCACTGGGTGGATGACCATGTTTGCATATCGGTCGACATAGGAACCAGCTGTACAGATGTCGAACAGTCCTTGCGCTCAGCTATGACAACGATACTAGGCCCAGCGCAGTCAACGATGACAAATTCACCACCTGGGATACGCGCCAAAAGGTGCTGGGCCTAATCTTTGATACCGTCAGCTTGACCGTGGCTATGCCGCCCTCCAAAATACTCAAAGCGTTAGCTCTGGTTACAAAGCGTATCACGCGACTAAACTGAGTAGAACACAGTACCGTTCTATCTTAGGGAGCCTCCGGCATGTTGCCACATGCGTCAGGCCAGGCCGACCCTTTATCCAACGGCTCCGACGAGCCGAAACATCGCTCCACAGGTGGTCGTCCGTTATGGTGATCGATGAAATGCATCAGGACCTCATTTGGTGGCGGCACGTCCTGACTTCACCTCTTCTCAACGGTGTACCGCTGGAGTATTTCCGCTCCCAACCTGCGGCAGACATCACAATCGAGATGGATGTATCGGGCACCGGGTTGTGCCCACTAGATCGAAACAACCAACGCTTTCTTATCTACGAATTTTCGGAGCGTGAGCAGTCTCTCATCGCTAGCTTCAACTCCGAGCACCGGAACGAATTCGACATAAATTACCGGGAACTGCTCTCGTGTGCCTTTGCTGTCCACACGTGGGCCTCCACATGGTCGGGTCCTGCCCTAACAACACCCCAATTCACGTGCACTTTCGGATAGACAACACATCTGCCGTGGCTTGGTAAACCAAAATGGCTTCGAAGAATACTCGAGCACAAACCATCATCAGACTGATAGGCTACTGGGAGATTCTCTGCTTCGCATATTGCCGGCGTGGATAATGTCATCGCGGATGCCGGTTCTCGCCTTTCAAAACGTTTACTAACCTAGCCGGTTCTTGGTCACAGGTGCGACCCCAACTGGACACCAATCGTCTGGAACAAATCTGGCACGCTATCTGCGCGAACACTCAGTGGCAAACTCATCATACTCCAAGTACGAACACGCACTCCACGCGTGGCAAGCATTCCTCACCAGAAAAGGGGTGAACGTCTGGTTGGACGGGGTGCCACTCGCTACCCAGCTCCAACACCTATCTGACTTCATTCTACTCGGCTTCCAACACGGATATGGATCCGGAAGGCCTATTCGGAGCTCGTCGATCCTGAACACTCTGATAGGCATCCGGCACTTCTTCCTAGCATCCGGTCGTTCCTTTCCATCGGACCATCCACAGATCCGCATGTTCCTCAAGGGTATCAGCCGCCTCGACGGGCCCCCAGGTCGCAAGGCCCCCGTGTCGATTCGTCTCCTCGAAGCCTACTTCGCTTCACTCAACATGCACTCCCCCTCGGACCAAGCGCTCTAAGGGGGTACTGTGCCTATCCTACTTCTTCCTCCTCAGGCGCTCCGTGATCGCAGCAGCCTCTGATGGCAAGTTTGGCTGGTTTGCCTTGAGAGCCACGGATGTGGTAACCCTGGACCAAAATGGGCGAGCAACCATGGATGCTGCAGCGGCAACCTCCGTGCACATCCGCCTAAGAGGATCCAAGCCAAACCAGAGCGGCCTCACGACCGCCCGCATGCTCCGTCGTTCCGGTCATCGGTTCCTGTGTCCTGTTCTGGGAGCTATCCTACTGCTCCGGGCACGGCAGAATCTCCCGATGGACTTGCCGGCGGCAACCTATAGATCGGAGAACGGGGCGATCGATTCCGTATCAGCCCGTCGCGTGGCCAACAAAATCCAAGAAGCAAGGATACTCTGGGGAGGCGATCCTAAGGCCTCCAGCACACACTCCCTCCGGTCCGGGGGCGCAACAAACATGTACCGGTCGGGCGTCGACGCGTTGACCATTCAATTTCATGGTCGGTGGGCGTCGGACACGTTCACAATCTACACGCGCCTGTGCGAATTGGTGTTCTCGCAGAGCTAGAATACGCATCAATTGAACGAGAGGTACTGAAAATTGAAGATATGTTTTCTATTTCTTCTTCAAGGAATCAAACTTTCATGCACCAGAGAAGCATTGCCACATAGTCCGGCGTACTTCTCTTAGATTCGATGCGAGTTGAGAAGACTTCTCTAGGTATTAAACTTAATTTTGATACAATCCGAAGCTCCTCTACTGTACATCACAGAAAACTGCACAAGTATTTATAATTCAATTGCTTGGTCAGAGCAACTAAAACCTGTCACTAGTCGAACATGGACATTTCCGATGTGCTCCTAGTATCGGACTGTGAAGACGTCGAGAAGGCCTTGTATGCCCGATAACCTGCTGCTTGATCCCTCGCAGCCTCCTTCGTTCCCACTTGGTCGCATCATTCACGCATTTCGCACAAAAGGAGACCTTCCGCTGAATCAACTGGTCGTCCAGCGCAATAAACTAATTCGCTTGCGGATCTTGCACGCGTAGTACACGCAGCCATAGCAGAGCTTGCAGGTACTCGAGCCAATAAATCCTCTGACCCCTGTTGTGACCTTCCTATCGCACATACTTCCTCTGGTTGGAAATGATCACCGGAAACAGACATTTTAACCAATAACTTCACCACTACGTGCTGTATAAAGCTGCGGATTGGACAAAAAGAAAGCTCGGGATCTCCGCTTTCCATAGCTACCAATTTCATCTCAAACGGGTTCCTGTAGCCCACGTCATTTTTATTTTACCGCTCCAAGTAGCAAGCCGATATCAAGAGGGCACCCGCCACAACTGCCGTACTTCGTTTAGAGTCCCGAAAACATGTCGAAGGCCAACCTGGTGGACATGGAGCGCAGAGGCATCATCGACGAGCTCCTCAAGCTAAGTGACAATGGAGTTCTACCCCGCGGAGCCTTCGCCCGCGTCGGGGCCCATGTGAAGCGTGACCCGACCACCGTGAGCGCTATTTGGAAGCGCAACACGGCTGCGGTGGCGGCTGGTGTTCCTGGTGGCGAGTGGACTAGCCGGATCAAGCAGAACAGCAGCAGGAAGCGTAAGAATCGAGATGAAGTGCGGACGAAGCTGGCGAGTGTTCCTGTGGAGGATAGGGCAGTTGAGAGGCGCGTTGCGGCTGCTTCAGGGCTCTCCCGGCACCTAGTACGACAAGCTGTGAAAGAAGGCAACGACGTTCATCAAGCCGGCGCTGACCCCCGAGAACAAAATGGACCGTGTCGAACATGCGCTGGCGTCCATCGACGACAAGACGTTACGCTTCGAGTCGATGCACAACGTGGTTCACGTCGATGAGAAGTGGTTCTACGCAGACCGCAACAGACGTTCCTACCTTGTATTTGACGGTGAAGAGATGCCTCCACGAGCCTGGAAGAGCAAGCGCTTCATACCCAAGACCATGTTCCTGGCAGCACTCGCACACCCTCGGTAAGTCTCTATATTTTTATAATTTTATACTGTGGATAACCTTTGACACTGTGTATGAAATTTCTGTGTAGGTACGATCTACACCGTAAGCAGAGAAGATTGGAGTAACGCAAGTGCGGCGTCATACAGCTCTCTACTACACGATAGACTTACCGGTAGCTCATTCGCACGTCGGAGTTTGGCCTTCCCCAAGTGTGGAAGCTTGTAGAGATTGCCGGATTGCCCGCATGCACGCCTGTAGCGTAAGAAAGATGTTGTCCACAGTGTCGGGTTTGAGCTCCCGAAATGCGTCCTCAACCGACGCTATAAGCGCATCGATGCCCTTCCTTGGTAGACGGTGTTGAATGCTCTGCATTGAAGCAAAAACTCCCAAGTCAAGGCGATTGAGCTCGGCCGTCCTGAAAACCACAACATGGATGTCCATGATTTCATCATGTTTTACATGTTTGGAGATCATACTTGGTTTTAGTATGCATTTGTGCCTAACCCTATTCCGAAACATGGGCTGTACGGCCAGCCTTCCAACATCGTACAAGTACAGTTGAGATTCTTAACGTCCGTACTGCATTACAAAGTATGCGGTTCTTCTTAGCAACAGGCTGTTGGGGCGCAAACAAGTATCCGGACACCAACCCAAATTAGAGAGATTAGAGAGATTTCGCAAGTGTCCGAATCCGATTCCAGTTCGGTTACGGATACAAAAATCGGTCAGGTGGCTCGTTTCTGGAAATTGGATTGGGATTTCGGGTCCAGACGTCCGGGTTTGGAGCCCCCATTCCGGAATCTGAATCCGAAACGGAACGATGTGCACCACATGGAAACAGTGTACAGCACATAAGCAGTAACAGTTTAGAAAGGCACGGCAAATTTACAGAGCCTATAAATTACGCTTTTGGGAGGGTTTAAGGAGCAAAAGTATATGACATACACCGCCTTAACTGTGTAGTTTCTGGTCAAAACGATCTTAATATTAAGCTTGACCGCGGATAGAGTCAATATAGCCTACCGTTTGATATTCCCCGCCCAAACGGACCGATGTATGTGCGGGCATTGCATTTTCAGGTTGTTTGAGCGTTGTTGGTTGTGTTGCGGGGGACAACTGCAACTGCAAGCAGTCGGTGGTCCACACCATCCATACGCTACCCAGAAATGTGCATTGCATATTCTGATTGGGACTCGAGTTGCGAAACGAACGAGGCCTAAAATCCGAATCCGAAACAAATCCCACCAGGAAAACTGGATTAGGAATCGGATTCGGACATTTGCGAAATCTCTCTAATAGATTGAATGACAGATCAAAATCCCAGACACCATTTGGAGTTTTCGAGATAATCGCATTTGAAGTTGACTAGTCAAACTTCGGACACAACCGGACATTGAAAATTTGAAAGTGAAGTTTACTTGTAGGAAGCGTCAAAGCATTCTAATTCGATTGATTTTAGCCTGAGTGTTCCGATAGTGTACAATACAGACAAATTATACTGGGATAGGAAGCAACGTTAGTGCTGCTATCGCAGCCTTCGCGGAGCCCTAGTATCCGTGGTACATCAAGTCAAACGATGACTCCTCTTGACATCTAACTGGTACATTTTCTTGAATCCGGTACGATTCTGGTGCCGCACTGGGCCCTCGTTTATATGCGTGGGCAAAATGAACCGGTAGGATACTCACCACACTGGTATGACGCCAGTGCCTCACTGGCTCCAAAAGGTTTATAAGCGTGTGCAGATCGAACCGGCGCGCTACCGACGACACTGGTATGAATCAGTGCATATATTGAGCAGGGTACGATGGACGAAGTGAAGTAAAGAGAACGCTACAATAGCACTAGAGGTAAGCATTTGCATATTCTATAAGCAGCAAAACAGATCTAGACATTGTCGGTTGATATTTTGCATCTACAGTTTAAGAAAAAACTCCGAACAGATGCTGCGGAGATGACCGTAGCTAGTAAGAAAAGTAATTATTTTTAAATAATTACTTTTCTATTATTAAAATAATAAAAAATAAAAAGGGGTTCATACCAAAGCCTTCGCGGAGCCCTAGTTGAAAGAAGGATAGGTGTGTAACGAACCGCTCGCAAGTCGCGTACAGTACTGTATCCAGACTGTCCCGCCGGCTCGCGACTTCACGGGTTGGGTTCTTTTGATGGGCTGGTTAGTTCGTACAGAGTGCTTTTTCGCATCGTGTGCGTCTGCTATTATTTATTTATGTCCATGAAAATAAATATTTTCAAAAAAAAAATCATTTCCCGTGTTTCGTTAGTCTTGGTCTATGTAGCTTGCTTCTCTTCAAGAGAAGCGATACGCACTTTGACAATACGGCGTCAGGACTGGGGTGTCCGGGATCGGCAAGGATACGGAAATCAATCGCCTCAACAAGAAGATGTCGTAGAGTTCATTTTCAAACATGAAATGCATCCAAAAATCTCCGAAAACTATGGCTAAACAATTTTGATCAATCGAACCCAGACATTTCTGTTGTATCCGAATGGGAGGACGTCGAAAAGGCTTTGTAAGCTCTGTAGCCCGTGGCTTGGTCTATCGCCGCCGTCTTGGCGTCACAGAGCGTAGCTGTGCTGATACACTTGGAGCAGAATGTGACTTTCCGTTGGATTAACTTGCCGTCGATAGCGATAAACGTAATGCGTCTTCGGATCTTGCAGAGGTAGCACACGCAGCCGTAGCACAACTTGCACGTGCTCTTGCCGAGTCTGCCCTTGATCCCCGACGTTGTGCTCTTGTTGCACATGACACAGTTCTCATTGTGCTGGGTCTGTCGATCCATCGAGTGTTGGTGCTGCATCATCCACGACATCTTCTTCATCTGGCCGCAGAACACGAGGTCGGTCGCTGAGAGCAGAGCCTCTGTAGCCACTCGGACCGATATGAAGCGCACGACGTCGCCTCCTGGCGCCACTGTACTCGTTCCAAACACGTCCACTACGTTCTCCTCAATCTGCCGGTAGAAGCTGAAGTAGGAGAGATTCGCGCGGATGACGTTAGGCCGTGGCTGTGTCTGCGGGAACTCGATGGAGTGAAGCAACTGGTAGCCGACACGATCCCCGTTTGTGAAGTGTAGAATGCCAGTGGCCTCGATGTACACGAAGTCCCGAACCTTGACCAGACTCGTCGACTGAAGCGGAGCATCGATCGTCATCCACTTGATGATAAGCGAACGGAACGGCTCCTCCTCGGTAGGCTCCACTACCGGACACAGAATGGCTCCACCGTCGAGGTCGTGGACGTACGAGGCTTTCACGCGCATGACGTCCAGCGTCGGGTTCACCACGCCGAACATGAGGTCGTCCAGGTGGCCCACCACCGTCCCAACGCGCAACATCACCGGCATGTCCTTCGTGACGGACGCTGCATTGTCCTGGGCGGCCGCTGGGTCCCACGACTCCATAGTCTTCCTGCTCTTCTGGCTGCTGCGGTCTTCGTACACATGGAGGTCGGCTTTCGACTTGAAGTGGTTCCAGCGACGCTCATTCACCCGCCGGTTGTCTACCACGACGTAGTCCTCGTACTCCTGGAAATGGCCCTCCACGAACTGGTTCACGAGGTCGATGAGCTGGTGCTTCTCTTCCTCCGAGATCTCCAGGTCCGGGTACGGGTTCTCAGCGAACCGGTCCTTCCCCATTATCACCGACGTGTGTGTCTTGTGCCCCAACGGATGGAAATCGGTTCTGAACGTGAACGTGAGCCGCGTTTGGAGTTTTTTTTGGGATCTGCTGCTCCAGGCCATGATCAGCGGCATTGACGTCCTACCTTCGAGCGTCCACATACGCATGTGGTAAAGGCCGACGTTCGCACGTGTGCATTACAGTACATGTGCTGCGTGGAAGTGCATGTATTATGTACTGCATCGCCGACCTTGCGCTTGCACATTCGATTCGACTACACAATAGGTTTGTGCAATATAAAGTTGCCATATTCCGATGCTCTGGAATCGCCTGCTGGAATCGCCTGTCGGATTTGAATTCATCTGCAAAAGCGTAAACATCCAAAGGGGTCAGCTGAAGCACCACCGCACTGTTGACTACATGTACTGCAAAGTGTACACAGGTTTGGTTGGTGCTGAATGCTATGGCGTTTGTCAGTATCTACAGTATAGTAATTGAAATCAGCTGCACATTCAGCTAAGCCAGCACCAAATGGGATTGCAGCATTCAGCTGCTGGTAGCAGCGTCCATCCACTTCAATGCGATTTTCTCGGTGTACCATTGCATCGTCGGCACGACTTTCCGTCTCTTTTCCGCCTTCAATCGGAATCGGTCACCGCAATCGCGGCAAGGATGGTCAGCGGTGTGAAATCTTCAACAACTCTGCAGTGGTGGCCCCTCACCGCCACATGGGGGCTCAGCTAACGTCCAACTCGGACGAAGCTGCAGCCGGCTCACGGTCATCACTAATAGAGCCGAAGATTTCCCCCTGTGTCGTTACACAGGTGATTGAGAAGGAAAGATGAGATCGTGGCGGAGACAAGATTAGCTGTTTCCTTTAGGTAACCTGTGCAGCAGTTATGAAACCCCCGCACAGGCCAAGAAGACGCGGATTGTAGGAAGAGCTGCAGCTCGACGGCATTCTGCAGAGCTCATTCGGCATCTCGCCTCACGCCAAGCAAGCCAAAGGACCACCCACCTAATAATACATACTAGCAGTAGATTAAGACTCAGCCAACGTCCAACTCGGACGAAGCTGCAGCCGGCTCACGGCCATCACTAAGGCCCTTGGTCAGGTGGGGAATGTGTTCTGTGCTACAGTGCGGGCAAGGGCTTTTGGCTAAGGCACGATTTGTGCTTGTGATTTTCAAAACTTGTGCTGGGCTTCTCCAAGTAAATTCCGGAGGACTTTATCTGCTGACCTCCCGTCATTTTTGAATCGCCACCAAGCACATGTACCGAGTCCTCTCGCTAGTGCGTGAGCTAGCTGTAATTATACGGCAGGCCCTAGCGTGAGGACACTTGGGCATGCAACAACACCTCGTAGAGTAGCCACTGGATGCACATATAAAGCATTTCGACGTTGTCATCGAACGCACAGAAAGCATGGTTGTCGAGCACTTTGTCGGGCTCCCTACGGGCTTCCTGACTCGGACTCTGATTGGCGTAGGAGGAGACAAACCTGCCTTGTCCTTGCCCGTGATTCCTGGCACAAATGTGCTCCCCAGGGAACACCTCGTGTAGGTGTTCTGGAATCGGGGGGGGGGGAGCTCCTAGAACACGAACGAGCAAAAACTGTACGATTCACGCCAAAGTTTTATCCAATCATATCGCTAGAAAATTTCAGCCCAGAACACGTTCTCCACTTGAAGCTATTGGCCGGACCCCGGGGTCCCGCATCATGTACTGATGGCGGCCGGAATTATTTAATTTTATCGACGGGGCAGTGATAATATATATAGGTTGTGACAATTTTGTGAAACTTTTTCGACTTTAGCTAGAGCTCATTTCACCTTCAAGCATCTAGCATCCAGTATGAAGTCTAGGCGAACTGGAGGTGCAGAGGTTCCTCGGCGCAAACGTGATACTTAAGTATTGAAATCGTCGTGACCACAAAGCTGCTGCATTCGTTCGTTCTGTTAATCGTCTTGGTGAAGATCAGGGCCTCCGAAAATAGCATTGTCAATAACATTATTTCAGAAAATAACAATAAATTACGCATTTCGGCGGGTTCAGCCATCTACCGTGATAATTTATTGATGTGCTTTGTGATATTACATAATTTATGACAGTTACCTTTATATAATAATGTTAGCGTTTTACCAGCCATCTTCTCGCTTCCAGTCGTTCAGAAGAACTGGAATCACTGGTTGTCTGCGTTGCTAGTTGCAGCTCATTTGGCAGCGCTCACTCTTCAATTTTCACTTCTCAAGCCTCCAAGACCTCATCCAGCATGGTTCGCGCTATCCGCCCCCCTCGCCCTACCTACACGAACTCCCAAGTCTCGGGGTTTTACTTCCGCCCGTGTCGCGACGAGAACGACGAGGTGATTCTCGAGTATTTCCGTTGCCGTTGCGGCACGGTTCGGAAGCAAACCCATAGGAACGGGTACTCCAACCTGATGCAACATATCAGGCGGGAGCACCCTGACTACGAGACCGTCATGCTCGACGCTACGACGGCGGAGACAGGCTCCCTCGTGAACTTCGTCCGCCACTCGGCGCTCAACCTCAACGGCTGGATGGTTTGGATTGTCATGTGCAACCTGCCACTCTCTTTTTGTGAGAGCCGAGAAGCTCGGCGGTACGTGTATGCATAATGTCATTGTGTTTACATTACTACGGAAACTAACAACTTTACTTTATGGATGTTATTCAGCTACTCCAGCCTGGACCCCATCTCGGAGGAAACGCTGCGGGCTGGCATGGACGGGGTCGTCGTCGCCGTCGAGCGTTCGATTGCGTCGGAGCTCCCAGCACGCTTCGGCATCATGCTCGACGGCTGGACACACGCATCGGAGCACTACATCGCCGTGTTCGCGTGCTATGAGGTGAACGGCTGTCCCAAGACAACGCTACTCAGCATGGCCCCGCTGCTGGACGCGCTGGACGACGATCTCTCCGCGCAGGGCCATCTCGAGTTTCTAGCGACCATGCTGCAGCGCGATTACGGCGTACAGCTGGCGCAGTGTCGCTTCCTCGTAGCTGACAACTGCGCCGTAAACCGGCGGCTGGCAACTCTTATGAGTGTGTCGCTTGTTGGTTGCGCAAGCCACCGCCTGAACCTTGCTGTTCAGGCGGACATGGCGTCGCATGAGGAGGACCTGGCTGCTGTGCAGGCGCTCATGGTAAAATTGCGTACTCTCACCCAATCTGCCAAACTACGGTAAGCGCCAATGTGTATGTGTGGTGTGTCAATATGTCTCTAACACATTTTGTATACTTTTGTAATTTTTTACAACATAGGTTGAAAACGCCACTTCGGCCTGTCATTCGCCAGGACACGGGCTGGAGCTCTACGTTCGAGATGGTACAGCGCTACCTCCAGCTCCTCGAGTTTCTTGACGCCGAAGGCGACGACCTCATGGACCTGCTGCCGCCGCCGGCGATGAACAAGCGACTGCGGGCATTGTACCAGGAGCTGTGCGACATCGAGTCGGTCTCGAAGGCCCTTCAAGGCCACGACGTCGACCTGCTGGACGTTCGCGAGTGGTTCGACGAGCTGATTGCTGTCAAGCCACAATATGGGCGCTACATTGGTAAGTTTATAACTGTTGAATTTGTGTTTAATATTTTCACTAACAATTGTATAATGGTTTTTATTTTGCAGGGCCTCGGGCCAACATTGTGCACCGCCCAGATTTTGAGGCTGGGTGTGTACGCGTTCTCCGCGGGAAGGCGCAGCGGCTGACGCGTGCTGAAAAGGCCGCTTTGCAGCCCTTCGAAGCTGCCAGACCGGACGACGCGGCCGCGAGTGAAGTGGAGGAGGATCCAGCCGCGTCGTTCGTGGAGCGTCTTCGGAAGCGCCGGCGGCTTGCACAGGACCGTGTCAAGTATGAGCAGCTGAAGAGCATCCCACCCACGTCGAACGTGGTGGAACGCTTCTTCAGCATTGCTCGGGTGACGTTTGGTCATCAACGACACGGCCTGCTGCCACGCACGCTTGAGACGATTTTGTTTCTCCGCCAGAATCGGTCGTACTGGGATGCTACGACTGTGGACAATTTGAGCTAGATGATAAGCTAACTGGTGTCTTGTTAATAGACTTCATGCTTTTCATAGTGGCATTATTTATTGTGGTACGTTGGGGGCAATGCCATAATGTACTGTTGTATTGGTAGGAGCGTCAGGGGATAATTTATTCTGCAACGACCAACCTACTAAATAAAAATGCCATATTCGGAGGCCCTGGTGAAGATACGACCAAGCAGATTCAAGCTGACTGCTAGAAGCTAGCGCCTACTACAGCAGCAGCGGCGTCGAGCACGCAAAGTTGCGAACTCTGCAGCTCTGTGCAACTCGAGAGTCGATACTACAAGAGATACATAGCATAGATACATACATGCAGCACTTAAATTTACCGAATATACCGGTTGCTTATGACAGCTGGCGACCCAGGGGTCCCGCCAAACGCTTCACTTGAACAAGGGCCTAATAGAGCCGAAGATTTGCCCCTATGTCGTTACACAGGTGATTGAGAAGGAAACTGTGTACGTAAGAATTCCCGTGGAAGGTTCTAGGCAGACAAGTATGCTCACGATGACAATGATAAGCTTAGTGTAATTTTGCTAATACGGAGGGAACGACCGCACTGAAAGAACGAAAGACAAATGAAACATCACGGGAAGTTGCGGTGTCTGTAAGCTTCTACTGTATACAGTAATACGAGTTGCGGTGCATTGGAGTAAGAAAAAGAAGAAGAAGAATTAAGCGTTGTCGGCGCCTCGAGCGTCACAATCTCCAGGCATCTCGCAATCTCGCAGGCATGGGAAGTTTACGGCGACCAGCGAAGTCCCCATCTGTCGAAATGGCCTGACGCGTTGTCAACATCCTATCTGTCCTACCTGAAGGCACGCACGGCCGCAACTCTTTGATCAAGTGATGGGGACCGTGGCGCCCGCAAGCCAAAGCGTGGTAAGCTTTCCCACAGTTCACAGTTCGTACTCTGGCCGGGACTCAGTCGTCGATTTGCTGCGTACGTACGTCAGCGCCCCTCCAACCCCCTCAATGGCCAAGGACCGGTTCGTCAATGCGAATCCGTACCCGGAGCTCAAAGTGTCCGACGAGGAGTGTCTGCAGCTGATCGAGCTTGTCAATGGCTTCGTGGCGGACCATTTCCAGAAGTACGAGGACTTCGTGGTCGTGGACAAGCACCAGGTGGACGACCAGCGCTGGAAGCTCGTGAGGTCCAAAGACAACCAACACGTGTACGCTGAGAGGTCCAAGAGCAAGGATGACATCCCAGTCGTGTTGAGCGTCGGCACTTTGGTGGGGGACGTCGACGACGTCACGTTCGGAGTCGTGAATCCCATGCTGGACGTCATGCGCGTGAAGGCCTCGTACGTCCACGACCTCGACACTGTGTCCCGTGGTAGAACCCAGCGCGGAGGAGCCCTTCCGCTCGCTCATTATCAAGTGGATGACCATCGACGTGCCGCTGCAGTCCACGAGTCTGGTCAAGAGCCGAGATTTCGTGTACATTGAGGCCACGGGCATCGTCCACTTCGCCAACGGTGATCGCGTGGGCTACCACCTGTTGCACTCGATCGACTTCCCCCAGACCAAGCCGCTGTCCAATATGATCCGAGGAAATTTATCCGTCTTTGGGTTTTTCCGACAGCTCGAGCACAACGCCATCGATCTCTACGCGAGTGGTACTGTAGTGCCTGGAGGCAAGATCGCGCGCTTTTTATCCATCCAAGTGGCTGCGGAGGCCCTGTTATCCGCTACGAATTACGTGCATTGTGGACAGATGAAGAAGTTATCGTGGATGCTGCAGCACCGGCACTCGGCGTTCCAGCTTCAGCATCAACAGCGTGGGGAGAAGTGTACTACTTCCTCCGGTTGGAAATGATCACCGGAAGTCATTATGATAGGTCGGCAGTTTTTCTGTGACGGCCGAATCTTATACACGACAAAAACTAATTTATAAAGTGTACTTTGAGTTCAAAGAAGGAGAAAGGTATCTACTTCGAAGTACTTTTCATTTAAAGAACAGTGCACTACCACGGTTTGAAGGGGATGGCAAGGTGGGGCTCTGGTCTTTCACGGAGAAGTATAAGGCACAGCGTAAGAGCAAGAATAGAGCCAAGGGGGAAATTTGCACACGCAATCTTGATACCGTCGATCGAAATGTCTACAAGGACTATCTGATCACCAAGGTGATCCCAGCTATCAAGTCGAAGTGGCCAAGGAAGGACCGTCGCCAGTTCATCTTCGTGCAACAAGATAATGCGAAGCCGCACGTGTCGCCAACCGATCCGGACGTTGTCGCAGCGGGCACAGAAGGAGGGTGGAACATCAGGCTGTTATGCCAAGCACCCAAATCTACTGCAAATCCCTGGGAACTGGGTAATCGAGCTGCTAAATGTGGTTCTTCCTGTCCTTAAAACCTTTAGAAGGCCGGCCCAGCGCTAGGCAGGGAACTGTAGACCTAAGCCTTGCTTCGGGGCTACGTTTGCGGGTTGTTCATGCTTCTCAAACGCCACTGATGCCGATTTGGTCTCTGCATCACGATAGATTTGCGGGCCATTTCACCCCCTCCAATCCGAAAACATGGGCTGTACATTTCCGATGTTGGAACGAGAAACTTGCTACTACCGGTACTGTACCAAGGAATCCTTGAAGGATACCGAAATTTAGATCTCATACTACAGACAGATCTCTTACTTCATACTAGGCATTAGGCAATGATATTAGGCAATGATATCGCGCCATTTACCCAGCTCATCAGTTGAGTTCTCACAATACGTAGGGTATAAATAGAGCAAATGCAGCAAAAGAGGGCCAGTCATTGCAAGAGAACAACCATGGAGCGCACGCCAAGTCCGCGGAAAGCTCTCCAGGTCAGCAGGGAGGGCGGACACGCACAACAGGAACAGGAAAGCTGCCGAAGCAGTTTAAGCGTGTTGCTGTCTCCTTTCAACACAAGCTCAGCGTGACGCTAGCTGCCGTGGAGGAGATAGATCTAGACAGCAGTGTTTAAGGGTACCGGTAATTACCACTTTGCATGATGCACTTCAGAATACGAACATAAAATCGTCGGTACATGTACATCTCGTGTCCACTTTGCAACACAACAACTTCAATAATCAGCTATATGTAGTATGAGATCTAAATTACGGTACCTTGGTACAGTACCGGTAGTAGCAAGTTTCTCGTTCCTACATCGTACAAGTACAGTCAATCCCAGCTGGTTCCCTCCCTCCAGCTGAAAGATTGCAGACATATAGCCGGACAAACCGTGCCTATTAATAGTTTCGCGTGCTTGGTTGGCACATTGCATGCACCGTATGGGGATGTTTCATCCGAGGGTACGTTAAATGGGGTAACTTTCTCGGATCAGCATTTTCTGCCCCAGCTCGGGGCAGCTGGGGTAACCATGGTAACTTTTTCCCTACTGAAACAGATTCGGCCCTGGTATCAAAATAGCCGGGTAGATCCACACAAAATCGTTGGTTAGCACCACAGCCAGCCCTGCATATACAGCAGCGGCGGCCGAGATGCTGGCAGCGGCGGTTGTGCTTCTGCTGGCGGCGGTTCGACACTGATGCTGTATGGCTGCCAACCAGCTCACTGGCTGCAGCCTCTAGACAGTTATTACTCTTGGAATTCTATAGGTGTTTACAGAAATAGGAGATGAGAGTCAAAAGTTACCCCATTTATTATCGACTCGCGTTTTAATGATTTACCTGTTATAACTAGTTTAATGCCAATGTATAAAAAACTAAATCTCGCAGGTCTTAAGCCTGTTCGATTTGTATTGGATCGAGTCGGATTCAGACGATTCGATCGATTTGAGGAGCGTGTCGACTTGAGATCGTGCAAATCCGATTGAATTGCGATACCCAATCGTAACGATTAAATTTTTAGCATTACTAACGTGGAGCTACTGTCAAATCGTGCTTCGAACTCCTTCGACCGCTCTAGCGGTGCACCTACTGGCTATTAATCAGGCAAATATAGCAGGTCTACGTCAACTTCCCAGTCCCCAGCGCAGCAAGAAGAAACTTATCGAACTCATTCCGCAATTCGCTAAGACGACCCCAACCTCTCCCCGGACACCGACCAACAAGAATGCGCCTCACCTACTTCCTCACCGTCATCGTTGTCGCCACTCTCCATGCCGGTGGCACCGCGCTCGCCACCGCCGAGGCCCCCAACCACGCTGCAATCGTTAACGTGGCATCAGCTGATAACGTTCACTCTCTCGATACCACCGCAGAGATCGGCGGTCGAATGCTGCGCAAGGTGAAGGAGGACACGGTGTCCAAGAAAGACCATGAAGAACGAGGACCAGGAGCTATTCTGGAGCGCCAGACCGCGTTCGTCAAAAAGTTATTCTCGCGCCAGAACGCGATCGTCAATAGGGCCCAGGGCGCTTTCCAGCGCCAGAACGCCTTCGTCAATAGGGACCAGGGCGCTTTCCAGCGCCAGAACGCCTTCGTCAAAAGGGCTATCCAGCGCCAGAACCACTTCAAACTTTCCGACAATGCATGATCAAAATGCGCTAGAGAGCTGCGTATTTTAGTCGCATGAACACACATGGGTTACTGAGAGTAATACACGATCGACCAGATATTTCACTTTATCACCAGCGGACACGGGGTGGAACGGGACACATTTCGGAATGATACATTTTCTAATAATAGGTATGCTCTTTGGGCGTGCCTCCTGACCTCAACAAATGTATGAAGCGCGCGGTTGCGTTGTGGTGGAAGAGGAAGGAAAGGAGACGCCTCTCCCTTTTAGAGCGAGCAAAAAGAAGGAGTATTCACCGAGTTAGCCGTTCATTTCGAAACGTGCTCGACCCCATAGTAACCAAGGCAAGCTGGACCAGAACAGCCGGCCGACTACCGGTACAAGTGTATGGCGAAATCGACCGTGCACGCGGTCCCGGCGTTCTCCATCAATATTGCGAGTTGACGCAATGTTAAGGGCCTTGGTCATAGCTCAGGACGTGACGAACCCAACGAGTGGGTCCCGATGCTCGAATTGCGGCAGGAAGACGCTCTTATCTTGCTCGCTTTGGGGGTAGCTGTTCTGAATATAGTATCGGAGTCGGATGGTGCGGTCTAACAGTGATTTGTATGACAATGCATGCTACTAGCCTTCAGCGTTTTGTAGATTTACTTGAATAGAGCTTCGTAGTTTCACTCGAATAGAGCGCCTAGGCGTCTAGTTCGAGGGAAGGTGGTAGCAATAGTTGTACAGCTTCTTTCACCCGTCGACCACTATCATACAAGCAGCGGAGCCCCGCAAGCGGGGCTCATTAAACAGGTTTAAGCCGAGCACGTAGGACCGGCCGTCTCGCTCGGCGGGAAGTTAATTCTTGATCGGTTGATTGTACTTGTTTCAATTCGCAGTTCGAAGAACTGTCGATTGGGGAAGGTTTTTGGATGTCATCGAACGACATTCACGCTACATCCGTAGCGGATGTCATCGAACAACATTCATACTACATCAAACAGTACTCGATCGAATCCGGTCTGAATGACACAACAGGTTTTGATAGATGCCTATTTGCCTCGAAACTTCTTTCCCTTCTAGATTGATGTCAGACGCCCACGATGCCACCACAGGAAGTGGGACCCCATCCCAAACATTTTATTGGACAAAAGAATGCAATTCTTGCCATTTTGCACGCAATATGTACAGGTACCTATGCTGTTCGTCGTAGTAATTGTGTCTCTGACAATTAGAGGCATCAGTGTTAATGAATACTAGCCTGCCGACAATTTATGTCACGACAAATTCAGATGACCACACGATTTTCAATTAACCTTTCTGAGAAACTAGGCATGCAGATGAAAAATCTGTGTCTGATAAAGGAGGGTACTCAGGACTGAATAAACCGATCGAACCGCTAGTTTTAACGCTAATGGAATGAGTAAGTAGTATGTTGAGTGCTCTGGAGCTGCATACAGTATAATACGATGCAGTGATGTGGTAATGGCACCAGTTGTGTTCAAGGTCTGCATGTGTGAATCCCCACACTCATTGGAATGAGTCTTGATGGATTATTAAAAACATTCCACCGAAACTTTGCCGAAAAGTACTTCAAGCTTTTAAATTTATGCAATCCAAATGGGAGGTATAGCTTTTTTATTTTCGTTCAGCATTGTTGTATCCAAAGCAAATTCTATTGGCCGGCAACGCGGTGACGTCCTATATGGCGGCGAACGAATTCTTTAAGCGGAGGCTCAATGAGTTGCACCAGATGGTATGTCTTCTCCGGAGGAAAGGCTAAAAGGTAGTGCAAAAAGAATGACGACTGTGTATGAAATCGAAAGAAGCCTTCTTCCAATTAAGGGGTGAATCGAGATACGAATGGCTCGTGTGGGGCCATGAAGAAGAAGCTAGCTGCACTCGCTCAGGCATTTTATCTATGATGACTTTGGATGATTTTATGTTTGCCTTGTGTGAGACTACACTGCGACCCGCAGAGATCCACCGAGCCCATTTACAACTACTACTGGTGGTGTAGAATTATCTACTTCCTGATCCTGTACTTGTCAAAACAACTTCAAAGTACATTTTTACCGATATTAGTTCAGATCGTCCTAATGCAAAGTGAACACGGTACATTCAGCTTAATACTTGATAAATGGCAATCACACACTTGGACGAACCGTAGCTGACAGCTTTTTTGTTGCTAGATGTTCAGGCGACCCGGACGAAATATGTGTGCGGCTGCGCCATGTTGACTTTTAATGCTCCTACGTCGTCGCTGTACGCCCCGGATTCCTGTGCGAGAGGAAGCCCGGACGGACAGCGTCAAAGCGAAGGACAAGTACCCGCTGTATCCTACCCTTACATGCGATCGGGATCTGCTGACCTCTGTTTGACTAATCAAACTTGAAACAAATTGCTGGCTTCGTCAGATTACCCAGCAAGTTCACTTGAGCAGTAGCCCGGCAGCGCTAAACATTCGAATGCACGGGATTTTACTTTTCAAAATTTTTTATCGCCACCGGTAAGTTTCCGAGCACAATACTGCAATCTAAGAGATAAAGGATTCTGCCTGGACATCGGCGCATATTTCAATGGCAAGACGGAAGGAAATTACGTTTATTAGCTAGTTGTTTATAACCGTTCTGTGTACTATAAAATATCTTAAGTGAAACTAAATCCGTCGATGCCTAGTCCGACAAGTAGCAAGAGGTCGAATTACCACGGTGGGCTGGTCAAAAAGCGCTGAAGCACAAATTCAACTCAGCGTTGACGTTCAATTCATCGAAGTGACGACATGTGCGGTGGCAATGCCTGCGATTAAACTTGGTCCACTTGGTTGTACAGTGGCAGATTAGGCAGATGCTGCGGCTGCGAAGCAGGCGCAGGAGATGCCCGAGTACATCGGTTTTCCCTGTACAAGCATCCGTACAATCTAGCTTCGACCCCAATTCGCAGTTCGAAGAACTGTCGATTGGGGAAGATTTTTGGATGACATCGAACGACATTCATGCCACATGAAACCGTGGATCTTCCTCAATCAATTCAGCGCTCGGATTGATAAACCGACAACTAGAACTATAAGTTGAAATCGTAGTCTGCTAGCTCTGTAATAAAGTTGCGCCTGAAGTCACATCGTAGTCGCGGAGCTCGTGCAGTGTGCCGTTCCGCAAAGCTGGGGGCGAAAGACTTTCAGAAGTTCAAACGGAGTAGCTACGCGCGTAGAAAGCCACGCTTGGCTTGGTGACCATTATCATACACACTTGCTCAAGAAAATTATGAAATTATGCGTAATAGATCGCCTTACTGGTATTATTTGTAAAAAAGCAACTCCAATTTATGCTAGGCCTCGAAGATGGTTTGAACCAGTTCTCGACCCTAAAGTTTCTAAAGTGGCCCGAATCGACGATTACTTGAATCATTCCATTTCTGGGCTTGCTCGCAGAAACGAAACTTTAATTTAAAACTGGGCCTGTTCGTTGGGCACTTGCCTGATCGGCTTAGCCGTAGTTTGTTTTTTTTATGTAAACCAGGTTATCCAGTTTAGACATGAACACACGGGTTCTACAGACTACGACGAAATATCCGGCAAGATGAAGTCCGGTAGACAAAGCCGTGCAATGAACAACAAGAAATTCGCCTGCCAATATGATGTGCTGTTTTGTACTTCATAGTTTTGTGCGTATTTTATGCCGTGTCACAGTATTTTCAAAATTTACATATACGTTAGAATCGCCAGGTGTCGAACCGCGCTGAAGGGCAAGAACGTATGCAACCCGAGAAAGTGGACTCCATCAAAATACACGTTTTGTGGAGAAAGAATGCAAGAATGCAGCCCGTGCTACCTTGTTCGTCGTAGTAGCATGCATCGTATAGCTAGCTACTGACAACTATATTCTACAACGTTGGCAGGGTGAATTCCTGCACATTCATTAGAACGCGTCTTTGTAGATTGAGCATCCAGCAAGACTTCCCCGAAAAATATTAAAGTTGTGCAAGCCAAGGTAGATTGCTTGCTACTGTTTCTTATTTGCCGAACCCCTTTTAGGCACAAGCAAAACTATTTTTGGGATTGAGAGGATACCATGTTGTCACTGAATACGTGTATCGGTATTTGTGATGGTTCCTTCTGAAAACGCCTTATAACCAATATACAGCGGCAAGTAGAGCTCGGCATATGCATGTATCAAGTGAAAACTAATTAAACCGATTTCTTGCAGCACTGGCAAAGTTACGACCTCTTAGTCAACAGCGTTTCGTTTAGATCCTCCAGCTGCTTTGGGGGTTTTAAGGCATCTTTTGTTTTTGAATGATAATTTTTGAATGATTGATCAAGGCTTGATCTCGACAAGAGCTCATCGAGTTTGGTTTCATTTTGTAGCATTTTATCGGTCCAAACTACCCCACCAAACAAAAATATTTGTTAGGTCTGACCGTGAGCTTTCAACAGACGAACCGAAAGCACCTTACCAGGTATGTACTCCCCGACTTGTGAGTTTGAAGCAGATGTAGCGTGTTCAAGCTGTAAAATTCACTACCGGCAGGGCCAGCGCTATAAATTCGTCGATTTATTGCTGTTCGTCACGATGGCAGCTAGTCTGAGCGACATGCATCCACAATAGCGGTCTAGTACGGGTAAAAAGCTAAAGAAGACTTCTAATATCTACCGCCTGCACATCACCATACCCGGCAGATGCTGCGGCTGCGAAGCAGGCGCAGGAGATGCCTGTGAATAACACAACTTTGATAATGTTAACGGGAGATTGCGCGCGCGGAGTCTGCTGCTTGTTTTACTTTCAAGTACTTACTTGGCTACGAGATATCCGACGATGTAAGCACGCGTCGCAATTTTAATCTGTGTTTATCTAGTATCCACAGGTGATTTGGTTTAATTTTTCTGTGAACACAGGCTGTCTACTGGGCGAACCTCATCTAGAACTATTTCGGCGTACATTCACCTTCATTGACTCTAATGCTTCATGTAGCTCCGAACTGCGAAACCCCCCGGGTTCACCACTCGGGTCACCAATCGTCACTTCACCTCCGTGCGGAAGACATCAAACAACATTCACACAACATCATACAACACTCGATCGAATCGGTCTAAATGACACTTACAGGTTTTGATGGATGCCTATTCGGCTCGGAGCTTCTTTTCCTTCTACTGTAGATTGATTCGTTTTTTTAGTTTTTGGCGAGGTACATTACAGTCATTTAGTCTAGCTAACGACTCAGCTAATGTCATGGTACCACTTCACAACTGAGGCAATAAGATTCTATTGATAGGTGCATTGACCTCACACCAAAACATTAGCCCAGAGAACATGCCCACATGTAATTCAGTATAATAAAATCTACAGTGTTTGCTAAGTGATCCAATTGGTAAGGGATCGGTGAATTCAATACTTCCAGCTTCAGAACTTGATTGATCCTAAAAATATCCTTCGCAACTGTACTCATTTTTCTGGGCCTAGCACTAATTTGACTGGACCAAATTTGAAAAGGGGTGGATAATGCCAATATCGGCCTTGTTGTAGACCAAACGGTTCAACAACTATAGCGCCTTGCTTAACTAAAATAAAACAGTTAGAATGAGGGTAAAGCTGTTTCGTACTTTGATAAACGTGGACCATTTAGGAACCACAACTTCGGGTTTATACCTGATTGTACCCCCCCCCCTTCATCTGTCATGAGCACAACGCTTTCAAGGTTTGCGGGCACACAAAGTTGTCCACATGGCACATGGGCGCCTTCCGAAATTGTAGCCACGTTGAAATTCGGAACACATCAACTGACCAATCATGTTTCGCTTGAAATTCACTTCAACTTGTTGTCAACAAGTTGTTGAACATTGCACTGTGTGTCGTAGCAACTAGCCTGCACCAGCTTTAGCTCAATCGCTACATGCACTCACCGCTGTACTACCGCTGATGTTTCGACATATCCACTTCAGTGTTCCTCCCTCGGTCTTAAAGTTTCAGAAAAAGGAGGGAAAAATTGCTGAAAAAGGCATGTAAAATTTGATTTTTCAGGGAAAAAAATCCCGGAATGTAGGTGGTCTGAATGACGGTAGCCCTTTCCAAGGTTTTATTCCATATCAAGGTTTTTCCTGTCTTTATTCTAAACCGGCGCTGTCCATTTCCCAATCAGCGGGCGGCATTGCGGACAGAACGGAGGCGTTCATACTGTACTGAACTGTAGAGCGGTCAAGGAGCAGGGCCACGCAGAGCGACGGGAGCGGGGCTGGAGGCGGAGCAGACCTCGACGGCGGCGAGTGCGAGTCTGGAGGCGCGCGCGAGGCTCGAAATTCGGCCCGAGTTGGTCCGTGTCCGGGGGAGATTGTCCCATCGGACCGACCGACGGCGTCGAAATGCTGGGAAGCGAGGCAGATCAGGCGAACAGAGCGTCTTCACTACGCCGGGCAGCGACGGGACAGTGCTGCGGCGGTGAGTGTGTCGGCAATAACGGCGAGCTGTGCGCGGCGTGCCGAGGAGAGCAGAAGGAGGAGGGCAGGAGGAGGCCGGACAAGGCGGCGGAGGGCCTGGACTTCGACTTCGGGGCGCTGGGGCCCCCTCCGCCGTGTCCGTTGCTGTGTCGGCAGAAGGCCACGGACTTTACGGCCGCGAGAGAGAGGAAACGGGCGGGATTTCTCGGACAGGAAGAAGTGCCGCTGCGGCCAGGACTGGGACTGGGACTCGGACTCACTCGCAGCGCCGGACCCAGCGCTCTTGCCAGAGCGAGCAGGAGGATGCCCACACCGACGGAGCAGTGTCCATTGATGATGTGAGACCGAAGCGTGAGCGTGTAGTATTCCGGCGGAGAGAGGACCTCTGGCTCGTGCATTGCTAGCCTACCTTTGGCTAGGGCATGCAGCAAGAGGAGGTCGATGAGCGAATGTTAAGTTAGCGGATGGCATGAAATGAAAGAACGCGCCAAGCTACTCGATGCCTCCGAACGTCGCCGTTGCCGGTAGAATCGACGGGCGAACAGCAAGCATCGACGACACGCTCGGCATTAACGTATAAATTATTTGCTTGAAGAATCTCTCGGTGGTCAAGGCTCGTTGCAGAGTACTTGAGTATGGGTCTGCTGACAAACATTCAGAGCTGCGGGCGTCAACGCAGCGTGAACACTGCATCAACAACTATAGTGTGGTGATGGTGGAGAGGCTGGGGCGTGACATCATCGAAAGCCAAAGCGAAATTCTGCTAGCGAAATTGTCGATGCGGTGCTGGTGCTCGGCTTGCTTCGTGCCTAGCGTGTGCACCTCTCGCTTCTCTGCAGGCGATTCAGTGAATCGGATTCACACGTCTAAATATCAGCTGGCCCAGTATTTCTAAGAAATGTCGGTCCGTGATAACTGCATTGTTGCGGAAGATAGCTCAAGCCATGCCGTGCGTTGAACGATAGAAGCTGTCGAGCTCTTCAATCGAGACATTGAATGGCCAAGGACTTTTGTGGGTTGTCATAAGAGACCATTATCGGCCACGCACAGTATGCCACCACCAGCATAGCTCGGTGGGCCAGGACCAGGACTTCAGTTGTGCTCATTGTTGCTTTTGGGAAGGCATCATTAAGTCTACAAGTAGACATGTCAACAGACCACACCGAACCAGGGTAGCAAGGTGTTATAGTATTAGTCGATCTATTGTATCATCTATCCGGTAAGTATGGTTGGCGATGACTGCTGCTGTAAGAGGAAATAATGATACTTTATTCGACGTTTTAGAGCTAGGATGAATCTAGTTAATACTTGTCCGCTCTCGATAAGTAGGTCTGGATACGTTCTAGGGTGAGTCAAACCGACGTCTCGAAAAGGAACGTGTAGAGCTGTCGCGGGAGCTTCTCTTGGCAGGGCAAGCTTGCGAGTCGATCACTGGGCAGGAGACTGCCAGCTGCAACAAAGACTCAATAAATCGCTGCACTGCCCTGGTTCGCTGGCGCTGGAAGCATCCACGTGAGAAGTGCACCAGGTAGCACGGCTCCGAGGAGCAGGTAACGGGTTACTTCACTGCAGAACTTGCAGTTCATGTACAGGTGAGGTCCCGTGTGGCAAGACTCGTACAGCTCATCGCGTAGCTTCACAAAGTCGGAGAACTTCCTTTCGATGTGGACGTCCGATCTGCTGAAGAGTGTCGGAGGTTGCTGGGTGCTCGTTAGCGCCGAGTTTGCAGTCTTCAAAATCGTTGGGGTTCGCGTCATGGACTGCGACGCAGTGTACACGTCGATGACGTAGCTGCGGCTGCTGTCAGGACTTCGGCAAATTTTTACCTGGCGGATTTGCTTGAGCTTCGTCAGGATCTTCATGTGGCGCGAGTACCGCTCAGGCATCAGGTCGACGGGAGCGAGGCGAGAGAGTCCTCCCACAACCATCTTCGAGGACAGGGGGTCCTGGGTAATGACCAACGACTGTTGCTGGATGCCCGTCATACTTTGTTGTGGTGATGGTAAAAAGAGTCGACTGTAGTGCGCGGTAGCGAGTAAATTTAATAGTGAAGGCTCCCCCAGTCATTGCATTGCTTCATTGCTGCCAGGGATTGAGGAATCGTTTTGCGGCGAGCACGAATGTACCTGGAGGTGGCCGTCGCGCCAATCAACGCATCATTCCGGTCTTGCGTCGGTAAGAGCGTCAGAAATCCCGCCAGACCAACCCACTACTGTACAGAGCGCATACTTTTTGGTATTTTGCATATGCAGGAGAGAACGGCTACCTGTAGTTCGAGCAAGGGCAATTGTTTCTTCACGACTGAAGTTGACGCTAGTGGTAAGCTGGATTGATCGTTGCATATGGGTACACTATGGTATATCCCCCTCAGTTCGAACCTATTTCACTCCCAAATACGGGCGTTGGGCAGGATACTTTTTATCATTTTGCGAAACCAAAAAATCTTTCGCCTTCATAAACCGTTCAATCGGTTAAATGGCATTTACATGTAATTGCCTGGTCGTGTTTGTTTCGTGTCCGGCTCGACTTCCGTGACTTCGCTCACTTTACTTCCTGACATTCGCTTCGTGAGGTTGAGAATGACCTTCGTAACTTGCATTACATTTCCGCTTTGTCTATTTCCCTCTTCTTTTTATTTATTTACTCGATTGTTGATTTGACGCTTATATTCCGTTTCCGCTTTATCTACAGTTCTACATGTAATCTCGCCAAGGCCGTCTCGCCGTAGCAACCGCTGGTAAACAGCTATCGTCGACTTTTCCGCTCTCATAAACGAGCTTCTTCAAGATTTATCTTTTGGCGTCTTGGCTTCGATATCACACATACATACACACATACCCTGTCAAACAAACTTCGCGGTGTTCCAGGTCGTATAGGTCTGGAGGCGATTTTAATCTCTACCAAATGCAAACTCCCATACTATTGGACTGAATCGAGTCACTAGGTTTTACCGCCACGCAATTGAAAATGGCGATCCGATCGTCGTGTATCAGCTGATGCTGGTGCAGACGAGCTCTTCCTCACAGCATCGCTTCAATCGGCATTAGGGTCCTGAGCTCGCTCAACCCTTTTCGATGTCAGCGGTGCCTAGCAGCTAAATGACTGGCAGCGGCACCAACGGAGAGCCGTCTGTCTCCTCCCCACCTCGGACTGCTGCAGCCTAGTATTCATCTCTGTCTTCCTGGTTACTTCGCTAGGTGGGTCGACTTTCCAGATCTAGAGTATAGTAGGTAGCATTGATCATACCCTCCACCGTGATCGTCCTCTTGGAATTCGGCAAGTTGTGGATGGCAGTGCGATAGCCGACGGGGTATCAACCGTCCGATCTCCGAGGAGGCTCAGCTGTCGTCCATTTAGTGGAAGAGCGAGATTCTACGGATATGCATCGGACTGCTAACGTTAGGTACACGTACTTCACGTTGTACATTATGGCAGGTGCAAGGCCAATCGACACAGGAGTGAGCAGCTTGAATTGGTGTGCTCAACGCCAAGTTGCGGTTTCTATGCTAACGTTTCTAAACCTTCTTAGAAACGACCTTTTTAATCCAATACCACTCCACCAACAATTTATCTGCGTTCATCAAGTGTCACAATCCCGACCATTCCACAGCTAGACCCCTTCCAACCCAATTCAACGCAACCAATCTCTTTCCACAGGGTCCTCATTCCCACATCCCCGTTTCCGGGCTCATAGAAATCCCAAACCTGTGGCCCAAAAGCCCAGAGACAGACATCAAGTGCCGCTCAGCTATACCGGCGTGCTGCTGTCTGTAGCTCGTCCACAGCCCCTCTTGCGTCCCCCGACGCAAGCCCTCCCTCTCCTCCGCCCGCCCATGTCTCCGGCGGCCTCCCCCCTCCCGGGCGTCATGACCTGCAGCAGTCTGCGCACCGCCGGCTCGCACCCGACCGCCACCGCCACGTCCGCCGTGGCCGCCGCGTCCCCCGCCGTGCGCGCCGTCTTCTCGGGCGCCGTGGCGGGCGTCGTGGCCGACTCGGTCGTGCACCCGCTGGAGGTCATCAACCTGCGCATGAAGATCCAGCAGCAGCCCAGCGCCAAGTACAGCGGCATCCTGCGCTCCGTGCGCACGATCCTCAAGGAGGAGGGCGTGCGCGGCTACTTCGGCGGGCTCAGCACCACGCTGCTGGCCTCGCCCGTGTGTGCCGCAATGTACTTCGGCACGTACGAGACGATCAAGGCCACGGCGGCCCCCATGGTGCCCGAGGAGCAGCGCGGCGTCGTGTACTTCCTGGCAGGGGCGGCCAGCGAAGCCATCATCTCGGCCATCAGCGTGCCGTCCGAGGTCATCAAGTCGCGGCTGCAGCTGGGGCGCAACCCGCGCAACGCCAGTGGCGGAGTGGTCAAGTACACGCAGAACTACAGGGGCACAGCCCACGCGGCCAAGTCTATCTTGAAGTCGGAGGGCGTGCGGGGACTCTACTCGGGCTACTCGGCGTGTCTGAGCGTGGACACGTTCTTCTCGGCCTTCTCCTTCCTGTTCTACGAGACGCTCAAGCACAGGTACCAGCAGCACTTGCTGTCGACGGACTCGGACAGACAGCTGAACTCGGCCGAGTCATTGGCCGTGGGCGCTGTGGCCGGCGGAATGTCGGCGTTCCTGACCAACCCGCTGGACGTCATCACGGTGCGGCTCATGACGCAGGGCAAGAACAAAAAGTACTTCGGACTGCGGGACTGCTTCGTCAAGTCGGTGAGGAATGAAGGCCCGATGGTGCTGTGGCGAGGCGCGTCCTGCCGCATCGTGTCCATCATGCCCACCACGGGCATCTGCTTCGGCGTGTACGAGACGATCAAGCACACGTTCTTCAACGGCGAGCTCGACGACTTCGAGCTCGACTGACACGAGAGGGCACGTGTAAATATCGACTTTTAAACTGTGGAGAGGGGGCGTATATAATAGAACCAACGAATAAACAGCACGCTGAGCATGACAAGATGACACTGGCAAGATGCTTTAGACGCTTCGGCTGCTGCTGGTCACAACGCTGTTGGTCTGTTGGAAGGCAGGCTCGCAGATCTCTACCGAGCCGCTAGCAGTACCTCAACACTTCGGTCGAGCTGCTTCAAAACAAAGCATGCAATTTGGTTTCTCTAACTCGCGTGGGTCGCAAGAAGAGGTCTCTGCGAGATTCGACTACGACCAAGAAGGAAGGAGAGCCGACCAGTATGGAGCACAACTCGTTCTTGAATGGACTGGTAGCTTCGTGGCAGCAGCCGTTCGAAGTGTCTGCAGAGTGAAGTCGTCGTGTCAATTGGTGTTGATCTGAACACGGCGTTGGAGTCGGTGGATGATAGCGGGTGATATTCATGTAACGTTTGCAGCGTGGCTCGCACATGGAGTTACGTGGACTCGGGAGGGTCAGGACGCTGAGATCAGCACATTTTGGTGCTGAAGATTCGGGGCGAGTTGACGTACTTGAGTATTGCAGTGGTGGCACGAACTGGGGCAGCTGAAAGAATTAGAACGTCGTCAGCCTGAAATGTTTCATCGTGACGGCTGTGAAGTTGACGTCGTGCAGTGGCTGTGTGAGGAATACGGTTGGGACCCAAATCGGAAGTTGTTTAAGTGGCTTCGCTCACCCCGCTCTGTGTCGGGAATTGGATACATGTGAATCGAAGTGAAGGCTGTACGGGTGGCGCAAAAACCAAAGTGACAAGGAGACCACCGACCAGCCGCGCAATGGCCCTATCATCACCACGTCGACATCGTGTTATCTCTTCACTCTCAGCTACCATGAAGGTTGACGACGACATTCGTGCCTGATTCGCTGAGCTTTTGGACCCCCGCCTTACGCATCAATCAGCCCCAATGCATTCAGCCGAGTGAGTGGTGGTGACGCCTTCCGTGTTGATATTCTTCATGGTGAAAGGTGACTGCAGAATACGTGTCTAGCTTCTTCTTTCAAGACTTGACGAGCGTCCGTTGCTGCGACCTAAGAGCTGGATGGTTCATTTCTGTAGCTGCTTGCTTGGCGCGAAGTGAACTACAGGATGACTCTGTTCAAGATGAAGCGCTCCAACGTAGCGGAGACTGTCGATCGCGTGTCTTCAACCTGCTTGAAAGAAGCATATCACGAGTATCAAAATGTGAAGGCTCCGCCGTCTCCTCCAGGCCTAGAGGCTGGTGCACTACGCGAAGGCGGGGCGCCTAATCTATTCACTGAGCAGCATATCGGTCTCGTGTTGCAATACGCTGCGGTCGGGCTCGTGTACGGCACGCTGCCTTCCACCATCTATCCGTTCATGCAGGCGTACCTTAACGCTAGTGGGGCGCAGGTGCTCACTGCAAGTACGCTGGTTGTGCTACCGTGGAGCTTCAAGGTGTTCTATGGAGCTCTATCCGATTGCTTCCCAATATGTGGCTACCGTCGCCGGCCGTACATGATCATCGGGTGGACGATTTGTGTGGCGATGCTACTGACAATGGGGTGCATTCGCGTGGGCAAACCTTACTTCTCGGACCCGTCAGATCGCGACATCTCCCCCAGTGACTACACACCCGAGATCGAGGCGAGATTGAACCGTGACGCAGCATCGGAAGGCGGCATCTACGTCCTTCTCATGATGTTCGCTGCCTTTGGATACGTTCTGTCGGACGTGTGTGCCGACGGTGTCGTCGTGGAGCTGGCACAGCGAGAGCCGCTAGCTGAACGAGGGCGGACACAGTCGACTATCTACGCTACACGGACGTTTGCAGCTGCAATCGGTCAGATCTTGACTGGCGTTGCCTTCAATGGTGAAGAGTACGGAGGATCGTTCGACTTCTCGCTTTCGTTTCCGCAACTGATGTTGTTGCTAGCTGCCTGCACCGCGCCAATCCTCCCGGTTACGTGGCTGTACATCGAGGAGTCTCCGAAGCCGCCAGTGAGCTTCTCCAAGTACGTGCGTGACTTCTGGAAGGCGATGAAGACTCGCGCGGTGTACCAGGTCGCCTTCTACTCGTTCTTCAGCGGCATCTTCGCCAGCTTCTCGTACACTGCGGGGTCTCCGATCCAGTTGTACATGGTGGGGGTCACGCCCATCAACAACACCATTAGCGACATCATCGGCAGCGCCGTGTTCATGGGCGGCATCGTGCTCACAGGCAAGTACGGACTGGCGTGGAACTGGCGCACGATGACGGTGCTAACGGGTGTGGCGGTGATTGCTGTCGACGCGGTGTGTACGTTCCTCACCGTGTGGAATGTTGTCCGCAACCAGTGGTTCTGGCTAGGGCTCCCAATTGCAGTGAACGTCCCTGCTGGCATCAACTTCCTCATCGGGACGTTTGCGACCGTGGAGCTGGCGGGTGAAGGCCACGAAGGAGCCATGTACGGTTTGCTTACGACCGTGGCAAACCTTGCGTCCCCCTTCGCAGCCACTCTAACAAAGACCGTCGACAACGCCCTGTGGGATTTGAGCAACGAGCGCGTCAAAGTTGATGACTATGCGGTGCGACGCGATATCACGGAGGCAGTGTTGCTCATGTACGGCATGTCGGCATTATCGTGGCTCTTTCTGTTTCTTCTACCGAGACAGAAACAAGAGACCCAGGAGCTGAAGCGATCAGGTGGATCGAGCGCACTTCTTGGGGCACTGACGGTGGGCTACTTGTGTTTTGCATTGGTTTGGTCTGTTACGATGAACATTCTGGGGATTGTGTCAAGCACGAGCTGCCTCGTGGTCGCTGGTGGTAGCGGATGCTGATACGGTAGTGTGTCGGTTTGAGAGTTGTCGGTGGTGCGTTTGCGTTCTAATATGAATAACTTCACAAAATGAAATGAATTTATGTGTGGTTGTTCTAGTAAATGTACATGGATACATGTAGCAGCGCGCGTCACCGCAAGTGGATTGCGGCGCCTGGGTCGCAGTAAAAAAGAGCGCGTATCTTGTACTTAAGTATGGGAGAATGTTGAAACTACAGGTATAATAGAAGCAGGTTTGACGATCAATCGAAGCGCACTTAGCATTAGAACTTGCTGCGTGGTGAAGCGTACACTGCATAATGTATATGAACGCTGAATACTAAAGTAACAAAGCAACTGCCTCCGCCGCCTTGCTTTCGAACGGCCGGGGTTGCAATACTCAAGAATGTCGAGGGGGGAACAGTAAAAGGCTGGTGGATTTCTTAGCAGCCGCTGCCGCCGGCGATGATGAGGCACGAGGTGCTGTCGAACATGGCCATGAAGTTGGTCATGAGCGACCAGACGAAGGCGAACGTGAGGTAGGCGACCGTGAGCGCACCAAGGATCTTGCTGCTGCCGCCCGAGCGCAGCAGCTCCTGCGTCTCCTCCTTCTGGCGAGGCAGGAAGACGAGGAAGACCCACGAGAAGGCCGTCATGGCGTACATGATGATGACCGCGTACGTGACGTCCTTCCGAATGGAGGTGTCGTCGGCCTGGATGCGCTCCGTGGTGAGGTCGAAGGGCTGGTCGATCACGAGCGTCATGGCCGTGGCGAAGGGCGAGGACAGGTTGGAGACCATGGTGATGAGACCGTAGACGACGCCCTCGTTGCCCACGCCCGAGAGCTCGACGATGACGAACGTGGAGATCATCCAGCCGACACCGTACGGCAGCTGCACGGCGACGGGGAGACCCAGCCAGAACCACTGGCTACGGAAGACGTCCCAGACCGTGATGAGGGTGCAGATGCCGTCCACGATCATGACGAAGACGCCCGTGAACATGATCATCCAGCGCCAGTTCCAGTGCAGGCCCCACTTGGACGTGACCATGATGCCGGCCATGAAGAGCAGGTTGCCGAAGATGTCGCTGAGCGTGCTGTTGATGGGGGTAACACCCACCATGTAGGAGGCCACGGGGGAGCTGGCCGTGTACGAGATGCTGGAGAAGAGGCCCTGGAAGAAGTTGAAGAACACGACCTGGTACATGGCGCGCTTCTGGATGAGCTCCCACAGCTCCTTCATGTAGTTCTTGAAGTTCACGCGCGGCTGCTTCTCCTCCTTGATGAAGAACCAGGTCATGGGGATCACGGGCGCCGTGAGCACCGCCAGGATGATCATGAGCTGAGGGAAGTTCAGAGAGAAGTTGAAGTCGCCGCCGTACTCCTCGCCGTTGAAGCAGAAGCCCGTAAGGAACTGGCCGATGATGACGAACACCGTGCGCACCACGTAGATGGCCGACTGCGTCTTGCCGCGCGTCTCCATCGGCTCGCGCTGGGCGAAGTCGACCACGATGCTGTCGGCGCACACGTCCGACAACACATAACCGACCGCAGCGAGGAACATGAGCAGCACGTACTTGCCCGCCTGGTCGGCGGCGTCGTAGTTGATGCGCGCTTCGATCTCGGGCGTGTAGTCTGCCGGCTTGATGTCGCGGTCGGACGAAACCGTGTAGTACGGGTCTCCTGCGGGCATGCAGGCCATGATCAGCAGCATCACCAGACAAATGATCCATCCGATCACCATCCACGGCCTGCGGCGGTATCCCCACAGTGGCACACAGTCGGACAAAATGCCATAAAAGCACTTGAAGCTCCACGGCAGCACCAGCAGCGTCGACGCCGTGGTCACTTGAGTTCCCGAAGCATTCATGAACTGCTGTAGGAACGGGTAGATCGTGGCCGGAAGCACGCCGTAGTTCAAGCCAATGGCAGCGTACTGCACCAGGAGACCGATGCTGTCCCTGCTCTTGAGATCGGGGGCGCCACCCTCACGCAGCGCGCCGCCTTCGATGGCGTTCGGGTCCGGCGACTTCACGGGCGTGTAGGCGCCATCCTCGAGTTCCTTGGGCTGCGAGGTGCCGCTCACGAACGACAAGCGGCCGGGGAGGTCGCCCTTGCTGGGGCCGCTCGGGCCGTGGTGTGCGGTCGCCATCTCTCTGTTGCGCGGCGAGTTCAAGTGAGCTGCAGAGCAGAAGTTCCGGAATGAAGCGTGTGGCGTGACCTCCCCCGACAACTGCAGACAGCCAGGCAACCAACTGTTTACACTCTCGGTCACGGCAGCAGCTCAGAAGAGACTGCCGGCACTGAGGAAACCGTAGCAACGCGCTGCCCGCCGACACAGGAAAAAGTTTGAAGTACCGCTGGACCCGCCATTTATGTGAACGGCATGGCGGCAGGCGTGCGGATTTGCACGCACAGGCGGGGAGTGCCGTCTCCAGTGATGAATGGAGACCCGCTACTGTACACTCCACGACAAAAAGATATGGACACCGCCAAAAGTGGCTGTAACTTCGTCAATTTTTATCGTTTTAAGGTGCGGTTTGGACTAGAGTTGCAGAACACGCTGATAAAGATCTGCACGTTGCTAACACGCGCGCTTTTGCGCTTCTTCAGGTAGCTCACATACAAATCACTGGTTCTGCCCAGGTGACAAAACTTATGGACAGCTAATCCCCATACAAATATATTAACCAAAAACCCTTACAAATGATACGACTTGGACTTTGTATGGGGCGACCAAGGCGCCGTACAGCGAAGCGAGGCACACAATGACGCGTTGGTACAGGGGGCAACGGGCTCACAACGCGACCTCTTCATGTACATATAAGGTGTGGCAAATGCCCGTCAACAGCGTGGACCTGCACTGCAACGAGGTGACGACCGTTTAACGAACTGTAAATCGCCGATTAAAGTTGATTAGAAAAACTGATCGAGGTTAGGGTAACCCGTTTATGTTAACTGGTACTGTATAGATATGTAAGACTTTCCAATATTTTGGATAAGTATACAGGAACCTCGCTCTTTATCGAGCGAGAACACACATGTATTTACCTAGGTGAGACCTGAACATTTGCCACAAGCACTACATCACCAGTCCGCTTCTACAAACAAGCAGACTCACCACATAATGGTTGAATTGGGTATCAACCTATCGATTTAATATTGACATCATTTAGCCAAGGCTGGCCTTTGTTTCGTGGGCATCCGGGCAAAACGCACATAACCTCGCGGATCGTCAAAGCTCTGCTCTCGCCTGGCCTATTATTTGCAGTGCGTAGATACTCAACACCATTGTGTTCACGCCAGGCAAAGCTTCCTTAGCACGTTTCGAAAAGGTGCGTATATTGAAACGTAACGTTACGTACCGACGAGTTGTATTATTGTGTAAATTGAACCGCAAGAGCCGTGCTGCTCGTGGACGAATGACGAAATATAAAGAGATTCATCGACATCTACGTATCAGACGCCACGGCAAGACTTCCATCACTTAGCAACCTTTGCCGCCAGCGATAATGAGGCACGACGTGGACTCGAACATGGCCATGATGTTGGTCATCAGCGACCAGACGAACGCGAACAAGACGTAGAACCCCGTGATACCACCCAAGATCTTACTGCTACCCCCCGTGCGCAAAAGTTCCTGCGTTTCCTCCTTTTGGCGAGGCAGGAACACAAGGAACGACCACGAGAAGATCGTCATGCCGTACATGATGAGCACCGCGTAAGTAAGGTCCGTTCGGATGGAGTCGTCGTCGGCCTGGATTCGAGCCGTCGTGAGGTTAAACGGTTGGTCAATCACGAGTGTCAGAGCCTGAGCGAACGGAGACGCGAGGTTGTCAACCATGGTAATCAGTCCGTAGATGGCTCCTTCATTACCGACTCCCGACAGCTCGACGATGACAAAGTTGCCGATCATCCAACCGACACCGTAAGGAAGTTGGACAGCCATGGGGAGACCGAGCCAGAACCACTGGCTGCGGAACACATTCTAGATCGTCAGGAACGTAGTAAACCCGTCCACAATAATGACGAAGATACCCGTGAACAGGATCATCTTGCGCCAGCTCCATTGCAGGCCCCACTTGGATGTAGCCATGATGCCAGCCATGAACAATACGTTGCTGAAGATCTCGCTGATAGTGTTGTTGATGGGGGTCACGCCCACCATGTACGACTGAACAGGGGAGCTGGCGGTGTAGGAGATGCTAGAGAAAACGTTCTGGAAGAACTGGTAGAAGATGACTTGGTACACAGCACGCTTCTGGATGAGCTTCCAGAGTTCGGTCATGTAGAGTTTGAACGGCACTCTCGCTTGCTTCTCCTCTTTGATGAAAAACCACGTAATGGGAAGGATCGGCGCCATGATCACCGCCACGATGCACATCAACTCCGGGAAGTTCAACGAGATGCTCAAATGGCTCACGCTGGGCGAAATCCACCACGATACTGTCGGCGCACACGTCCGCCAGGACGTATCCAATGGCCGCGAAGAACATGAGCATGACGTATTTGCCCGCTTGGTTGCCGGCGTCGTAGTTGATACGCGCTTCGATCTCCGGGGTGATGTCAGCGGCAGCAATGTCGCGGTCGGATGGAACCGTGTAGTATGGGTCTCCAGCAGGGGACGCCGCCATCACGATAAGCATGGCAAGGCACATGCCCCAACCGATGAGCATCCAGATCTTCCGACGGTAGCCGCAGATCGGGACACAATCCGACAGGATGCCATAGAAGACCTTGAAGCTCCATGGCAGGATCACCAGCGTTGAAGCTGTGGTCACTTGGGAGCCCGTGGCGTTCAGACACTGCTGCAGGAACGGGTACACGGTAGCAGGCAGCAGACCGTAGTTGATGCCGACAGCTGCGTACTGGAACAGCAGACCGATGCTGTCTCTGCTGGTGAGACTGGGGGCTCCACCCTCACGCAGAGCTCCTCCCTCGAGATTCGCTGGGTCGGGGGTCTTCATCTGCGTGTAGCTAGGAGTGCCGTTGTCTGGGTCCTTGGTTTGTGAGGTTCCGCTCACGAAAGACAGCCGGACCGGAATGTCGAGCTTGCTGGGACCAGCAGGCCCGTGTTGTGACGCCATGCTTGGTATCCAAAGGCTTGAGCAATAGAAGGCAAGATCCGGAATGAACTGGTTGTGGTTTCAACAAATTGGTTTCTTTGAAGACTCTACTGGGATAATCTGACTGGGTAACTCTACTCACGGTTCCAAAAGATGAACTGCCAAAGGCGATGGGGGCCATTTGTTCGCAACTTGCGGTAAGATACCCTCTCTCAGAGAGGGTCTCACCCCATCGCCGACCGGAGGGGATCTGTCGATTTGCCTCGTTGCGATGAGTTCTACACCAGCTGGACAAGGAATCCGTGACGTCCTGAAATCGCCCACTGACATTCGTTGCCTCCTCCGTGATAAACAGCAACGAGAGGAGCGCTGCAAATGTTGAGCCCGGTGACAGGGAGAGCTCCCTCCGAGGTCTGCAGTCGTCCACACCGGATGTGCGCGCTAGACAGTGTGAACGGGAAGGGAGGGTACGCTCGAATGAGGAGATGATCCACGAAGCGCGGCCGCACTGGACAGTACCTCCAGCCACGACCACGCGCACTGCAGCAACATCAACGCTTGTGCAGCCAAGTTGTGCTAACCAACCAATGTCAGCTGTACATGTACGTACAGTGCCACGGGAGCATTCTACTTATCGTACAGTACTAGTACATGTAGACCTGTCGTGAGCTTGAAGCCCATTTTTTTCGGCGACCGCCTGATTAAAATTCTGGGTTTAATCCCTTCCACGTCATGTTAGTCGATGCGATCAGCGTGAATGATTTTTGTTGTGCGCTATAGCTGAAAGGTTCTTTGTGCATGTATCGACGGCGCTGGGCGAGCCCTGGGTTGCGAGACTCTCGCCGCCAATGTGTGCGTAAGAGCCTCACGTTTCGAGCGTCACGCAATCTACTCAAAAGTGCTGGAGAGGAACCGTATTGTACAGTACATGTATCACGCAAGATCCGTTGACAAGAACTCGATCTGATTCCAAACAATGAATATTGAAGCAACAAACCTCGGGCTTCTAACAAAAATACTCACTGAAATTATCTTCCTCTTACTGTAGTTGTCCTAATACTCTGCTTCTTAGCAGCCCTTGCCTCCTGCAATAAGTAGGCACGACGTGGACTCGAACATGGCCATGATGTTGGTCATCAGCGCCCAAACAGTAGCGAACGAGACGTAGGCGACCGTGAGCGCGCCGAAGAGCTTGCTGCTGCCGCCGGTGCGCAGCAGCTCCTGGGTCTCGGCCTTCTGACGAGGCAGGAACACGAGGAAAGCCCACGAGAAGATCGTCATGCCGTACATAATGAGCACCGCGTACGTGAGATCCGTACGGATGGAAGTATCGTCAGCCTGGATACGAGCCGTCGTCAGGTTCAGAGGCTGGTTAATGAGCAGCGTAATGGCCTGCGCGAACGGAGACGCCAAGTTGCCGACCATTGTAACCAGACCGTAGATGGCTCCTTCGTTGCCGACACCAGCCAGCTCGACGATGACGAAGTTACCAATCATCCAGCCCACACCGTATGGGAGCTTCACGGCCAGCGGCAGACCGAGCCAGAACCACTGGCTGCGGAACACATTCCAGATCGTTAGGAGAGTTGTGATGCTGTCGGCAATAATGACGAAAACGCCCGTGAACAGGATCATCTTGCGCCAGCTCCAGTTGAGACCCCACTTGGACGTGACCATGATTCCAGCCATGAAGAGCACATTGGCGAAGATCTCACTGATCGTGTTGTTGATGGGGGTCACGCCCACCATGTACGACTTGACGGGCGAGCTGGCCGTGTACGAGATGCTGGAGAAGACGTTCTGGAAGAACTGGTAGAACACGACCTGGTACACCGCGCGCTTCTGCAGCAGCACCCAGAACTCGCTCATGTAATTACGGAACGAGATCCGGGGCTTCTTCTCTTCCTTCACGAGGTACCACGTAATGGGGAGGATCGGCGCTGTGATGACCGCGACGATGGACATCAGCTCGGGGAGGTTCAGCGAGAAGTTGAAGTCACCGCCGTACTCTTCGCCGTTGAAGCAGAAGCCAACCAGCAACTGGCCGATGATAACGAACACCGTGCGCACCGTGTAGATAGCCGACTGTGTCTTACCACGCTGCTCGATGGGCTCACGCTGGGCGAAGTCCACCACAATACTGTCGGCGCACACGACTGCGAGGACATAGCCAAAGGCCGCGAAGAACATGTACATGACGTATTTGCCGGCCTGGTTGCCAGCATCAGCATTGATACGAGCTTCGATCTCCGGGGTGATATCAGCGATGGCAATGTCGCGGTCGGACGGAACGGTGTAGTACGGCTCTCCAGCAGGCGACATGGCCATCAGCAGCAGCATGGCCAGACAAATGACCCAGCCGACCATCATCCACGACTTCCGGCGGTATCCGTAGATAGGCACGCAGTCGGACAGGACGCCGTAGAAGACCTTGAAACTCCACGGCAGGATAACCAGAGTGTTGGCCGTGGTTACTTGGGAGCCCGTGGCGTTCAGGTACTGCTGCAGGAATGGGTAGATCGTGGCAGGCAGCAGACCGTAGTTGATACCAACGGCGCAGTACTGGAAGAGCAGGCCGAGACCGTCCTGGCTGGTAAGGCTGGGGACCTCACCCTCACGCAGAGCACCACCCTCGAGGTTGACGGGATCATTGATGTCATCGGGAGTCTTCGCCACTGAGTAGTCGTGGCCATTGTTGGCCTTGGCTTGCGAGGCGCCGCTTACGTAGGACAGTCGGATGGGGATGTCGAGGTTGCTGGGCCGTGAGGCGACCATTCTGGTGTTGCTTGTGTAGTGGAGAGCAAATTCCGGAATGAAAGCAGACGGCTGGTGGTGGCAGGGTGGTAACCCGCAATACTGTACCCCAGGAAAAAATATCTTGGGGTCTCCTGTACTTCAGTTCCTGATCTCTTTCCCACCGCCGACTGAAGCACCAAGCGCGTGAGATGTGTACACAGAGCTTTCCGCGCCGAGCCGGTGCTGAGAGTGGTGACGTCCTGGAATCGGAAGCAGGCATTCGCTCCTTTGGCTGTGAAAAGTTGTCGGCGTCAGAGCATTGCGGATCGACCATGCGCCAGGCAGGCTGCCTGAGGCAGCACCAGCCGCAATGTTCCTTGCTCCGGATATGAGCTCTCGCTAAAATTCATGTGGAAGTTTGTAAGGAGAACCAGTTTTCTGCGCGAGGATAGCCGTTTGTGCGGATTAATTATTCGAGATGGGTCGTCAGCCAATCGACGACCTCAATTGCTGAGCGTCACAAGTGACGCTTGCATTGTTCGGATTGATTAAGAAGTTAAACTGCGGAACAGCAATCTACGGTACACTCACGGCAGGGCGATGCTGTTTGCATTATTGGTCGTCACTGTACACAACAAGCGAGTTCTGTGTCAAGCTAAGATTTAGGCGCCAGTGCATGTATAATGCTGGAGTCGTTTGCCATGTTTGAAGGAATGTCTTGGCTCACATCAGTCGATATTATCCCCATCGTGGATGTGAATGAAATTGCTCCGAGTTTGGAATATAAATACCATGGTACAGAACTCCCCAGCTTACCCTCGCCTGCATAAAGTCTGGTACCTCGCACAGATAGTACAAATCACTGTTGTCGCACATCCGTGCATAAATTCACCATATACTGATTTAACTGAAAACGGGAGGGAAAGTGTCGAGTGGGGGAAGCTTACACAATAGCAATGTTGTAATAAATCAGTATGTTTAGCCTCCTTTTCAATTCTCTTAACCTTGCAAGATTTATTGGTCCCACCTTTTTGGCTAAGGCGGGAGTTCTGTACAGTGTACTGTACGGTACACATATAATTCTCCGGATTTTATCCAGAGTTGTTAGGGCGATACGACTGCAGGTGCAAATCATTATAAAAATGCATGCTCCGCTATCGGTTATAAACGAACGGATCATTAACGTATCGGAACGTACCCGTTAAATTTAATAAACGCTTGGAAATATATTATCCAGCGGCGTGTTGCTTGAGTCTTTTAGGGCCGACATTCGCGTGACACGATCGATCGGATGTCGCTCGACCATGACTCCAAACATAACTACAGTTGAGTTTGCAGTACATGTATGTTCAACGATGTTACATCGGTGTCGCCACGTTCAAGTCATGGAACGACACCCACGAACACCCACGACTTCAATTTAAAGTCGTGGGTGTCGTTGAAGTCTTCAAACGATGCTGGTCTCGTTTCAACCATTCTGCACGTGCACACGTACCGTTACCGCCGCATTCAAGCCCTGCATATTATTGCAAGATAGCTAAGGCATAGCGAGTGACCAGTACATGCTCGCGTAAGGGCTTGAGATAGTTGGCAGTATGGTTTCGGAACTTGGTAGCAAACCCGAATAAAGACAAAAGCACCAACTGCTGAAATTTAAGGATACTTCGCTCTAACCAAAGAACCTCGGGTAGAACTGCTAGGCACATTTAAGATACATTAACTTAGAATCAAACCTAGAATCGAAACTACATGATAAAATCCAGAGCTTCTCCGTGCTATAGCACGGCTTAGTAACGACAAAGTGTATTATACGTATGCTTTTCTCGGGGACACTCACATTACGCATAACTGTAAGCTTACAATTTCATTTTCAGGATCTGAAGTTAGCGCAAGTGCACCACCGACAAAGCTGTCAAAGTGCAACTCTCAAACCAATGCAAAACACAAGTAGCCCACAGTCAGTGCCCCAAGACGTGCACTCGATCCACCTGATCGCTTCAGCTCCTGGATCTCTTGTTTCTGTCTCGGTAGAAGAAACAGAAAGAGCCACGATAATGCCGACATGCCGTACATGAGCAACACTGCCTCCGTGATATCGCGTCGCACCGCATAGTCATCAACTTTGACGCGCTCGTTGCTCAAATCCCACAGGGCGTTGTCGACGGTCTTTGTTAGAGTGGCTGCGAATGGGGACGCAAGGTTTGCCACGGTCGTAAGCAAACCGTACATGGCTCCTTCGTGGCCTTCACCCGCCAGCTCCACGGTCGCAAACGTCCCGATGAGGAAGTTGATGCCAGCAGGGACGTTGTTGTGGTTTAGAATAAGTACCAACTTTTGACATACCGATCGGAGTTTCTAATCTCGGATAGAAACAGATGCATGAAGTACAAGAACTTGATTTTCGTATCTGTATAATAAGGATAAGTGAGTTTACTGAGCTCCACCAGTTTGCTAGGGCTGTAGGAAAAGAGAACCCAACCGGATGAAGAACTGGAGTCGGCCCCACTTTCAAATTGGCCCTCCGTCTGACGGTCAACTACAACTACAACTACAACTACACCTACCGGCTCAAGACAACAACATTTCAGATACTCAGATGAGTGTCTTGACCAAGCGAGAGAAGACCGTGCCTGGCGGACTGGAGAAATTCTCCGGAAAGCACCACGAGTATGCTACTTGGAAAGACAAGCTACTCACGCACGTGGCCCAATTGGACTTGGAGGCCGAGAACAAGTTACTCGAAGCCGGCGATCCGGACCCGAAGGTCTGCATGAGGGACTTCTTGGAGTCCACCTTACGGATGCAGACGTGAAAGCAGCTCCGCCCGAAGGACAATTGGCTGTCCGGAAGGAGATCATGGTATGGCGCAAGGCGGACGCAGCCATGAGGCATGTCCTCAACTCGACCCTCCCAAACTCGTTTCTCTCGTCCCTACCGGACGAGGTGCGAAACATGGAGGTGTGTCTTATTTGGCAGCATCTCGAACGGAAGTTTGCGTTTGGTGATGCTGGAGGATTGGTGGCGTGGTCGAATCGGTGGACTCAGATTCTGAACTCGAATTGGAAAGACACCATGGCCCTGTTCTCGCTGTTCAACCAAGCGCAGAACGAGATGAATCGGAAGTCTAAGAAGCTACTCGGCAAGGAGATGATGACGGAGACGATGCTGTGCGTGCAAGTGTTGGCGCAGCTCCCAAGCGAGATTTGGGCATCTTCGATTGAGCTCACGGAGGAAGCGTTCACCGCCGAAAAGGTCGAGGCGGCGCTGAACAAGTTGTTTGGTGGCCGATCCCGGAAGCAGATCACGGGAAATGGCGATGCGACAACGGTGGCGCGCATAAACCATGTCAAGAGTGAGCGTGCTGTGCGTGGATACGACACTAAGAAGCGCAAGTCGGATGCCAACACCAAGGTTCAGGACCAAGGGTGTTTCTACTGTTCGGCCAAGGACACCAGAAGGCGCAATGCGAGCGCATGAAGGCCGACCGCGACCCAAACCGTGAAGGGGGACCGCTTTTCCGCACCAACGTGCAAGCCTAACTTTCCAAGCGGGCGCCCAACGGAACTAAGAAGATTGCCACGGTGCAGCACGTTGCAAAGAAACAAAGGACGAAGCGTGACGCACCCACGGACGTCGAGATGGAAGAAGAGTTCAAGCTACCTGAATCGGAAAATGCCGGATCGGAAGACGAGAATGGAGGCTGTCTGCTGAGTTTCGGTCAAATCGACACCAGGGTACGTAAGAAGTATGTTGCTTACTTAAATTGGCTACGGCGATTAACAGTTTCGGATGATCTGTGGATTGTTGATACAGGAGGTGGACTAGGGATAAGCCCGGACAGGAGCTGGTTCGAATCTGTCCACACAGGTTCGAGTCACCAGTTTGAGTATGGAAACGGTAGCACGTCGAAGACTGCTTTAACGGGTTCAATACAGATGCATATTGCAAGTCCTTTCAGTAAGTCTATCGGTTTAAAGATAAGGAACATTGCTCTCGATAAGGAATGTGGGAGTAATTTAATTAGCGCTTGTCATCTAGCCAGACAAGGTTACAATCACGTTCAATCCCGAGATGGGGAGTTTTGTATTTTTTCAGTGAGAAAGGGCAGCTTTTATTTGCAGCCGTTCAAAAGGGAGCAGTATATTATCTGCCTTCATCTAAGTACAGCAAAGTTAATGCAGTAAGAAAAAGTTATACACAAGCTCAGAAAATAGCTTTGCTGGAGAAGTGGCATCATAGATTAGGCCACGTTCACAAGGCCAGACTTTTGGCAATATTTAGCAATGGATTAGTTGAAGGAATTCCTCAAATTCCTCAAAAGGAACTAAAGGATCATCCTTTCTTTTGCGCTACGTGTGAAATCGCAAATTCCATGCGAATGTCATATCGTAATAAAATAGGCTCAAGAAGTAGGCAACCATTGCATACTTTACATATGGACACCTCAGGAAAGATAAAAGTGAATGGAAGATATGGTGGTTTTGGTTACCGCTACGCATTGTCAATTGTAGATGATGCAACATCCTATAAGTGGGTGTTTGTCATGAAATCGCCAAAAGAAGTGTATGGTCACGTTGTGAATCTCGTACGTCAATTGGAAAAACAATATCCGTATGAGATAAAAAGAATTCGCAGTGACGGTGGCAAAGAATTTGTAAATAAAAGAGTTAAGGCGTTTGCAAAATCTAACGGCAGGCTATTTGAGAAATCTAATGTAGACTCTCAGGAAGAAAATGGAAGTGCAGAACGTTGTCACCAGACGTTAATGAAACAAGTTAGGAGTGCACTATTAGCGGCAGCAATGCCAGCAAGTTGGTGGCCTGAAGCCATTAAGTACGCAGCGAAAGAATCAAATAGACTTCCAACATCTAGACTTGGCCACACATCGCCATATGAGGCCCTAAATAAGAAAAAGCCGGATGGGAACATTTTGCAAATTTGGGGTAGTGTTTGCTATGCTCACATTCCGAGTACCAAAAGAAAAGATAAGCAATTAAGTTCACGAGGACTAGAATGCAAATTTCTTGGAATTGCAGAAGACTATAAGGGTTGTAGGCTGTTAGATGCAGCTAATAATGTTTTACTGATCGCTAGAAGCGTAAGATTCGATACAACCGACCAATTAGCAATTATGAGAAGGTCGTTTCCTAAGCGGGATAAACAATTAACCCCGAACGAAGTAGAGGAAATTGTTGAGTGTACCACCAACAACATAGAGGAAGAAGACGAAGAATTAGAATCAGAAGAAGAGGAAAAGGAAGAAGAAAAGACGTCTAAATCACCCCAGTCAGGAAGTGTGGGAGATGTGGTAGATATTATTTCTCCTTGTGACGTAAATGAGTCAAATGTTAGTCACAATGTACCTTCCACACTTGGTCTAAATAGTCCACCAACTTTGGTCGGACTGAGGGAGGACAAAACGGAAACAGAAAGTGCAAAGCAGCATAAGTTGCCGCGCACACTACGTAAAAGACGGCGGAGCCCAAGGCTCAGTGGGTATGAGGTTAATATAAACCCAATTTTAGGCGTAAAAGTTAGTAGGACACGCATTCCTATTCCTAAGTCACTAAAAGCAGCTATATCAGGGCCTTATAGGGAGAAGTGGCTGGGGGCATTAGAAGTTGAGCATAATGCTCTAATTGCAAATAATACCTGGAAAATGGTTGACTTGCCAAAAGGACGAAAGGCATTAAGCTGTCATTGGGTCCTGGATGTAATATAATGCAGATGGATCAGTTGAAAGATTCAAAGCCCGATTAGTTGTAAGAGGGAATCATCAGACACATGGAATAGATTACGGTGAAATATTTTCACCCGTCGCTCGCTATGAGTCACTGAGATTAGTGCTTGCAATTGCAGCAATTAGACCAGATATTGCGAACGCTGTAAGAGAATTAAGTAAATTTCTCTCTTGTTATAATAAGTCACATCGGAAAGCAGCCCAGCGAGTACTTAAGTATCTGAAAGGAACATCGATGTATGGGTTAGTATATGAGGGTACTACAAAGAAGTAACGTATGAGCTATACACAGATGCGAGCTTCGCAAATGCTAATGAGGACCGTAAATCAGTTACAGGTTACGTGTCAATACTCGCGGATGCGTGTGTATCATGGAAGAGTTGTAGTCAGTTTACATACAGCACAAGCTGAGTTAGTCGCCGTAAGTGAGGGTGTTAAGGAAAGTGAGTGGCTCTGGTTATTGCTTAAAGAGTTAGGATGGCAGCAGAAGCAGCCGATATATTGTTGGTGCGATAACACAGCAGCTATAAGTATTGTTACGAATCCTGGAAACCATTCCTCGACAAAACACATAGAGACTCAATATTTGTACGCCCGAGAAGCTTATGAAAGAAAGCGCATCGATATCACGTACTGCAATACAAAAGATATGGCGGCGGATGCCCTTACAAAGGCACTCCCAGAAGAACAATTTTGCAAGCTACGTGAGCTTATGGGTGTGAGAAACTTAGAAGTTGAAAAAAACAATGAGAGTGCGTAGTAACCTTAAGGGATATTTATGCACAGGCAGTAATCATAACGTGGCACAAAAATACACTGAGTTAACTATCAAGTTTGATTTGCATCAAGTTACCGATCTTAAGATAAGTAGAACAAGTACAACCGTCAGAGTGGAGTTAAGTTTTGCACCCCTAAATGCATTATTAAGTTTCAAGGGGTAAAATTAAATGAGAAGCAACTTCAAGGTCTAAGTTATAAAACTGTCAAAGCATATTGGCGTTTATGTAAGTTTGTTGAAGTTATGCCAAGGACAAAGTCAAATTTTGGTGAAAAGGATAGGCTTTTCCAATTTGCTCCCCACAATGCGCATTGTAAGACACAAAGCTGTAGGTCTGGGTATATGCCCCTAAGACGCATACTTAAAGGTCTTATAACGCACATTTGCCAGGAATGGTGCCAAGGTTAGATAAGTGGCGACGTATCGGTTGCGTGTCTCTTTAGTGGGAGTGTTGTGGTTTAGAATAAGTACCAACTTTTGACATACCGATCGGAGTTTCTAATCTCGGATAGAAATAGATGCATGAAGTACAAGAACTTGATTTTCGTAACTGTATAATAAGGATAAGTGAGTTTACTGAGCTCCACCAGTTTACTAGGGCTGTAGGGAAAGAGAACCCAACCGGATGAAGAACTGGAGTCGGCCCCACTTTCAAATTGGCCCTCCGTCTGACGGTCAACTACAACTACAACTACACCTACCGGCTCAAGACAACAACAGACGTTCACTGCAATTGGGAGCCCTAGCCAGAACCACTGGCTGCGGGCAACATTCCACACGGTGAGGAACGTACACACCGCGTCGACAGCAATCACCGCCACACCCGTTAGCACCGTCATCGTGCGCCAGTTCCACGCCAGTCCGTACTTGCCTGTGAGCACGATGCCGCCCATGAACACGGCGCTGCCGATGATGTCGCTAATGGTGTTGTTGATGGGCGTGACCCCCACCATGTACAACTGGATCGGAGACCCCGCAGTGTACGAGAAGCTGGCGAAGATGCCGCTAAAGAACGAGTAGAAGGCGACCTGGTACACCGCGCGAGTCTTCATCGCCTTCCAGAAGTCACGCACGTACTTGGAGAAGCTCACTGGCGGCTTCGGAGACTCCTCGATGTACAGCCACGTAACCGGGAGGATTGGCGTGGTGCAGGCAGCTAGCAACAACATCAGTTGCGGAAACGAAAGCGAGAAGTCGAACGATCCTCCGTACTCTTCACCATTGAAGGCAACGCCAGTCAAGATCTGACCGATTGCAGCAGCAAACGTCCGTGTAGCGTAGATAGTCGACTGTGTCCGCCCTCGTTCAGCTAGCGGCTCTCGCTGTGCCAGCTCCACGACGACACCGTCGGCACGCACACATCCGACAGAATACCTACGAAGTCAGAGCAACGGAGAGCCGTGGTAGAACGTAAAGAAGTCGTTGGTATGTTGGAATGTAAAAGCGAACGAATAGTGGTAACTAAGAAAAGAATCAATAACTTCTCATATCACTCCACTCACTCACGCTGCCTTGGAATAGCGACAGCGGACGTTCATCAATGGGGGAGACCAGGTCCAAAAGAGGACACAGCACTGCAACCACCGACATCCCGAGTCAATGAATGAAGTCGAATACGATCATCAAAGTTATTGAGGTTGTCTACTTGGAAAGTCAAGTAGAAAAGAAGGTACTATAGAAATGATCCTGTGTAAGTACGGTCTTGAACTTCCATTGAAAAAGTTGCCGTAGTTTATGTGCTACAATCCAACCATACGCTCAAGTCTGACCTTCTGTCATCGATATCATTGGTGGAATCACTTCAACATGGACGACAACAACAAGAAGAACGCAACAAAGCAAAGGTTTCTGTTCATAAAGCGAAGACTACTCCATTGATAACATTGCTCTCTTAGCAGCCAGTGCCCCCCGCAATGACGAGGCACGCCGTGCTCTCAAAGATAGCCATGATGTTGGTCATGACGGACCACACGATCGCGAAGCTCAGGTAGGCGACCGTGACGCCGCCGATGAGCTTGCTGTGACCGCCCTTGCGGAGCAGTCGTTGCGTGTCCTCCTTTTGCTTGGGCAGCAGGGGCAGGAAGACCCACGCAAAGATGGTCATGGCATACATGATGATGATGGTATAGGTGAGATCCATGCGAATCGAGTGGTCGTCCTGTTGGATCCGCTTGTTCGTGATGTTGAACGGGGCATTGATCACGAGCGTCAACGCTGAACCAAAGGGCGCGGCGACGTTGGTCACCGTCGTCAGGAGGCCGTAGACGGCCGCTTCGTTGCCCAGTCCGGCCAGTTCCACAGTCACGAAAGTCGAGATGATCCAGCCGACGCCGTACGGGAGCTGGACGGCAATGGGAGGGCCAAGCCAGAACCACTGGTTGCGGAAGATGTCCCAGATGACGATCATGGTTATTGTACAGTCCACGACGATCACCACAGCTCCAGTGACGACGATCATCCAGCGCCAGTTCCAGTGCAGCCCCCATTTCGAGGTAACCATGATGCCGATCATGAAGAGCAGGTTGCTGAGGATGTTACTGATGGTGTTGTTGATGGGAGTGACGCCCACCATGTACTTCTGGACTGGGGAGCTGCCGGTGTACGTGATGTCGGCGAAGATGTGCGAGAAGAAGTTGTACGCGATGACCTGGTACACCGCGCGACTGCAGAGCAAGTCCCAGAAGCTGCTGATGTACTCTTTGAAGTTGGCGGCCTCTCTCTTCTCCTCCTTGATGTAGTACCACGTCGTCGGGAACACAGGAAGCATCAGCACGGCCACGATGATCATGAGCTGCGGGAAGCTCAGCGAGAAGTTGAAGTCACCGCCGTACTCTTTTCCATTGAAAAAGAAACCAGTAAGGAACTGGCCCACGATCACCATGACCGTTCGCACGGCGTAGATGCACGACTGCGTCTTGCCACGCTTTTCGAGAGGTTCACGCTGGGCCAGCTCCACCGTGATACTGTCAGCGCTCACGTCCGCCATGACGTAGCCAAACGCCGCGAAGAACATGAGCATCACGTACTTGGCGCCTTCCGATGGAGCGTCGTAGTTGATGCGCGCTTCGAGCTCTGGCGTGTAGTCGGCGATGTCGACCTCTCTGTCATCCACATTTGTGAAGTATGGCTTGCCAATGGGCATGATGCACATGACCAGCAGCATGGCGAAGCAAATGCCCCAACCGATCATCATGTACGGTCGACGGCGGTAGCCGCAGATCGGGCGACAGTCGGTCAGGATGCCGTAGAAGACCTTGAAGCTCCACGGCAGCACCACAAGCTGACTCGCAGCAGTCACTTGAGCGCCGGAACAGTTGAGGTACTCCTGCATGAACGGGTAGATCGTCTCCGGCAGCAGTCCGTACACGAGTCCAACAGCGGCGTACTCGAACAGCAGTCCGAGGTTCTCCTTGCTCGTCAACACGGGCATGCCGCCTTCACGTATGGCGCCGTCTTCTCCTCCGGGAGGGAGCGCACCGATGGGTACACGCTCGGGGGTCTTGGCGCCGACATAGCTGCCGTCCTCGATGTCCTTTGGTTGCGAGGTGCCACTCACGAACGACAGGCGCTTGGGGATGTCGAGGTCTTGGTTATTGATGCCGTGACCTCCGGCGAACGTGGTTGGCATGACGAACGAGGGGCCTTGAGCCTACGGTAGTCGAGCTCGTTGAGGGGGGGGGGGGCTGCGGGGTTGAGAGGAAGTTGGCAAGTGAGTAGGGAATGCCGGCGCTACCAAACGAGGCCAGACCATCAGATGGAGAGGGTACCCCCATGCAAAGCCACAAGCTACGTTTGATGCCCAAGCCGTGGGGCAAGAGGAGGATGAGACGGCTTTCGTCTCCATTCCAAACGGCCCCTTGTTCAGCCAAACGGTCAAAGAGTGGTCATGTGTAGGTCACATGACACCCAGAAAGCATCACTGAAGGAAACTGTCGACGAAAGCTTTCTCAAACAGCAAAAAAACGATCATTGTAAGTACATGTACCTCAACACAAGACTTCCTTCAATACGCGTCCAGCAAGCTCAACCTGGATACGGGGCATAGATTCGAATATCGACATGCGCTCTCAAGTTAGTTAACGCTGAGGTTAGAACGGTTCGCCTGCGGTACGATGCGAGGGGGGGGCTTTTCTGGGGTGTGTAGACGCATGCAAGACCTGCAGCAGGTCACGCATCTCGTGTCATCCCAACTGAGTTGAAGGTATCATATTGCTTGCAAATCAAACCCCGACGTGAGCCTCGCAGTCATCGCGGTACGTATTCGACGTGGAGAGATCATTGCAGCTGATTGAAGCGTTTTATCGTACGGGGCCGCGCTTGGTTATCACTGCTCTGACGTGGTTCGTACAGCACTGTACGACGTAGCTTACTGCCAGGCGTGGCAGAACTGGCAGGTGTATGTACACCTCTCGTTGCCGCCACTCACAGCCAAACTAAGCGGTGCGGCCAGCGAACGATTCACACTTGGCGGAGATGACTTCGCCCAACTGCCTCGCTAGATACTGTACCACTCATTGCGTCATATATTGGAGCTATGGGCGCATATGAACGAGGCCGCAAAGGCTCGGACAAATGATGGAGTACATGTATGTACCATAAGCAGGGACGCATTAGGCCAAGTCTTCCTTGACATTGCCATGTTCTTGGTCGCGAGTTTCTTCCTCTTTCAAGCTAAATCTGCCTTCTTCTTCAGAAGGAGGAAGCGCCAGCCATTGCTACCGAGATGGAGGGATTTCTGCTGCCCCACGGATAATCTCAATCTGTATCGGTAGTGTTATTTTAATAATTTATTATTATTGAAATACATGTGTATCCACATTGGGTCGTCATGTTTTACGTTACCACCACAGTCTGAAACATGAAATGCTTGAACTGCATGTACACACCGAGTCTACGTGAGCGACATATCTTTCTTCCACTCAACTACCGGCAGGCTCCTCACTTAGCAACCAGTACCACCGGCAATCATCAGGCACGACGTGCTGTCGAACATGGCCATGATGTTGGTCATAATAGACCAAATGATGGCAAAGACCAAGTAGAACGCCGTGATGCCGCCGATGAGCTTGCTGTGTCCACCCTTGCGCACCAGTTCCTGCGTCTCCGTCTTCTGCGGAGGCAGCAGGAACAGGAAGACCCACGAGAAGATCGTCATGGCGTACATGATGATGATTGTGTACGTGATGTCGGCACGGACCGAGTGGTCGTCCGTCTGCACACGCTCATTGGTGATGTTAAAGGGGCCGTCGATAGCGAGGGTCAGCGACGACGCAAAAGGCATGGCCACGTTAGTGACCGTCGTGACTAGACCGTAGACCGCAGCCTCGTTGCCGACCTGCGCCAGCTCGACCACGCAGAACGTGGAGATGATCCACCCGACGCCGTACGGGAGCTGCACTGCAATAGGAGGGCCCAGCCAGAACCACTGGTTACGGAAGACGTCCCAGATAACCAAGAGCGAGACGGTGCAGTCCACGACGATCACCGCTGTGCCGGTTGCAATCGTCATCCAGCGCCAGTTCCAGTGCAGCCCCCACTTGGACGTGACCATGATACCGGCCATGAAGAGCAGGTTACCGAGGATGTCGCTCACCGTGCTGTTGATCGGGGTGACGCCAACCATCTTTGACGATACCGGAGAGCCGGCAGTGTAACTAATACCGCCGAATATACCCGCGAAAAAGAGGTAGGCAACAATTTGGTACATGGCACGCGAGCACAACAGGTCCCAAAAGTTGGACATGTACTCCCGGAAGTTGGCAGCACTCGACTTCTCCTCGTTGATGAAGAACCACGTCATGGGGAACACCGGAACAGTAAGCACTGCAACAATGATCATCAACTGAGGGAAGCTCAAAGAGAAGTCGAAGTCGCCGCCGTACTCCTCGCCGTTGAAGAAGAAACCGGTGAGCAGCTGGCCGAAGATGACCATGGCCGTTCGGACCGTGTAGATGCACGACTGCGTCTTGCCCCGCTTGTCAATCGGCTCGCGTTGGGCCAGCTCGCACGTGATACTGTCGGCGGAGACGTCGGACATAACGTAACCAACAGCAGCGAGCATCATGATGATGACGTACTTGGCTCCTTGGTCGGGGGCGTTGCGGTTGATGCGGGCCTCGATCTCCGGTGTGTAGTCAGCGATGTCGATGTCGCGGTCCGCAGCCACAGTGAAGTACGGGTGACCGATAGGTAAAGTAGCCAAAATCACGAGCATGATGAAGCAAATGCTCCAACCGAGGAGCATGTACGGGCGGCGGCGGTAGCCGAAAATGGGTCGGCAGTCGGACAAAATGCCGTAAAAGACCTTGAAACTCCAGGGCAGCACCACGAGCTGACTTGCAGCAGTCACTTGGGCACCGGAACAGTTGAGGTAGTTCTGCATGAACGGGTAAATGGTCGCGGGTAGAAGACCGTACACGAGTCCGATGGTCGAGTACTGGAACAGGAGACCGATGTTTTCCTTGCTCGTGAGCACCGGCATGCCACCTTCACGCAGCGCGCCGCCTTCAATGTCGCCGGGTGTCTTGGAAGGGGCATAGCCGTCATCGACGTTTTTGCCCTGCGAGGCGCCACTCACCAGGGACAACCGCTTGGGGAAATCGACGTCGTTGAGACTTGGACCAACTGTCATTGTGCCCACAGCGAGAGACTTGAGTGGACCGAGGGAATTGAGGACTGGCAGACACGAGGCGCCCCGCTCGGACGATAAAGCGGGACTCGCGAACGCATGACGGTTGGAACCGGCTCAACTCAAGTTTACCCTCGACAGAGTCAACATTTAGGATTACAGTGCGAGCTTTGCCAGGATGCTGCTGCATTTTGGTGGGTCCTCCGATGCTGCTGGTGTTGACTCATGCAGCGACAGCCAAGCTTTTCGCCAAATAGGCTCTGCTTCTTGCGGGTGGACGGATAGAGACCAGCATTTGCCACGTCGTAGCTTTACGAACACACCAAAAAGCGGTTCCGGCTGACCGACTCGCTACAGTACCAGTACTGTACACGGGAAGCACACGTACAGTATTGATGGCGAGGCCATCTGTACTGGCCTGTGACATACCGGTATTCGATGAATCGATGAGCAAGCGGATGCGTGGCGAATTGCGTTAGCACCACGCAAGTGCAAGGATCATCACATGAGCAAGAATGGTAAACGCTCAGTTGACTGAACTTCTCGCTTACGATTTGGTTATGCTAGAATAATGCGCGCTACAAGAGCAATGTTAGAGAGCTGTCTTTGATAGGCTTCAGCAACCCAAGATTCGTAATAGATAGATTATATTATCAAATGATAAGGATTCCTACCGAGGAGCCGTCTGCACTACAAAGGCTTGAGAGTTTCTCAGTACAGTGTTTTTGTTTACTTCGGCCAGGACAGGTCCAACATGTAAAATTATGCTGTGATTCATGCTATCCTAGTCCTCCATCATACTTTTAGAGCGGTAAGAAAAAATAACGGCGAAAATACAGACTCGGTTCCGCAATAGGATTTTGGGTACGATCCCAGTAATGTGAAGACCCAATATTATCGATCCGCAAATATTGCAAATAATTCAATATCAATACTTCAAATCATATATCACCACAATTGTATGTTAGAATAAAATACTTCGAAGGGCAATTATTGGTACTTCCACTGAAAAATACATGTGAATGAGATGACAACAATGCGAAATAAGGTTGAAAAAACTAAAATCCTTGGGAATTTTAGAACGAACAACGTGATCCGAATAGTAACAACGGATGGGAACGCGCTTTAGCAGCCAGTGCCGCCGGCAATGATCAGACACGACGTGCTGTCGACATGGCCATGATGCTGGTCATAATAGACCAAATGATGGCGAATACCAGATAAAACACCGTAGCACCGCCGATGATCTTGCTGTGACCACCCTTGCGCACCAGCTCCTGCGTCTCCGCCTTCTGCGGAGGCAGCAGGAACAGGAAGACCCACGAGAAGATCGTCATGGAGTACATGGTGTACGTGATGTCGCTACGGACGGAGTGAGTGTCTGCTTGCACGCGCTCGTTGGAAACATCGAAGGGGCCATCAATTGCGAGTGTGATTGACGTGGCAAAAGGCTGCGCAACGTTCGAGACAGTGGTGACTAGACTGTAGACCGCAGCCTCGTTGCCGACCTGCGCCAGCTCGACCAGGGCACTGTGGTTGATGCGGGCCTCGATCTCCGGCGTGTAGTCGGCAACTTTGATATCGCGGTCCGATGATACGGTGAAGTATGGTTTGCCGATGGGCATGATGGCCATGATCAGCAGCATGATGAAGCAGATACCCCAGCCGATGAGCATGTACGGACGCCGACGATAGCCGAAATGGGTCGACAGTCGGACAGGATGCCGTAAAAGACCTTGAAACTCCACGGAAGCACCACCAACTGCTTGGCAGCAGTGACTTGAGACCCGGAGCAGTTGAGGTAGTTCTGCATGAACGGGTAGATCGTTTCAGGTAACAGGCCATACACGAGGCCGACGGTGGCGTACTGGAAGAGGAGGCCGAGGTTGTCTCTGCATTCCTCCTTCGCGAATGGCTCCGCCTTCGATCTCGGGGGTCTTGACAGCCATGTAGCCGTCCTCGATGCCCTTCGTCTGCGAGCCGGCGCTCACGAACGACAAGCGCTTGGGGACATCGACGTCGGCAGTGGCCACAGGCATGGCGACTGGCGATGGATTGGCTGCAGTTGTTGTTGGTTGCGACTTGAGCGGGGCGCCGAGAATTGGAGACTGAGGTCTTGCGAAGCTGAGCGCGGCGCAACAAATCTGACTCAAGGCTCCACTGGCGCAAGGCGCATTGTAGACGGAACTGAGCATGATGACGGCAAGTCCTCAAAAAAGCTCCAGGACGGCGTCGATTACAGCATCCCCAGGGTACAGCCGGCCATCACCTCGGAGGCACCATCAAGACAGCACACCGCACAAAAACCGGATCAATTTGCCGTTCGATCTCCTTGGGCCTTCAGCTTTTGGTCTCAGCTTGAGACGAGCGCTTCTACAGGATACAGCTGAGTGCTTGCACATCTACCATAGATCTGTACCCGCCAAAGCAAAACAGCGATTCCGTCGGAACGTCCATGAGGAAAATCTTTGCTCTCTGTTCCCAAGGCTGGTGGCTACTTCAGTATTTATTCCCTACGAACTGCCTTTTGTGCCAATGGCGACTAGCGATGTAATGCTAAGTTCGTCCGTACCGCGCGCGCGAGAGAGAAAAGGAAGTCTCTTTAGCCTTGGTCATTCAAACCGGCACCGCGAGCGATCACAACGCAAGGCATGATGGACTGCACCAATTGTACCAAAGAAGAAAGCCGACGAATAATTGCGTAATGATATCGCCCAGGAATGTTGCTGCGACATCGAGTTCATGCGTGTCCGTGGAGAGTCTTCAATGAAGACCCACAAAACCATCGTCATGTCACAGAGTGGTCGTCCAAGCTTGAGCGGACCGTCGATCAGCAACGTCGAGGTGGTCGCGAACGCGAGATGTACTGATCGAGCCGTATGCACGTAGTGCTACTCGCGCGGCTGCTTGACAAAGTTCAAACGTTCTCGCATATTCACTAGGTTATTGAAAGCATCGGCATCGCCAAAATCTGCCTGATGACCCGTGTACATGTACGCGGTAAACACAGTAGCTTGCAGTTGATCTCGGCAGGATGCGAGCTTCACTTTGTTCACAACGAAAATAATCACTTCAACTTGAAGTGAAGTCAACATGGCAAGTGTATCTACTTTGCTCGACCAGCAATCCCCGCAACGAGATCAGCGAGCAAATGGAGTGCCCGTGCGAATCTTTCATGCGCGCATCATGACGAGCCACGGGTCAGCATCAACGAAAGCACACGGCAATGTGGAGGACACGGAGGATTCAGCTAACAGAGCGCAATCGGCCGACTAACGTTCAACGCACAAGAACTTCCAGAGGATTATCAACACGTTTTTTCATCACCGAGACGATAAAACATTTGTGTCCGGCCACGACGCGGTCGACTGCAGCGCAGTGCAGTCGAGCCACGCCCCACCGGTTCGGCTATTTCGTTTAGCAGCCGGTTCCGCCAGCGATGATCAGGCACGAGGTGCTGTCGAAGATGGCCATGATGTTGGTCATGATGGACCAGATGATGGCGAAGATGAGGTAGGCAACCGTGACGCCGCCGATGAGCTTGCTGTGGCCGCCCTTGCGGAGCAGCTCCTGCGTCTCCTCCTTCTGCCGGGGCAGCCAGTACAGGAAGACCCACGAGAAGGCCATGGCCACGTACATGATGATGATCGTGTACGTGATGTCCATGCGGACCGAGTGGTCATCCAGCTTGATGCGCTCGTTGGTGATGTCGAACTGGCCGTCGATGGCGAGCGTCAGCGACGTGGCGAACGGCTGCGCCACGTTCGAGACGGTCGTGATGAGACCGTAGACGGCGGCCTCGTTGCCCATGCCAGCCAGCTCCACGACCACGTAGGTCGAGATGATCCAGCCCACGCCGTACGGGAGCTGGACGGCGATCGGAGGGCCCAGCCAGAACCACTGGTTGCGGAACACGTCCCAGATAACCAAGAGCGAGACTGTGCAGTCCACGACGATCACCACAATTCCCGTGGCAACGGTCATCCAGCGCCAATTCCAGTGCAGACCCCACTTGGACGTGATCATGATACCGGCCATGAAGAGCAGGTTGCTGAGGATGTCACTGACGGTGCTGTTGATGGGGGTGACGCCCACCATGACGGAAGCAACCGGGGAGCTGGCCGTGTACGTGAAGGTGGCGAAGATGCCGGCGAAGAAGTTGTAGGCAATCACTTGGTACATGGCGCGCGAGCAGATCAGGTCCCAGAAGTCGCTGATGTACTGGCGGAAGTTGGCCGGCTCCGACTTGTCCTCCTTGATGTAGTACCAGGTCACCGGCAGCACCGGCAGCGATAGCACCGTCACGATGATCATGAGCTGCGGGAAGCTCAGCGAGAAGTCGAAGTCGCCGCCGTAGTCCTCACCGTTGAAGAAGAAACCGGTCAGCAGCTGTCCGAAGATGACGAGAACCGTACGCACGACGTAGATGGCCGACTGCGTCTTGCCGCGCTTGGCAATAGGCTCCTGCTGGGCCAGCTCGCACGTGATACTGTCGGCGCAGACGTCCGAGAGCACGTAGCCGCAAGCCGAGAAGAACATGATGATGACGTACTTGGCACCCTGCGACGGCGCGTCGTAGTTGATGCGGTTCTTGATCTCGTCCGTGTAGTCGGCCACCGCGATGTCACGGTCCGAGGCGACGGTGTAGTAGGGCTTGCCAATGGGCATGATGGCCATGATCAGCAGCGTCACGATGCTCATGATCCAGCCGATGAGCATGTACGGGCGGCGACGGTAGCCGAAAATCGGCCGGCAGTCCGACATCATGCCGTAGAAGACCTTGAAACTCCAGGGCAGCACCACGAGCTGCTTGGCGGCAGCGATCTGCGAGCCCGAGCAGTTGAGGTACTGCTGCATGAACGGGTAGATCGTGGCCGGCAGCACGCCGTACACAAGGCCGACAACGGCGTACTGGAAGACCAGACCGATGTTCTCCTTGCTCGTGAGCACCGGCATGCCGCCGGGGCGCAGCGCACCGCCCTCGTACTCGCCGACCTTCTCGCCGGCCTTCTCGCCGGTCGTGTCGGGGGTCTTGATGCCGGTGTAGCCGCCCTCCTCGATGTCCTTGGCCTTGGACGTGGCACTGCTGATCGACAAGCGAGCGACGAGCTCCATGTCGTTGGTGCCGTTGAGCGGCATGCTTGCTCTCGTTGCAACTAGGGACGCGGGGAACTAACCGTCCGGGGGTCTTGCGCGGAAGCAGGCGAATTGCAGAGTGGCTGACTGACCGCGTGCGGTGCAGCGAGGGAGGGATTAAACCCGTTAAAGCCACGGGCTGCAGCCTGCTCCTGCAGACTGCAGGAGCACGCTGCAGTGCAGGAGCACGCAATGGACGTCGTTGGGTCACGCGGTCCGCAAAGCGGATGAAGAACCAGCCGACGCTAGGAACCATGATGGGCACTCGCCAGCGCCGTCTCCTGTTGCCGAATTTCTGTGTCGGGGCGCCACTGCAACGCGATGACAGGTACAGACAACGACTTACAAAGCCGGCTGCTTGCTTAATGCCATCCTCCTATATAAAAACAACGATAACCGTCAAATCTGTAAAACTGTCATAAAACACACGGCGTGATGCATAAAGTACACAAGAAAGCATATAAAGTACACAAAACCAGATGGTATACAAAGATGAAGTCATTTGATTGAATCTGATTGGCTGGTTTGCTCATGTTAAGCTTTGCTTGACTTCGTCTGCCGGCTTTTTGTGTCTGCCGGCTTTGTAAGTCGTTGTCTGTAACCAGAGCCGAGCCGGCGGTACAGCGGACGGGTGCCGGCGGCCGCGCTCATTGCGGAGACCGTGCAGTAATGGTTTTACGCAAATGTTATTACTACTATTTTATAGATCAAGAGTTAGACTATTTTTAACGGTGATAATGATGTGGCCCCACAGAAAACACTTGTTTCCAACCTGGCCCACTTTCATGCCGTTCACAACGCGATCTGCCTCCACTAGAGCAAGTCAAGTCCCACCCGGCCAACCTCCACCGCAACCATGAAGTTTAGCACGTTCCTCGTTGCCGCACTTGCCGTCGTCGGTATTGTCGCCGCCGCCGACCAACCTGCTGCCGGTACGCTGCCGGCCGTCACTATGTACTTATCAGAATTAGCATTTGGTCTAAGGGTATAAACTGAAATTAATACTACTGCTACATGGTAGTAGTATTTAGATTTAAAAAAAACTGGTTAGAAAAATGATCAAGTTCATCTACTTTACTAAATACTATACTAATACCCATACAGAACTCCCCTGCTTACCCTCGCCTGCACAAAGTTTGGTACCTCGCACAGATAGTACAAATCACTGTTGTCAGCATCCATGCACATCCGTGCATAAATTCACCATATACTGATTTAACTGAAAACGGGAGGGAAAGTGTCGAGTGCGGGAAGCTTACACAATAGCTATGCGCCGCAATGTTGTAATAAATCAGTTTGTTTAGCCTCCTTTGCAATTCTCTTAACCTTGCAAGATTTATTGGTCCCAACTTTTTGGCTAAGGCGGTGAGTTCTGTATTTATTTAGTACAGTATCCAGTAAATTACTATTGCCCAAAACGACCGGAGACCTTGGGTCCTGTCTCTGCGGGGTGAAGCGCGTGTGCAATGCGGGGCAGGTTCGTCCAGTCTCCAGCCGTTCCCTCCAAAAATGCCCGCGATTTGCGCAACCTTGTGAGAAGCAACACCATTAGCGTACATACCTACACCAACGTGTTGACCACGCGGCTTGATGAAGATAGATACACTGTACTCTATGGATCGACAACAACAAACCAACCAAGAAACAACGGAGTGTATTGATGTGTACATACATACATACAGCTTTCGATATGACGGAGTTCCGCTCACCCTGCGGGCGTAACTGCATCGTTGCGATGTGCTGTGGGCTTGAGCCTGCCGAGTTAGCAGCCAGTGCCGCCAGCAATGATCAAGCACGACGTACTGTCGAAAATGGCGAGGACGTTGGTAACAACGGACCAAAGGATCGCAAAGACCAGGTAGCCGACCGTGATGCCGCCGATGAGCTTGCTCGAGCCGCCCTTGCGAAGCAGCCGCTGCGCGTCCTCCTTCTGCTTGGGCAGCAGGAACAGGAAGACCCAGGCGAACACCATGGCGGCGTACATGATGATGATCGTGTACGTGATGTCCATGCGGACGCTGTGGTCGTCCTCCTGCACGCGCGCGTTGGTGATGTTGAACGGGCCGTCGACCAGCAACGACAGCGACGTCGCGAACGGCGCAGCGACGTTGGTGACTGTGGTGATCAGGCCGTAGACGGCCGCTTCATTGCCCAATTGTGCGAGCTCGACCGTGACAAAGGTGGAAATGATCCAGCCCACGCCGTACGGGAGCTGCACGACGATAGGGGGGCCCAGCCAGAACCACTGGTTGCGGAAGACGTCCCAAACGACGATCATAGCCACCGCACAGTCCATCACAATGACAGTCGCGGCAGTGCACATGATCATCCAGCGCCAGTTCCAGTGCAGGCCCCACTTGGACGTGATCATGATGCCGAGCATGAAGAGCAGGTTGCTCAGAATGTCGCTCACAGTGCTGTTGATCGGGGTCACGTCCACCATGTAAGACGCGACGGGAGTGCTGGCCGTGTAGGTAAAGTCGGCGAAGATGTTGGCGAAGAAGTTGTACGCGATAACTTGATACACGGCGCGATGGCACAGCAGATCCCAGAAGCTGCTAATGTACTCCTTGAAGTTGGCCGCCTCTACCTTGTCTTCCTTGATGAAGAACCAGGTCATGGGAAGCACGGGCAGGGACAGCACCGTCACGATGATCATCAACTGAGGAAAGCTCAGCGAAAAGTCGAAGGTGCCGCCGTACTCCTCGCCGTTGAAGAAGAATCCGGTCAGCAGCTCGCCGAAGATCACCATGGCCGTTCGGACCGTGTAGATGCACGACTGCGTCTTGCCACGCTTGGCGATCGGCTCGCGTTGGGCCAACTCGACGGTGATACTGTCAGCGCACACGTCCGACATGACGTAGCCGAACGCGGCGAAGAACATGATGATGACATACTTGGCGCCTTCCGACGGAGCGTCGTAGTTGATGCGCGCTTCGATCTCGGGCGTGTACTCCGACACCTTGAGATCGCGATCCGAAGATACCGTGAAGTAGGGCTTGCCAACTGGCATGATAGCCATGACCAGCAGCATTATGATACAGATCGTCCAGCCGATGAGCATGTACGGCCGACGACGGTAGCCGAAGATCGGCCGGCAGTCGGACAGGATGCCGTAGAACACCTTGAAACTCCAGGGCAGCACGACCAACTGCTTGGCCGCAGCGACCTGCGAGCCGGAGCAGTTGAGGTACTCCTGCATGAACGGGTAGATGGTCTCGGGGAGCAGACCGTAAACGAGGCCAACCGTGGCGTACTCGAACAACAGGCCGAGGTTCTCCTTGCTGGTGAGCACCGGCATGCCTCCAGGACGCAGCGCGCCACCTTCATACTCGCCGACCTTCTCGCCGGAGGTGTCGGGGGTCTTGACGCCCGTGTAGCTGCCTTCTTCGAGGTCCTTGGACTGCGACGTAGCGCTCACGTACGACAAGCGCTTGGGGATGTCCAGGTCGCCCACTGCGGGGCCCGTGCCGCCCGTGGTGGAGACGCCCGGCATGGTCGATCGATCAGCAGCGAGTCCTTGAGCTGTCTTGGAGCCGAGCTGGCAAATCGGGGAATGACAGGAGCGGCCGTGTGAGTGGCAAAACTCGTCTACAGGGGGGAGGCACTGCACTGACACGCACGATATCCCTTAGGACTCCTCAAAAGAGGGTCAGTCAAGCAAGCGGTGACTTCAGGTACAGGGAGATGAGCTTTTTCGTCTGTAGGTCTGTGCTGCTGGCCGCTCTCACCGGCTGAAGTTGGCCGGACTCACGCTGAGTTGCGGCTCATAAAGCGGGCAAGTCGCGCGTTCTTTTTCTTGTACCTCCGGTCGAGTGACCGCCATGTTGGGTCAACCAACACCCAGCCTGGGTAATCGAGCCGATGAGAGCAGCGCCGCGCCCTATGGATATGCAGCGAGGAATTTCTTGCAGCCTCGAGCTGTCGATGGCGTCCGATAGGTGGAGCTGTGGCCCTGGGCCGGCTTGGGGATGAGAATGCTGCTGTACATGTATTACTTGTACCGGTAGACGAATGCACGAGCGGATCTGTCGCCGAGGGAGATGCTTCCCGGGCGCTAATCTACGCAGAGCCGGACTCATCCGTCGCTGATGCAAATGCCTTGATGCACATGCAGGAAGGCGAAGCTCCATCTGATCCCACGCATTGCACATCAACCGCCAGAGCATCCCTGGCGGTCTCCACAACAGCGTTGATTGCACGGACCGACGTGAAAGCTGCAGACGAATCCATCCAAACCTCTCGAACGCTGCATGTGCGGCGTTAGCTGCGCTTTGAGGTATCAATGGCATTGATTCAATGCTTGGCAATGCACAAGCCACGGCGATCGCAAGTTGCAGTGGCTGTCACCAAGATTGACTTGCTTGTGCATGCGCCCCGTGTCTCCAACACGGGGGGTGCCGCCCTCATGGCAAAGTCGGCAAATGACGATCACAGTCAGCAAGCTGAGCTGAGCTGAGCACTGGGCAATCCACTTTCATGTTAAAAAGACAGAGTATGGTATGCACGATCGCAGCTAGGATAGGATCCGATTGCTACAGTGTAATACATGTACCTTCGTAGCCACGCTTAACATCCGTTGCCGCCGGCGATCACGAGGCACGAGGTGCTGTCGAAGATGGCCAGGATGTTGGTCGTGACGGACCAGATGAGCGCGAACATGAGGTAGAACAGCGTGATGCCGCCGATGATCTTGCTGGACCCGCCCTTGCGGACGAGCTCCTGCGTCGCCTCCTTCTGCTTGGGCAGCAGCACCAGGAAGACCCACGAGAAGATCGTCATGGCGTACATGATGATGACCGAGTACGTGATGTCGGTTCGGATGGACTTGTCGTCAATCTGGATGCGCTCCGTGGTGAGGTTGAACGGCCGGTCAATCAGCAGCGTCAGGGTCGTGGCGAACGGAGAAGCCACGTTGTGCGTGGCGGTGATGAGGCCGTAGACGGCGCCCTCGTTGCCGATACCCGAGAGCTCGACTATGACGAAGTTGGAGATCATCCAGCCCACACCGTAGGGGACCTGCACGGCGATCGGCAGACCCAGCCAGAACCACTGGCTGCGGAAGACGTCCCAGATCGTGATGAAGGTGCAGACGCCGTCGATGAGCATGACGAAGCAGCCCGTGAAGACGATCATGCCACGCCAGCTCCAGTGCAGCCCCCACTTGGACGTGATCATGATGCCGAACATGAAGAGCAGGTTGCCCAGGATGTCGCTGATGGTGCTGTTGATGGGGGTCACGCCCACCATGTACGACTGCACGGGCGAGCTGGCCGTGTACGAGATGCCCGAGAAGATGTTGGAGAAGAAGTTGTACGCGATGACCTGGTACATGGCGCGCGTGCAGATCAAGTCCCACAACGTCTTCAAGTACTCCTTCAAGTCGGCCTTGGGCTTCTTCTCCTCCTTGATGAGGAACCACGTCGCCGGGATCACGAGCACCGTGCAGACGGCCAAGATGATCATAAGCTGCGGGAACGTGAGCGAGAAGTCGAAGGTGCCGCCGTACTCCTCGCCGTTGAAGGCGAAGCCGGTGATGATCTCGCCGATGATGACGAACAGCGTGCGCACCGTGTAGATAGCCGACTGCGTCTTGCCGCGCTTGTCCAGGGGTTCGCGCTGGGCCAGGTCCACCACGATACTGTCGGCGCACACGTCGGCCATAACGTAGCCGAAAGCAGCTAAGAACATGAGGATGACGTACTTGGCGCCTTGGGACGACGCGTCGTAGTTGATGCGGGCCTCGATCTCGGGCGTGTAGTCTGCGGGGGAGATGTCCTTATCGGACGGTACGGTGAAGTACGGCTTGCCGGCGGGCATGCAGGCCATGACCACGAGCATGATCAAGCAGACGCCCCAGCCGATAAGCATGTACGGGCGACGACGGTAGCCGAAGATCGGGAAGCAGTCCGAGATGATACCGTAGAAGCACTTGAAGCTCCACGGGAACACGACCAGCGTCGACGCAGTCGTCACCTGCGCGCCACTGCAGTTGAGGTAGTTCTGCAGGAACGGGTAGATGGTGGCCGGCAGCATGCCGTACACCATGCCGACGGCAGCGTACTGGCAGAGCAGGCCGATGTTGTCTCGGCTCGTCAGCACGGGCATGCCGCCTTCACGCAGGGCGCCGCCCTCAATGTCGGTCACATCGGGCGTCTTGACACCGGTGTAGGCGTCTGCGGGGTCCTTGGGGCTCTGCGCGGCGCCGCTCACATACGACAGTCGCACGGAGATGTCGAGCTTGCTGGGCGTCGCGCCCGCAGCGTGGTGTGCAGTCGCCATCGTTGAAGACCGGAGTCGAGCGGTGGACTTAAGTGACGCGAGGCAAAAGCAGGAATGACCACGGCACCACCGCTCGAGCTCGAGCGGAGCGGAGCGGACAGAAGCGCTTGCTCAACAAGCGGTACATGCACAGCAGTTCGCCCTGCAACTCAGGGCGGGCAGGAGCTAATCTACAGACTAATTCAGTCTCCAAGCGAGCGATCCCCCCGCGCAGGGACGAGTCCGACGTGGCAAGACAACCGCTGCAAGTTGCAGCCTGCAACTGCTGCAAGAGCCCCGCGAGAGTGGGGATGAGCTGGAGGTCTCAGTCTTCGCCGACGATCGTGGGGGCCAGCCAAGGGTAAGCGAATGCAATGACGGTCATGCGCGCAATGCTGAACGAAGGCGTTTGCCAGAACGAGGCGTTGGTGCAGCGTACAGATTCGGTTGTGCTTGCCAGGGCGTGATCCACGCTGATTAATGTTTTTGCTAAGTATTGCACGGGTACATGTATCTGGATTAATTATCTCGACGGTCTTGCCGGCCCAAGATGCCCTGCGTGTTGTCTACATGCACTGCATGCCATGCAGGCTGCAGCTTTCGAGGCGCATCACCGACAAGTGCAACGTTGTGCAATCACTGTGGACGAACCGCCCCCCAGCTGGCGACATGCTCGGGCTCAGCTCCCGCGGCGCATCCTTCGTTGCGCTTGTTGAGCCTGCCCCAATTTTACCGTCCTTTTCAGCAGGACTCTGCGTTTGTGGGGGTTTGTAGATCGGTGCTTCTTCGCTCGGAATCGCTTGAAGCAAACGCAGGAATGCCTACGTATTTGTAAGGATTTGAGACCATTTTTAAGGAATCGAGGCCGAGAACAGACTGCTTCGACTGAAGCTATCATTTCAAATGAAGCACACGACACGGTCAGAGACAAATGAATCATTTGTCTCTGACCTTGTCGTGTGCTTAAAAGATTTCGACTGTTGCGTCTTCATGACTCAGCCTCACCATACACTTCCGTGGCAACTGCTGGACAGTTCTATCAACCGAAAGTGATCCTTGATCGCTGATCACGAGTGCAGTTTAAACAAAAACGGGAACACATAAAATATTGCCTCCCTCACCCCCCCCCCCCAATGCTGTCGACTCGACAGTGTCGAGGCTCAACTTGAGCGACCATTAAATGGAACTCGTATCGTCACGGAACCTGTCATGTGCAGCCTCGCAGTGACGCCGGGCGCGTAGCATTAAATTGGGCGGCTTGAGAGTCCATGCTGATTCCGGCTTGATGTCACCACAGTGGCTTAGTGCGGCGACTTTGGTCGGTCTGATACATGTACCTTCAACGATGCCGCGTACGTCTACGACACGGGGACGCCGGCCTGTGACTTGTGACGAGTTGGCTCGCCGATGTACATGTATTTAGGTGACCGCGCATTCTAGACATGAGAGATCACACGTCGCGACTTTTTACTGTCCGTGCCGATCAGCGCGTGTGTTCCCAGGTAAGGACTTGTTGAAATATGTTCAGGTTAATGCTATGGGCACTTCTACAGCCAAGATGGATCTACGTAAAGGCATTCGAACTCGGAATCGAAGAGGGCATCGTGCTGTAGATGTGCTGAGTCAATTTGGTCACAGCAAAATGTCGACATCGCAATGGCATGGCATTAAAAAATCGAAACCACAGCTATACATATCACTTAGAGCACTGCCACCGGTAAGGGCGAAGCGAGCAATGTCTATTTGACTTGAGGTCGACTAGAACACCGCTTAGTTAGTTTCGAAACAGTTTACTACATACCGAATACATGACGAGTTTGGGTATTGCAAATTAATTTAGAACGTATTATACACATTGTTTGTCTAAAGTGGTCATTAACAATACTAATTACATTTTTAAGTAATTGTAAATCAACAATTAAAATGTATATTTAGTTAATCATTTTTATGAGACTTGTTATGGGGCCCATATGTTGAAGTGCCCATAATATGGGTACTTCAACATGACACAAGGGATTTAACAAAGAAGTAAATATTTTTGTTCATAGAGAAAATGTGACTACACCAACTCGATACGCGCTAGTTGGGTGCAACAGAATGAAATTCGTTGCTCTCTTAGCAGCCAGAGCCTCCCGCAATGACGAGGCACGAGGTGCTGGTGAAGATGGCCACGATGTTGGTCATGACCGACCACACAATAGCGAAGCACAGGTAGAACACCGTGATGCCACCGATGAGCTTGCTCTTGCCACCCTTACGGAGCAGTCGCTGCGTGTCTTCCTTTTGCTTGGGCAACAGGAACAGGAAGACCCACGCGAAGATAGTCATGGCGTACATGATGATGATGGTGTACGTCAGATCTCGGCGAATAGAGTAGTCGTCTTCTTGGACTCGGGTGTTGGTGATGTTGAACGGAGCGTCAATGACGAGAGTTAGCGCTGAGGCGAAGGGTGAGGAAACATTCATTACGGTCGTCAGTAGGCCATAGACGGCTGCCTCGTTGCCCAGTCCAGCCAGCTCGACAGTCACAAAGGACGAGATGATCCAACCAACACCAGCGGGGAGTTGCACTGCAATTGGAGGCCCAAGCTAGAACCACTGGTTGCGGAAGACGTCCCAGACGACGATCATCGTAATGGTACAGTCCACAATGATCACCACAGCTCCAGTGATGACGATCATCCAGCGCCAGTTCCAGTGCAGGCCCCACTTGGATGTGATCATGATACCTGTAGCAAACAGGAGGTTGCTGAGGATATCACTCAAAGTGCTGTTAATTGGAGTGACGCCCACCATGTGATCCTGCACTGGGGAGCTGCCGGTGTACGTGATGTCGGCGAAGATGTTGGAGAAGAAGTTGTACGCGATAACCTGGTACACTGCGCGGCTGCACAGCAACTCCCAGAAGCTGTTGATGTACTCTTTGAAATTCGCGGCTTCCTTCTTCTCTTCCTTGATGAAGAACCATGTCATGGGAAACACGGGGATCGTGAGGACAGTGACGACGATCATCAACTGGGTAACCGGATTTTTAGGTCAATCCTACATTTTGGTCACGGGTCAAATCCTTACGTTGGTCACGTGACCTAAGCGAATGAGGTCACATGTAATTCGCAAACGGTTTGGTTGTTAAGTAAATGCGTTATAGCGATTCTGCTCCTGATAGAGAGCGACTTCCGCACCATTATTCCGCGCTGTCGTAGTCAAAAGAGTCGTCTGGACGATAGTCTGCTGTTTCATGATCCATCTCGGCATCGTCGGCCTCTAGCACTAGAGCAGGATTCAGGGTCATTAGTGGCGATGGTAGGCTGCTCTCATAAGTCTTTGCTCTTCTCTGACCCCACAATGTCGGCGGCCTGACGCAATGGATAACAACGCGCGGTGCCGCATATTCGTGAGAAATACCTTTTCGTGACCTACATTACGCGATGGGGGCCGTCTCATGTTGAAGTGTCAAGCTCGAGTGCTGAGCTGTGGTGCGATGGGTTAGCTACTTCTAGGCGCGTATAAATTTTCTAAGTGAATGCTACAAAGCACGAAATAGAATCCGGAGACGATGTCGAAATTTCATAATGGGTTCCCTGTGTCGACGAAGTTGTTCATGGGAGGGTGTGTAGCCCTACAGTCTACTTGTACTATTACTATAATACCATGTCGCACTATACGAGCCGGTTGCCTCTGTGTACTTTGTAATCGTTGAGTTGCGTTATTGTGTAGAATGAAAGCTAGGTGCAATTCTGTATGGTAGGCGGCTCAAAATATAGCATGGTACTACTAGCAGTGAAATATGGTAGGCAAATACATGATAAGTGTAGTGGAAGTTTTCACAGAAGCGAGCCCAGCCCACTCATCGGGTGGCTTCTACAGAGCGACGCTACCAAGCGGGCAGTAGGAAAGGGAGGAACAGCGAAACCAATGCAAACGACAGAGAGAGAGGGGTCGGTTTGGTAGAAGACGCTAGCAGAAGGCACTAGCAGGAGTCAGGTGAAACACATACACAGATTACTTTGAAATCAACCTCTTTAGCTAAACAGAGCTTTGGTTCGCTCGGAGCGCTAGCTTCCCTGGTCCTTTATAATAGTGCTCCGAAACCTACTTACAGCTCTGACTCTTCGCTACAAATACAGTCGTTATGCCTCCGAGACGGCCGAGTTGCGAGGATCTCCCCCGCTTACCGTCGCGGTGGACAACAGTGCTCGCGTCCCTCCAAGCCGAAGCTGGACGCTCGACCAGCGGACCTTCACTCTCACTGGCAACACCGTAGCAAGTGTGCATATGCTGACACCTTGCAAGGTAGGCAGAGTGAATTGTAAGCGCTGGAGGATCGGGCATTTGCTAGGCCGTTAGTTAGGCTAAATGACTGCAATGCGCCGCACCTTGAAACGAAACGAGACGGCGAGTCGAGTGTGCGGCCAAATCTGTGCAGCATACCCATGGCCTTCGGCAACGCTGTGATCCCAGGAACAGCGGGCGGCGGGGTACTCGACTTCGACCTCGAGCGAGGTTACGGGGCCCCACACGTCGAGCAAGACTGAAGGCTAGGTCGAGATAACGCTACGTGACGCTGAGTCCATGAGCTCAAGCGCTGAATGCGAGCGGAGTCCTGTAAGCACGGGTTGGTGACTTTGTACAGTGCTCGTACTGCAGCATGGTAGGTAGCACCACCTCCTCTATCTAGGGTATTGCGATCTGCGCTCATACTACGAGCATCACACACGCGTGGTAGCAGCTCACTGTTTAGCAATGTAACTACTGCCCGTGCAACATGCATGGTAGGCGGTCTCTTGCAGTGTAAATGGTAGGAAGCACACATTTTAGCATGGTAAGGACTTGCAGCGCAACATGGTACTTTTGCTAGTAGCAAGCACGCTGTGCAAGATGATAGGCAGCCCACAGTGCCGCACTTAGCCAGTTTCTACTGTAACACAGCAGCAACTCACGGTGCAGCACGTCGTGTCCTGTAGGAAACCACACTGACAGAGTACGAAAGCATTGAGAGAGGTGTCGTGTGTACTGAGAAACTTGTATGATGTCTGAATTCTTCAGGCTGAAGAGAAGTGGGCCCTCGTCCGCTTCGAGGCTGCATACTTAAGTATGCATTTTGCTCTCATTCTCATGCGGGCGTGCGCGCATCTTACCGTCTGCATCAATGGGTGTGACCTGTTAAGTTTGGTCACGTGACCTAGCGTCCTGATGTGTGACCTATTTGACCATCATACCCGTGACCAACTGTTAGGATTGACCTGTTTTCCCCTCTTCGATCAACTGCGGGAAGCTCAGCGAGAAGTCGAAGGTGCCGCCGTATTCCTTTCCATTGAAGAAGAAGCCCGTCAAAAACTCGCCCATGATCACCATGGCCGTTCGCACCGTGTAGATGATAGACTGCGTCTTGCCACGTTTGGCGAGTGGTTCGCGCTGTACCAACTCGACCGTAATACTGTCGGCGCACACATCAGACATGACGTAACCGACGGCCGCGAAGAACATCAGCATCACGTATTTAGCACCTTCCGATGGAGCGCTGTAGTTGATGCGGGCCTCGATCTCTGGGGTGTAGTCTGAGACATCGATGTCTCTGTCGGCTGGATCAGTGAAGTACGGCTTGCCAATGGGCATGATGCACATGACCAGCAGCATAGCGAAGCAGATGCCCCAACCGATGAGCATGTACGGTCGACGACGGTAGCCACAAATCGGACGACAGTCGGACAGGATACCATAGAACACTTTGAAGCTCCACGGCAGCACCACAATCTGGCTCGCAGCCGTGACTTGAGACCCCGAACAGTTAAGGTATTCCTGCATGAATGGGTAGATGGTCTCCGGCAGCAGTCCGTACACGAGTCCAACAGCGGCGTACTCAAACAGCAGTCCGAGGTTCTCCTTGCTCGTCAACACGGGCATGCCGCCTTCACGTATGGCGCCGTCTTCTCCTCCAGGAGGGAGCGCACCGATGGGTACATGCTCGGGGGTCTTGACGCCGACATAGCTGCCGTCTTCCAGGTCCTTAGGCTGCGAGGCGCCGCTCACGAACGACAGGCGCTTGGGGATGTCGAGGTCTTGGTTGTTCACGCCTCGACCGCCGGTGAATGTCGTCGGCATCGTTTCTTGGGGTGCTTGACCAGCTGAGTCGAGTCTTCGGGGGTGGCTTGAGGGTCTGCGAGTGAATTCACAAGTGAACAGGGAATGCAGCCGAGCAGACCACCAGAGAGTGCCCGTGCAAAGCCAAAGATGGTTTTGATGCCCATGCGCGGCTTGGCAAGCCCGAGCGGTCAGGAGGGGGATGAGATGGCTTTCGTCTCCCCCGCTCAGGAAAACGGTCAAAGAACGGCCACGTGTAGGTCGGTCGCATCCCGCTTCTGAAGGGACCTGTCGACGCAAAAATCGTCATGCTCAGACAGCAAAACCCGTTCTATAGTTACTGTAAGGTCGATGAGCTAAGCTCACTCAGCAGGACTGAGGTCGCGTACAAAATGCAGCTCGTACAGGGATGTTGACGCGGCAAGTACAGTACCGCTTTCTCTAGACGCTCGACTACAGTAGGCAACTTGCGCTCCTTTTGATCTCTCGGGCCCTTGCAGCTGGGCCAAAAACGTCATTGCTTGCAAATCAACCCCTCGGGGGCTTGACGTGGTCACATCAGACCCACTGATTGACGGGTTTCCAGCAGTGCGCGTCCAGCACCAAAGTCAATGCACAATGTGCAGTCACAACGTACTTTGTCCTCAACCGAGAGTTCGTTCACATTATCCACCATAGAACATCCGCATGAGAATGGATTGAACTACTACGTATTTGTACACTCAAGGCTACGTGAATAACGGGGCGTTCCATGCACTCCGTCGACTAATAGGCTCCTAGCTTAGCATCCAGTGCCGCCGGCAATCATCAGGCACGACGTGCTGTCGAACATGGCCATGATGTTGGTCATAATCGACCAGATCGTGGCGAAGATGAGGTAAAACGCGGTGATGCCGCCGATGAGCTTGCTGTGGCCGCCCTTGCGCACCAGCTCCTGCGTCTCCGCTTTCTGCGGGGGCAGCAGGAACAGGAAGACCCACGAGAAGATCGTCATGGCGTACATGATGATAATGGTGTACGTGATGTCCATGCGGACGCTGTGGTCGTCCATCTGCACGCGCTCGTTGGTGACGTTAAAGGGGCCATCGATGGCGAGGGTAAGCGACGTGGCAAACGGCTGCGCAACATTGGAGACCGTCGTGATAAGACCGTAGACCGCAGCCTCGTTGCCGACCTGCGCCAGCTCGACCACACAGAAGGTGGAAATGATCCAGCCGACGCCGTACGGGAGCTGGACGGCGATCGGAGGGCCCAGCCAGAACCACTGGTTGCGGAACACGTCCCAGATAACCAAGAGCGAGACTGTGCAGTCCACGACGATCACCACAATTCCCGTGGCAACGGTCATCCAGCGCCAATTCCAGTGCAGACCCCACTTGGACGTGATCATGATACCGGCCATGAATAGCAGGTTGCTCAGAATGTCGCTCAGGGTGCTGTTGATGGGAGTCACGCCGACCATCTTCGAAGCCACGGGGGAGCTGCCCGTGTACGTGATGCTGGCGAAAATACCACTGAAGAACATGTAGGCGATGATCTGGTACATGGCGCGGCTGCACAGCAGCTTCCAGAAGTTGGTCATGTACTCGCGGAAGTTGGCGGCCTGCGCCTTCTCCTCCTTGATGAAACACCACGTCATCGGGAACACTGGGAGAGTGAGCACCGCAACAATGATCATCAACTGCGGAAAGCTCAAGGAGAAGTCGAAGTCGCCGCCGTAGTCCTCGCCGTTGAAGAAGAACCCCACGAGGATCTCACCGAAGATGACCATGACCGTCCGCACCGTGTAGATGCAGGACTGCGTCTTGCCACGCTTATCAATGGGCTCACGCTGGGCCAACTCGCAGGTGATACTGTCGGCACACACGTCCGAGAGCACGTAGCCCACGGAAGCGAGCATCATGATGATGACGTACTTGGCTCCTTGATCCGGGGCGCTGTGGTTGATCCGAGCTTCGATCTCCGGCGTGTAGTCTGCAATCTCGACGTCACGGTCGGCGGCCACAGTAAAATACGGCTTGCCAATAGGCATAACAGCCATGATCACCAGCATCGCGAAGCAGATACCCCATCCAATGAGCATGTACGGCCGACGACGATAGCCGAAAATGGGTCGACAGTCAGATAGGATGCCGTAGAAGACCTTGAAACTCCAGGGTAGCACAACAAGCTGACTGGCAGCGGCCACTTGGGCGCCGGAGCAGTTGAGGTAGTTCTGCATGAACGGGTAGATCGTGGCGGGGAGCAGACCGTAGACGAGTCCGATGGTCGAGTACTGGAACAGTAGGCCTAGGTTCTCCCTGCTCGTGAGCACGGGCATGCCACCTTCACGCAGCGCGCCGCCTTCAATGTCGCCCGGCGTCTTGGAAGGGGCATAGTCGTCATCGACGTTTTTGCCCTGCGAGGTGCCGCTCACCAGCGACAACCGCTTGTGGATGTCGATATCGTTGAGACTTGGATTGACCGTCATGGTACGAGCCGCAATTTACCTAGGCGGGCTGCACGGCGAATTGAGGACTGGCAGCAGGTCACCGGAAGACGGGCGTTGAGCTGAGCTGGGCCGGAACCGGGAGGTTGCGACCACATGACGCTGGGAGCCGGCTCAAGGCAGTCAACATTTTCGGATTTGAGCACGAGCTTTGCCGGAATGCTGCTGTTTTTGGCGCCCAGCGGGTGGTCAACAGCTTGACCGTCAACAGGTGCACTTTACGGGTAGAGACCAGGAGAGTGTCGCTCGTCGTGGCTTGACGAACACACCAAAATCGACCGCGCCGTCTTGTGTTCGCGTCGACCTTGGATCGATCCCGCGCATCTCAATCTCTCCAGCTGAGCCCGTCCGTCGGGCTCAGCATGTTGGCCATCTGCCGAGCTGCACGTCAGGGTCGTGCCGGTATGGAGGCCCCAAGATCACAGCTCTGGCGGCACCTGCTCAATGAAAGCGGGCGCATGACTTGATGGATTATCGATATTGTGTCAGCACCACGCGAGCAGAGCGGGTGTGCTGCGGCTGTTGGTGCTGGGTCAGTACCAGCACTTGCTGGCTATCATGTGGGCTCCACTCGCTCTATTCGACACGTACGGTGTACTATCGACGGCTGCAAGGTGCAAGGGTGCAAGCGCTGCAAGCATTGCTCGCCAAGCAGTTCAATTCAATGCCAATGCACATGCAGTGCAGTGCAGTGCAGGTGTCCTCAACAACAACCTCTCAACCCCTTCACCAAATAAAATCCCTCACAACTCACGACAGAGCATGCAAATGAGCGTCAAGCCGGAACCTTCCTGCTTTCAATATCCGTTCCTCCGTGTTCTGGCGGCGTTTGGCTGGACTGCCCACAACGAATCTTTTGGTGTACTTCTGACGTACATGTTTCGTCGATGTGATCGAATGGGCCGTCTTTTCAGTGGAACTTCCACCGGCGCCTACGGTCGAAGATGGCCAGGACAATATACTGAGGATACAGTATTGGTCGCGAGTCGTAAGTTACGACTCGCAACTCCTGGTGGGCCGAGACGCAGGTAGACCACGGTTTGCCCGCCCAGGACCTCGGTGTGACCGCTTTCTGGTTAGACAGAAGGAACAGGAGAAGCCCACGAAAATATCGTCATTCGTACATGCTGATAACGCGGTAGGTAATGTCGGCCCGCGGTCTGCTGTGCCCGCGCATGGGTTAGAGAGAGAAACGTTTGTCGTCGTGGGATTGGCTATCCGATACCATGGCCACCACGGTTGGTAGCATTTCCCCACCCTTGGCCTCGACCTTGACGCTGCTGCCAACTGACATGCCAACGCGCGGGTAAAGGATCAAGGCTGAACCTCCAGATTCACCTCAATGGATACCCCAGTGTCGTGGCTCGAGAAGAAGGAGCTATCGCTGAATCAACGACGCCAATCAAACAACTTGAATTTGTCGTGAGACTATTAGCTTACATGTGAAACCGCGTCGAACAAAAAGATACTAATCAACCAAAGTACGAATTGGGATTTAGGTACCTCGTTGGAAAGAGGGACGTCTTAGCTATCTTTTGAGGCCCTCCACAACTTCTAACAGTTAGATTAGCCAAAGATATGACCCCGCGAGAAAATTATCTCCCGTCCCAGAGCAAAATTAAGATTTTTTTTTATTGGCTACCCTGGTGTAAAATTGTACAGCGGATCCAATGATACCCTTCGTTTCTTCAAATTCGAATTGAAATAGTCTTAAAACTTCACTTTCGTGCGATGTTTCACATTAGTGACACATGCTGTCAATTGATATCATTTTGGATTAGCATGGACATAAGTATCACATTGATTGATCAGCTGGGCTAGACGACGTACATTGCTACACTTTTGAACTAACCAGAGACTGCAGCTCTTGAGCCTTTCCCTGAAGGCAGCGACGCTCACACTTATCAGCTCTGATAAGGCCTGTCACCTTCTGGTGAATATCAACCTCGATCAAATTGATACTTATATCCTCCTCGGCTTGCTCATCGTCTTCGATTCCCTCGCTGTCCCCCGTCACCTCTCTATCCTCTTCAGCTGACTCGGCCGTGGTCCAATCTTCATCATCATTGCTTTCATCAGGCTCCTCGCTCTCAGACGAGACGTCGCTGGCGGCATGTGCCGCAACGTGCGGGGAGGTCACGCGGGGTCGATTTTTCTGGTTGCGCTGCCGATCGGTTCGAGAAGGCGTGCACGCCGGTGATTTGTGCAGCTCGGAGGCACTCTCCTCCTGCTGCGGATCGGAGGTGCGCGCAAGCTGCTGCCCAGGAGCTGCCGAAGCGTGCTGCTCGGGCGCATACGGCGTATGCTGCTCGAGAGGAGGGGGGTGTTGACAGGGAGGGGACGCGGGCGGCACCGAGGCACCAACGGACTGTGGCGCGAGAGCGCCGGAAGCCTGTGTGCCGGCGGGCGACGACTCGGGGCCGCTGGAGGTCTGCGATGGCAGCTCGGAGGTCGAGCGGTGGGCTTCCATGTCGGCGGTGGTGTAGATCTTCTTTGAGAGTGAGGTGTTGAGGAAGCGTTCGCTTTAGTGACAGTTCAGGTTTTCAAATCACAAATCGGGCCCCTTCTAGAAACTTCACTTAGATACGAAAAATAGCAGCCAATTTTCAAGCGCGATAATCTCGATAACTCTAAATGGTGGCTTAGCATCATTTTGTTCGAGGAAATCTCATGTAAGAAATAAAAACACTGCATGAAAGACTACGTCGGGCTCCACGGACCGACCCAGGGCATTGACTGCGGGGAATATGCCATGCTGTGGTGAGGGAGCACGCGCAGTCCACCACCATGACAATAACAACTGTCAACACAGTCATCCACCGCCAATTTCAATGCAACCCCCACTTGGACAGGGATGCCTAAAAACAATTTGATGCTGAAATAAATGCAATCATTTTTTACAATAAATTTATTGACCTAGTTTCCTTAACCCGTATCAATAATCTATTTCTTGGTTCGATTATCACATACAAACTCCAAGTGCACTTGTAATTAGTCACCAGAAAAAGGGCAAACAATAATTTGTTTACCTGATTTTCTCTACCAAAAATATTATCTTTGGTTTGATCTGGTCGCAATAGATAAAAATGCAATATTCGGCAACCCTGCTTGGACGTGATCATCCTACACCAGCAGATTGCTTCACTCGACGTGATGTTGATCGGTGTGACACCCACCATGTATGACTGCACGGGGGAGCTGGCGGTGACGCTTGCGAAGATGCCGCTGAAAAACATGTAGGTGGTGATCTGGTACACTGCGCGACAACAGAGCAACTCCCTGAAGCACTCTCGGATGTTGGCGGCCTTCGTCTTCTCTTCCTTGTTGAAGAACCAAGTTATCGGTAGTACTGGTACGGTTAACACCACCATAATGATCATCAATTGAGGAAAACCTTAGTGAGAAGTCGAAATCGCCGCCATGCTTTTTGCCATTGAAGCAGAAGCCCACGATGATCTCTCCCAGGATGACCACAATGTGTGGATGCACGACTGCGTCTTGCCACTCTTGTCAATTGGTTCATGTCGAGCCAATACGCACGTGATACTTTCGGCGCATGCGTCGGGCATCACGTACCCCGAAGGCAGCGAAGAACATGAGGATGACGTACTTGCGCCTTCCGACGGAGTGTCGTAGTCGATACGCGCTTCGATCTCGGGTGTGTACTCCCCCGAGACCTTGAGATCGCGATCGATGACATGGTTTAGTACGGTTTGCCAATAGGCATGATGGCCATGACCAGAAGCATGACGATACAGATCGACCAGACGATGCGCATGTACATCCGGCGACGATAGCCGAAGATATTGTAATATGTAGGCCGGCAGTCGGATAGAATGCCGTAGAAAACCTTGAAGCTCCACGGCAGCACGACAAGTTGGTCAGCCGCTGTTACTTGAGATCCGAAGCAGTTGAGGATACTCCTTCCTGCATGAACGGGTAGATGGTCGCGGGTAGCATGCCGTAGACGACCCCGACAGCGGCGTACTGGAAGAGAAGGCCGATGTTGTCCTTGCTGGTCAAGATGGGTACACCACCCTCGCGCAAAGCTCCACCAGGTCCGCCCGGAGGAGGCGCGCCAAGCGGTTCGGGGGTCATGACGGCGACGTATCCCTCTTCCTTCGCATGGGACGCACCACTTACGAGTGATAGGCGCTGAGGGTCGATGTCGACGTTGGCCACGCCATGGCTCTTTCCATTCGGCGCAGTAGGCATCGTTCCTGGTCAATGCGGCGAGTTGACTCTTGCGGGGCTCTGAGGAAGTTAAGGAATGAGAGAGCTTTGAGACGAGCATTGACAGGTATGTTCTCAGAGCTCAGGAAGCTGGTACAGCTATTCCAGCAGAGCACACATGCAAGGAGGACGCGGAGGTAGCGTGGAGTGAGTGAGACTCATACCAATAGTTTACGTCAGATTGGGCGGGATGTCAAGTCACATGACCCGAGCCAATTAATGCGGTAACTCATCGACCGTCATGGCGCCACGAGGACCACTTTCAGGTCAAATAAGAGCAGGATAATACAGTAGAAACCTTCAAAGAGATCAGCTACGAACGGATCTTACCAAACTTCTTGGACCGACACGTCAACGGTATCAGAGTGAAACGTATTTGCAATTTGACGTCGGAGCCGACAAACTCGCAAATTGCAAGTCGCAATGACTAATCGAAATCTGCGACTGCGTGTACTTTAGATGTTTGAGGTCTCTCCTACTCAAACCAGCGTTTGAAGATCGTTAAGCTCCTGCCAGCACTGAACCGTAGTTGCGCTGAAGCGTCTACTTCTGTAGGTCACGATGTGTGGTAGATGGCATAAAGCATGTTGAGGTGTATGTTTACAGTAGCGGCATAATAATGAAAAAAATAGCCATAGTTGCACGGAGCGTGTATGTATAGTACAGGTATACAAAAGCGCATGATTGCTATGGTAGACGCATAGGGTCAAATTGTACAATAGCTGGTAGATAACTAACTAGTAAAAGAATATAAAGGGGAAAAGTAAGAGTAGAAAATCAATAACTTCTCATATCACTCCACTCACTCACGCTGCCTTGGAATAGCGACAGCGGACGTTCATCAATGGGGGAGACCAGGTCCAAAAGAGGACACAGCACTGCAACCACCGACATCCCGAGTCAATGAATGAAGTCGAATACGATCATCAAAGTTATTGAGGTTGTCTACTTGGAAAGTCAAGTAGAAAAGAAGGTACTATAGAAATGATCCTGTGTAAGTACGGTCTTGACCTTCCATTGAAGGAGTTGCCGTAGTTTATGTGCTACAATCCAACCATACGCTCAAGTCTGACCTTCTGTCGTCGATATCATTGGTCGAATCACTTCAACATGGATGACAACAACAAGAAGAACGCAACAAAGCAAAGGTTTCTGTTCATAAAGCGAAGACTACTCCATTGATAACATTGCTCTCTTAGCAGCCAGTGCCCCCCGCAATGACGAGGCACGCCGTGCTCTCAAAGATAGCCATGATGTTGGTCATGACGGACCACACGATCGCGAAGCTCAGGTAGGCGACCGTGACGCCGCCGATGAGCTTGCTGTGACCGCCCTTGCGGAGCAGTCGTTGCGTGTCCTCCTTTTGCTTGGGCAGCAGGGGCAGGAAGACCCACGCAAACGCAGTCATAGCGTACATGATGATGATGGTGTACGTCAGATCTCGGCGAATCGAGTGGTCGTCTTCTTGAACTCGAGCGTTGGTGATGTTGAACGGAGCGTCGATCACAAGGGTCAACGCTGAGGCGAAGGGAGAGGCGACGTTCGTTACCGTGGTGATCAGGCCGTAGACGGCCGCTTCGTTGCCCAGTCCGGCCAGTTCCACAGTCACGAAAGTCGAGATGATCCAGCCGACGCCGTACGGGAGCTGGACGGCAATGGGAGGGCCAAGCCAGAACCACTGGTTGCGGAAGACGTCCCAGACGACGATCATCGACACAGTGCAGTCCACAATGATCACCACGGCTCCAGTGACGACGATCATCCAGCGCCAGTTCCAGTGCAGCCCCCACTTAGAGGTGATCATGATGCCCAACATAAAGAGCAGGTTGCTGAGGATGTCGCTCAGGGTGCTGTTGATGGGGGTCACACCCACCATGTAGTCCTGAATAGGGGAGCTGCCGGTGTACGTGATGTCAGCGAAGATGTTGGAGAAAAAGTTGTACGCGATGACCTGGTACACTGCCCGAGTGCACAGCAAGTCCCAGAAGCTGCTGATGTACTCCTTCAAGTTGGCACGCTCGACCTTCTCCTCCTTGATGAAGAACCACGTCATGGGAAACACGGGGATCGTGAGGACAGTGACGATGATCATCAGCTGGGGGAAGCTCAGCGAGAAGTCGAAGGTGCCGCCGTAGTCTTCACCGTTGAAGAAGAACCCAGTGAGCAGCTCCCCAAAGATCACCATCACGGTACGCACAGTGTAGATGCAGGACTGCGTCTTGCCGCGCTTGTCCAAGGGCTCACGTTGAGCCAACTCGCAGGTAATACTGTCCGCACACACGTCCGGCATGACGTAGCCAAACGCAGCGAAGAACATGAGCATCACATACTTGGCGCCTTCCGATGGAGCGTCGTAGTTGATGCGGGCTTCGATCTCCGGAGTGTAGTCTGCAATATCCACGTCTCGGTCAGCCGCATTCGTAAAGTACGGCTTACCAATGGGCATGATGCGCATGACCAGCAGCATGATGAAGCAGATACCCCAGCCGATGAGCATGTACGGTCGCCGACGGTAGCCGCAGATCGGCAGGCAGTCGGACAGGATACCATAGAACACTTTGAAGCTCCACGGCAGCACCACAAGCTGGCTCGCAGCCGTGACTTGAGCGCCAGAACAGTTGAGGTATTCCTGCATGAATGGGTAGATGGTCTCCGGCAGCAGGCCATACACGAGTCCAACAGCGGCGTACTCGAAGAGCAGGCCGAGGTTCTCCTTGCTGGTCAGTACGGGCATACCTCCTTCACGGATGGCGCCGCCTTCTCCTTCAGGAGGGCGAGCACCGATGGGCACGTGTTCTGGGGTCTTGACGCCGACATAGCTGCCGTCTTCCAGGTCCTTGGGCTGCGAGGCGCCGCTCACGAACGACAGGCGCTTGGGGATGTCGAGGTCTTGGCTGTTCACGCCTCGACCACCGGTAAACGTGGTCGTCATGGCGAAGCGAGGAGTCTTGAGCTCAATCGAGGAGGTCGGCGGTGAATTGGCGTGTGAGCAGCGATCAGGAGCGCCATGGAAGGACGGAGAGAGGGCTTCCGTGCCCGGCGTGCAGGGCAAGAGGATGCGCTCGATGGCCAAACCGCTCCACTACAGTACATGTAGATGTAGCGGAGACCGCGGGATGCTTCGACGTTCGTCTCCATTGCGCCCCTGCTCAGTGCCTGAGCCTCTTGAGACTGTCCGAATGATACTGTGTGTAGTTACTGCATCTCATGCATGAAGCGGGCAAGGCTCAGGATAGCGCGGGCACTCGCCGTGTCATACTCCCCCGGCTCTGACCTTGTCAAACCAGTTGCAGCATTCCCGACAGTGCCGACGAGCTACGCGTCAACCAAGTCGCCGAATCGAACGTGTCCGACATAGCGACAGCACCACACAGGAGCCTGTAGACGTATCTGCGCGGCCGGCTTCGGATCCAAAGTGAAGTCGAAGTTGTCCTTGCTTGCAAATCAGGCTCCGTACTGCATCGACAGAGTGAAGCTCGAACCGCAGCGATGAGAGCGCTGACTGCATAACAAGAGGAAGACGCTCGGGGTCCTGGACACACGCGTAAGATACTGTAATGCAAGCACTTTACTTCGACAATACAGGGCGCCTTCGTCCGGCCAGAAGCTGCTCGTCGAAGTCTACTACGATGATTCTACCGGGGAGTTCGCCTACATGGGCGGCAGCAGTTGCCGCACGGCCTTGCCGAACACGCTGGACAGCGCTGCCCGCACCTCGGCGTTCGGCACCCTCACGAGGTCCGTCAGCAGCGGGTACAGCCACGGCATGTGGCGCTGTAGCTACAAGCAGAAAACAATAACAACATAGACGGCATTTAGTACCAGAATTCACCACCAGTAAGCATGCATGTGCAGTCGCTCACCTCAACGCTGTCGAACTCTGCGAGCTCCTTCAGCGTCGCAACCATCAGCGGTGTGAAGCTCTCAACGCGCTGATACGCATCAGCAGGCACCTGATCCTCTTCGACATTCGTCCGAGCTGCTGCGCCTGTCCAGGCCAGATACTCCTCCAATGTCTCCTTCACCAACTGTGCCATGTACTTGCGAGCCTCGTCCTGTTCCCCGATCGGCGCGATCTCGCTGTTGTCGACTCTGCGGACGAGCGCCGTGAAGAGCACGTGGAGGTACTGCTGCTTGCCCAGCACTTCCTGCGGCAGCAGACTCGGCAGCTCGCTGGAAGATGGCGCCGTCATTCCGTAGCGCCAACCGGCACGCTGCAGATACCGACGTAGCGGCGTGGCATCGTTCACCTTGCGAGCGAACAGGAAACTCTCACGCAGACATGTCAACAGCGAGCGAGCGTGCCCCACGCTCAGCGACAAGTGCTCCTTGCGACGGCTCGCCAGCACGTTGCCTGCTACTCGCTGCAATGCCAGCAGCACGGCCAAATGCGTGCGTGAAGGAACGCGTTGGGCCTCCACCTCTTCGACACTGATCACCTTCGGTGGGAAGCTGGCAGCGAAGGTGAAGCCCAGAGTCGCCACAACACCGGGATACATACTGAGGAATGAAGGCTGGCGCGGCGAAGTGAGCATGGCAGCTGCTGAATGAGCTGTCGGGGAACGTGGGGGAGGCAGCGACAACGACTTCTTCGAAGGACTTTCGGCGCTTATTGCTTCCACCGGAGACTCAGGGGCGGGTGTGCTGTCGACTTCGTCTTCAGGAGGCAAGGCGAAGAATACCCACGTCGGCTCGGCGCGCTTCATAACGTTGCGTAGCTCGTCCGCGATGAGGCCCCAGACGTCTTCCGGGAACTTGTGGCCGTGCGTGACCAACATGACCTCAAGCGCGCAAGCGGATGCGGCCGCGAGCTGCTCCTCCGCATCCCCTGCATCCATGCACTTACCCAGCAGGAAGAGAACCTCCGGCAAGAAGCCAACGATGTCGTAGAACTGTCCGAAGCACTCCAATAGCCGCTCGAGGCACAGCGTCGCCGTCGTCTTGCCAGCAGCGTACGGGGCCATCCGAGTCGACGGGTTGCGCGCTGGCGGCAACGGTAGCTTTGGCAGCGTGTGTGCTCCCTTCTCGACCACCACCTCGAGATGCCGCAGCTCATCCAGCAACGGGATCAGCACGCCCTTGAAAATCAAACCCCAAAGTCCAGAGGAGAACTTCGTTCCATGAGTCTCCAGCGCATCGAAGAGCGCTTCGAGAGCTGCGAGACGCACATCCAGACGGCGGTCAGCAGCGAGCGTAGATAGAGCTGTCAACACGGGCCACCACATGCGCGTATGCGCCGCAGAGTCGTTGTATGCCACCTCGGTACTCTCTTGGTGTTCCTCTTCCTGCGCGTCGACCGATCCTGCTCTCCGTCGAGGCGACAGCGGAGAGGACGCCGAAGGCAGCAGCTTTCTCCGAGGCGACAGCTCAGCCACCTCCTCTTCCAGTGAGCGCACAGACTCCTGCTTCTGGTAGCGCACCGAAGCCCGCTTAGATGGAGACTGCACCCCGGCAGGTCCATCTGCCGCTTCAGCGGCGGGATCTTCGGCAACTACCTTGACCTTCTTGAAGCCAACGCGCGCAGCCTGCTTGGCCGCGGCCGCGGCCGCAGCGGCGGCTGCTGCCGCCGCTGGAGCTGTTGCAGCTGAAATGGACCCAGCCGTCTCACGCGCAGTGAGAGGCTCGATGACCTCTCCTGTCGCTAGCTTCTCAATGCACACACTGCGCAGCAGCCCGATGCTGTCCACGCCCAGTTGTGTGAGCGCGAGTCGCTCCTCCATCTGACGCTCGACCTCCTCGCACCCGCAAACCGCGAACGCTAGAAGGCACTCCACGGCGTCAACGAACACGTCCACGATGCAGTCAAAGTGACGCTCCAAGACTCCGCGCGCGACTTGAAAGCCCAAAAGCACCACGCGGTCCTCGCTACCAGGCGCATACGTCTCGGCAGCAACGCGGAGGACGCCCCAGATCGTCTTCCAGCCAGAGCGGATGTTGCCCACACGAGCAAGCACCAAGTTCTCCACACAGCGCAGCACAAGCTCCCTGGTCTCGAGAGAAGTGGCATTCGCCATGATGATCTCAAACGGCGCCAGAAACAGACGCTGGAAGTTGAAGTCACGAAGCTCCGCGCGCTCGAGGAATTTCATGCTGAGCTGACGCAACGAGTCGATAGCGTACATGCCCACAGTCAGGTCTTCGTGGCAGCCGATCGTGGTGAAATGTCTCGTGAGGGTCTGCCACGTAGCCGCCCACACCATACGCGAGCGAGTACGCATGTTCATGTCGGCCACTTCGACCAGCTTCTGCAGACTGAAGACGCGAGGCGGTGAGCCACCGGCCGCGCCGGAAGGTCCAACGCCTGAGCACTCCGACAGCGACACCACAGTGAGCTGGATAACGAAGTCCTGCAGAGCCTGATCACTCAGCGATACCGAACTCGAGAACACACGATCACTCGCCAGCTGGTCAATCTCTCCGAGTACGCGCGCAGCATTCTCGTCTTCGATCGCGGCGCTCTGGGCTTCGTCCAGCTCAGATCCGCTGCCTCGGCCGCCAATGTCACGGTGCGACTGCGACGGCGACGTGAGCGACATCGATGACGTTAACCCGCCTCGCTTACTGCTCGCAGACGACCCGAGCATACTGAACGACGGTGTGGTGTTGCCGCTGCTACTGTGCGAGCTAGTGTGGCTCGTAAGACCAGGCGATGGCTGCCGGTTGAAGTAAGACGAATCACCAGAGACCGAGCCGGCTGCGGAGCGCTCATGCAGACCTTGAGCGTGTGTCTGAATTCGCGCCAACTGTGAAATGGCCTGCAGGACATCGTGCCAGGAGTCGCCAAGGTAGTTTCCTTCCTTCACGCTGATAGAGATGAGGGCCTTGATTGCCTCCATGTTCTTTGAGCGCATCAACCGCGAGTTTGTCGTATGAAGCGCAGTAAACTTGGCCAACACCGTCACGAAGGCATCGCGCTCCGCTGGCATGTTCAGTCTGGCTGAGAGGTGCACCGCGTGGCGGAAAGAATCCAAGCAGAGCTGGATGGCCTCAGCGGACTCGGAGCTCTCAAAGGTTACCGAGCACGCAGCAAGGAGCGGCGCCCACAGCGTCTCGAACATTGGCCGGACATGAGACCGCTCATTGTACCCCGACACTTCGCGGAACGTAGACGACGAAGGATCCGGCGTCAGCAGAGACGATGGGCCATCTCCACCCCGCTGTGAAGGAGCGGCACTCGAGCCAGCAGATGCACTCGAGCGGTTGCCACGCGGGGAGAGAGGGAACTGTTGCTGCGCACGAGCTGATGCTGGCACCCGACGCTTGAATAGAGCTTCAGACTGGCGCACCATTGACTCACGCTCCTTGATGTAGGCGTCACGGCGCATCCGGTCTGTGGCTGCACCTGAAGATCCAAAAAGTGAGCTCGCAGCACTTGGTGCAGGTCCACCACGACGACTACGGAAGTCATCGTCCTCCTTGAGAGAAATGGGCGTCGCCTTGATGCGGTCGAAGATAGCGCCCATGTAATCCTCAGGCAAGTCTTTGCCGTCGTTAATGCCGCGGTTGTTGCGCAGAAATCCAGCCTTGTCCATCTTCTTCTCCTCCGCAATGCTGGGGTTGTGCAGGTCAGTCTGCAGCATGATAATTGAGAATGCTAGGATGAATGCCGTGTCGGCACTAGGGAACAGTCCGGGCGGGCACGAGTTGAAAAACCTTTCAGCAAACTTCTCCATCATACGATCAATTTTCTGCGATTCACCGGGTAAACGGAAGCCAGCGAGGAAGTGACGAATAGCCACATCGATTTCCAAGCCCGTGAAGTCCATCATGTCAACGTATTCGTGCAGCACCTTGACACAGAAGCCGCCCTGGTAGTGCACGCCATTTCCAAGATAGTCGCCCACCATCGTCTTGTCCAGCTTACCGTTGTACGTTTGCAGGAACTGCGCCACATCACGGGGCGAACCTTCGCCCATGTGTCCGTGGGCAACGAGATACGCGATACCGGCGCTGGGTTTCACATTAAACTTGAGGATGCCCGTGGCCAATTCCTCCTGTCGCTTCTTCTTGCTCTCGAAGGCTTCAACCGCCGACATGGTGGATGAATTGACATGAATCACGTCTGGTGGGGCCACAGTGTCTTCCTCGCCGCCGGCTTCGCTGTTGTGAGCCTCGCTTTCTCCTTCATGCTGGGAACTCTGACGCTCGGCCTCCATGAAGTTTGCAGCCTTTTTGAGCGATGCAGTCGTGGCAGTGAGGCACTCGAGGCCCTTGAGCGCAAGCGCCGCGTCTTGCTGCTGCATCTTGAGTCGCGCACTGGTAGACAGACTAGCTGCATACTGCTGCGCCGCGGCGTCTTGGGAGCGTCCGCCCTTTGCAGCCTTGGCAAGTGCATGGACAATCTGCTTGAACAAGTCGTTAGTATTCCAATCACAGTCGTAGTTGATAAAGATCTCGCCCAGCGTCTGCGGGTCGTCACAGATCGCGTGTAGAGCCTCCAGAACCAGCAACTTGTGCTCGAAGCTCGCGTTCTCGGACTGCAGCAGGCGCAGGAAGATACTCGTGATGAAGATATCCAGCTCCGTCTTCAAGTGACGCTTGAAATTGCGCAGAAGCACCAAGAAGACCTGTAGTGATAGCGACACGATCTGTGTATAGTTACTGGTGCAGTTTTGTAGCAGCGACTGGCACAGGTACTGCCGAATTGCGTGCACAAACCGCTCGCCACGGCGGAACGACGGTCCAGCGTTCTCTAAAATCTCCTTCACCAGCTCCAGCGATAGAATCTTGCTCTGGAACGCAAAAGGGTCCTCCGGGTTAGCACCATTCCCAGCGTTTCCAGCCATAGATCCATTAGCGCCGTTCGCGGTCGGGGAGTCGTCTGCCACTGATCTCATCGAAATCCGACACAGCGACCGGAACAGCAGAAACGCGTCCTTGTGCAGCACAGACGGGAACGCCGGCGCAAACACCGGCTGCGACAGTGTGGCCACCGCCTTCACCTTCTTAGTCGCCGTAGATGAGATCGACGCCTTCTCCGAGTGCGCCGCAAAGCGAGGAAGCTGCAGAGCCGTCGCCACCGCCGGGTACCAAGGAGCCAACGCTTCTGCACGCAGCGTGGGGATGCTCAGGTCCTCGTCGCTGTCGCTCTCGATGATTTCTTGGTGCTCTTCCGTGTGTTCTTGATCCTGGTCCTGATCCTGCTCCCCTTCCTGCTGACTCTGCTGCTCCTGCTCCTGTTTGTCCAGCGACGCCTGCAGCGTGGCCCTCGTCTCCTCCTCCACGCGGCGGTCGAACGTCTCCATCCGCTGGAACACGATGCTGATGATCTGCTGCAGCGTCGCCTTGGCCACGGTCCGGTTGGTGGCGCTCTTGCTCACGAGGTGCACGTGGTAGCAGGCCCGCACCGCTCTCAGCAGCGCGTGCTCGTGCACCTCGCAGGTCGGCGTCGTGACGGCCGTCAGCAGCACGCGCAGCACTTGGATCTGCACGCCCTCGTCCGGGTGGTCGTTGCAGTCGCAGGCCACCTCGACGATGCAGTCGATGAGTCTGTAGCTGTCTTCATTGGCGTCGTCCTCCGTTGCTGCCGCGTCCCGACCACCACTGGCGGGCGTGTTGATCCCAAATGAGGGGGCGGCGCTCGACCCCGACCCGGAGCTGGAGGACGCTCCGGACCCGAGACCCAGACCGAAACCTGACCGCCGACCCGACGTGGTGGACGCCGCTGCGGCCTTCTGCACGAGGCGGCGGCGCACCCCCTCGGGGATAACCCCCGCCTCCTTGAGGAACCCGAAGGCCAGGAACTTCTCCATGCAGTCCAGCGCCACGGCCACGAGCTTGGCGTAGCGGGTCAGGCAGGCCAGCAGGAAGGGCTCGAACGGCACCTCGAGGGTACCCTCGGCGCTGGCCGACGTAACCTTGGCCTGCGCCGCGTCGATCATGTCGCGTAACTCGCGGTGGCTGCGCGTGCACGCCTTGCGCAGCTTGCCCAGCGACTTGAGCACCAGCGCCTCCATGGGGGTACGCTTCGGTTACGCTGCCGTAGCGCGCGATCCAGAGAGCCAATACGCGTGATCGCCAGTGCGATCGGAAGCCAGGACGACGGCGGAGATGGTGGTCGTGCTGCGGCGCGCCGAAACCTTGCCGAGAGCTTGCTACGCGCGCGCAAGGAGAGCCGAACGAGCGTCGGGCACACGTACGCACGTGAAGGCTCGCTATGGCTCCCCCGTCGTTACGCCGCGAAATCTTCACAATGTGGTGCACACCAGTGTACCCATTACTAGAAAGTATCCATTCTAAATTTAGAAACATGACTTGAGGTGATATCAGATTCTAGGTGCACAGATCGTCTCAATGATTGTACCGGTACACTACAGTATTCTGTTGCTTAACAGACTACATGAGCTGAGCAACGAGGTGTGGACCGCAGTAGGTAAACCGTGACCTTGAGTCGGAACTATCGCGCAGATTCTAACTTATTTCGAGTTTTGTGCATGTACGATCTCAAACGCAAGCACACAAGTACTGAGTAATGTACACAAAACTGGAGGTCTCATAACGCAGGTTCTGACCACAAGACATCCGCTAACACTGCTTCGCGCCCACGAATTCGTCCGCTCTCAGATCGATGTACAAATACGTTGCACTTTAAGACCGTTGACGCGACTGGCGTTAACAGTGTAAAGTAAAAACAAAAATAAAAGACGTGTCGGCGAAGAACTGAAATTGACGATCGTTTTGTATGATCTCTTCGAAGGTTATAATACTACATGTACGTGTTATCCTGTATTTGTTTGAACTGAAAGGGTATCCGAGACGGACATGACTGTGGTCAGGACATATAAGTGGTCAGTGCCTGGTATACAAGTGAAGGTCAATAAGGAAAATGGGTACCCGGCCGTAGATCCCATAATATTGCTCGCTACAAAGCCTAGCGCACATGGTTCAAAAGAGGAGCTTCTCCCCAGCAATTTGAGCCCATTCACAATCACGAGCGACTGATTCTGCACAAGCGCCGACCGTCCGAAGGCAAGCCGATACAAAGCCTATTTGAGCGCTGGGAGCCTCTTATGCACAAAAGCGGGGCATTGTACCAAATTCCATAGTTTAACCAAGTGTGTTTCAGGTGACCACCAATCTGTCCACTAAATCTCGTCTGCGACGTGTGAATACTTGAAGAAAGTAATGGGACAACATGTGACCATTTATATGTCCGGCGCGGATAGTGCCAAGACAATAAATCTGGTGTGATAGCGGCTCGATTGCCGCATTATATAATTGGCTCGAGGTCATGCGATCTGGCACAAGCTTTTGATGAATCTCACTCCATGTTATAGTACCTCCTCATCCTCCTTGCGTGTGTGCTCTGCAGGTACCTTCTACCAAACAACGAGTACATGTACTATTATATTTGTGCCATCCAGCAGCATCGTCTTGAGCTCTGACAACATTTGGTCAATGCTCGCCTCAGAGCCCTCTCATTCCTCGGGGCCTCACGTGTGTCGACTCGCCCCCTTGACCAGAAACGATGCCGCCGCCAAATGGAAAAGACCATGGCGTGGCTCCTGTCCGATACGAGGGGCCGAACGAAGGTGCCTCGTGCTATCGAAGTAAAAGTGCTCGCATTACTTTGCGCGAGCAGCGGTTCGAACTTCAAACTGTTGTGATGGGGGGTAAAGTCGGAGTTTAGCGAGGACAACTTCGACTTCAATTTGGACGGCCACGCAGATGTCGAACGGGATTGGTTGACGCGGAGCTCGTCAGCAGGGTCGTACGGCAACAGGTTTGACAAGGTCAGAGCAGGGGTAGTACGACACGACTATTTAATGCCCGCGCGATCCTGATCCGCGTGGTGCATGAGATTTAAAACTAAACTGCTCAACCAAAAGCTACCAATCTACTACATGTACATACCTCTGTAAACTCTTTAAGAAGAGTCGAACCTGAACGGGGGTACAGTGGAGACGGACATCGAAGCATCCTGCGGACCGCAGGCTGCAGTCTCCGCTGTTGTACAGGTAATGGAGCTGTTTGGCCATCGAGCGTATCCCATTCCCCCGCCCCACGCCGGGCACGGAAGGTCTCCCTCCGTCCTTCCATGGCGCTCCTGATCGCTACTCACTTGCCAATTCACCGCCAACCCCCTCGACTGGGCTCAAGACTCCTCGCTTCGCCATGCCGACCACGTTCACCGGTGGTCGAGGCGTGAACAGCCAAGACCTCGACATCCCCAAGCGCATGTCGTTCGTGAGCGGCGCCTCGCAGCTCAAGGACCTGGAAGACGGAAGCTATGTCGGCGTCAAGACCCCAGAACACGTGCCCATCGGTGCTCGCCCTCCTGAAGGAGAAGGCGGCGCCATCCGTGAAGGAGGTATGCCCGTACTGACCAGCAAGGAGAACCTCGGCCTGCTCTTCGAGTACGCCGCTGTTGGACTCGTGTATGGCCTGCTGCCGGAGACCATCTACCCATTCATGCAGGAATACCTCAACTGTTCTGGCGCTCAAGTCACGGCTGCGAGCCAGCTTGTGGTGCTGCCGTGGAGCTTCAAAGTGTTCTATGGTATCCTGTCCGACTGCCTGCCGATCTGCGGCTACCGTCGGCGACCGTACATGCTCATCGGCTGGGGTATCTGCTTCATCATGCTGCTGGTCATGCGCATCATGCCCATTGGTAAGCCGTACTTTACGAATGCGGCTGACCGAGACGTGGATATTGCAGACTACACTCCGGAGATCGAAGCCCGCATCAACTACGACGCTCCATCGGAAGGCGCCAAGTATGTGATGCTCATGTTCTTCGCTGCGTTTGGCTACGTCATGCCGGACGTGTGTGCGGACAGTATTACCTGCGAGTTGGCTCAACGTGAGCCCTTGGACAAGCGCGGCAAGACGCAGTCCTGTGCGTACCGTGATGGTGATCTTTGGGGAGCTGCTCACTGGGTTCTTCTTCAACGGTGAAGACTACGGCGGCACCTTCGACTTCTCGCTGAGCTTCCCCCAGCTGATGATCATCGTCACTGTCCTCACGATCCCCGTGTTTCCCATGACGTGGTTCTTCATCAAGGAGGAGAAGGTCGAGCGTGCCAACTTGAAGGAGTACATCAGCAGCTTCTGGGACTTGCTGTGCACTCGGGCAGTGTACCAGGTCATCGCGTACAACTTTTTCTCCAACATCTTCGCTGACATCACGTACACCGGCAGCTCCCCCATTCAGGACTACATGGTGGGTGTGACCCCCATCAACAGCACCCTGAGCGACATCCTCAGCAACCTGCTCTTTATGTTGGGCATCATGATCACCTCTAAGTGGGGACTGCACTGGAACTGGCGCTGATGATCGTCGTCACTGGAGCCGTGGTGATCATTGTGGACTGCACTGTGTCGATGATCGTCGTCTGGGACGTCTTCCGCAACCAGTGGTTCTGGCTTGGCCCTCCCATTGCCGTCCAGCTCCCGTACGGCGTCGGCTGGATCATCTCGACTTTCGTGACTGTGGAACTGGCCGGACTGAGCAACGAAGCGGCCGTCTACGGCCTGATCACCACGGTAACGAACGTCGCCTCTCCCTTCGCCTCAGCGTTGACCCTTGTGATCGACGCTCCGTTCAACATCACCAACGCTCGAGTTCAAGAAGACGACCACTCGATTCGCCGAGATCTGACGTACACTATCATCATCATGTACGCTATGACTGCGTTTGCGTGGGTCTTCCTGTTCCTGTTGCCAAAACAAAAGGAAGATACGCAGCGCCTGCTCCGCAAGGGCGGCAAGAGCAAGCTCATCGGCGGTATCACCGTGTTCTACCTGTGCTTCGCGATCGTGTGGTCCGTCATGACCAACATCATGGCTATCTTTGAGAGCACGGCGTGCCTCGTCATTGCGGGGGGCACTGGCTGCTAAGAGAGCAATGTTATCAATGGAGTAGTCTTCGCTTTATGAACAGAAACCTTTGCTTTGTTGCGTTCCTCTTGTTGTTGTCGTCCATGTTGAAGTGATTCCACCAATGATATCGACGACAGAAGGTCAGACTTGAGCGTATGGTTGGATTGTAGCATATAAACTACGGCAACTTTTTCAATGGAAGTTCAAGACCGTACTTACACAGGATCATTTCTATAGTACCTTCTTTTCTACTTGACTTTCCAAGTAGACAACCTCAATAACTTTGATGATCGTATTCGACTTCATTCATTGACTCGGGATGTCGGTGGTTGCAGTGCTGTGTCCTCTTTTGGACCTGGTCTCCCCCATTGATGAACGTCCGCTGTCGCTATTCCAAGGCAGCGTGAGTGAGTGGAGTGATATGAGAAGTTATTGATTTTCTACTCTTACTTTTCTCCTTTATATTCTTTTACTAGTTAGTTATCTACCAGCTATTGTACAATTTGACCCTATGCGTCTACCATAGCAATCATGCGCTTTCGTATACCTGTACTATACATACACGCTCCGTGCAAGTACAGAAAATGGAGAGAGACTTTCTACTGTGCTATGCGTCTGTAGACATCTTGGAGGCCCTCGAACATGCCTGCTACAGTACGATCTTGGTAAATTACCAAGGTAAAAGTTTCAATTGCTATCTGAAACAAATCAATAAAAAAATGGCCCAAGAATACTCAACTTGCAACAAGCTCCCTTAAATTGCAACTCGGCCTACACTTATTGGTCTCCAATAACCGAAACGAGACCTTCCAGCGCTGCTTGGACACCGCCCATGCAGAGACTCTCACGCGCGCTGTATGCGGCATCGGCGCGCCGCGCTGGTCTATCCGCCTCTGCATGTATCTCCTCTCGCCATGTAGCGGCTTTCACGGCTTCAAACGCCCCCGCGTGGCCTCCAAACCGGCGGTTCTTAAGCGCACCCTCCGCCGTCCAAGAGACTGCCAATCTCGGCCGCTGCGCGCGTCGCAGGGCCAAGAAGCAGCGCGCCGCCGCTGCACATGCGAGCGCAAGTGAGGGATCAGGCAATGCAGCCCCTAATAAGCAGCAGAAGAAGGCCAAGAAGGGCAGGTTCAACGTGCACCGCTGCGTCGCGCAGCAGCAGATGCCGCTGAGAGACGTGCTGCCGCTGGTGCAGAGCGAGGTGCGCGCGCACACGCTGCGCGTGCCCATGGCGCGCCACGCCGTGGACTCGTTCTACTTCCACTGCGCGCAGCAGGCGGAGAGCAGGGAGCTCAGCGAGGACCTGCGCCTGCAGGTGCTGCGGTACTTCGACGACGAGCTGTTCACGTGGGACAAGGCGGAGCAGACACAGCGGTTCGTACTGGGCCAGTCACTTAATGAGGCTGTGTTCGGCTCGGTGATCAAGCTGCACCTCGCTGCGGGGGACACGGAGGCGGCGTGGAAGCTCATTAACAAGCTCAGGAAGGCGGTGAGGGCGAGAAGCAAGGCGGGACAGGAACCACCCAAGCTCCACTTCAGGACGGTGAGCCCGCTGCTTGAGCACGAGTGCAGACACGACCAGTTCGCGAGCGCGTACTCGAGGTGGCAGCAGCTCAAGCAGCACGACGTGGAGTGGACCAGCGCCATGGAGGACGTGCTAGTGCAGATGGTCATCGCCTGCGTCAAGAGCGACGAGCAGCAGCTCAACGAGTACACGGAGATGCCCGAGAGCGAAGCCAGCGAGCCGCACTTCCACGCGCAGATGGCGTCGCTGCTGCATGACCTACAGATCACGTGTCGTGAGGTGTCTCCGTCGAACGCTCAGCGCTTGCTGCATGCCTTCCGTGATGCTGGATACATCGTCGAGAATGTGCCGAGCGACGCGCACATGAGAAGCAAGTGTCCGTGCTGTGGTCAAGCACTGTGCAAGCAGGGGATGACGGAGCAGGAGCGGGCGTACATGCTCGCTGCTATCGAGTCCCGTCGGAGCAAGTTGGCGCCGGAGAACACAGTCAAGGAGTATTTGGACCCGTTCCGCGAGTGGCTGATGCTGCGTCACGAGAATTTCCAGCTTCAAAACGTAGTAGCGGGTTCGAAGGACGGAAGGCCGCTGCACTTCGTGCTGGACGGCCCCAACATCGCGTACATTAACCAGAACTTCGAGGCCGGCACTTACCGTCTTGATCAAGTCGATGCCATCGCGAAGGATCTGCAGGCTCAAGGCCACCTGGTCAGCATTACCATGCCTCAGGCTTACCTCGCGGACAAGTTCGTGGTGCGTATCCGTACGAAGCAGAACAAGTCTATGCGTCGCCAAGGCAAGTTCGTCTCTCGCGAGCGCACCCCCGAGGAGAAGGCCATCATGGAGCGCTGGAAGGATGAAGACATGCTCTACAGCTGCCGCACAGACTTCCTATCGGACGACCTCTTCTGGTTGTATGCTAGCGTGCTAATGGGACGCGAAGGCCGCGTGGTGACCAACGATCAAGGCCGCGACCACGTCTTCGCTCTGCTGAACGGCTACACCAGCACCAGCGGCCTAGCTCGACCTCAAAAGAACGGCAAGAAGAGCCCCTCTGAGGGATCAAGCACTCCTGCTATCTCCATGGACCTCATCGCGCGCTGGAAGGACATGACGACCGTGAACATCGAGATCAAGCACGAAGAAGTCGCGTTCAATGCTGCAGCTGCCGGCAACTTAACCACGCCGATTCCGATCGAGTCGATCCGCCTGCGGCATCCAGAGCCGTTCTCGCGCGTGCCGCAGGTGACGGCACCGCAGCACTTCCACTTCCCCATCGCGGAGCAGGCGAACATGAACGAGCATCCGAACCAGTCGATGGGTCAGAGGAAGCGCACGCGATGGCTGTGCGTACACCGCAAGGACGCGGCCAACTAGACAACTAACCAACCTCATAGACTGTAACCTCCGTGGTGACACTTTCACTACAGTGGGATGGATGATCACCACTTCATGACGCATTCGGTAGATGATGAAAAATGGCATTATATTGAGGAGACTAGTGCACAGTCTGGAAGCCTTGCAGGCTTGCGTGGCTTGGCTTGATCTCGCTTAGGCGTAGACGCACTTGCCCTCGCTGCACTTGAAGCCGGAGTCGCAGCCGTTGATGAAGAGGCTCGTGGCCGGGTTGAAGCACTGGCCGTTCGTGGGGGCACGGCAGGCGGTCTCACCGCGCGGGCAGTACTGGCCCGAGGGGCAGGCCTTGTAGCAGATCGCGCCGTTGTTGTCCTGCTCGACGTTGTGCACGCGGAGGTGGACGGAGGCCTGCTCCTCGGCGGCCATCGACTGGAACAGGCAGACGGCAGCAATGAGGGCGGAGGTGAACACGGTCGAGAACTTCATGGCGGCTTGGGGACTTGGAGTGTGGCTTTGGGGGCGAATTTCAGAGTGAACCAAGACCTGAAGGCCCCACTCATGAACTGCTAGGAGTTGGTGCTGGTGCTAGCGGTCGATAAATCAGGATCTGTGGAGGCGAGCGGCAGGCTCACCTTAGTTATACACTGTAGACATCTCATTCTTGCGCAAATCCTTCAAAACACAACATCGCAGACGACGTGGGTGAAGCGTGTGCAGTACTTTCCATTCTGTGTTGTGCCGTCTGAGGTGAAACACAGTGCTCGGCGGACCGTGCAGCAAAATATGACTTGTGAAGTGAATGGGAAGTCCGTCTCCGCATGAAGCACCAAATTTTGCAGCAAACTCGCTTGAAGTGACTGCGCACATTCCGAATTGTTTCCGCAGCTTGTTGTTGGGCGTCACCGGTATCTTCGATCTCGTCGAGGAAGACCTCGTCGAGCAGATTCAACCGCTCAGGCAAAGTGAAGGACAGGAAACGGGTGACCGTGCTCCTTCCTACTCAATGAGTCTTACTCATGAAATAATGCGATTCGAGCTCTGATGCCGTCGATTGCAGGATAGACTCGATGTCCACTTTCGACAAAGCTTTGTACTGTACAACGGCGCCGACGCCAACACCGGAACTGGACCACTTCGGTACTGTATCCACGGTTTCAACAATAGGTTACAGCACATGTAGCTCTTGTCTGCCTACCTTGCGATCGACTTACTGGTACTAGCCCACTTATTGAGTGAGCCGGCGGTGCTGCTCGATCAAGCCTATCCTTCTGATTGTTTTTGGCAAGTGAAGATACCATCAATCCTCACCGGTTGGCTCGGTGTCCGCAGATACACTTACAGTCTTCAGTTACCACGAATGGATCGCGCGACCACTTCAACCAGTGCCCTGCGTGGTGATGGCAAGGTAGAAGATAAGCAAGAACACAGCGATTCGAAAGCTACGACAAAATGTATTGCCTGGAGCTGCTTGTTTGTACCGTAACCAGTAGATGTCGTCTTTTGCTGTGTAGGACTACTGCGCCGCCGCGCAGTTGTTAATGAAGCTGACAGTTGTCGTTGCCTGCTTTGTCATCAGCGAGCTTGGTCGCTTGGGTGCTCGGATTTGGCCCGCTCTTCTCGTCTTTACTGGTAGACGCACTTGCCGTGGCTGCACTTGAAGCCGCGGCTGCATCCGTGCTGGAAAAGGCTCGTAGCGGGGTTGAAACACAGGTCGCCGGTCGGAGCACGACACTCGGTCTCGCCGCGTGGGCAATACTGTCCTGTCGGGCATGCTTTGTAGCAAATGGGAGCGTGGGCGGGTAAAGCTTCACTGGAGGTGGCGGCGGCAACGGTGGTAGTGATGGTGGTGGTGGTCTTGTAGACGCATTTGCCGTGGCTGCACTTGAATCCGGCATCACATCCGTGCTGGAAGAGACTGGTGGCCGGGTTGAAGCACAGGTCTCCTGTTGGGGCACGGCACTCGGTCTCTCCGCGAGCGCAGTACTGCCCCGTGGGGCATGCCTTGTAGCAAATGGGACCGTGGGCGGACGAAGGCGTCGTCTTGTAGACGCACTTGCCGTTGGTGCACTTGAAGCCGATGTCGCATCCGTGTTGAAAGAGGCTGGTGGCCGGGTTGAAGCACAAGTCGCCGGTGGGGGCGCGGCAGTTTGTTTCTCCTCGGGGGCAGTACTGTCCTGCTGGGCCTTGTAGCAGATGGCGCCTTGGGTGTTGGCGTTCACGCGGAGGAACGTCGTGGCCTCGGTTTCGGCGGAGGTGGATTGGAACAGGCAAGCGACGGTCACGAAGGCAGCGACGAGCGCGATGGAGATCTTCATGCTGAGTGGTTTGGTGGGGGGAGATTCTTGGGTGAACTGTGCAGGTGCGACCGAATTCGAGAGTGAGAGCGGATAAGGCGACAACGGATTGGGGGTAAGTTGTGATGCTGAGCTGGGCGTTCGCTCGATACTCCTTGGCATGACCAGGAGCCCTCACCATGGTGATTCGGACAGCAAAAAATGTGAGACGAGCGCTGTGGAATCAAGTTGAAGTGGTTTCTGGTGAAAACCGCTTCAAGCTAGTTTCGAGCACGGATCCTGTAGAGCCTCAGACCTGACTAGGATGTGGACGCAAGCCGCGCCGAAGAGCATAACGCCGCTGGTTGCGTGAGCACGAGGCGGAGTGGAGCGAGAGCTCTGGCAACGGTTGAAAGTGTCACGTCGTGCGGTTCCGTTTGTGAGCTACACCAAGTTGTTCCTGTAGCAGAGCGCTTCCCTGCGCGGGCTGTAGATCAAGCGATCGCACTCGTTGGTTGTGGGTACCGACCGCCTCCAAGAGGCGAGTAGATTGCAATTTTCGCGATCGTTTCTGCCAGGGCCGTCGCATGTTGATGCTCATTTGGCGCGGTCGTTGCTGTAGTAGCTGCGTCGGTCGTTTTAAGCCCTGGGGCGTGATAGTGGCCGTCTGCGGTGCCATCGCCCGCAATATGATATCAAGCAGCAAGTACTACAGAGCAGATTTGAGCTGTGTATTGACCAAGCCAGGCGTCTTAACTTGCAGATTCTATCTTAGCGTAGTGCAAAGAGGCAGTGTTCTTGATGGCCCTGAGGCTATCATTCCCCTGAAACAACCTGGTGCAGCAACGACCGCGCCAAATGAGCATCAACATGCGACGGCCCTGGCAGAAACGATCGCGAAAATTGCAAGTCCACGAGCTCTACTCGCCTCTTGGAGGCGGTCGGTACCCACAACCAACGAGTGCGATCGCTTGATCTACAGCCCGCACAGGGAAGCGCTCTGCTACAGGAACAACTTGGTGTAGCTCACAAACGGAACCGCACGACGTGACACTTTCAACCGTTGCCAGAGCTCTCGCTCCACTCCGCCTCGTGCTCACGCAACCAGCGGCGTTATGCTCTTCGGCGCGGCTTGCGTCCACATCCTAGTCAGGTCTGAGGCTCTACAGGATCCGTGCTCGAAACTAGCTTGAAGCGGTTTTCACCAGAAACCACTTCAACTTGATTCCACAGCGCTCGTCTCACATTTTTTGCTGTCCGAATCACCATGGTGAGGGCTCCTGGTCATGCCAAGGAGTATCGAGCGAACGCCCAGCTCAGCATCACAACTTACCCCCAATCCGTTGTCGCCTTATCCGCTCTCACTCTCGAATTCGGTCGCACCTGCACAGTTCACCCAAGAATCTCCCCCCACCAAACCACTCAGCATGAAGATCTCCACCGCGCTCGTCGCTGCCTTCGTGACCGTCGCTTGCCTGTTCCAATCCACCTCCGCCGAAACCGAGGCCACGACGTTCCTCCGCGTGAACGCCAACACCCAAGGCGCCATCTGCTACAAGGCCTGCCCAGCAGGACAGTACTGCCCCCGAGGAGAAACAAACTGCCGCGCCCCCACCGGCGACTTGTGCTTCAACCCGGCCACCAGCCTCTTTCAACACGGATGCGACATCGGCTTCAAGTGCACCAACGGCAAGTGCGTCTACAAGACGACGCCTTCGTCCGCCCACGGTCCCATTTGCTACAAGGCATGCCCCACGGGGCAGTACTGCGCTCGCGGAGAGACCGAGTGCCGTGCCCCAACAGGAGACCTGTGCTTCAACCCGGCCACCAGTCTCTTCCAGCACGGATGTGATGCCGGATTCAAGTGCAGCCACGGCAAATGCGTCTACAAGACCACCACCACCATCACTACCACCGTTGCCGCCGCCACCTCCAGTGAAGCTTTACCCGCCCACGCTCCCATTTGCTACAAAGCATGCCCGACAGGACAGTATTGCCCACGCGGCGAGACCGAGTGTCGTGCTCCGACCGGCGACCTGTGTTTCAACCCCGCTACGAGCCTTTTCCAGCACGGATGCAGCCGCGGCTTCAAGTGCAGCCACGGCAAGTGCGTCTACCAGTAAAGACGAGAAGAGCGGGCCAAATCCGAGCACCCAAGCGACCAAGCTCGCTGATGACAAAGCAGGCAACGACAACTGTCAGCTTCATTAACAACTGCGCGGCGGCGCAGTAGTCCTACACAGCAAAAGACGACATCTACTGGTTACGGTACAAACAAGCAGCTCCAGGCAATACATTTTGTCGTAGCTTTCGAATCGCTGTGTTCTTGCTTATCTTCTACCTTGCCATCACCACGCAGGGCATGGTCGCGCGATCCATTCGTGGTAACTGAAGACTGTAAGTGTATCTGCGGACACCGAGCCAACCGGTGAGGATTGATGGTATCTTCACTTGCCAAAAACAATCAGAAGGATAGGCTTGATCGAGCAGCACCGCCGGCTCACTCAATAAGTGGGCTAGTACCAGTAAGTCGATCGCAAGGTAGGCAGACAAGAGCTACATGTGCTGTAACCTATTGTTGAAACCGTGGATACAGCACCGGAAGTGGCCCTGTTCCGGTGTTGGTGTCGGCGCCGTCGTAAAGCGCCTTCTCGACAGTAGAAATCGAATCCATCCTGCACCCCCACCAACAAAGTGAGTATTATAATCCCGAAGCGCATATTTCATCAGTAGGAACACTGTCATAGCTACCTCCCTCCTTTTCCACCGCTCTTCACGTCCGCTCGCGGACACCTTCTCCGACGGGGTCGACGAGGTCGACGAGGTCAGTGGCTTCAATCCACGCCCAACAACAACCTGCGGAAACGACTCGGAATTCGCCAAGCCACTTCAAGGAGCAAACTTAGCTGTTCTACTCATTGAACGGTGTTCAATGATCCTGTGCGTAAATAGGAGACGGATCTCGCGCTTTATGTTTCAGTGCACGAGTCTTGTCTTCGCTGTGAGTGCTGTGTTTCAACTCAGACGGCAGCGGTCAGTGTTTGCACTGCAACTTTTGCAGTCGTGAGACGCGAAAATGTAGCGGCTGCGAGAGATTTGCACAGCAGCTCAAGGCTTGAGCTTTTCGCCACTGGCAAGTAGCCAAGTTGCCAGGATCATCGGAGGCGAGCCTGTGACTGAGTCAGTCCCTGATTTATCTCTCGCATCACATCTAACTCGCGCTCGCGCAACGAGCCTTCACCTTGTCTGAATATGGACGAGATGCTGCGCACGTGCAGCGAGAAGATCGCTAAAGTTGTCAAACTGTCACGCCACTGGTGACGGCACTGCAGCCCCAATCAATTGACGAAACGAGCATGATGCAGGGTTCAAATGGACAGTATTATTGTCGTAATATGGGCACAAGAAGGGAGACTACAGCAGGAGGGGGCGCTGCCTCTTGGATCATAGGGCTCGCTTAGGCGTAGACACACTTGCCGTTGCTGCACTTGAAGCCGCGGTCGCAGCCGTTGGCCAGGAAGAGGCTCGTGGCCGGGTTGAAGCACTGCTTGCCCGTGGGGGCACGGCAGGCGTTCTCGCCACGCGGGCAGTACTGGCCCGTGGGGCACGCCTTGTAGCAGATCGCGCCGTTGGGGCTCTGCTCGGTGTGCACGCGGAGGTGCACGGAGGCCTGCTCCTCGGCGGCCGAGGGCTGCAGCAGGCACACGACGGCGACGACGGCGGCGGTGAAGACGGTCGAGAACTTCATGGTATTGACTGGGGGAAGAGGAGGAGGAGGAGGGAGACTGGGGACTTGAGAGGCGAATCCGGAAGTGAGCCGATAAATCAGTGCGTGCACAAAGAGCGCTGCAAGGCTTTCAAATCAGTGGCTCGGCGATACTCAAGTCAAGACCTCGGATCGGATACTGAGATCAAGATGTTGCAGGTCATGTGGGTTCACTACGAGGACTGAGATGCGGGTGCCTTGGGGCCCGTCGCCAATGTAGCGGCATTGATTGAGACGGCTATTGAGAACACTTTGATGTTCACAGTTGCAGACGTAGCGGACTTGAAAGCTCGCGATCACTATGGCCTTTGATGAAGCCGCTGCGGCTACGACTTCTGGAGTTATTTGAGTCTTGAAAAAAGGATACTTTCCAAAAATAGAAGATACTGGTGCAGAGACGATCCTGTTTTGGATTTAAAACCCCGATATAATGACCATAGTGACCTTTTTATCAAATCAGGTGCTCATTCTGGTAGTGCGCAATTGAGGATTGTCGATGTAGTTGCCGCGAGCTGCACGCAGTCATGCCCCAGGCTTTCCTCTCTTCCTTCGTGTGTGGTAAGTTGTGTGTGAAGTGTTTCTGATGTGTCTTGTCGAAATGGCTTGCACCGGAAGCTTGAAAATAGAATCGAGCGGTGGATTCTCCCCCGCCGTCTCAGTTCGGCATATCCGCGGCAACAGCAACGGCGGCAACAGCAAACGGCGAAATCGTCACGCGCTGCTCCACCGGAAATGCCGCTAACACGTCCTCTCTCCACCGACAGCTCAAGAATGCCGCCTGATTTGACCGGAGAGGACGGAGGAATAACTGCACCGGAGTGCGGCGCATGGGGTCGACAATACAGGCTTCCTTACCGTGCTCTTTCGGCGGGGTATTGCCCGAGCGCGACGGGAGCGTCGCTGGGCGGTTAGGCAGAGCGAACGGCTTCTTTGCGATGCTCGTGGCCGCTCGAACCCACCTTCGTCTCAAGTGCCTGACGTCGCCGCCGAATCCCAGCACCACCGCAGATACGCTACGCTGCCCTCAGCCAGCGTGCGTGCGGCACTGACAAGTCGCCAGTTGCAGTGAATGCCGCCGGCTGGAAGTGGGTGCCCAGCTGCCGCAAAGTGTAGCTACACTTCAACAAGCGTTTCGGAGGTTCTGGCGATCCCCGCTTCGGCCAAGCGCGTACGAACGGAAAATCGGCCCCGGTATCCCATGTACAGCGAGGGTTCTTCTGCGGGGGCTCGTCATCATCTCTCGCTTGGGTAAACCTGGGCGGCGCTGCCCGAGTGATAATCCACGCGGAGAAGACTGCGATATGCAACAGGCAGCCGCGGCGGAAGGTGAAGTGAATAAAATAGAGGGTAAAACGGCGGCGCGCCGGATTTCCTCTTGGGCTCAGTATGGAACAGTCCCTCCGCTTGTCTATCCAACGGTCTTCCAAAGGCAACCCAGCTGTTCTCTGCATTCGCCGTTCGGCTCAGCCGCCATTACCCAAAGCAAGCCTCAAGCCCCACCTCAGCTTCACTTTACTACACTACACTACACAACACGCCCAGCATGACCCGCCGACCATCCCCAAGCAGCAGCAGCCACAGCATCATCCGCCGGCGCCACACAGGCACTGGCCTGAGCGCGTCCACGCCGCCCGGTGTCGGCGCCGCCTCGGCCGCCAAGAACCGCCGCTTCAGCCTCGACCAGAGCGCCGTCTCGTCCGTCGTCTACTGCGAGGGCTACGCGCGCATCAAGCGCCGCAACGTGCTGACCTGGAACACGCGCTTCCTCGTGCTCAGCGACACGGAGCTGCTGGTCTTCCAGAACAAGCAGGACGCCAGCTACCGCCGCAACGTGCTCGAGACGCTCGAGCTCGCGAGCGGCCGCGTGGGCCCCAAGACGGACTTGGGCATCGAGTTCACGTTCGCGGACGGCCGCGAGATGCTCGGCCGCGTTTTCAGCCGCGCGGACCAGGCGCAGTGGGTCTCGGCCTTCTACCAGCTGGCCATGCGCAGCGAGGTGCGGCGCGTCAAGAGCGCCTCCATGGAGGAGCAGGGCGAGGTCGAGAAGCGCCGCGTTTCGTTCTTCGGCAGCGTGCTCGTGCGCACCATCCCGACGGTGCCCGACGACCAGGTGCCCGAGCTCTTCTACAGCAAGAAGGACGTCGAGAAGTTCTCGGAGCAGGCCTCGAGTCTGCGCAGCCGCACGGGCGACGCCGTGTCGCTCGTGTTCCGCAAGCCCACGCTGCCGTGGCGCCGCCAGGTCGTGTAAGTAAGGGCAGCGGATACTCACGCCCCTATTCAAGCGTCATGTGGTCAACCGGGAGCTACACACACGCCCAGCCAGACCCGAGAGTCCCTCTATTTATTAGCAGCCGCGCTCCGTTGGGGAGAGCGCGCGCACCGTGTATCCTGTGGTAGTCCTGCCTGTTATAAGACCATTACAATCGTTACACATTTCTGCATGCTTCACTCCGCGGTCTGCTTGGTTCCCGTACGCGGCGGTGCCGCCAGCCGGCCTCGCCGGACGAGATCGGAGCGACGGCTCGGAGAACAGCCGCATCGGAAATATTGCCGTGAGAGACGCGCTGCATGTGGCTCCGAGCGGAAGTGCTGGAGGCGCACATGCAGCAGACAGCCACGGTACAGTACCGGTATGAAGCAAGAAGCCGGAAGAGCGAAGTTTGAGTGCAGTGTCTGGCGGCGTGCGGGTCTCGCCACGTCGTGTAGCCGCAGCGCGCTGCCTTGGTGCGGACAAGACGAGCTGCCGTGGAGGCTCCTTGTTGACGACGCCGAGCTCGTCATGGAACGCCTCCCCCGGCTATCCGCCGGTGCCCCAAGCTGTCCGGACGAGCTCTCGATCGGGGGCTGTGCTCCGCATGGAACGGCCGAGGGCAAGAAGCGCATTTGTGGCCTCGGTCCGCCATGCGGTGGTCAAGCGAGTTTCGAGCTCTTCTGGACACGCCAACAGCGCCCGGCTCGTGCACGAACAGGGACAATTATTTCCGATCGCAGCACTGTCCATCCAAGTGCATATAATACTTCTGATAGTCACTACTCGGAATAGTAACTACCTACGTCCGATCTCAAATGCCCCTCACCGTTCAAAGTTCAGCTTTTCGACCAAGTCTCCGTGTGACAAGCACAGGCCGTCCGTCGTCTGTTGCTTGGTTGCTCGCCTCGGACTTGCTCATTCCCCGACTTGCCCTCCCGCGCTCATTCGGAAATCAACCAGCCACTTCACTACACCCCGTCGACGCTGCAGTATCTAGCCATGAAGTTCTTCAGCTGCCTCGCTCTGGTCGTGCTGGCACTCACGGCCGCCGCAGTCTCCGCCAGCGCCCCGGAGGAGACCGGCGTCAAGGCCCGCCACATGCTGGCAATGGGCGACGAGTCCGTCATGTTCGCGCGCGGCTCGCTGCGCCGAGAGGAGGAGACGGACTAGAGAGAATCGTCCCAGAACCTCAGGATGCAGCGGTGATGCAGAGCTAGACACCCCACGCGAGCGGGACGCAGAGCCGCCGCCACTGCACAACGTCGAGAAGAAGAAGAAGCCACTTCGAGACAAGCAAAAGCAGTCGCTACTGCACGATATGAGCCCGACAAGCTGTAACCTACTTAATCTTATTGCTCGCATCCGTGGCATCCACACCGCTCGCTCTTTCGGCCTGCTCCTTTCCGTTTGGGGTGGCAGATTGCTTATTCGTCGTCTCGTGAGCGTGCTTATCATGATAGGTCTGGCGCGGAGCAGAGAGCTTGGAGTATGTCGACATGTTGGTTGGAGTACGATTGTGTCCATCGTGGTGCCAGTTGCTCCTGCTTTTCATTGCGGCGAGCTGTGCTCATCGAAAAGCTGGGCCCCAGTTCAGACAAGAACAGATCCGCTCAGTCTTAACTATCTTATGTAGTTCACGCTGATAAGAGTAGCGGTGGCTTGAACCTAACGCAAGCTGTAGCTTAGCTAAATCCTGAGCGTGATCGCCACAAGTACTTCGTCGAGACCCAGCATGCACCGTAGACCGCACGGTCGAGCCGAGCCTAGTGTCGAAATCGTACGATCGCTTATTTCGCGATCGAGTCTCGGTCCGCCTCGAGCACTGCCCGGCAGCAACGCCAAGAGACGTTGAAGGTTGCTGCTCTCAGCCCTTTCAACCTGTCGCTTCCTTCAGTCCATCAGGCTCCCGGCTGCGAGCGCCGAGCCCAGCTGCCGCTGTCAAAACCACAAACAGCGAAACCTTGACCGTCAGTGCGCCTTGTCGATGCGGCCTTTTCGACTCGACGTTGCGGGAGTGGTTAGAGCAACCATAAGTATGGTTGCTTTTAGCCATTCTGAGACATGTATGGCTGCTTTTAGGGATTTCAAAAATTACGAGCGTAATTTAAATGTCTAAATTACCATTAAGCCCTTAGGTACGCAAATCACGCTAAAGTGCGCTTCTGATTAGGTACGATATCATTAAGTGCGCCACCTCACAGCCGCTCATTTTAAGAATCGCGCTGCTGAACGGAGGCCACGTGGGGCACGCACCTCTCGCGAATGAGTCAAGCACCAAACGGCGAGGGGGGACCGATGGCTCCTGCGGGGGGAGCCATTATAAACGGTAATCAGTATGCTCCATGTTGGTGGCAACGAGAGTATCTACGTGCCTCACATTTTGTTTGAATTCTGTCGGTACGTATTGTTTAGGCCGAAAGCTGCGGAACGTAAACGAGGAGCTAAACTACATGTACGCCGCTCTCGGGATTGAAAAAGACGACGACGAAGACGAAGACTTTGTTCTGGATGAGGAGGATGAGGAGGACAACGGCGACGAAGAGGCGGAGGATTGCTACCAAGAGGAGGAAGACGAAGAAGAGGTCGATGATGACGAGGAGAGCGATCGCGATGAAGAGGAGGGTGACGACGATGAAGAGGAGGCGAGTGACGAGGAACAGGAGGCAGACGACGGAGAATCCAGCACAGAAGACGAAGCAGAAGCGAGTAAGACTCGTTTGGATTATTGTTGATACTTTTTGAGTTGAACTGATAATGTATTGTGTATTTTTTTAGTTTGTTTAGAACGCAGGACACGCAAACAGAGCCCCGAGCCGAGAAAGAAAGCCACAGCACGCAAGAAAACACCAGGTATTCTCGTTAAAGTTGCTTTAAGCAAAAAGATTGCGCTATCATTAATATTGACATTCACTTTGGAATCGATAGATACCGCTCTGGCCAAATGCAAGCTTTCTGCTGGGGTGAAGCCCAATCTTTCGCGAAAAAGCGTAAGGCGGAGCTGCAGCTTCACGAGTCTGTCGACGCTGATTCGACCCCACGTTTATCCAAGCGGAACAAGCAGTACATACCGCGGAAGCGATCAAGCAAGCACCTTGACGAGTTGCGGGAGATCAACGAGGAGCGCGAAGAAATTATCAACCCCGTTCCGCCCTTTACCCCAGCGATTATCAAGAGTTGGAGCAAGTTCAACGCACACAAGCAGAAGCACCACCTCAAGTTTGGAGTACGAAGCTCGGACACGAAATCAGTACAACAGGTATGTGTGACCTCTGTTTGATGAGAAATTTATGTTATTAACCAAACCCCCTTTCATATGCAGCAATCATCGGGACCAAATCCCTCCACGTTTTAATTGGAGTCACAAGGTCTTCCGCTGTACACACGGTGTTTCGCAAGCGTCGCGCTCCAAGGGACATCGCAATAGAAAAGGCAACTATTGCGGGTGTCCTGCACGCATGACACTAACCGTTCAGCGGATGGAAAAAGGCAAATTTCGAATTGTCATAAGAAACGAAGTATCTGCCTTTTCGTGTATTTGTTTGCTTTGTTAGTATTTCTCACATGTCGCTGTTGATAATCAGAACTTTACCCACACGCACCCGACCACGCGAACGCAAGCATCGTTGTACCTGACAACAAAGACACTTCCGTTGGACGAGCAAGATCTCGGAGATGTTAAGACTTTAACGGATGCTAGTGTTTCTTCCAAGCACATCACGAACTTCCTGAATGAGAGAATCGGTGCGTAGTTTTATATATGATATGCTGAAGTGATACTTACGTTACTGTTCGCGCTTTGTGTGTTTCCTAGGCTGCAAAATAACACCTCAACAGACCCGTAATCTGATCCGCAGTATTATGGGGCACGAAGCAGCGGAGGCCCGTTTGAAAGACACGCTACAAGCTATCCGCCAGTTAGACGGTAGTGACGTCCTTGCTATTCAAGACCAAATGGACGTGACATGCGGTATCGTGATGCAAACAAAGGTGCAGAAGTTGATGTTCGAGCGCTGGGGCGACACTCTTACGATGGATTTCACTCACGGCACGAACAATTTGGGCTATCACTTGGGTGCGTATGAGTTGTTCGGTATAGCAACTTCATATTTGTTACGGCAACCTTGCGTAGTTATAGCAACCATATCGATGATATAGCAACCTTATTAACAAAGTAATTTTCTACTGTTGTGTGTTGGATATTTCAGGGAGTCTGGTCGTCACAACTGCTACTGCTAGAGGGTTCCCAGTTGTAGACTTCATATGCCTCAACCAACGAGCTCCAATGATGACAACAATCCTGGAGTATTTTCAAGAGAAGAACCCAAGTTGGCGGATGATATCCTCCATCGTGATCGACAAAGATTTCGTTGAGTGGAGGGTGCTGAAAACACTATTTCCTGCTGCGAAAGTTTTACTTTGTCAATTCCATGCCATTTCGTACTGGAAGAAGGTGATGCAGCGGGCCCCATACAAGCTGAAGGTGTCTGAACGCGACGAGTTACTCAACCCGATGATAAAAACGCTGTACAGGTACGCAACAGGTTCTATTTATGATTCTTGTGGTAACGCTAACTTTGGAAAACAAACCATATGCAGCTCCACAGAGACAGGTTACGATTCTAGTTACGGTGCATTGAAGCAATACTGCGAAGACAACAAGAAACAAGCTTTATTCTCGTACTTTGAAAAGAACTGGGATTCGTGTCGCGACATGTGGGCGAACTTTGCTCGCAGCAAATTTTTCACGGCTGGGAATACTACAACGAACAGGATCGAGTCAAACTGGAATCAAGTGAAAATACTGTTGGGGCATAAGACACGAATTGACAAGACTATTGCGGGCTTGGTGCAGCATCAAATCATGATAACTCAGCAGATCGGGTTCGTCATCGCGCAGTACCATTCGACTTCGCCCGTTCCTAAAACCATACCGATGTTTCTCCGGACGGTAGCAACTCGACTGTACCCTGACATCTTCGAGAAAGTGAGAAAAGAGTGGGAACGATTTGTGAACTTCATGGCAGACGCGACTTGTGAGCGTACAGCGTCGAGTCCTTCACAATGGAAAATTTATTGCGGGAATCAAACCTTTCGCTGTCACGATGTGGAGTGGACGTGTACTTGTCTATTTTATAGCAGTCACCATTTACCATGTCGTCATCTTATGCACTTAGCACGCGAGGGGCATGGCTTCAAACTGCTTCCAGCTATGGCAATTCATGATCGGTGGAGTACGTACCAGGCCTTGGAAGTGAAAAACGAATTGACGGCTGCAGCGGAAATGTTACAGCCAATTGTGCAGATGTCCAAGTTAAGGTTGCCGAAAGTAAAGTTGCCGAACGACACTGGGGCTGAACCAGAACAACCACTTTATGCTGCGGGGGGTAACGCTTCGCCAACCAAAGCTAGGAAGCAAGTTGCGTACGTACGGCTACGGCGAGGTGAACGGGCAAACCAGGTTGTATTGTCTTCAGCTGAAAAATACGCATACGCAAAAGCGATGCTGGAACCGCTATTGGAACACCTGTCAGATTTGTCTAGTGCAGACTTCTACCAAGAACTAAGCGCCTGGAAGGAAACGATCGACATAGGGCTCAACCGTGTCAACCCTGCCCCCCAACCGAGTTCTACAGAATCTGCTGAAGATAGCAAGCAAGAAGAAGATGTATCTGAACCTGTCTCAGACTCCATTCTGGACCCCGTGGAGGCAATGGGGACTATGACGCTCATGGACGCATTGGAAAGCAGCCCCATGACCATGAATTATGGCGATTACGAGTCCGACGAAAGTATGTTACCGACACAACGCACTCACCTTTCGCAGTCATCTCCAATTCGACCCCCATCGACGAGAAATCTCATGACAGCTGCGGAATGAGTAGCTGTGACAAGGTTTCAAGCTCTACGAAGCCTGACACAGAGTCGCGCGTGGGCCAGGTCGATGTCATTAGAGTTCCTAAGCCACCAAGCCAAGGAAAGTCAAGGTCAACTCCGAAACAGCTGAGGCAAACTACGATCAGTCTCAAAGCCGACCGTCTTGCTGTTCACAAGTACCCCACTGAACTCGCCGTGGCTTTGGATCAGTTCCTGATTTGGGCCAGAAACACCTCAAATCTGAAGCGCGTGATGGAGATGCTGTCGAAGTATCCTGTTCAGCTGGAGGATGCCTATCTAAGAGCTCGGAAGATTGATTGTCATTGGGAAATTGTACGACCTGCGGACTACATGCACACATTTGTAATTCCACAAGACCTCGCCCTATGAATGCAGGCAGCAACGACTACTACCCGGAAGGAGAAGCAGCCAATTGTACTGGATGAAAAGGCCAAGAAGCAAGGACTTGCTCTCGACGTCGTCTTGGCGATTGATCCAAAACTGTGGAAATTTAGCGGGTATGGTTGCTTTAGCGATATGGTTGCTTTAATTGGGCTGCTTTAACATGCTTATGTTTCTAGACAATATGTAGGTGCTCTAACAGGATTCTACGCGATCAAGGCGAAGTGTACCTCATGGTTGAAGGACCGAAAGTGGCTGGAGCAAGATTGGCGTAAAGTTGACTCCATCGTGGATCTTTTCGCTGCGGAGACAGCAACTGCAGGACTACCGCGTGATGCTGTTCCCGAGCGGCACCAAGGTCTAGCGAACGAAATTATCTCAAAGTTTACTTCAAGTCGGCTACGCACTGAATTTGTGACGCTCTCCAACAAAGTCCTGATCAGCTTTGACAACATCGTGGGAGGGATCTGTCGTGGATGGCTAAATGATAGCCCTGTGGACTTTTGCTTGGAGACCCTTGCGAGATCGGTGGGGAAGTGCCATGTGCTGTCATCACTGACATGGGCTATCGGATGGCCAAGTCTCCCTAAGACAGCACTTGCAGCAACGAATTTTATTATCCACCCCGTTAATCTGCACGCAGACCACTGGGGGGTAATTATCCTTCGCCTACGCTACACGGCAAAAACAAGCAAGCTTCGGGTGCATGTTTACATGTACGAGCCGCTCATTGATGATGACTATCACCATGAAATGGAAATCGTGTGGACTGGAATTCCGAAAGACAAAGAAAATGAAGGAAAGGAGGGGCTTCGTGGTTATGTGGAGCGGGCACAAGGCTTCTGACCCCCGTGGCCATCTTTTCTTCGATCCGATTGAGTGGATCTGTGCCACTCAACAACCTGATTTTGCTAGCTGTGGTGTAATGGTAGTAGCCCAAGCCCACAGCTATCTTACGGGGAACTTGCAGATGCAACTTTCTAGAATTTCCAAGAACGACGTCAAGGTGATGCGATTGAAAATGCTGTGGGTCATCATGTGTTACTCCCAAGAACGTCATCTCTCTGAACGCGACGTCGCTAAAGATAGCCAGATTCATCAGCAGCTACAGAACCAGCTCTGAGAAACACCACAATCTGTATTTACCTTTAAATACAGAGTCTATGCTGCATTAGTCTTTCATTTTTCGCACCGCCAGCTCCAGTAGAACATCGAGGGAAACAGCGCCGTCCTCTGCGGTGAGACCACCTTGGTCGGCCCCTTCATCGCCCAAGACGGCTGCTAACGCATAGCTGTTCTCTTCGCGATCTTCGACGGGGGCTTGGATTTGTAGCTGCGCTGCCAGAAGCTTTTCCAGATGCTCGGTAAGCTCATCCAGCTTCTTCTTGAGGAGTGCAATCTCGGCGATTCTCGCGCGCACCAGCTCATGTGCCAGCGATTTCTTCTCCATTTTTGCTGTCGCTCAAACTCTGCTAAGTGTTGAAAATGTGGGACACATATTGTCATGTGTTTCACGTATTGCTGTGTTGAGAACATCAGTTAGACGCCACCACGACGTGTCTAAATTTAGAGATATATGTAGCAAGACCATGACGAGGGCGACGTGTCCCTGTCATTTACGCGTCATTTAAAATAAATTACCGGGTGCCAGCTGGTTTTAGGGTTGCTTTAGGCCTTGTGGTTGCTTTAATTTCTGTCGTGTTGTCGTCATATGGTTGCTGTAGCGCCATTCCGAAGTTGCAGCGTTTGCCACTCTCGCCGGTCACGGCTGTTGACTCAATCAAATCGTATGAACCGCTTGTCTTGGCCCAGCATTCGCAGTTTTGGCCGCCGAGTTCCGCCTTGGCTCGTTTAATCTCTCTGACGCTGCAACAAAACGACAAAAAAGCTCACTTTGACCAAGTGGGAATGTAGCGAAACATTCCGTGTATTCTATTGGCTGAAATTATCCACCGAGACCTCGTTCATTGGGTATAACTATTTTGCTACCGACTGAGCTGAAGAAGGTGAGCGGAGATTCCGCTGCGGAACGAGGAGCGTAGCGCGGCGAGCATAGCAAGCGGAGTGGGCCAAGCATCCTAAAGCGCCGCCACGTGCGGCGGCGCTCTGTTATTTTGCACTTCAAACGGCAAAACGGGAGGAATCGTGTCCCTACGCGCGCTACGCTGCCGCTTGTGGCTCTGTCGTGTGTTTCCTAGGGACAGATGCTGCAAGGGAAAGCTGCTGAAGCGAGGCTGGGTACTGTACGTGTCGAAAGAGAGCTCAAACGATAGTGAAACACCGGTGCTTGCCAATGTTACGGCGCCCCAGATGGAGCCCGTGAAGCGCTGCGACGGACAATATCTGCGATCGGACGAACAGCGGACAGTAGGCAACCACCTTGTTGCCCTCTTTTGAGGCGAGACTTGTTGGCCTTCCTCCTGTTCATTTTCCAATTGGCCTTCTCCAGCCACAGTCACATCGGCTCAAGACCAACAAAGAATCATGCGTCTGTATCACGCTCTGCTCGTCACTGCGGTCGCTCTGCTGGCCAGCAACGCCTCCGCTGGCCGTGCTGACTGCGATATGATCCCCGGCGACTACGTCGAGTCCTCCAACGGCTCGGTGGAGCAGGGCTCCACGGCCAACTCCGCCGTCGGTGCCAGCCAGGCCAGCCAGGGCTCTGCTCCGTCGGACGAGACCCCGGTGCAGCAGTACTCCACGACCAACTCTGGTGCCAGCCAGCCCGCTTCTGCCAGCGGCTCGGCCCCCAAGGACTCCTTCGACGGCTATGACGCTTCGAACGACTCCCCTGTCCAGCAGGGCTCGGCTGTCGGTGCCAGCCAGGCAAGCCAGGGCTCTGCTCCGTCGGACGAGACCCCGGTGCAGCAGTACTCCACGACCAACTCTGGTGCCAGCCAGCCCGCTTCTGCCAGCGGCTCGGCCCCCAAGGACTCCTTCGACGGCTATGACGCTTCGAACGACTCCCCTGTCCAGCAGGGCTCGGCTGTCGGTGCCAGCCAGGCAAGCCAGGGCTCTGCTCCGTCGGACGAGACCCCGGTGCAGCAGTACTCCACGACCAACTCTGGTGCCAGCCAGCCCGCTTCTGCCAGCGGCTCGGCCCCCAAGGACTCCTTCGACGGCTATGACGCTTCGAACGACTCCCCTGTCCAGCAGGGCTCGGCTGTCGGTGCCAGCCAGGCAAGCCAGGGCTCTGCTCCGTCGGACGAGACCCCGGTGCAGCAGTACTCCACGACCAACTCTGGTGCCAGCCAGCCCGCTTCTGCCAGCGGCTCGGCCCCCAAGGACTCCTTCGACGGCTATGACGCTTCGAACGACTCCCCTGTCCAGCAGGGCTCGGCTGTCGGTGCCAGCCAGGCAAGCCAGGGCTCCGCCCCGGACACTCCGGTGCAGCAGTACTCGACGGCCAACTCGCAGGGCTCCGCTCCGTCGGACGCTTCGTTCACCAGCAGCTACCCCGGCCCCACTCCGGACTTCCCTGAGTACGGCCAGGGCTCCGCTCCGGCTGACTTCCCTGAGTACGGCCAGGGTTCCGCTCCGACGGAGTCCCCGGTGCAGCAGTTCTCCACTGCTAACTCTGACGTCGGTGCCAGCCAGGTGAACCAGGGCTCCGCTCCGTCGGAGGAGACCCCCGTTCAGCAGGGCTCCGCTCCAACGGACGCTTCGTTCACCAGCAGCTACGCCGGCCCCACTCCGGACTTTCCGGAGTACGGTCAGGGCTCCGCTCCGACGGAGACTCCGGTGCAGCAGTTCTCCACTGCCAACTCCGACGTTGGCGCCAGCCAGGTGAACCAGGGCTCTGCTCCTTCGGACAAGACCCCGGTGCAGCAGTACTCCACTACCAACTCGGCCAGCCAGGCTTCTGCTTCGGGTTCCGACGATGTTCAGCAGGGTGTTGTGGTCCCTGGCGGCGATGTTGAGGATGCCTCGCAGAAGACCGACGTTGCTGGCGAGTCCGACATCAACTTCAAGACCACCCTGGCCCCTACCGCCACCACCGCCGCACCTGAGGTCGCTGCTAGCTCCAGCGGCTCGAGCTCTTCCAACTCCACGGTCACTACTTCCAGCACCGGTTTCTGCGCTAAGCCGCGTGTTCGCATCACGGAGGTCGACGTTGGCGCCGCCATCGAGAACAACGAGGAGGAGGCCGCCCTCAAGGTTATCGCCATCGCTGCTCTGCCCTCGGGCGGCTCTCGCATTGCCTTCCAGAGCGGTGACAACGTAATCGTTCGTGAGCTGGACGCCAACGACAAGCTGGTGGCCAGTAGCCCCGCCGTCAAGGTGCCGATGAACGACTTCGCCGACATCTACGCCGACAAGAATGGCTTCGTGATCCTCGGAACGAGAGACGCTGAGGGCGGCGGCACCCTCAACTGCGGTAACCCGAGCAACCTGTGCGGTGGTGGCCCGAGCCCCGCTTCGCCTTGCTACGACATGTACATGGCCCGTTATGACGGCACGAGCGAGAAGTGGGCCACCAAGCTCACGTCGTCCAGTGCTTCCCTGCCTCCTTACTCGACGGGCAAGACTGGCCCGGACGTGTACATGATCTGGTGGTACGCTCACCACGGCCGTATCGCGTACGACGGCACCAACTGGGCCGCGTACTTCGGCGCTGCCATCTCGACGTCGGAGGGCGGCTGCATCAACATCCACCAGGGTGACCGCATGAAGGTGGTGAGCCCCTCGGGCTCCATCACGGACAGCCAGGACTCGTTCGACTGGGGCTGCTCGCACTCGGGCTACGAGCGCATCACGTACGACGAGCGCTCGAAGAGCTTCGCGTCGATCTGTAAGACGGACAGCAACAACCGCCTCATGCCGCCCAACAACTGGGACGCGACCATCTACCCCGTGGACCTCGCTGCCTCCAACCTCGGCGACATCGTGTCGGACTCGGTCGCCTCGAGCAACAAGTACTGGTCGGCGGTGAGCAACGGCGACGGTGACAACGCCAAGGTGCACCTGATCCACTACGATCTCAAGTCGCAGGCCAGCGAGGACATCGTGCTCGGCGGCACCGACGCCAACGAGCGTGCTCCTCACCTTGCTGCTATGGGCAAGGACGGCATGCTCGCTATGTGGGAGGGCAGCTCGGCTGGCGGCGACCTCCAGGAGGGCAGCGACCGCACGATCTACGCCCAGGTGCTCAACCGCGCGACGGGCAAGGCCATCAGCGAGAAGATCACGGTGGACAAGTCGGTGGTGGGCAACCGCTACCAGGCGCTCAAGAGCTACCCGGACGGCAGCGTGGCGTACCTGTCGAAGGGCAAGACGGGCACCTCGGTGCAGGTTGTGCGCTTCTTCGGCTGCTAAACGATCGGAGATTGGAATCCGATACACTCTTTGAATGTATAGACTCTGTGTAGATGTTCGCAGGCCACTAGCCCCATTAATACACGCCTTCGATGTTGAAGCTTGCTAACATGGCTACACTGCAACCGTTCCACAACACGTCGGGTCTAAATCTTGTGGCGCACACTGTAGCCGTACTACAGTCGATCTCTAAGTCGCAAGCGCACCAATATCTTTAAGTACCCCGTTAAATCGGATCAAGAGTAAGGGCAGTATAAAAGCTAAAACTGTTTCACGAGTTTTGATTCCTTCTCTAATCGCTTTAACCATTGTACTACGCTAATGGAGGAGAACAACTGTAGCACAGCCGGCGTTGGCGTTGAAGTTTTGATCCGCGCACGCAGTTTCGTATCGACGCCGCACTAGCGAGATGTCGGTGCTTGTGCGCACGCAGCCCAAGGCGGCGGTGTACGTGGCGGCGACGCGGCAGCACGTGGGCAAGACCAGCACGTGCCTGGGCCTGCTGCAGGGCCTCACCGTTCGCCTGGACCGCATCGGCTTCCTCAAGCCCGTGGGACAGGAGAGCGTCGCCGTCGAGGGCGGCTCCTTGCGGGTGGACAAAGATGTCGCGGTGGCGAAAGGTAGGCGAGCAATCTTGTGCGGGTTATGGCGGCTGGTGTATATAATAATTATTGTGGATTGCAGAGGTGTTCAAGCTGGACACGTGCAACTACGCGGACATGTCCCCCGTGGTGATCATGCCCGGGTACACCAAGCGCTTCCTGGACGGACACATCACGGTGGAGAGCCAATTGGACAAGATCCGCCGGAGCTTCGACAAGATCACGGCGGCCAATGAGGTACTGTAGAATAGGGAATGGTGGTGAATCTTCGAGGTGTTGGGCTAATGTGCTTTTGGCTTTCAGTTCACTGTGGTGGAAGGCACAGGACACACTGGCGTGGGCTCCATTGTGCAATGCAACAACGCTAGGATAGCTGCCGAGCTGGGTGTGGATATGGTGCTGGTGGCCAATGGAGGGCTGGGCTCGGCGTTCGACGATCTGGCACTCAACTACGCCATGTGCAAGGCGCACGGCGTGAAGATCCGCGGCGTTATTTTGAACAAGGTGCTGGAGGACAGGACCGATATGCTGCGCGAGTACTTCCCCAAGGCGATGAAGCACTGGGGAGGCGACGTGCCGCTCATTGGCGTCGTGCCCAACTTGCCGGCGCTCTCGAACCCGAGCATGCTGGACTTTGAAGGGCTGTTCAGGACGACGATGCTGACGGACCGATCGAAGCGCTTCCAGCAGTACAACAAGACCACGCTCGTGACGGCAGGACTGCGTCGGTTTTTAGCGAAGCTGACTGCTCCCGAGTTCGAGAACACGCTGTTCGTGACGCATGTGTCCCGCAATGATATTATCCTGGGGTTCCTCTCTCACGCGCAGAACTTCGAGCTCACAATGAAGAGGCCGTACGGCGGTGGACTCATACTCACAGGATCGCCCTCCGGTGACCAGCCGCAGGACTACATTATAAACATCATCAAGAACGCGACAGCTCCCGTGCTCTACGTGCCCATGACCACCTTCGCGGCCATGGAGAAGATCACACACTTCACTGGTACGTCCAGCAAGCTATTTCTTGTTCCTAGCTTTGAATGCTGACGCTATCGGCTATTTGGTTTTGCCCGCAGCCAAGTTTAATCCGACCGACGAACAGAAGGTGCGCGCGTGCGGGAAGCACTACGCCCACCACATCGACTTTGACGCGATTATCTCCAGATAGACACACAGCCTCGGAACTAGATTACGACGGGCAGGGGCACGGTAGAGCTCTCGAGCTCGGAAAAAGACGGAGAACTTCACCTTTTTATCCGAAAACGATTCAATCCGAACGGTGGCGGAAACTTTTTGCAAATCATCGGGCAGTACTTCGGGTATGACCTATAATACCCATGTCGCTCTCGAAACACGCCAGGAAAGGTACTTCCACAGACGTGTCAGGCAATGGCAGTTTCGATACGGCATTTTTTTCTCTTCGTTCCGCACAGAGCGAATGTACGGATGCTGCCTCACTATTCAAAAGATCGTCGAAAAGCTGTGCAGCAAGCAATCGTATTTTCTAAATGCCCCCGTACATCGTGTCCGTGGAGAGGTGCTCGCAGTGAACGTTTTATCTAAAACCCACGATTCGTGGTGTTTGTGCCGCACTACTGTACATATAATGCCACTAGCCAGCGTCTACTCATTTGACAGTGCAATTCTGCGGGCGCTACTGTACGTGCACAGGATACGTCGTTCCATAGCTCTGCAGGTCGATGTACCGGTACCTACACGACGAGTTCGATGCAGCGAATAAATAGCGGGACGCAACGGGTGGAAACAGCGAAGCACACTGCAAGGTGGACGCCGAGCCGTTCCCGCATGTTGCATTCCTCCCTTGTTGTCCAAGATCCTTCGGACACCAACAGAAGAATCGCAGGAGCTCTTGACATATCCTTCAGGTAGAATAGAGGTTTACCCCAGCTGGGTCTACAGACGCCAGCTGCCGGAAGCAAACCACAAACAGCGAAAAACTTGACATCTCCAGTCTCTAGTCACTTTGAGTTGGCAGCATAAAATCCATTCGTTGCATTGTTGCTTGAAGGGTTTTCACGAGCCTGCAGCGCTTGCAGCTCCTCGTGGAGGGATTGCAAGATGTCAGTTGACACGCAGGAGCTGAGAGCCACAAGAGCTCGATGGCGACCAGTCCAAGCATCAATGCTTCGTTGAACTGAGGTTGCACATCGTGCATCGTGACATCAAAAGCACACGACGAGCGGCTCTCTTTCTCTCCAGCAGGACGCAGCGGACGAGCGTCACGCTTCCATCATCTGTCGTGACGTTAACTGCGCGCATATGCTGCGGCCGAACCGTATTGCCTGAGTGCGGCAGCCAACATAGAGAGCATGGAAAAGCAACCTAGCAGCAGGGTACGCCACTGCTACATCTGCTCGTCCTGAAGCGCGTGGCGGCCCCGCATGGATGAACGCTCCTGCACTCCCTGCCATGGTGGACCCCTTCAGGCTGTTCGAACTCCATGCACATGTAGTGTAAAGGAATTCCTTGGTCTACTTCGTCTTCATTTTCCAATTGGCCTTCGATCAGCCACAACCACATCGGCTCAAGCAAGACCCGCACACAAGTTACCATGCGTCTGTACACCGTCCTACTCGCCACCGCTGCCGCGATGCTCGCCAGCAACGCTGCGGCCGACAAATGCACTATTGTCACCAAGGCGCCGGCTGTCACGACCGCGCCCACTGGCTCATACGACGCGTCCAGCGGATCTGCAGTGACCCAGGACTCCACTGCCGCCTCGGCCGTTGACGCCAGCCAGGCTTCGAACGCCGACGACACGAACCAGGGCGTTACCCAGACCTCTGGCTCGGATGCTCCGTCCAGCGACGACGACACCGAACAGACTTCTGGCTCGGGAGCTCCGTCCAGCGATAACGCATCCCAGAACACCGACGTTGCTGCCTCCTCGGACACTGCCGGCGAGGCGGACACCGGCGTCGACTTCACGGCCACCCCGACCGCAACTACTCTCGCCCCTACTGTTGCCTCCAGCTCCAGCGGCTCACTCGCCAGCTCTAGCTCCAGCTCTGCTTCGGTCCCTACTACGTCGAGCAACTCCACGGCTACCTCCACCACCTCCGGCGACAACTCGAAGCTTTGCGCCAAGCCGCGCGTGGTTGTCACGGAGGTTGATGTCGGCGCCACTGTCGAGAACAACGAGGAGGAGGCCGCCCTCAAGGTTATCGCCATCGCTGCTCTGCCCTCAGGTGGCTCGCGCATTGCCTTCCAGAGTGGTGACAACGTAATCGTTCGCGAGCTGGACGCCAACGACAAGCTGGTGGCCAGCAGCCCCGCCGTCAAGGTGCCGATGAACGACTTTGCCGACATCTACGCCGACAAGAACGGCTTCGTTATCCTCGGAACGAGAGACGCTGAGGGCGGCGGCACCCTCAACTGCGGTAACCCCAGCAACCTGTGCGGTTCGGCACCTAGCCCGGCGGTTCCCTGCTATGACATGTACATGGCCCGTTACGACGGCGCGAGCGAGAAGTGGGCCACCAAGCTCACGTCATCCAGCGCTTCGCTGCCTCCTTACTCGTCGTCGGCCAGCGGCCCGGACGTGTACATGATCTGGTGGTACGCTCACCACGGCCGCATTGCATTCGACGGTACCAACTGGGCCGCGTACTTCGGCGCTGCCATCTCGACGTCGGAGGGCGGCTGCATCAACATCCACCAGGGCGACCGCATGAAGGTTGTGAACCCGTCCGGCAAGATCGCGGACAACAAGGACTCGTTCGACTGGGGCTGCTCGCACTCGGGCTACGAGCGTATTACGTTCGACAACCGCACCAACAGCTTTGCCACGATCTGCAAAACCGACAGCAACAACCGCCTCATGCCACCGAACAACTGGGATGTGACGGTCTACCCCGTGAACCTGGCTGCTGCCGACCTCGGTGACATTGTCCCGGACGGAGACTCTTCCAGCAACAAGTACTGGTCGACTGTGAGCAACGGCGACGGCGACAACGCCAAGGTGCACCTGATCCACTACGACCTCAAGTCGAAGGCCAGCGAGGACATTGTCCTGGGCGGCACCGACGCCAACGAGCGCGCTCCTCACCTCGCCCCCATCGGCAACGACGGTATGCTCGCTATGTGGGAGGGCAGCTCGTCGGGTGGTGACCTCCAGGAGGGTGGTGACCGCACGATCTACGCCCAGGTGCTTGACCGTGCTACGGGCAAGGCCATCAGCGAGAAGATCACGGTGGACAAGTCGGTGGTGGGCAACCGCTACCAGGCCCTCAAGAGCTACCCGGACGGCAGCGTGGCGTACCTGTCGAAGGGCAAGACCGACACGTCGGTGCAGGTTGCGCGCTTCTTCGGCTGCTAAAAAACTAGATGTTGGGTACAAACAGAGTTTAGAGAGATGTGAGTGAGTAGTGTGGTAGATGTGAATGCACAGTGCATCAAAAGATCCAAAATTACATGAGCGAGTACCCTATCAAACCGTTTGAGTAGCAGTAGCAGTAGCAGCGAGCGTGTTCCAGCGCTCCACCACCAGCAACACAGCGTTCACCTCCTTCACAATAGCGTCAGCTGCAGCATACTGCTCCGCGTCCTCCTCCGACAAGTCCGCTCGCGTCAAGGCGTCGGGCTTGATCCACCTCGCGTTCACCCAGATAGTGCGCAGGCCCGCGCGTTTGGCTCCTTCCACGTCGCACTCGTAGTGGTCGCCGACATGGACAAGGTGCTGGCGACTGTACGAGGCCGGGAACTTGGCCACCGCGGCGTCGAAGATGGCCGCGCTAGGTTTAGCCGAGCCCACGAGCTCGGCCGAGATCATGAAGTTCACGTGGTCCTGGAAGTACTTGGGCAGGCTGTCCATGGCGCAATTGCCGTTGGTGATGACGCCCAGCACGGGGCCGGCGGCCACAGCGCCGCTAGAGCGCTTGATCTCAAGCTCGAGGCCTCGGAGCAAGCCCTCGACGCCGTCGAACAGCTCCGGCCGGCTGCGCGGCTCCAGGAAGGCGCGGAAGGCGGTCTCCACGAAGGCCTCGAGCTGCGCCTGGTCCTGCACGCGCAGGTTCTGCGCGCCGCACGCCTTCACGCAGTGGCGCAGCGTGTGCTTGCGCAGGAACGTGTAGTCGTGCGCCTGGGCCGGCAGAGCGCGCTGGAACTCGACCAACAGCGCGTCGAACGCCGCCGGGGGAAACTGCGCCGCCAGCTGTGGCGTCTGCTGCGCCAGGAACGCGTGGAAGGCCTCGCTGGCCTTGCGGATCACCGTCCTGCCGCACCACAGCGTGTCGTCCAGGTCGAAGGTCACGCCGCGCACGGCCGCGCCGGCTGGAGATTCGGTCGCCACCATTTCGTGTTCGTTCATGTTCGGATCAAAGGAAAATGTAGTGTGCGCCACATCGTTTGGTGGGGGAGAGTCGATTAGCGAGCGGTTCCTGCGAATATGTTCTCCCAGAGCCTGCTCATTGTAGGATGCTGTCCATTCCCTGAGTGGATTGCTGCCCCAGACTGTCTTATTCGTCCGTAGAGCTACAGCCTGTAGCCTATTGAACACCTCAAGATGCAGAGCTTGCAATACGATACTTTCCGTGAATTCCTGAAAACATTTTACCCGGTCGGCGTACAGGCGGATGTATGTAAAGCCTTGCAGCGCTGACGATGTGGGCACCCGGAGGGTCGACAGCAGAAGATAAAGTTTTTCTAACGATTGTACCGTACAAGTCGTTGTTCCATTGATTTAGTTTCGTTCAAAACCTCATCTACATCCTAAACGCATGGTCGATCCCGACATGGTGCGAATCTATTTGCTTTTCTAGCAGCCGAAGAAGCGCACGACCTGCACCGACTGGTCGGTCTTGCCCTTCGACAGGTACGCCACGCTGCCGTCCGGGAAGGACTTGAGGGCCTGGTAGCGGTTGCCCACCACCGACTTGTCAACCGTGACCTTCTGGCTCAGAGCCTTGCCCGTGGCACGGTCAAGCACCTGAGCGAAGATCGTGCGGTCACCGCCCTCCTGGAGGTCACCGCCAGCCGAGCTGCCCTCCCACATAGCCAGCATGCCGTTCTTGCCCATTGCAGCAAGGTGAGGAGCACGCTCGTTGCGGCTCGTGCCACCGAGGACAATGTCCTGGCTGGCCTTCGACTTGAGGTCGTGGTGGAGCAGGTGCACCTTGGCGTTGTCGCCGTTGCCGTTGCTCACAGTAGACCAGTACTTGCCGCTCGAGGCGACCGAGTCCGGCACGATGTCGCCGAGGTTGGAGGCAGCGAGGTCCACGGGGTAGATGGTCGCGTCCCAGTTGTTGGGCGGCATGAGGCGGTTGTTGCTGTCCGTCTTACAGATCGACGCGAAGCTGTGAGTGCGGTTGTCGTACGTGATACGCTCGTAGCCCGAGTGCGAGCAGCCCCAGTCGAACGAGTCCTTGTTGTTCGTGATGGCACCAGCCGGGCTCACCACCTTCATGCGGTCACCCTGGTGGATGTTGATGCAGCCGCCCTCCGACGTCGAGACGGCAGCGCCGAAGTACGCGGCCCAGTTGGTGCCGTCGAACGCGATACGGCCGTGGTGAGCGTACCACCAGATCATGTACACATCCGGGCCGTTCTTGCCCGACGAGTAAGGCGGCAGCGCCTTGCTGGACGACGTAAGCTTCGTGGACCATTTCTGGGCGGCGCCATCGTAGCGCGTCAGGTACATGTCGTAGCAGGGCACAGGCGGGTTGGGAGCCGAGCCACAAAGGTTGCTCGGGTTACCGCACTGGAGGGTGCCGCCACCCTGGGCGGCCTTCGTTCCGAGGATCACGAAACCGTTTTTGTCGGCGTGGATGTCACCGAAGTCGTGCAGCGGCACCTTGACGGCGGGGCTGCTGGTCACCAGCTTGTCGTTGGCGTCCAGCTCGCGCACAATGATGTTGCCGCCGCTATGGAAGGCGATGCGGGAGCCGCCCGAGGGCAGAGCCGAGATGGCCACGACCTTGAGGTTCACCTCGTCCTCGTTGGCGTCCACAGCAGCGCCCACGTTGACCTCCGTGATGCGCACGCGCGGCTTGGCACAGAAGCCCGTGCTGGACTTGGCCGTCGTGGTGGCCGTCGTGGTGGCGGTGGTGGTGGTGGTGGTGCCGGCAGCGTCAATGCCAGTGCACACCGCGAAGAACGCGACCGTGGTGGCCATGAGAGCGTGGTACAGACGCATGGTTGGTGGTTGCTTGGGTTGCACTGGGAGGGGCTTCGGTGGCGCGGGGCAAGTTCGGAAGTGAGAAGGAGCTGATGGCGGTGGAGATTTTAGCGGTCACTTGAGTTGGCGCATGGCTTGCGCTGTTGGAGCGTCCGATCGGTGGGATCACAGCAGGAAAGATAACCAGACGACAGATGGAGTGTCGTACCCTTGACGACACCCTGGTGTTGCGCCGCGCTTCAGCGATTCCGAGTCGGCGCTTGTGGGGTTTGCTGACTTGGCCGGTTATGTGGACAACAGAAGGAAGCCGAAAGACAGGCATCGCGCACTCCCTGTATCATAGATACACAGTACATGTAGGGGCGATCGGTTCGAGCGGCCATACACCGAGCTTCCAAATTCTGTAGAGGTTCTACTGCACCGGCAGAGGTCCTATTTGAGAGACAATGTTGTGGTCCAGTTGTGTAGATGCTTGTACTGACACAAGTACCAGTATACGTGCCTGTAGCAGACTGTAATAAGCTCCAGCCGCAACATGTTCATGAAACAATGACCTCACTGACACGCGACTGTCGCGATCATTGAAGTGCGCGCTCAATGTGTCGACCGGCTGAAAGCGGTTTATGCAGACCCCATCAACGTCTGGCAGCAATCGTCTTGCTGTTTGTGGTGACCGCGGGGTTCCGAGTTTCCACCTGGTTGATATGCGTCGAATTGTGATAACTCTGTAATTAGAGCCTGATGGTATGTTTCTCTACCAAAGGCCGTACAGGACTTTTATACTGTACTAGCTCGCAGCCCCGCAGCACCTGCTTGAACTCCCCAGCAGGAAGCAGGATCGGTCAGAGTGCAGCACATGGCCTGCTGTGTCTGTTACAACGAACGTTTGCACGTCGATCCAAGAGCAGAGTAAACGCGCTGTTGAGCGTAAGCTGCCATGGATGCCAGCTCTCCAACATGGATATTATTCTTTGCCGCAGGCTCTCTCCCAAATTCGTATCCGTGCACTTTGAACCATGCTTCTTCTTGAATACTGAATGATATATTGCATTATTTATTTTCAAAGATCGTTTCTAATCAAGTTAACAACACAATGGTTTTGAGCGCGTCATAGATGTAGGCATGGTTGTCTTCATTGAGTTATTCATGCACTGACGAGGCCCACCGTGCGCTTATAAGCATATAACGCTAACCGAGAAAACTATAACATGCAGAAAACAGATCTTCTCCGGTCGAGACGCCCGCCATTTACTACTTCGCGAAGCAAGGCGCCCAGTATTGGGTGCACATAATTTCACGGCGCTAGTCGTGTTCGCACGAGCACTACGAGAGAGAGAGAGAGAGAGAGAGAGAGAGAAGGTAGTCTATTTAACTTTAGGTGTTAGCTTCCTTGTATAATCTCAAGTCGTTTTACTAGCGCCATCTCCTTGTGGTGGAGCCATGGTGCTGGGGGTGGAGTGGAGTGGGTTCGTCTGGTCGGGGAGCTTCACTGTGCATGGCGTTGAAACACACGAACATTAACTATAAACTTAGTAGTAGTAGTACTTAAGTAGTAGCTAACTGACGTTTGTAAACTGTTTATTAGTCTACATAGAGAATCTGGCTAACAAGATTGCGGAGTTAGACGGGTTTTAGTCATTCATCTTGAGGCTCGTTTTTAGTTGCCGAACGGTAACTTCCACGAGTTCTCTTCTACACCAATAATGATGCCCTTATATCGACTTACTCTGGCTGCTCCGTGGTGCGCATCAGAGGTCGGAAAATAAAATATCATATTGTATTTTGGTTTTGGGGTCGCAGTAATAATCATTGCAATACAGGGTCAGCCAATAATACAGTATTTTCACAATTATTGGCAATAAATATATACGGGGGTTTTGTAGTAAGCTTAGTTTTTGTATTGGCGCAAGTGTTGATATTGTATTGGGACAATTTTCCATTGTACGGGAGCACCCTAAAGCAATAATAAATTATTCCGTGCTAAAAATGCCGTAACTATTGTATTGATATTATTTTTTCCAACCCCTGGTGCGCATACGTGGGATATGGATTCAACACAATCGGTCTCAATGCGGTTAAGCAGCCATGTATTTGAACACTACAGAGCAGCAAACATACAAACGCTTTTGCAAACAGCACTTACAGTGAGTTCGTGTTTTGTGAGTATCACTAGCACGTTTACGGAGAACACTAAACACAAGTATCGCCTAAAGGACGTCATTTATCCCAATAGACTTTTCATTGTTTGAACACTATCGAATACGAAGGAATAATGGTGATCTTACCAGCAGCGTGGATACTCGTAGTGGTCGCAAGTCCGGCGGCCCTATCCTTTTAGTTAGCACTGGCGTGGGTGGGAATGCTAACCTGCCAGGTGTGGTGTGTCGCAACCTGTAGGCACTTGAAATGCCTTCTGCATCAGGAAAACCCGTTTATCGCCCATCGCCAGCTCCGCTTGCTCCCTTCGATAAACATGCAAGGCCAACAATGGAGCACCGACAGTCGTTAACTTTCTTCATCATATGTAGCAGCGCTCAAGTTCTACCAACATTCGTGCCACAGGAATAGACTTCGAGGGCGGTCAACGTAAGGGGCCGCCTTGGGATATTTGGTTCGCCGTGACAGCAAACAGAAGCCCAAGCTGCAGGCCATCGCTCAAGCTCACTCGCAGATGGAGAACGATGGCAGCGGAAGTCGGCCCGGACGAGGGAGGAGCGCCATCCAGCGGCCCTCAGCATTTGATCACTTTTTCGACCCGCCCACCATCGCTTGGGGTTGCCACTCGGAACCTTCCTCCACAAGCAAGGAACCTCATGACTTTGAACCATAACCAAAATGAAAAAAAGATAACCATTTTGCCCAATGCCTGTATGCATCATTGGAAATGTGAGCGTAAGGGAGTTGTTAAGAAGCATGCATAGTTCCGTCTTCGAACAAATAGTACAAGTTGATGCACAACGAATATTTGGTAGAAGTCGAAAAAGTGCGCGTCCTGCATGACGTGGCGATCGTCCGAGTACCGTACTATTAATAGCGCACCAGTCCCCCAGTGGAGTCTGCCGCCATCTTGCTGATGAACTCGAGCAAGATCGTGCGGCCACTACGATGGAGGGTTGTCATGGCAGTAACTTATTCATTTGAGTTGAAGAAGTGCTGACATAGTAACCTTGCTGTAGCAACACACAGTACCAACACACAGAGACAGCAAATTCCGTAGTGCTATTGTATTTTTAAATACAATTATATCACGGAAAATAACTGATTACAACATAATATTTCAACAATATATACTATTATTATTGATGCAATAATATTGAGACAGCGTTAAACAAAATGATACTAAGCCACCATTAGAGTTATCGAGATAATCGCGTTTGAAGCTGACCAATCAAATTTCGTACCTAATTCGTACCTAACAGGACATCTAAATTTGAAAGTTAAAATCACTCGTATTAAGCAGAAAACACTCTAATTCGATTGCTTTTAGCACGAACTTTCCGGCAGTATACAATACGTTAATTTCGGAGAAATATTGAGCTCACAAGCCCCAAATAAAATCCGGGATTTGGGGGGTCCGAAAATGGAGATATTGTTTTAAGACCGACTTCACTCCGCGAGTTCTTAACATTTTTCATCTCTCAATAGCTCAAAAGAAGCACAGAACACGGCGCTTTCGAGCGGTATGCTTAAATCGCGATTCGTACTTTGGTTGATTAGTATATTTTTGTTTGAGGCTGTCTCACAAAATATCATATTATGATATTAAATACTATATCGATATAAGTACTTTATAGTGCTATATTATTTGAAATAGTAATATCAAAATCAATAATACTGTTTTGTTCTTGTTGTATCGTTGTGCCGAGCTCTGATCCAAACAATTACGACCAACTGGAAACGGAATCTTTTGCTCCCAATCCTTGATGTCGACAATAGTATAGATCTGTGTGGAGCATGTAGCCCGGTTGCCGTGTTGCACCCGCCGTCAGAGCATGACATGCATTGTATTGTACAGCACAATTTGTACTTCTACATGTGCATGCCCTGCATCATACGAGTAGTTTACTACCACGTTGCTTATTGTTTTCCATGTTATGGAAAACAATAGTTGAATTTTGCATAAGCCACCAAAACATCATGGCAGCGTTAGTACTAAAAAGCAACGATGAACGCCCATACAATGTCTAGTGGCTTGTTCGCAACTACGTCAGCCAGTAGAGTACCGGTAACGGCGGTACATGCATTATCAAAAGATACGTGAGCCTTCAGTGTCCTTAGACCTCGGAAAATACAGTATCATATTGAATTGCAAAAGTTCGGTCTCCATAATAATCATTTCAATATATCATTCACCAATAATATGTATTTATTTCAATTAATTTTATATGGAGATTCACGTTAATTGGTTTTTGTATAGTTAAACATTTTACTGAAAATTGGGCTTCAATAATAGTAATTTCAATACGACCGGCAACCAATAATACATATTTCCGCACACAAATACAGTAATTGCAATGGAATAATTATTTTTTCCGAGGCCTGGTGTCCTTCTGATGCTGCTAAACCATGCCATCCGAGCACAGCCACATAAGCTGCTCAAATTGATGAAGTTTGGTACATTACCAGGGCCCCTCTCCAAGGTAGAGCAGTCCATCTGTAGTCCGGTTATCTGTCCTGTTGTGATCATATCGACGATGGGCCATCGTACACACGACAGCGGAATCATGGACTGTCCCGGTCGCACCAGATTAAAGTGTCTGATAAAAATCTTCGGTGGACAGCTCCCACTTTCCAATTTGCCCCGCGCCACCGAAGCCCCTCCCACAGCAACCCAAGCATCCACCAACCATGCGCCTGTACCACGCTCTCATGGCCACCACCGTCGCCGTCTTCGCGGTGTGCACCACGGGCATTGACGCTGCGGGCAACTCCACCGCCACGACGCCCAAGTCCAGCGGCGGTTTCTGCGCTAAGCCGCGCGTGCGCATCACGGAGGTCGACGTGGGCGCCTCTGTGGAGAACAACGAGGAGGAGGCCGCCCTCAAGGTCATCGCCATCGCCTCGCTGCCGTCGGGCGGCTCTCGCATTGCCTTCCAGAGTGGCGAGAACGTCATCGTGCGCGAACTCGACGCCAACGACAAGCTCGTGGCCAGCAGCCCCGCCGTCAAGGTGCCGCTGCACGACTTCGGTGACATCTACGCCGACAAGAACGGCTTCGTCATCGTGGGCACGCGTGACGCCGAGGGTGGAGGCACCCTCAACTGCGGTAACCCGAGCAACCTGTGTGGCGGCGGCCCGAGCCCCGCTTCGCCGTGCTACGACATGTACATGGTGCGCTACGATGGGGCGAGCGAGAAGTGGGCTACGAAGCTCACTTCGTCCAGCGCCTCGCTGCCGCCGTACTCGTCGGGCAAGACTGGCCCGGACGTGTACATGATCTGGTGGTACGCTCACCACGCGCGTATCGCGTCGGACGGCACGAACTGGGCCGCGTACTTCGGCGCTGCCATCTCGACGTCGGAGGGCGGCTGCATCAACATCCACCAGGGTGACCGCATGAAGGTGGTGGACCCGTCTGGCAAGATCGCCGACAACAAGGACTCGTTCGACTGGGGCTGCTCGCACTCGGGCTACGAGCGCATCACGTACGACGAGCGCTCCAAGAGCTTCGCGTCGATCTGTAAGACGGACAGCAACAACCGCCTCATGCCGCCCAACAACTGGGACGCGACCATCTACCCCGTGGACCTCGCTGCCTCCAACCTCGGCGACATCGTGCCGGACTCGGTCGCCTCGAGCAACAAGTACTGGTCGGCGGTGAGCAACGGCGACGGTGACAACGCCAAGGTGCACCTGATCCACTACGACCTGAAGTCGAAGGCCAGCGAGGACATTGTCCTGGGCGGCACCGACGCCAACGAGCGCGCTCCTCACCTCGCCCCCATGGGCAAGGACGGCATGCTGGCTATGTGGGAGGGCAGCTCGGCTGGCGGTGACCTCCGGGAGGGCGGTGACCGCACGATCTACGCGCAGGTGCTTGACCGCGCCACGGGCAAGGCCGTCAGCGAGAAGATCACGGTGGACAAGTCGGTGGTGGGCAACCGCTACCAGGCTCTCAAGAGCTACCCGGACGGCAGCGTGGCGTACCTGTCGAAGGGCAAGACCGACACGTCGGTGCAGGTCGTGCGCTTCTTCGGCTGCTAAGCAGGAAGGTTTGGTCCTGTGTACGGGAAACAAACATAGATGAAAAGTGAAAGAGCTAAATTAATGGAAGTAGAAATGTACTGAGAGAGATAAGGCCCCAAGGTGCTTGACCTAGTGGCGTATATTTAGGCACTCATTTCGGAGCCTGCTGGAAGCTGGCACTTTGACGTCTAAGTGAGTTACCCTAAACTATTCCTAGTTGATCGGTTTCCCTTCCTGAGGTCGAGGTCGTGGTGAGGCGGCGGATTGAGGGGATGCGGTTGCTGATGTTAATCGGGAGTTCCATTAGGGGGGTGACTTAAGGGGTTCCAGGGGATGTAGTGATGGAGGTAGTCGGGGGTCGGAAAATAGACTTACGTGGCGTTTGTATCGGAATCGCTCCGGGCGAGACTCGAACCCTCAGTGGAACGCTTGATCTTCGTGGGCCTTACCCACAGGGACACTAGGAGCCCCCCGAAGTAGAAATGTACTACTACTAGGAAATGTGTTTGATAATTGCGTAGTGTTTCTACTACGTAGTACGTTTGTTCTAGGTAATTTAGAATCCTAACCGTCGCTTGAATGACAGAGATGTGAATAACTGGCTCTGTGGGATACGGTTGGTGGCTGCAAGCTAGCTTCCTGTTGCGTGTGGGCCGCTGGATCGGGTAGTCTGCTAGGTTTAGTGGGGTTTCTCTTCCTAAAATGAACTCTCGTTACTGAGTCGGTCAGTATATTATTGCCACGAAATCCTTTAATAAATTTTGCACTGTGCTGTTCATGTTGCCTAACTGTAGCGGTTCGTGCTCGCGCCTAAACGGATGCGGTAGCAAAACTTTTAGCTATCTGTCTGCCCCTGCAGGAAACCAGATGTTCTTTTTACGCTTCTGCAATTCGTTGCGGCCCGCTTTCTGCGTACGAATACCCACTTATTTGTAGCCTAGACATACCAACATCGCGCACAGGCTGTGCTGTGCGGCACAGCATAAAGGCTCTACACTCGATTTCTTTCGCATCACAGATCTACACTACAATAAAAAAGTGTAGTGTATAGGGTATACAGTATACATGAGATACGTCATCATGACGTTATCAAATACTCAAAGTGCGAGTGGGATCAACGCAACAATGGTCAATGAACCTGAGTACTGTACCTAAAATTCCCGCAAACCACTTCTTCACAGGCGGATTTGAGTGACCTCCACAAATTATCCTTTTCTGCAGCGCACGTCGCCCCACCCGAAAAATCGTCTTCGATGCGCTCTTGCTGGCAAAAGGCGAAGTCTTTACAAACCAACTATCAAACACATTTCCTAGTAGTAGTACATTTCTACTTCCATTAATTTAGCTCTTTCACTTTTCATCTATGCTTGTTTCCCGTACACAGGACCAAACCTTCCTGCTTAGCAGCCGAAGAAGCGCACGACCTGCACCGACGTGTCGGTCTTGCCCTTCGACAGGTACGCCACGCTGCCGTCCGGGTAGCTCTTGAGAGCCTGGTAGCGGTTGCCCACCACCGACTTGTCCACCGTGATCTTCTCGCTGACGGCCTTGCCCGTGGCGCGGTCAAGCACCTGCGCGTAGATCGTGCGGTCACCGCCCTCCCGGAGGTCACCGCCAGCCGAGCTGCCCTCCCACATAGCCAGCATGCCGTCCTTGCCCATGGGGGCGAGGTGAGGAGCGCGCTCGTTGGCGTCGGTGCCGCCGAGCACGATGTCCTCGCTGGCCTGCGACTTGAGATCGTAGTGGATCAGGTGCACCTTGGCGTTGTCACCGTCGCCGTTGCTCACCGCCGACCAGTACTTGTTGCTCGAGGCGACCGAGTCCGGCACGATGTCGCCGAGGTTGGAGGCAGCGAGGTCCACGGGGTAGATGGTCGCGTCCCAGTTGTTGGGCGGCATCAGGCGGTTGTTGCTGTCCGTCTTACAGATCGACGCGAAGCTCTTGGAGCGCTCGTCGTACGTGATGCGCTCGTAGCCCGAGTGCGAGCAGCCCCAGTCGAACGAGTCCTTGCTGTCCGTGATGGAGCCCGAGGGGCTCACCACCTTCATGCGGTCGCCCTGGTGGATGTTGATGCAGCCGCCCTCCGACGTCGAGATGGCAGCGCCGAAGTACGCGGCCCAGTTCGTGCCGTCCGACGCGATACGCGCGTGGTGAGCGTACCACCAGATCATGTACACGTCCGGGCCAGTCTTGCCCGACGAGTACGGCGGCAGCGAGGCGCTGGACGAAGTGAGCTTCGTAGCCCACTTCTCGCTCGCCCCATCGTAGCGCACCATGTACATGTCGTAGCACGGCGAAGCGGGGCTCGGGCCGCCGCCACACAGGTTGCTCGGGTTACCGCAGTTGAGGGTGCCTCCACCCTCGGCGTCACGCGTGCCCACGATGACGAAGCCGTTCTTGTCGGCGTAGATGTCACCGAAGTCGTGCAGCGGCACCTTGACGGCGGGGCTGCTGGCCACGAGCTTGTCGTTGGCGTCGAGTTCGCGCACGATGACGTTCTCGCCACTCTGGAAGGCAATGCGAGAGCCGCCCGACGGCAGCGAGGCGATGGCGATGACCTTGAGGGCGGCCTCCTCCTCGTTGTTCTCCACAGAGGCGCCCACGTCGACCTCCGTGATGCGCACGCGCGGCTTAGCGCAGAAACCGCCGCTGGACTTGGGCGTCGTGGCGGTGGAGTTGCCCGCAGCGTCAATGCCCGTGGTGCACACCGCGAAGACGGCGACGGTGGTGGCCATGAGAGCGTGGTACAGGCGCATGGTTGGTGGATGCTTGGGTTGCTCTGGGAGGGGCTTCGGCGGCGCGGGGCAAATTGGGAAGTGAGAGAGTGGCACACCGAAGACTTTTAATCAGACACTTTAATCTTGTCCAACTTGGAACTGCAAGGGTCTGCTGTTCGTGTCTACGATGAGATCGCAGCAGGAAAGATAACCAGACTCCAGATGGAGTGTCGTACCTTCGCCGGAGCCCTGGTAATGCACCAAGCTTCATCAATTGGATGTCGGCTTTTGTGGCTGCGCTAGACTGGCGTGTCTAGCAGAAACAGAAGGACACTGAAGGCTCACGTATCTTAGCAGAAACAGACGGAAGTTGAAGGCTCACGTAGCTCTTCGATTACATTTTTTGTGCAGTGCAGTCACTCGTCTGGTAGACGTACACGTACACGTACCCACGTGCAGGAGTTGCTGTAGTACAAGCTAGACCCTGGCTACGGGGAGGGTGTTCTCCGTTATTCGGCTGCAGGTTCGGATAGACTACTGTAACACCAACATGGGACGATTTTCATGGTATTTTGGTGGCTCAAACCGATGAACCTACCGCGATCCTGGTGCCACCAGCAGGTTGGCCATTTGCGTAGAACGGCTGCCAGAAGCGGAGTCAGCACAATTGACGACCAGCTGGGAATGCCGAAACCTTGGTCTCCACAAACAGCGAAAACGTTTGCTCCCAGACCTTGATGGGGGTTTGCGTCATGATTTGGGCCGGTCACTGGTACATGTATTATAGTCAGAGTTTGAAGCTTATTGTACCCGTACAGCGCTGAGCAGCAGCAACTGGCCATCTCCAGTTTGGTGTGCTTGCTACGGCGAGCTTCTACTCGTTGACTCAATAGTCTATGATTTCGTATGCCTAGCCAACACGCTGCTTGGTATTATTTTAGACCAGAGTGTACAGTAGTGTAGATGCACAATGGTCAAGCTTGACAGGAGCGGTGTCGCACATTGTGACTCATAGTGCGTTGGTAAACTCATTTCGCGAAAGTGCACAGTCCGTCGGCTGTGACCGCGAGGGCCAGATGCGACGTTAGCAACCAATTCGCGAACCAACAAGCTGTACAGACTTCTTGGTGATGCTGCAAAAGAATACTGGCTGCCGAGAAACCTCGGCTCTTGTATTGGTGCTCTCAACGTCGCTACATGTACGATCATATAAAAATCTGGCGGTACCAGTGGTGCCAGTGGTGCCAAGCAGGTTAGCATCAAATATGTATCAGACAGAGTGCACGATGCCACGAACAACTGCAATGCGACCACAGCAACACAGTGGCTGCTGCGTCATCAGAGTACAGTACTGGGCATTGGGCCATTCCATACTGCTGTTCGTGTTCACATGAAACTGTTATATGTCGTTGACGCATCCGTCGCCACCACCACCTCATTGTGGCGTAACATTCACGCGGTGCAGCGTCATAAAGTCAGGGATCTCGGCGTACATACTCTGCCAAGGTAATACCTATCTGGTAGAAGTACTACGAAATGCTTCGAGCTACATGTAGATTTTTGGTGTCGTATCTGATATGAAATTGCGTGATCAATAAAAAGTGATCTTGTTAATAGGGTGCTGTACGCAACCTCAGTTCGATCTTGTATCGAATGCCATACGTCCGTTAGAGCGGCCTGTACAATAGGTGCTGCAGTTCCACTCATTCAAAGTTCTCGTAATTCCCCGGTACACCACCAAGTGCAGCGGTTGATGTTTTAGTTTTAGGGACCACTACATCGCAAATTGCTTCAGGTATTCTGCCGGCTGTGACGGTGGAGCCCAGCCGAAACCCAAGAGACACTTAAAGCCTGTTCGCTACGTAGCTGGAGATGGAGACGAAAACCAAAAGTGTGACCGGATTGGTCAAAAGTAGGTACAACTAGAGATGGCACTGTGAATTCGTCTCCAGCTCTTTGAGGTGGAGAGGGGCGGATCTACCTAGAGATTTACAGGGCCAGGCACAACATGGGAGACGAAGATGCAATTGTCCTCGCTGCGTGCTCCGCCGTGGCACAGGCTGTGGCTTTGTATGCAGACAGTTGCGAACCAGGACCTCCTGCTGGCAAGAAGAACCGTTTTATCGTCACCACTCTGCGCTTCGAGTCGATGCTTCAATCATCAGCCTATTCAAGCTGGTTCGAGACCAATCTGCGCTGTACGAGATCCACCTTCTTCCGTATAGCTAGCTTTCTACAAGAGCATGGGGTCGCTTTTGCACAAGCTAAGGTCAAGAAGCATTCCTACGAAAAGAAGGTGGCAGCGGCGCTGTATTTCCTGGGCTCAGCGGGTGGATATCGCGAGGTGGGAGCTGCAATGGGCATGGCTAGAAGCTACGTCATGGAGATCACTATGGAGGTAGACGTTAGAAGCTCCTTTCAGACGAGACTTGCCTCGGCCCTGTGCTGCTTGCGGTGCGGCCGAGGCTTGCAGACGCTCGAGCATGCGAGATGGAGCGGGAGTAGGCTCTGGCGTAGCAGACATCGCCACTGATACTTGAGCTAGCGGAACAAATGTGGACGCAGTCTCGGCGCCTTCTAGCAGCAGACCTTCATCACCGGCAGATGGTGTCAGCGAGACGAGGGGCTCGGACGCTGGCGTTTCGTCATGACGTGCGGGGGGCGCAGGAACCGAAGAGCCTTGAGCAGCGGCATGTGCCGCACGCGTGGCCGCACTGGTGAGGCGAGTCGGCATTTTCTCAAGTGGGGAGGAGAGCCATCCCATATCTGTCCTGTGATTGGCTTAAAATTTGTCTGGAGATGGATACATAGCGAACGAGCTGTAGGTGGAGATCAAGCACCATCTCCATCTCTAGTACAACGCCAACAGGCTCTTACGACAATTCGATATGCGCTCCGATCTTTGAAGTTGGCGACATAGACCGATTGGTAGTTTGTCGACGTTAGTTTTACTGCATTGCATGTACTGTAACGAATCCTTGCAGCAAATTCACGCCCATACCATCGACAATTAATTAGGCGCCAATCGGGTTGCTTGTATTCGTATTGTAAGACCGTTGCTGGCCTTACCGTCTTGCTGGTCTCCTTATCATATTACAGTATGGCGGCGCCATGCACACAGGGCGCCACGCTCCACTTTGTTTGTCATAAATCGTGATCCAGATGCTGGTGAGGAACGAGCACGGCATGGTACAGCGCCAGGCTGGACGCTTGACGGCCCAACAGAAGCTCGTCCAGATGGAGTTGATGCACTTCCCGCTTGGCACAAGTTCACCAGCGTGGGGCTCCGGATGAGCCCTTCGTTGTGCTGTTCGAACGAGACGGAGGAACTGATTGACTTCCGACGACCTCATTTTCCAATTGGCCTTCTCCAGCCACAACCTCATCGGCTCAAGTAAGACCAGAAAAACACAAGTCCATCATGCGTCTGTATCACGCTCTGCTCGTCACCGCCGCCGCCGTTCTGGCCAGCAACGTCTCCGCCGGCCGCGCCGACTGCGACATGGTGCCGGAGGTCCCTGCCGGCTCGTACGGCACGTCCAGCGGCTCGGCGCCGGTGAGCCAGGACTCGACGGCCAACTCGGACGTTGGTGCCAGCCAGGCCAGCCACGGCTCCGCTCCGGCTGACACCCCCGTGCAGCAGTACTCGACGGCCAACTCGAACAGCCAGGGCTCTGCTCCTTCGGACGAGACCCCTGTGCAGCAGGACTCGACGGCCAACTCGGACGTTGGTGCCAGCCAGGCCAGCCACGGCTCCGCTCCGGCTGACACCCCCGTGCAGCAGTACTCGACGGCCAACTCGAACAGCCAGGGCTCTGCTCCTTCGGACGAGACCCCTGTGCAGCAGGACTCGACGGCCAACTCGGACGTTGGCTCTAGCCAGGCTAACCAGGGCTCTGCTCCTTCGGATGAGACCCCGGTGCAGCAGTACTCGACGGCCAACTCGAACAGCCAGGGCTCTGCTCCGTCGGACGAGACCCCCGTGCAGCAGGACTCGACGGCCAACTCGGACGTTGGTGCCAGCCAGGCCAGCCACGGCTCCGCTCCGGCTGACACCCCCGTGCAGCAGTACTCGACGGCCAACTCGAACAGCCAGGGCTCTGCTCCTTCGGACGAGACCCCTGTGCAGCAGGACTCGAACGTTGCCTCTGGCTCGGGCGCTCCTTCCGGCGACGACGACACCAAGCAGGACGTTGTTGTCCCTGGCACGCCCTCGGGCTCGGGCTCTGAGGGTGCCACCCCTGCCCCCACCACCGGCCTGGACGTCGGTGCCAGCCAGGAGACGACCTCTTCGGACTCGGGTGTTCCCCCCACTAAGCAGGGTGTGGAATTCGTCACCCCCGCCCCCACCACCCCGTCGACCGAGGATGCCTCGCAGAAGACCGACGTCGCCGGTGAATCTGACGTTGCCGGTGAGGCTGACCAGGTGACGGACGCGCCCACCACCACGCAGGCCCCCACGGTCGCCTCGAGCTCGAGCTCTGGCCTGACCCCCACTGCTGCCGGCAACTCCACGACCGCTGCCCCTACCACTCCTCTGAAGGACAACTCGAAGCTGTGCGCGAAGCCTCGCGTGGTCGTCACGGAGGTTGATGTCGGCGCCACCGTCGAGAACAACGAGGAGGAGGCCGCCCTCAAGGTCATCGCCATCGCTGCTCTGCCCTCGGGCGGATCTCGCATTGCCTTCCAGAGCGGCGACAACGTCATCGTCCGTGAGCTGGACGCCAGCGACAAGCTGACCAGCACCCCCGCCGTCAAGGTGCCGATGAACGACTTCGCCGACATCTACGCCGACCAGAACGGCTTCGTGATCCTCGGAACGAGAGACGCTGAGGGCGGCGGCACCCTCAACTGCGGTAACCCGAGCAACCTGTGCGGCGGTGGCCCGAACCCCGCTTCGCCGTGCTACGACATGTACATGGCTCGCTACGAGGGCGCCAGCGAGAAGTGGGCCACCAAGCTCACGTCGTCCAGCGCCTCGCTGCCTCCTTACTCGTCGTCGGCCAGCGGCCCGGACGTGTACATGATCTGGTGGTACGCTCACCACGGCCGCATCGCGTACGACGGCACCAACTGGGCCGCGTACTTCGGCGCTGCCATCTCGACGTCGGAGGGCGGCTGCATCAACATCCACCAGGGTGACCGCATGAAGGTGGTGAGCCCCTCGGGCTCCATCACGGACAGCAAGGACTCGTTCGACTGGGGCTGCTCGCACTCGGGCTACGAGCGCATCACGTACGACGAGCGCTCCAAGAGCTTCGCGTCGATCTGTAAGACGGACAGCAACAACCGCCTCATGCCGCCCAACAACTGGGACGCGACCATCTACCCCGTGGACCTCGCTGCCTCCAACCTCGGCGACATCGTGCCGGACTCGGTCGCCTCGAGCAACAAGTACTGGTCGGCGGTGAGCAACGGCGACGGCGACAACGCCAAGGTGCACCTGATCCACTACGACCTGAAGTCGAAGGCCAGCGAGGACATTGTCCTGGGCGGCACCGACGCCAACGAGCGCGCTCCTCACCTCGCCCCCATTGGCAAGGACGGCATGCTCGCTATGTGGGAGGGCAGCTCGGCTGGCGGTGACCTCCGGGAGGGCGGTGACCGCACGATCTACGCGCAGGTGCTTGACCGTGCTACGGGCAAGACCATCAGCGAGAAGATCACGGTGGACAAGTCCGTTGTGGGCAACCGCTACCAGGCTCTCAAGAGCTACCCGGACGGCAGCGTGGCGTACCTGTCGAAGGGCAAGACCGACACGTCGGTGCAGGTCGTGCGCTTCTACGGCTGCTAAGCGGCCGTTGATGAAAACGGATAGAAGTGTCTATGCGTAGTAGTTGTTTCAATCTGCGAGGGTAGTTTAGATGAGCTAACCTTGAACATGAATGTGTAAATCGATTCCTTTCGTTGGATTTTATTAGTGAGTTGACATGAAGCGGATGGTCGGCGTTCAATTAAGCCTCTGTTATCACAACTTTTGAGACCACGGGATACCTCGCGCTTCATTGGAGCATTTCAGCCGCCATATTCAGCGAAGCGGATACGCCTATCGCCTCGAGACTCGCCGTGACCTGGACCAGCTTCGGCTGCTTGCACAAGAGAAACCTAAATGGAAAGCCCTCGAGAGGGCAATCGTCGCCGCACTGCCGGCGAAGAAGGACCCGACGTATGCGGACACCACCTTATGCCGTCGACTAGCAAAGCTGAGCCTAGCGACAGCATAGTGTGGTAACGCGAAAACGTAATACGTTACATTATTCAGCGAAGGCGTCTGAACTGGCCGCGGTTGGGAAGGGAACAAGGAGGGGTTTCGTTGAATGGGATACTTTGGCGCTATTCAAGGCTTGAATTTCATGCAACACCAAGAATCAAGCACCAGGAGCAACCGTGTATTGAGCGATTAAGGCTCTCCACGGAAAGCGTCACGAAATCCTGCCACACTCCACACATACTTGCTTAAGTACACTTAATGTAGATTTATACTGGGATAGGAAGCAACGTTAGTGCTGCTATCGCAGACCAAACAGGATTATATCCGTGGTTCGTCAAGTCAAAAGGTGACCCCTCTTGACACCTAACTGGTACATTGTCCTGAAACCGGTGTGACCCCGGTGCTGCACTGGGCCCTCCAAAAGGTTTATATGCGTGGGCAAGCTGAACTGGTAGAAAACCCATTACACCGGTACGACCGCGGTGCCGCACTGGGCCCTCCAAAAGGTTTATATGCGTGGGCAGATTGAACCGGTATGAGTCAGTAACATGTATCGAATAGTAGGAGTGAAGTAAAGTGATTCCTTCGCTTTCGTAAGTAGCATATAGGGGTTCCTGCGAAGTCGTCGGCGTGGACAGCTGACATTTTGCAGGAAATGTTTGTTTCCTCACGAGATTTGACTGGCTTTCATTATGCGAATGTTGCCATACAGTTCTTCTGAGCAAACGTAAGCGGGAGCCGCCGACGCTTACATCAAGTCCTTCATTGGCTAACATTTGACAGCAACACACAAAGAACATCGACCCAGCGGCAACATGAGTGATGGAGGCTCGCAACGCGCTTCTGCTCCAGCGCGGAGTACCAGTCATGCTGACGTCGAGGCGATACGCGATGCATGCGTCACCAAGCAAACAAGAGGAAAGTACAAGAGCAGCCTCAACGGGATTTAAAAGTGGATCAGGAGCTAGCACGCTAAGGAGGATGAGAATATCGCCAGGTTTTTCGACGCTGATGATGACATTAATCTAAGTGAGTTTACACCGAGTGTTTTTGAGCGTTTTCTGGTGTTCAAGAGTGCTTCTGTGAAGACGGCTACGCTGAGCGGGTACCGAAGTGCTATCAAGGATCTTTATCGCGTGAAGCGCGTGGCGCTGCCTCCTGAGTACCGTGATGATATGAAGCAACTGTTCTCCGGTATGAAGCGGATGGAGGCTGATCAAGACCAGACTAGCACCCCAAAAAATACACCAGGAAAGCAGCCACTCACGTACTCCCTTTATAAGGAGTTGTGCAATTCGACTCTCGTGGCGGGTGATGGCGGGTTTTCGCATCTTTTTTTGACTTCGCAGTGGAATTTGATGTGTCGCTCAATGTCGGTCCAGACTCTCCAATGTCAGCATCTCGTGGCGAAAGACGATAGCGTTGGAGTAATATTTGTGAAGACGAAGACTAACCAGGAGGGTTCAGGGTCCCGTGATCCACGCCACCTGTACGCGAACCCGCTGAGCCCATCAACGTGCTGGGTGACTGCCTTGGCAATTTATCTTGCATGCCACCCTCGATTGGAACCGGGGGCACTATTTCCAGGCTCTAACCAGAAGCTACGATTTAGCAAGGTGCTGGCTAACCTTTTGAAGCAAGGAGACGCTGGTAAAAATTTCGGTACGTACTCGGTGCGCAAAGGAGTGGCTACATTCGCTTGTGGAGGAAGTACAGGTGGTCCCTCGATCGTGAGTGTGTGTCTTCGCTGCGGATGGAGCCTCGGTGGAGTTCAAGATCGCTATTTCCGTTATGAAGCCGCAGGAGATCAATTCCTGGGGCGAGTAGTGGCAGGACTTCCCGTAAATGACTCTAAGTTCGCTACTTTACCGCCCTATTTTCAGAATGGCTCCGATAAAAATGTGAAATCGTGCGTGGAGATTATGTTTCCGGTTCTCTCTCGCGAAGCCAATATGGCAGGAATTTTGCGGTTGTGCCTAGCATCACTCGTGCATCACGCGGAATATTTGCTGCAGCTTTTACCGGCCACCCATGCATTACTTTCGACACATTTGTTTACAAGCCCCACTGTCCTTAGGACGCTTGAAGGCCAATTAGTTGCTGGAGAGTCTCTCTGGATGCGACCAACGGGGATACCGCCTTATATTGAGCTATACAAGAAGCTTGACCAGCAGCAAAGGTCAATTGATGAGCTGCCTGGCAAACTGGAGCAGAGAATGGAGCATGTACTTGAGAAAAGGGTGTGGCAGCGGGCAATATTACGAGAGAGTTATTGCGTGAGGAAATTCGATCGTTGTTAGACGAAGTTGGGCTTCACCAACGTCCGTCGATCAACGCCGTAGTGCCAGCGCCAGTTCCAGTGCACCAGTATCATGTCTGGGGCGGGAAATTTCATGTGCTACCTAGAGAATTTAGTTTTCCGAGTATCGATCCCCTTGGGGCATGGATGCTATGGTGGTTCGGAAATCCAAAGCTCAACTACCCCCCGTACAAAGGAATACCATCGGACGACCTGGATACATCGCAGAAAAAAGCGACGCTGTCAGAATGGTCAATTATGATGCGGCACATTATGAATGGGATTGAGGCCAAGCTGGACGCACCTATGCCCGAAATCCGTGACAAGAAACACGCTATTGAGCTTTACAACATTGGATACGGTACACTGCGGTTAAAACCAAGCAAACGTAAGCGAAGTGCTGAACAGCTTAAGCTTACAACTGTTTTGAGACTCATCCGACAAGCCGATCAGGAGCGAAACGAAGAAGACACTCAGCCGCCCAAGCGTCAGAGACACACAAGCCAGTCCGGTTGTCCGAGATTGGCAAGCAGGTAGTAGCTATATTCAAACAGTACACATTTACATTCGTGTTAGTGCAGTCGAGCTGATCCCAGTAGTGCGACGGAGTGTAAAGCTAGCAAACCTTGCTGGCGTAGAGGGTATCCTAAAGCCGAAGTTGTTAGCGTAAGTTTTATAGCCATTTAGCAACAACAAACACAAATCTGGTAGCTCGTGAAGTCGCCGCCTAGAACTCGGCTGTCGACTGTTGCAGTCACCGCTTAGTCGATGTTGCCTGCCGACCTCGATACGACTGCACGTGACCTCTGTACCTATGTATGGCACTTCAATAAACTGCTTGGTCGCCGTAGTCTCCTTCAACAGCATCAATATTAATCTGGTTAGCTCATGTAGGCTACGATACAACATCAGTATAATAAACTGCATGCAACGCAGTATACAGGACAACATGATATACAACATACCATTGTTCGGAGCACGCCATACCGCATCAACTCCTGTCGTCGTCTTCGCCGCTTACATCAACGCGGAAAGATGTCGGAAGCCTTGAGCGCCGGAATCCTGAGTGGGCCTCTCCCCCAGGCCTTCGAACGCCAGGTACGAATGCAGCGTGTTGAGCAGTGCGACCGAGCCCAACAGCTTGACTGAGTACGACAGCTTGTACAGCTGCAGCAGCAGACGCTTGCCTGTAAGCAGCAAAAACAACTGGACCAAGATTAATCCAAAGTCTTGTCACCAAGCATGAATCTCGCAGACATCTCTGACCAATGACCACACTTACCAAGCGCTAGAGAAGCACCACACGCAGGGGAGTGCTATCATGAAGAACAACACGTACCAAATAAAACAGGTTAGCAATAAGGTATAGCATTCGTTTGCTACGAGCGTACCGTTAGCGCCGTACTCGAGCGCCGATGTCTCGCACGATCATCCGTGATTTCTGTTTATTATTCTGCTGACTTGAGCCCTGGCCGTGCAAATTCTCGAATGAGGCGGATTTTGCAAAAGCGGCAAATGGAAGTCGCTGTGAGCCACCCAGTCCGACACCTTGCAGATTTTGTTCAAATCATACAGTGGGCCCGCGCCCGTCCCAAACATTATATTCCTAATTTTGACAAACTCTGGTCTCTGACATCTGGAAAAATAAAAAGGCGCGAACAGAAACTAAACGTAATTTTATCTTGACGTTTTTATATTGGTGTGTTGGGAGAAAGGACAGTCATACAAATTTCAAGTCAAAATTGGCTTAAACTGCATATATGCAGTTTAAGCCTTCAAATCTAAGCTGCATTATGCAGCATCCGGTTTGGAGGGGTTAAGCCTGCAGTTTGTATGAACCGAGCTCCTAAAGTTCAGGCAGGCTGAACGGCACATCGGCTCTGCCTGAAGCCACCCGATTATTAATACGTGGTTATACTGGTTATACGTGGTTGTACTGTACCGTGGTTTTGCCACACTGCACGAGTTCATCGCACTCAGTTCATTGCTCAGTCACCTAGATACCCGTTAAGTATTCAACAGGGGACAATTCCTACAGTACCAACGCCAGCAGTACTCTATTCAAAGCTCATCGACAAGGGCCTGCAGGTAATCCTCTCCGTAATGATAGCATCGGAAGACAACTAATAATCACTGCTGAACATGCGTCTTTCTCGATAGTCTTCATAGTTAACGACCTCTCGTGCAGTAATAAAGTCCAATCTCGTATCACCATCCGGAGGATACTTTAATTAATAAAAAGTATTGTGAAAACCGCTTCTTTTGCCTATTTTGGTCGTAAATCGATCGATTAGCACCGTGATTGAGCTCGATCGATTTGTAAATCGATCGCGCCCCTGCGATGCATACGTGAGTATGGAGACCAAGTCGATATAGCCGCGTTTCGAGCAGAATGCCCACCTTTTACTGGGCAATCGCGCAGCCAAGCGATGCGTATGGATCACGATCGATTTCGAACCCGATTTATACTCTGATTAATTAGATAATTGAGATCTAATAAGGGGTTTCTACAGATGGGCGTTTTAGCCGGTTCTCACAATAAACCGTCGGTCATCGGGGTAGTCTCTACTGTATTCTGTATCATTGTACTGTAGTGCTAACCAGAGGGTACCCCTACCGAGGATTGCTGACATTTTTACCCAAACAGAAAACATAGTCATTTTCCACACAGCCACACATGCACACACACAAATATTCGTCTCTCATCTTAACAGCCGAAGAAGCGCACGACCTGCACCGACGTGTCGGTCGTACCCTTCGACAAGTACGCAACGCTGCCGTCCGGGAAGCTTTTCAGAGCCTGGTACCGGTTACCCACCACCGACTTGTCCACCGTCACCTTGCTGCTGATTGCCTTGCCCGACGACGCATCCAGCACTTGGGCGTAGATGGTGCGGTCGCCGCCTTCTGCAAGATCACCGCCCGAGGAGCTGCCTTCCCACATGGCCAGCAACCCGCCGTCACCGATCTCAGCGAGGTGAGGGGCACGCTCGTTGGCATCCGTCCCTCCAAGCGTGATGTCGTCGTCGGCCGCAGCGTCGATAGCGAAGTGGATGAGGTGCACCTTGGCGTTGTCACCTTCTCCGTTGCTGACGGTGGCCCAGTACTTCTTGCTTGAAGACTCGCTGTCCGGGACGATATCTCCTAGGTTGGCTGCAGCGAGGTCTACTGGGTAGATGGTCGTGCTCCAGTCGTTCGGCGGCATGATGCGGTTGTTGCTGTCCGTCTTGCAGATTGACGCGTACCCCTTCTTACGGCTATCGTACGTGATACGCTCGTAGCCCGAGTGCGAACAGCCCCAGTCGAAGGAATCAGCTTGCGTCACAATCTTACCGGACGGATCCACAACTTTCATGCGATCACCCTGGTGGATGTTGATACAGCCACCTTCGGAGGTGGAGATGGCGCAGCCAAAGTATGCAGCCCAGTTCGTGCCGTCCGAGGCGATACGACCGTGGTGCGCGTACCACCAGATCATGTACACGTCCGGACCGCTGGCAGATGACGAGTACGGTGGGAGCGACTTGCTGGAGGACGTGAGCTTGGTAGCCCAAGTTTCCTTCGAACCGTCATAGCGAACGAGATACATGTCGTAGCAGGGTACGGCTGGGTTGGGGGCACTACCACACAAGTTGCTCGGGCTACCGCAGTTCAAAGTGCCACCGCCTTCGGCGTCTCTCGTTCCCAGCAGCACGAAACCTTCCTTGTCAGCGTAAATGTCAGCGAAGTCGTGGAGCGGCACTTTCACAGCAGCAGAACTGCTCACCAGCTTGTCATTCTCGTCCAGCTCGCGGACAACCACATCGTCGCCGCTGTGGAAGGCGATCCGGGATCCACCCGAGGGGAGGGCAGAAATGGCTACGACCTTCAAGTTTACTTCGTCTTCGTTCGCGTCCACCGTGACACCGAGATCCACTTCCGTGATACGCACGCGCGGCTCCGCGCAGAGCTTCGAGTTGTCCGAGGATGTCGTGCTGCTGCTCGAGTTCGTAGCAACCGATGGCGTAGCAGCCGCAGACGCCGAGGACTCCGTCTCAGTCTCAGACGAAGACTCTTCTGTGGAGTCGGTCGTGGGAGCATCCGTGGTTGGCTTGGAGACTGGAGCATCGGTTGCCGTCTGAGATCCCGGGCCTGCAGCGCTGGCCTCGTTGCCTTCTTCATCGGAGGAACTGGTGGGGGTGTCGAAGGAGAACGACGAGCCCGTGGAGGTGACGGGGGCATCCGCGACGGTCGAAGTTGACGGTCGGTATCGGCAGGTGGCAGCGGAAGCAGCATCGTTGTGGCTGCTGGCTAGAAGAGCAGCCGCAGTTGCAATTAGAAGATGGTACAAACGCATTGCGGGGAGATCGCAAAAGGGGGAATGAGGACGCCTTTGTGCTGTTCGAGCGAGTCGGTGGAGGTGACAGTGCCTAACCGGTCAGTTGTAGTCTACAACATCTACAACTTGTAGATGTTCGGACAGCAATGCCCGACCGACTCGAGGGAAGTGAACCTGGTCGTGTTTCTCAGTCTAATGTAGCGCAGCGGGGCCTTTACCCTGCGTAGAGAGCGAGGAGGCGAGCAATGATGAAGTAGCAATATATCAGCGGACTAGCTTTTACCGGTCACCTGACAGGCAAATTCATGCAGCTCGCGCCCAGATCAGATTTTCAGGTAAGTGCATCACTTCAAAGCACCCATTGGAAAAGTACGATTTGGGCTTTTTGATCTTTTCGATCCCTCAAGCTGTTTTAATCAAGTTTGAAAAAACCTCTCTAAAACGATGGTCGTCGTCGAAGGTAACTGCTCACGGTACTCGCGTAACTGCTCACGGTACTGCGCGGCTGGAACGGCGTTTGCGCGCGGGGTGGTGGGCGAGTTGGGCGAGTTGAGCAGCCAGCAAAAGGAGAAGTGAGAGCATGAGAGAGCATGGAGCTCGATGAGAGCGCACGCTCACCACTCACTCTCCTTCTCCTGTGTTCCGCGGATCTACTCACTTCACCCAGTCACTTCACCCAGTCACTCAGTCACTTCACCCATTCACCCATTGCACCTTGGGTTGAATGAGAGACTGGGTGACTGGGTGGTGAAAAGATGGGTGAAAAAGGAGTACCGTAATCATGTCAAACACATCTTAGTGCTCGTTCCGTGCGTAAGTGCGCATGCGTCAGCTAGCCAATCGTAGCGTTTCCCGATCGCGCCGTTCCAAACCGACAAGTGCCGTTCCGGTGAACCCATGTCCGTGATACAAACGTCAAGTCAACCGTACCAAGAGTCGACCAGCGCGAAATCGGGTTCGAGAGCGCGATCGACCAATGGGCGCGCGCCTTCACTGAACCAGCCAACCAGTCTACCCATGAACGACGCCAGACCCCCCCCCCGCCCCGTCTGCTCCTGCTGCTGCTGCTGCTGCGCCGATTGCGCGGGACCCACGGCTTCCGGAGGCACAACTCGAGGCCTTCTTCATGGCCGTGCTCGAGTTGCCGCTGGTCATGCAGAACCTGCTGTTCGCGATCCCCCGCAACGCTCGCCGCCTGCTCGGCACGGTGATCTGGGTGAGCCTCAGTGTGATCACCCAGATCTTCCGGACCTCTTTCCGGCGCCATGTGGCTGGGATTAACCAAGGCACTGTCCTCCAACTCTTCAACCTGGCCTACTTGGATTTCTCGGTCCGTCCTCTAAGACTGGGAACCCACAGTGACTTCAGCTCGCGGATGACCGCGTATGTGCAATGGGCGCAACTCACGGACGATCAGCTGGCCATTGCACTGGAGCGAGCGCGCGTGCGCCGCAACCGAGACGATAATCTCCCCGATGACCCCCTGCATTTCTCGACTGATCCAGACTGGAACCCGACGGCACACGGGATAGTACGCTGTTTTCATGGGGACTGTGGCTCAGGTTGATGTATACAAATGTATACCTGTATCCGTACGATGACACTATGTATGTGTTTTGTATTTTGTATAGGCTGATGTCCTGCACCTCCTGATGCCTGTCACCTTCAACGGACTCGAGAACTGCCTAGTGATCAAGTACGGCAGGGCCGGGGGCGCTGACGGATTCCATGGGAGACTCCGCGCCCACCGACTCGGTGGCACCGAGGTACCGGGCCGGACGGCTATGGCTGGTACCTTCCCCGGGATCAGATCGTGCCGCTGTTCATGGCATGGCTGCCTGACGACGACAAAATATTAAAAAACACCACAGATCCGTGAATTCCACCACGATGGTGAAAATATACATCCAAAATGAAGGCGGTAGTGAGCGGTTGCGAGGAGCGTAGCCGTAGCAAACCCGCGCGGGGTGCCCGCGAAGCAGGGCCGCGCGGTATTTGCGTAGGCGGGCCCAGCGACGAGCATTCCAACGAACGGACCTGTTGCCGCACACTCGGAGTTAGTTTTTCTAATGCGGGGGTCTGGGGGTGCAACCCCCAGTATGCTTTTATTAGAGGCCCTTGTGCGATTCACAGCTTTGTGTGTTTTTAATGTGCTGTCCCTGACGACGGATTGCTCCACGTTCCGGAGCGCTTTGTTCGCAACGAGGCGAACCGTCGACACTGGCACCATCGCTGGCTCGACAGCGAAGGCCGCCAACGTGAAGAACTGCTTGTAATCCCTCCTGACCAACTGCCCGAGGTGGAGCGCATGTTCAGGGCTTTAATGCTCGTCTTCCCGGCGTAAATGAAGCCAGAAGCCAGAAGCCAGTGCGTAATATATAGTTTACATAGGCAAAGGCAATGAATATATAACAACCAAAGCGCCCAGATCAGCCGCGGGCGTGGGCGACACCCGGATCAAGCTCTTCAAAGTGTTGGCTAGCCTCTCCGAAGCTAGGTGGCAGTGCGTTTGCTCACGTGCCATGACACACCCGGTTGTTGGATCGACGTTCCGTTCCCCGACGAGCTCCACTTGTGCTTCGTGGAAAGCAATCCTCTCTCAATGGCCGGTCTACTGTTGAGTCAGCGGCAGCACTCGGCATCCGCTGTCGTATCCTTCGAGGCGGGCACCCGGTGCATGTGTGTAGCTAGCTCCCGCAAAACCGTAGGTCAACTCCGAGCAGGCAGGTCAAACCTCGCCGGCCAGCTGGTGTTGCCGTCAACATACAGCGAAGCGCTGCAATGCAGACAGCTCTTCCGTCTTGTCAAGTGGCTTCCGCCACCATCCTGGTGCGGACGACGGACGGTGCCCACGGCATTCGCTTCGTACATGTAGTCGATGAAGGATCTCGAATTTGAGCAAGTTAGCGCCCCGTTATTCTGCAGTACAGCTTGTGGATACGGCAGCTGTCCAGGCCGATCGCAGCTGGTGATCGCGCACGCTGCGAGCCACAAACAGCGTGAGCGTGACGTCCCCGTTTGTTGAACATTGCGCGCTGCCATCGTTGAATCGAGCTGGTCGCCGCCGCCTTTGGCGCGCTGATCCTCGCCCTGGTCGCCCTGACTTGCCGCCGTTGGCGCAACATCCTCGTGTCGCCCCGAATCGATGCTGCCGCCGTCGAATGGGCATGAACGAAGCGCTGAATGGATGCCGGCAGGGTCTACTTTGTGCTGGTAGACGAATGAACGACTTCTGCGATCGATGCTCTTCCCCAGCTTACTCCTTCTTGCTGCTCGACCCGGCACCGCGTTAAGGCGATGATCGTCTCGGAGCAGAGTGCGCGCAGATGCTGACTCAGAAGCCCGGAGCTGATGACCTCTAGTGGTGCAAGTCCCAACCAGGGCAAGCACTTTATGAAGATTGATCCGTTATGAAGGCCTCGCCAAAGGTACGCCACCACAGCTGTGACTCATGGGGGCTCCGCGCGCGACTTCTTCACCTCCAGGAAGAGGAGGCACACGAGCTACTGTGCTGAGCCCGTGGCTTGACGTGAGGCCTTCGTCGACTTCCAGCATCTCCATTCTGCAATTGGCCTTCCAGCGCTACAGTTCATCCACCAGCTCAAAGCAAGATCATGCGTCTCTACTCCGTCCTGTTGGCGACTGCGGTCGCTCTAGTTGCGACCACCAGCGTCGCCGCTGAGAAGTGCACCCTCAAGACCACGGCTCCCGTCGCGACCACTGCCGCCACTTCCGTGGTGAGCTCCACTACGTCGTCCTACATCGACGATGCCAGCGCCGAGGCCGCCTTTGACACTGATGCCTCCAATGCTGCCTCGGCGGTCGATGCCAGTCAGGCCACAACTTCGGACGAGGGTTCCTCTGCTGCCGCCTCAGCCGTCGATGCCAGTCAAGCCACGACCTCGGACGAGGATGACGAGGACTCCACTCAATCGAGCGTTGCCGCGTCGGCTGCCACTGCGACCTCGACTGCGGGTGAGGCTGACTCTACTGTCGACGCGACGGAGGTACCGACGACCACTACAACTGCCGCCTCCACTGCTAGCTCAGCAACTTCCACTGCTACCAGCACCACGTCGACTGCTTCGGCATCTTCGAGCTCCGGCTTCTGCAGCACGCCCCGCGTACGTATCACGGAGGTGGATGTGGGTGAGACCGTGGAGAACAACGAAGATGAAGCTGGTCTCACCGTCGTCGCCATCGCATCGCTGCCCTCTGGCGGCTCGCGCATCGCCTTCCAGAGCGGCGACAACGTTATCGTCCGTGAACTTGACTCGAACGACGCCTTGGTGAACAGCACCGCTGCAGTCAAAGTGCCTCTGGTCGACTTCGCGGACCTCCACGCTGACGATGACGGGTTCGTCTTGCTCGGCACGAGAGATGCCGAGGGTGGAGGCACCCTGAACTGCGGTAGCCCGAGCAACTTGTGTGGCACTGCCCCCGATCCAGCCGTGCCCTGCTACGCGTGTGCTACGACGGATCAACGGAGACGTGGGCCACGAAGCTCACGTCGTCGAGCTCCTCGCTGCCGCCCTACTCCACGTCTGCCACTGGAGAGGAAGTGTACATGATCTGGTGGTACGCCCACCACGGCCGTCTGGCGTACGACGGGTCGAACTGGGCCGCATACTTCGGCTGTGCGCTGTCCGTCTCGGAGGACAGCTGCATCAACATCCACCAAGGTGACCGCATGAAGGTAGTGGATTCTACCGGCGCCGTCACCTCGGACACCGACTCGTTCGACTGGGGCTGCTCGCACTCTGGCTACGAGCGTATTACCTACGACAACCGCACGGACGGCTACGCTACGATCTGCAAGACGGACAGCAACAACCGCATCATGCCTCCGAACAACTGGGACGTGACTATCTACCCGGTGCTGCCAATCTGGGCGATATCGTCCCGGACAGCGACTCCTCCAGCAAAAAGTACTGGGCCACCGTCAGCAACAGCACGTCCGACAGTGACGAGGACAACGCCCGCGTGCACCTCATCCACTTCTCTATGGACGCCGAGGCTTCTGAGGACATCATTCTTGGAGGAACTGACGCCAACGAGCGCGCGCCCCACCTTGCTGCTATTGGTGACGGCGGTCTTCTCGCTATGTGGGAAGGAAGCTCCACGAGCGGAGACCTTGAGTACGAATCGAGTGGCCGCACGATTTACGCTCAAGTGCGGGACGCGTCCTCGGGCGCGGCCATCAGCGAGAAGGTGACGGTCGACAGCTCTGTGATTGGCAACCGCTACCAAGCGTTGAAGAGCTACCCGGACGGCAGCGTGGCGTATCTCTCCATGGGCACGACGAGCACGTCGGTGCAGGTTGTGCATTTCTTCGGATGCTAAGAGCTGGAACTGAAGGCAGGAGTGGTGTAGTGTATAGATGTATGGTTGCGTCTGCAAGCGCTCGGCTATCAACGCCTACAGAAAATTGCGTAGTACATGTACAGCTGACGATGCCAATGTGAACATTTTGCCAAAACAGCAGTGATCAATCCGAAGTTCTGGGGTAGGTTGCCGCTGGCAACTTAAATGAGACTAGGGCTCCGCGAAGGCTGGGATAGGAGGTTTTTGGTATAATCGCTTTCTATTATTATGAGTTTGTTTTACGAACCACGGGCATCTCCTTCGCAGCCGCAGCGTCTGCCCGGTAATTCACCTCAAAACTGTAGATAGTGCTTATACACAGTGATAAAACGAATCTTGCTCGAGATCTGTTTGTAGCTTGTAGAAAATGAAAATGTTTACCTTTGTATGCTTCTGCAGCAGTTCGTCCGCTTCAATCATTCAATTGACTTGCGAAAACGTAAGATGCATTCTGCGACGGTATCAAGGCACAATTTGATTGGCTATCAGCCCGAAAACGAGCCGGCCTGAGTGAAGGCGACGACTCGAATGAGGTAGTAGCGAAAAGAACGAGCCGAGACGAATTCCGGCCAAGCCGGAGATGCCGCTTTGGTGTTCATTGTATGACCGATGGGCAAACGAGCCGAAACCTGGCATGGCTGGCGCTGCTAATGATAAGGGCGAGAGGTTGTAACGTGAACGTTTGCAAACTAATATACGCGATTTGGATAAATGCAATTGCAATCGATGCGGTTCCCAGTATAGCGAGGCTTCGATTACCCACACACATAGTTGTAGATGCAACTTTGCCTTTGTATACTCCAATTAGCGAAACGCCTTGTAATCGCTGCTTTCCTGTTGACTGGATTGGCAAAGACATGGCTTTGGATTCAACTGTAGAACTTCTTGCACCCATGGAGAAATCATGTGGTAAACTACATCCACCTCATGCATGAATGCAGGTGTAGCGCTTTAGTGTGTGTTGTTAGTTGGGAAGGGTCCAGGCAACGAACTACTTCGGTGTTGAAGTCAGTGAAATTTGACTTAGTGATCAAACGTGGTAATCCTCGTGGCTTTGTTGCTTCAACTACAGAATGCCATGCTTCTGTCTGCAACGACACATCCTAACTTGCGTCTTAGGTATTGTCTTATGTACACAACGGTTGGATATTTTTCTGGATGTCTATTTCATTTGATGTTTGTATAGTGCATAGAATGCCTCCGGACGTGCCACAAGCTTACAGAACACCCAGAGGTGACACACCTACTTTGTATATAAGTTTTTGTATGGAAAGTTTCAAATTCCGATTTTTTGAAAATCGGGACTCGCTAGGCCCTAGTTTCTGTTCGGCGGGCACCCTGTCACTATCCGTGGTAAGTAGCATTATTCAGCATGGGTATGCCCAACCATCCCACGAGCTGAGCGGAAGCACTGCTCGCGGGAACGAGCACGAGTAGCTAAAACCTCATGAGCGCGCTCGCTGATCTGTAGCTGCTCACATGAAATCGATTTAAAGGGGGGAGCGCGAATCAAAGCTCCTCACACTAATTGGATAATAATAAATTTACTTTAAAAAATTGTGCCTAACTTGCACTCAGAGCAGTTGTTCATGCTGATGGGGGTATCATCGGCTTCTGTGGTTACTGTAGCTGACGGCCAAACCCGTATCAGTATTATGGGGCACCTCTGTTGAGTGTGATGCTGCCACAAAGCTGAGCCATTTTAGCCTATCAGTTCACTCCTCAAACGAGCTGCTCGTTGGGGTCGTACTTATCCGAGGGAGCAGCAGAACCCAGCTCGTGATTTGAAGTGAGCGGGCTGCATTTCGTGGGATGCTTGGGTATGCCACACTGGAGCCAATATGCAGGATATATTCAGTATTAGCACGGCTTTGTTGGCCCCCATCGTGAATCTTATCTTCCCTTACCATTTTTGTATACAAAGATCAAGTCTAATTTCGCTGCATATGCAGTTTACATGTTCTTTTCGGCTCCCGGTCTGGAGGGGTTAAAGGACGGGCATCAACAGCAGGGGCAGCGACTAACAATCCGGCTGGCGTTGCTTCTGTTAATCTCGTGATCTGTTGGCTACAGAGCAGCAGCAAAGCTTCCCTGGCAGCAACAAGACTACTATTAAGTGAACTCCTCATAAAAATCATTTTGACAACACCTCTTCGAAAGCAAGCCGAATGGAGAATCGAGCTGATCAGACTCGACGTCACCTTCAAATTAAAAAGTAGCGATTCGCCCCTACAAGTTCATCAAATTTTGAAACGGAACGTGTTGTGGATTGACAAATCAATCCTGGGCACCATCATAAACATTTTCCACGCAAACGGCTCTCTCCCCTAATCTCGCAGCGTAGCCACTCCTCGTCGCAGCTTCATTCGGCAATCGTCTCCCAAGACCAGAAGCGCACGACTCGGAGGCTGAAGCAGAGTGCTGCTCTGCCAATCACTCACTCGCCCCATGCGTCTCCAGTATGCCGTAGTCGTGGCTGCTGCTGCTCTGGCCGCGAGCTCCGAAGGACTTCAGGTCCTCCCCAATTCGGCCAAGTCCACGTCGCTGCGAGCAAGCGCTGAAGCTCGGTACCCGCCTTTCGTCGAGGGCAAGGGAGACCGCTTCTTGGTTAGCGAAGGCAATCAGGAATGGTCGACTCAGACCCAGAAGGGCTACGAGTTCTCGCCGCTGCAGGAGCAGGACGACGTGCTGCAGCAGAACGACGATGAGTACGAAGACGACAGCGACTCGAGCTCACAGAGCGAGAGCGGCTTCGATGACGAGGCCAGGCTCTTCGGGAGGAAGAAGAAGAAGAAGAAAAAGAAGAAACACGAAGCCACCGAGACACCAACGCCCACACCGACGGCGACTCCAGAGGGAATGACCGCGACTCCCACCCCAGCGCCTACTACGGAGGAGCCAAGCGGCTGGAGGAAATTCCTTGCCTGGTACAGGCGACAAACCGCTGATTAAACAAGGAGGAAGCTTGGTAGGCTGGGATACCCAGAGCGCATTTCTAAAGCGCAGTTGTCAGCTTCTGTAATCCACTAGCTTACTTCAGTGAAAAATTTCCGTGCGGACGTGTGTGTTCCCACGAGAACAGGGCCTAGGGGACGCGCAAGAAGAAGAAGAAGAAGACGAAGAATGAAAATAAGAAACAGGAACCAATCTAGATTTTTATAAGACGAGGGATATAGCGAACGTCAAGTTCACAAAACTAGAGTACGGGAGTTGGTTAGCGTTATTCTCTCGTGATGATGCCGCTGTACAATGTAGCAGCATCACCAAACCTTTTAGCGAGGGGACCACAGAGAATTTGATATACTTCCAGCATTCATTGGGAACAATGAAGTACTCAGTAGAGTGCCATGAAAAGTAATATGGTTGCACCGGGTAAATTTACAAAATAAATTAAAAATAGAATGAAATCGATCGTCAAAATACGGATTCAATCGGCATATTCGAGCAAGAAAGATAGGTTGAGTAAATAACAAACAATTCCGCAACGCATTAAAAAATGTGTAAGATCCCCTACCGCATAATGCTGATGGAATCAGATCGAATTTACTCCAGGACAAGCGGCAGTATGAACTGGTTTCTATTTTTTTTTCAACTCGACTTGGACGACTCTGGGTTTGTTCAGGATCTCAGGTACTGTAGACGTCGAGTCGTCGTAGTTATCGTTTTACGAACTTGAAAAAATGGGCGGAACAAGTTGTTCACCAACCAAGAGAGCGGGCTACCCGAAAAGGTTATCCCGAATCCCCCACTACGAGTGGTGTACAAAGTGACCCCACTACTGCGACGCCTACGCCGTTCCTCATCGCTTGACTCCGACGCTTCCAACTCAGTGAATTCGTAGGTAGCGTGCGCCGAAGCTGTTTCAACGACTTGTAGTTGTTGAGTGTTACCGTACACGCCAGCGACCGAGTCCGAACCGCTGCCATTGATCTCTTCTATCGTCACCTTCAAGTGGCCAGTACGATTGCCGTGCTTGTAAGGCAACAGTTGAACGACTTGGCCCGGAATGGGAGTGACAGTAGCCGCCTTCTTGTCCACCTTGTCCCCAGAATCTCCTGCAATAACGAAGCTACCGATGCAAAAAAAGCAAGGTGACCACGGTCACAAGTCTTAACGGTACACTTCCATCGCTGGTGCGCGCAGAGCGTTGAAGCAGTTGGCCCCAAGGAGTTGATTTAGGAATGAGCTCACCTGAGGCGCTTTTTGGAGTGTACAAGTGTGAGGGAAGATGGACAAGAGGATCGGGTGGCAAAGGCAGATTCTATCCTATGATGACTTGATTCATTATTAGCAATTCGTTGGAGGAACATGCCTCAGGTTGACAAACCGCTCTTGTATAAAAACTATTGGTCTGGCTGACGCCTCATGATTGACAAAGGGAGAATATCTCAGGCTGGTAAAGCTTGCTTTCGCTCATTGGCCCGAATCTTGCCGACGAGGTTGTGGGAAGATTGATGACTGTAACAACGTGGCACCTCCACCAACTCGATCGCACTAACTCTTGTCGCCTCACCGATTAAAGGGTTAACCCTTTGAAAATTGGAGTTTTACGGCCCCTTCACTCTCTGTCGCACATCTCTTCAACTCTGAATACAGTCAAAATGTAGAACTCACGAACGAGGTACACGTACGCCGTTTTTATCTTAAAAAAGCGAATAACTCAAGGGATACTGGACACTCACTAACAGTTAGTTGAAAACTACACATGTTAGCTACACTGTATAGTGGAGGAAATGGGTACATGAGGAGATTACTTAGTAATCTGTACGAAAGCGTATTTACTAGCTGGTCTGGGTGTCTATATTGCACCGCGGACTTTGACATAGGTAGGAGGCACCTAAGTCGTCTTCACTCTTAAAATCGGTCATCATCTGTGCTGATAAGTGGTGTGCCGAGCTCCACCCAGCAAATGTTTCCCTATGTTAGCAGATTCTTCAAAGTATTATAGATTGGATGGTAAATTCTTAGTTTTGAGGGTGCATTTGTGTTCAGTTTGATACATCGCCCTTCTCGGCTGCCTTCGGTGCAAACATATACTCTTCTCCATACTTTGCTCTAACGCTACTAGCATGTTAGCTCAAAATACTAGACACTAACTAACAGTTAGCTAACATGTATAGCAACTAACATGTCAGCGTTAGGGAGTACACTATCAAGGGATGAATAATTTGTATGAGATACTGTACTAGTAGTATAACTTATGTAAAAAAACACAGAATCTACAACGCGGTGACTGAGGATGACATGCACACTTGACAGAGTCGAGACTGGTAACGGCGCAACGTAGTGCAGCTACTAAAAGCTGAAAAGCGCAATGCTAACCGAAACAAACCATTTTTGGTTGAGCATACGCTTCGGACAAGGATATGATGCTCAAACAAAGCCACCAGCGTATATTCTCCACCTATCCGAACGACAGAAAACGACACGACACCACCACTCGGATTTCGTAAGGTAAAACTACCAAACAAAGTGTAGCGAAAAACATAAACTATCGGTATTTTTACAGCTCAATTTAGTGTCAGCCTGTGCCGACGCAGTACAAACGGAGGTGTAGATCCAGCATTGTTGTTGGTAGAGCACAAGTCGACCTGCTGGCTTGAAGAAGCACTTGAAGGCCTTCCGCTGCACAACATCGCATGCCGATCAGACTCGAAATGGTTGAATTTTGTGTTGAAAAACTTGAATGCTGTTGCGTCGTTCGTGCATCCTTGCCCCGGTCCTTCGGTCTGTGACGGTTCGCAGGGGGAATCTACGGGGTTGACGAGGAACGTGATTGCCATCTTGGACACACTGTGCTTTGACTCCGTCCGAGAACTAGGCGCAGTCGGATTGTCTGGCTGGAAGTGCTTTGCGTGCAGCTTGCAATAACCTCGAATCTGCACAAACTTCGTGCACTCTGGTACGCAACAACGCCGGCCACCTCCATGCGAAAGGCAAACGCCACTGTACTGCGCGAGTTTTGGACAGGCATCAACAGCACAGCGACGCCCGCCTCCATGCGCCACACAGAATCCTCGGCTCTGGGCTAACTTCTGGCAGTCCGGACCCCGACAACGTACGCCTCCCCCGTGCGCCTTGCATAGTCGACGAGTCTGCACTTGCTTCTTGCACCCCTCCACGCTACATCGAGGCGGGGTGCGACGGCTTCGCGACGGTGTCATGCCTTAGTGCTGACTGGCGCACTCTGTTTCGCACCGCAGATTACAGACTGAGAGGCGTTCGCGATATTCGCACGACTCCATGGATTACGACCAGAAGTGTACTATTTTTTATCTCGACTCACTAGCCACGTGATGCTCTTGCCTTCACAATCAATTGTGTTCGTGAACTGTGCAACGCTTCTGAACCACACATTATAGAACTCTGTACATTGTACAGTGACGCAGGCGCGAATTGTTGAACATTCGAGCGCACAACGAAGGAGACGGAGAAACACTTACCGAAGTGCAAGACTTATTGAAATGAGCCTCGGTCTTCTCTCCTCCGGCTCGCATTCCATGGAATCAGAAAAATGTACACAAAGTCTTTTGTGAGAACCGATACTGTAGATACGAAGGACAAAACCGTCACGCAAGCCATCGGCACGCAAAGCAGCTGGAGCCACACAGCTCGGTCTTTATCTCCAGCCTTGCTGGCCATGACACATCAAAGGTTTGCGAGTCAAAACTTTCAAAACTTACAACTTAATGTGCTCCACCCCAATTTACTCAGATCTGAGTCGGTTGTAGTGTACCACACACCAATTTGTAGGTATGGCTACATCGAATATACTATTAACCCTTTCGCGGTACAGTCACACCTCTATAAATGATACCCAGTTCGCTCGGTCTAATACCCTGTTTCAGTTAAAGAATTGATCAGATAAAGAAATGACTACACTTCTAATGGCTACATTTTCATATGTTAGGTGCACAAGGGCTTTCTTTACCTGGTACGCCTCTAGCATTTTCGTACTCTTGTTTTGTTTCGTCTTCACACAAACAGAACTCAACCAATAACGGTAGGCGCGGTATTGTCTGTTCCTACTCCTTCTTCTCATTGGTATTAGCAGAATCGCATCCCCTCAGGTTGTACGTGAGTTTCAATACAGGGAGGTTATAGGAATATTTGTTGTCCCGATATCCTGCCACCATGCCTGCAGTTTTATCTTTTGCTTGGTATGTACTGCATAGCCCCTAGTTGTCTCGACATCATAATATTTTAGTTTTTCGTAATATATATATGTAGACTGCGCTGATTGTAAAATAATTTGGCTAGCTTATTTATCACAAGCTTGCAGTTACTGCAAACTCTTTGTTCCAACTTAGCATCCCAAATACAATTTCTCTCTTCGCTCGATTTCTTGTGGCCGGGAGTAGTGGTGGCAATGGCATACGTGGGAGGAGGCAGGCAAGTGATTGAGAAAAATATATGAGTTTGGATCTATTACTACGGCGTCCATTTAGAGGGTTGAGGCGCCAACAATGGCGACCATTTAGAGAATAAAGAGTTTTTGATCAGTTATAGAACACCTATAGTGAAATCCATATAATCCCGTTTGCAGTCGAGGAATCCTAACCAGATAGGGATCACATGGTCAGTTAGAGGGGTTCATTTAGGGAGGTGTCACTGTAAAAGGATACAGAAAGCGCCCTTTAGATGATTTCCCAAAACACGGTAGAGTGTACCCCCTCTTAAAGGGCGTATCCTGTGCCCTTTTGCACAAGTTCAAGCTAGTAATCAACCTTCTTTTAAAACAAATGATAATCGGTACGCAGAGTAATCATCATGTAATCATTGTCTCTACAAATTCGAAGTCATACGCATACATTCTATTTATCCTGCAAATCACCGTAGATGGCATGTCCGATGAGACACACCGAAAAGGCTCCCTTACTTTGTAAGAGGACGCCTAGAGCACCCTTTTAGAAGGAAATATCAATGAGTTGTATACAGTCACACCTCTATAAATGAGACCCAGTTTGCTCGGTCTGAGAAATTGTTTCAGTTAAAGAATTGATCAGATAAAGCAATGGCTACATCCTATAATGGCTACATTTTCATACGGTACTGATGTTTGAGGTTTACTTCTCTGGTCCACGATCATATGCGCGAATCACTCTTTCTACCACAGCTGTGCCAATTCTACTGGTAGCCAAACAAGCAAGGTAGCAACGAAAAGCTGAGATCGAGCTCAAGCACATGATATTTTTTATTAGCAGCTTCTGCGAGGCTTTGGCCGTAATACTATCGACAGAAGCAGCTCATCTGGCGATGAAATTAGGTTTTTTTCGTAAACCATAAACCACAATAGCGATATTAGATCGAAGAATTGTCTCAGATTGTGCTTGATGCAAGCTTTCTTATGATCTCCGATTTAGAGCCATCAGCGTTGATTTGTGAGAGCTAGAGCCTCGAATAAAAACGAGGTTTTTCCTGCTTGCACGGTTGAGATTCGCATCCAGCAATTTGTTTTTGCCCAATCAGGACACAGTTCACATTTATGCTAAGTTTAAGATTGCGTTTTAAGAAAAGGTTATGCGGAGAGTTATCTAAAATAGCAGGTTTTATTTAATTTAGGTTGAAGTGCACGCATTCCAGCAAGGACTGTTTCTTTTGAAATGGTCAGTGCCATAGGCATTGCTGTTGTCCCGTGGCCAAGATGATACTTGCGCACCCTAGGTAGAGCGTATGCGTTCCCACCTCCATCAGCTATAACACATTGCAGTACCTTTTGTAGTGTTGCAAAACACTTGTCGATTGTAGCAGCTGGGATACTCCGAAACGCTTTATCCACAGCGCCGACTAGCGCCTTCAAATTGGTCGTCGGGTGACGGTACTGCACGCGTAGAATGGCGTGAAAAACGCCCAAGTCAAGTACGTTCATATCGGGCGAGCGAGGCGGCTAGCACGACATTTCTATCGTCCAACCTTCCTCGAGCCCAGCCTCAAGCACTTCTGCATAGTCCTCGGCTACGTGTGGTCCTGCATTGTCTTCCTGGACTTTGATGCACATTTTCTTTCTTCCTACAAACAAAAAACAGGAGAGTTAGTCACCAGCAAAATAGATCTCGTAGTCATTTCAATTACCTGGCCAAAGACGGCGAATCGCAGGAAATACTTTTTCCTTGAGCATTTTAACGTAGATTGCTCTCGTCATGTTGACGTTCTTGACTTCAACGGCCCCTCTTACTCGGTTGTTGGATTTCCGCTTGGCAGCCACGTACTCCACAATTGGCCACATGCCAATTTTCCCATCAAAATAGGATTTTCGCCTAGCGTCGTACCGAGGCCTCGCCACCGCAGCGAGAAACATAACTTTACCTATGTATCGACGATTGGGGCACGAGCGGTATAGCGCTAGCTCGTCTTTCGTGATGTAATATTTTGTGGAAGCCTTGTACAAATTAAACCACTTCTCATCAATGTGTACAATATCGTACATGTGATGCATTCTGAAATCTCGCCCTCCTATAATACAAATTAGATACAAAAGTTTTTGTGTAATTTTCCAGTATTATTATCATGATTTAGAGATAAAGTAAAAACAAATTACGAACCAGAATGGATGCTCTACGTGAGCCAGGGCGAAGGCTAGCCGCTTGACCTTGTGCTCTTCCGTCAGGGTAGGCTTCACGCGACTCGTAACACGGCAAAACACGCCGGCTCTCAGGTGGCGCATAAGTATAGTGCGGGGTATGCCGGTAGCTTCTGATAGGCAACGCAGTGTTTGCCGTTCATTCATAGGGACATCCTGGATGCGCCCAGCCACCTCCTCGGCTGAGAGCTTAGTCTGCCCGAGGGCTCGCGGCTTGCGCGGAGCGACTAGCGCGGCGGGGTCGGTGCGCTGGCTCCAGATCTCAGAGACCTTCCGTCTCGAGATCTTGAACAGCTTCGCCGCAGCTTTGATGGCCCCCCTGTGTGCTCTCTCCTCTCTCGACTTGGTCGCGATGAACAGAGCGACGCCTACGCGAACGCTCGCGGGCACGTCCTTGGCTCCTGGTGTGCGCATTGATCGCGAATTGGTTGGCAGGAGGATTTGGCCATTATTCGGTGGTGACGGAAATTCATATTTTAAGCCAATAAAAAACGTTTGTGTACAATACATAAAACCTTACGCGCATGTTATCGTGGACCAGAGAAGTACCTGGTATGGCGAATGGTCCCGACTATACAAAAAGCGGGACGAACTATACAGCCAGTAGCTCCATAACATACAAACATAGACAGATGGCTCTAGCGTTCAATCACACTGAAAGAAAAAGTGGTCTACATCTCTCAATCAATTTACGGCCTTCTCGCGCGTGCTTTTCTTTCTTCACAATGATAAATCTGCCGCCCTCAAGACCACTGAACAAGCATTGCCGAAAACTCCGGCTTCCTTTGCGTCCTCGTGCACATCCACGCCCAACCGCTGAACAGCCAAGCGACCATGCTTTACACTCTTCGTGGTGGTGTCCGTGGCTCGACCGATGCGTGCTGCAGAGGGACCGCGGCATCATCGCAGGGGTTACGGAGCCATGGGTACAAGCAAACTCCTGCTGAGTGGACTAAACTATGTATGCGTGTGGGAAAGTCAATGATGGTCATCGCACATGCCCAGAAGGGTACGATACGAGCGAAGAGCCGTAGGCCTACCAATGTGGCGGCATCAGGCACGGGTACGGCATCGCTGGTTCGCGCTTTTTCTCCTGCCCCTGACCCCAAGTCTGCCGCCAATACGCCCGCGCGTAACCAAGAGCGTGGCGTAGTGTTTGCTATTGTGGATCGAGAAGAAACACAATTCGGAATTAAGTACCTGGTTAAGTGGTGTGACGAAGCTGATGGGTTTCAGTGGGATGACACATGGGAGTATGGTGTAGGACTTCGTGAGGACGGCTTCGATCGTGCGTGCAATGTGGTGGACAAGTGGAAAGTGTCCAAAGTGTCTACATACTACCGATTTTTCAAGCTAAATGGACATTGTCACCACATTGGAGCATCGCCCGAAGGCTTATGTGCATTTTACGCGCTAGGTATTGCGACTGAGCTGGTGAGTAACGCCGGTTGGCACTCCATGGCTCAAGCTCGTCAATTTATGAGGGAATGGGCAGGAAGGGGTAAAACGATTTCGACCGAGGGGGTGACGTATGGTGAATTGCGCTGCTACGTAAAGTTTGCGAATTCGAGGAATCTGAGGCAAGTGAGCACGAAGCTTTTGGATAAAAACGTGTTCGGGGGTGTGACCGGCCACCAATCGACAAGTAAATTGTGCGCAGTTGTGCTCGAAGAAGGTGTCTATATCTGTGCTGCTTTTAGTTCACTGCGAGTGAATTATTATTGCTGTTGTGGATGGGAAGAAATTCATCTACGACGACGAGATCACTGGTGTTGGTATCGGACAGTGCGATTTAAGCTGGATTTATGGTGGGTCGTTTGTGCGCCGTGTGGACATCTACGTATGCTGATTTATTGCACGAGTTCTGTCGAGTTTCTCTTAAATTCTTAACGCAGTCGTTCTTTTTGCTTGAACTTCTTTCGGGTTATTGGTTAACGGCGAATCTCTGATGGTGAGGAACCGTTTTTACTGGACAATTCATCAGAACGGACGAATTCAATACACTCGTTTAGTCTGCGCCACAAATACGATGCTGGCAGATTTCTTCGGTGCTTAGGAAGGCCTCAGCTCTTAGTATTTTCGTCCTCATGTTCCATTTGCTCTTCACCGTACTGCTACCACGCCACATTTCTCTCTACTCCGGCTACACGACACGAGGTTCTGGCGCAGATGCGTGTGCACAACGCTGTGTGGGCTTTTGCTGAAAGCTCTGGTAACGATTGGGCTCGGGATTATGCACGTGAACGGAGAACTAAGTCTGAACCGGATCGCCAGAAGAAAGACACAAAGTGGCTCGTTGGGCACGGTGGCAAGCGGCTCCGGGATCTCTGGTTTGCTCTCCCTGTTGACCAACGGCAGTTGCTGATGGAGCAGACACCCGACAGTTCATTTCCTGTGGACACGGATGGAGTTTGCGACGAGCGCAAAACCCCCAGAGCAGTGTCGCCTCCTATTGAAAGGCCAGCCAAGCCTCAATCTACCAAGGCGACCACCCGCTCGCCGACGTTCAAGCGCAAGGGTTCTGCCTCCACGTCGAAAAAGGCAACGAAGTCGCGAGCTAAGAAGGTCACAGGAAGTTCGCTGACTTTCAATGGCACGAATTCTGAATCCAAGTCGAAGGCTTCTAGCAAGCTGCGAGGAGGGAAGGCTCCTATCAAGCAGCGAGGAGGGAACGTGGTGACGGACAACAGTTCTACCCACCGGACGAATTCAGCCAGTACGACTGTGGGCAACGGCTCAGCAGCGACTGGTTTGCAAAACAAACTCGTCATTATGCGATCGGCTCGGGCCAACTACCATCGTATCGCCTCTGATGAGCACATGATCAAGCTTCAAACAGCGTACGACCATGGGAATATAGGTGGTGTCGTCGACGCACTTGTTCGAAGTGTAGCGCACGCAATTCACTTAGCTCGATCCCAGGATCGCACCTCAACCGTCGAGGAGACGTATCAAGCGGTATGCATACGAGTTTCAGATGTGCTTCGTCCGGCGCTGAACATGACGCGATTCGAGCCCGAGTTCCAATCTGACCCCCTCTCACCGGAGTTTGCAGCGGCTAGGCTGGCGAAGGCGCTAAAAGGGTATCGGAGTGGTGTCGTGAGTGTTCACGACGAGTTCCGAGCGCAGGGGGTGGTGGCTGATCCGGATCGTGCCATTCTGAAAGTATCCCACTCACTGTTCGGCAAAGCGGATGGAATTCCATCTCTTCAGACGCAAGGTTTTAGTGACGCGGTGATCTTGTTTGCAACGATATCATGCCGAGTAACTAAAGCGGATTGAATACATGTATTTGCTTTGCTTATTCATTTAGGGTTTCCTCAACAATCAGAGCGGTAGATGCAAGAGGCGGTCTGCCCGTTAACCCAGGCACGGCATTTCCACTTGTTGATGTAGCCTTGGTCCGAGGTTTCTGGTTTTTCGATGAGCTCTTTTTGCTTGATCTTTTCGGCACCTTGTCGCAGCTACGCTTGGTATTAGCCTTTCCAGTCACCCGAGTTACCAGTTTTTCGATTTTGTTTGGTGAAAAAGTGATGATACCATACTTTTGCTGAGCAGCAACCAGGTGTGCACATACTAGAAACTTGCCAAAGTACCGGCATCCACAAACTTTGAGTTTGAGATCTACTAGCCACCCCTCTGTTGGCATTTCCAGTTGATGTGCGCGACGGAGAGACCATTTTGTGGTGAGGTCATACAGGTCCTTCTCCTTGATACGTAGTTCCTTTTGTTCTTCAGAATCCTCGTTTGGGTTTTGTACGAGCTGATCAGTAGTATCTTCCGTGCTGGGATCCTGTTCATTCGAGACCGCCTCGGACCCCCCGAGAGCTCACCCCTCCCCGATGTCAGAGTACGGAATAAAGCCATGGCGCTAGTGGTTCGAGGCGCGACCTCTGACACACCATCAACGCTTGGTGAATCCACCTCGTCAAACGATGACCTAAAGTGACATTCCGCCTCATCACCTTCGCTAGCGCTGGACGTGACATCAACAATTTCGAGAACCCGTATCAGATTTGGCTCCGACGTGCGCTCGAATTGTACGCGGGAAGCTTCCGCCATTGTGATTGCCGCATTCACTACGTCTGTAGTCGGCTTAGGTGTGTAATTCGGCTTAGCAGGTTCCAAAGGGGTGATGGACTCGATGAAATCACAAAGTTTGAGAAGAAGCCGTCGCATGTGATGTCGACGCCGCTGTAAGAAAAACTTTATGGCGCCGTTTAGATCCTCACATGGATTGTGGGTGGACGCATATCCAGGGGGGGGGGTGATATGCCTGCCACCTCCAGTACCGACCCTTGAGCCATTGCGAGTCGAAATAAGTCGCGAATTCTTTCAGATGCGTGGTCCTCTTCCATTTCTGCAGCTCACGATCTCGGCACAGCTCAAAGTCCAGCAAACCGGTGGCATATAGTGCATGTCAACGATCGATGACATCACCATCATTCTTGTTTTGATCGGTAGATGCTGGATTCGCTTTCGCACATTGTACAACACATGGAAGAAGCACATGAGCTTTTTAGCATTCGCGAACGCCGAAACAGACTCTACTGCGATGTATGGGGCGTCTTCCGCGTCACCCATGACTGTGTCCACTTGGAGGGAGACCCCACGCACTTCACGTATAAGCTCCACGAAGCTGCGGAAACACTCGGTGTATTCGTGCGCGGTTCGCCGACTGACAACGAAGAAGGCCCCCATTGATAGGCTCTGGCCTTGTCCGTAAATCCACACGTCACCACTGGGTACCCTATGTCACTTAACTTGAAAGTGGCGTCTGCGTGAAACTGGCAATTCGACCCGGAATTTGCAAACCGCAGACAGCCATCAATCATCGCTAATGATGTTATGCCAATAATGAAATGATCTTCATCCGACCCAACGTATGCATACCCTTCGCTGTCTAAGCTCGCGCCAAACAAAAACGCCGTGTCTGCGTTTAGGTCCGGGCGGTAACAGCGAATGCGAACGAGATCTTGGACAGCTTTGCGAGAGTTCGTCGTCCCTTGATCTCTCCGAAGGCGCTTCAACGCGTTTTGCACCTGCTTCAGGCTTGGCCAACCACGACTAGTCACTGGGATCTGGGATTGCTTTTTCAAATTGACCAGCATGAGCCGTGGTGGAATACCAATCTCATCTTGTTCTGCAAGAAATTGCTTCATCATCGTCGTCACGCGTGCAGGGTGGATGGTACTACAGGGAACCACACCACGCATGTGCCCATGCTCATTCACCCATATCGTCCAGGTATCGCTAGCCGTACAGGTGAACACTTTCCACACAACAGCACAAACCCCTATGTCGCTGCAGGTCTTGCTTGTACACGTAAGGCGTCTCTCAGTCATTGCATGCATACCCCCGCATACGCTGCATACGTCAAAGTCGCGCTTAAGTGTCACCGCCGAGCAGCACATGTCATCGTCTCGATAGGCCTTAAAGCTGTCTTCGGAGGCCTGGACTGAAAGCCGCCGCCATGGCTCCATTGCTGGGAGTTTGCTGTTTGTTCTTGTGACTTCACTTGTGTGGGGAGCTACATATAGTCGTTGGTTTCAAAGGGATTCCCCAAAAATACAGCACGAGTACGTTTAGATATTGGCAAGATTTATTTGTTCAACCATGCCAAAGTACACCGGTCAGCTTGTATATCGATACCCCGCTCGTATGTTCTGTACCCAATCTACATGATATGTATGACGCAGCCCCATCTGGTATGGAATGCCCCCAAGTCTGTATGTTTTGTCCTGAAAATCTGTATATTTTGACACCCTCGTCACCTGGTATCCGTCTAGCATTCCGTACTCATGTTTTATGTCTTCTTCGCACACAGAGAACCTATACCAATAACGATAGGCGCGTATTGTTTGTTCTTGAATTTATTCTCATTGGTATTATCAGAGTCGCCAAATGCGTTGTATCTAATGCACCCCCCCCCCTACTTGACTCGACACATAATATGTTTTTAGTTATCCATAAAATATGTATGTTAGCTGATCTGAGTGCAAAATTACTCTGGCAAACTAATTCATCAGTAGTTGCTGGCATGCAGCTGCTGCAAAATCTTTATTAACCCAAATATAATTCGCTACATTTGCTGGAACGGGAGTAAGGGAACCGATTGCATAATAGATGTGGCCGCTTTCGCTGTCTAAGCCAATACCATAAACCTACGGCATGTTCGCATCGCCCAGGATGTGGGAGGAGGCAGGCAAGCGATGGAGAACAATATATGAGTTTGAATTGGCTCTATATTACGGCGTCCATTTAGAGAGTTGAAGCGCCAACAATGACGACCATTTAGAGAATAAAGAGGTTTTTGATCGTTTTGGAACTGCTATAGTGAAATCCATATAAATCCGTTTGCAGACGAGGATTCCTGACCCGATAGGGAGCACATGGTCAGTTCTAGGGGTTCATTTAGGGAGGTGTGACTGCACTATAATTTATTGAGGATACTAGCGAAAGGGTTAATATTTCAATAGCTATATTGTGAAAACCGGATTAGCTTGATTAGGAGGGGTAGAAAATATATAAAAAGGGGTACGCTAAATTCTAAATCGTAGCGTTGGTCGTAAACCGTCCACGTGCAAATCCCTATCAAATGCTTATGAGAGCCTAGCTTCCTGTGCTATTAAATGGCCGCAGAGGTGCAATGCATCGTGCAGCGGGCTAGAGCAAGCGTATAAGCAGCCACTCGTGCCAAATTTCAGCCCCGTGAATAGTTCAGACGCAGACACATATTGCATGTACCCATCGGGTGCTTCATGTATACGACAGCGTCGAGTTTGCCGTCCACGTTGACATGGGTCACCGTTCATATAAACGAGCTACCCTCATAATGCCCAGTGTCACATGGGCATTCGACGTGATTTGATTATAAATCGACGGCAGTCCGCGGTATATGAACAGGGCTGGGGAACGCCAAGTCGGAGTAGCATCCTATTTATATATAACAAAACAAGGTCTCAGCCGCTTAATAAGCACCCAAATCGATCGATTTGCAAAAAACTAGGACGTAGTGTTCGGTTATCACAATAACTCGAAATACACTATAAAAATAGCATTGTGGTGGGCCTTGACTAAGGCCAACTGTAGGGCAACGGCGACTACCGCGTTAGCATCGGCATTATGAATAGAGCTTGTAGCAACGCGACATCACTCTTTGCTCCGCTGGCAAACATGGAATGTGCGTTGAGACAAATACTAAAGATTCGATAAGAGCGACAGGCAAGAGTCTGAGCCCAGCGCACGCTAAGCAGCGTACTGAAGGTTGTGGAGATCGATGCAGAAGGAACGAGACTGCAGCTTATCCGGATCGAGCTGCAGAGGAATGTTTGGTATTGATATATTCCTCAAGGCTCTGGGTAGCTACATTCTACGTGTGTTTTTTTTTATTATTATGATAGAGCGCTCAATACTGGTGCTGCGGGTGAAGACCTGGATGCGGTGAATACTGTAGCATTGGCGTGGGAACGGAGCTGGCCACGACGAGCGGGAGTTGACGGAAAGTCCTCTGCTGGTAAAGTTACCATCAATGGGTTTGACTTCAAACGAGATTGAGCATGCCATTGAACTGTTATTGTTTTTATTGAGTCAGTCGAGTGGTTGCAGGACGGTCTGATCGTATGCGCTTCCTTCGCATGACACTACCTGTCAGTCTAGCATAATTGAGACTCCAAGCGAAACCGGACAGCGAAGGTAGAGGATGGAGGCTCGTCTTTACCCAAAAACAAGTTGAAATATAGTCGCGCTCAAGAAAAAGTAAATTTGCAATTGCGCATGGGCCATGCAAGAAATATTTAAACGTAAATGTAAACTATGACGACGAACTGGGTTCACGACGCAGAAAATCTGGCGATATCTTCGACTTCTCGAACACACGAGACGCATTCTCCACGCTCCCAACGAGTCCAAGTATCGGGGTTAGCAGATCACAGTGGCTGATGATACTTGTCAAGCGGGTGTGCCCGCGGTCCCACTCCAGATACGTTCTGCCAGACATATCAACCCGCTGACCAACAAATTTCCTAACCAACTGCGATTCATGCTCGTACAGGTGCGGGAATACCTCATGGACCGTGTTCTCGGGAATAGTGAAGTTTGTGGTGGTGGTAGCTACGAGTGCGTCGTCACCGCACTCTTCTAAGCGCACAAGGCGAAGCGCAATGTTCTCGAAAACGGAAGACAACCTGTGCCAGTCTTGCATCAGTTCGTCCTTGCCGCACCTCACTCCAAGGACCACGTCTGGAGCCACATCTTGGACAAAATGGGAAGAGCGCAAAACAGTTCAGCGGCAGTTCAGTTCAGCCTAGATCATGTTAACACGCCTTCATATGGTTATACCCCATGGTCGACCATAGGTTATTACTATATATATGTATGTTACGTTTCTGCCCGTGTAATTGCACCGGTGCAATTATGCAGTCACGGTGTAATTATTCCATGGGTATTGTGCTATATGCAAATACCACAACGGACGCCTTTTCATCGTAGTTGTCCGTTATGAATCTGTCCGTTATGCTCTAGCGACGAGGGAACGCCATTGCAGGGAGCCGCTCTCGCCATTATCAACTTTGCAAACAAACGGAGAAGCAGCTTTCCAGGATGGCGGGTCGTCGCTCGCGTGGGTTCCGCACTGCGAGGCCTCCCGCTACGGCGAAGCCAGCGTCTAGCTCAACCCACCTTAGAAGCTAGCAGCGGTAGGTGCATCGAAACCTTCACTTTGACTGTAGTTTCCCCCTTTAACCCATGTTATTCGTTGCATTGTGTAACAGAGCTAAACTCCCCGCCATCTCCATCTCCACCTGACATAACACCAGTTAGTTCAGCCGTGACACCACAGACAGCTCCGACTACGCTCGATGTACTAGCTGCACCATCCAAGTTCAGCTTGGCGTTTTTGCTGAATGATGTCGACACAGAATCTGGTGGGGAATCCAGACCTCTCGCATCGCACAGTGATGATTCCGGAGGTGACGCGTTTAGCTACGATGGCGACTACGAATTCGGCTTTGGTGTCGACGTCATTACGGACCAACCTTTTCCGGACGATGGAAATACGACGCACGAGCTGAGGGAGGTGAATATATGATGCTGTCACGCAACCACGCCAGCGCACGGGCCAAACCACGAGGTGGGTTGGCGGATACAAGTACGCCAGGGCCAATAAGTACGGGATAAAAAATAACTTACAGGTGCAGTCACTATCGCCTGCCGTGCAAGGGGGCCTGTGAATTCGTTTTCAGGCTTCAGGGCTATGTGAACTTTGTGCCGCACACGTGCGGCCGTTCCGCGAGTACTGACACGGCTCTAACCCCCACCGTCGAGCGAGACGTGAGCGCTGAGATGAAGAGAGAAGTCGATCGTACGGCTATATCAACGACCATCAGTCGATCGGCCATTTGGGATCTCGTTCGGGCTCAGTTCTGCGGAAGTGCTGACACAAGCGTAGCCGTCGTCGGGTTGTCAAGAGAGTACGTCATCCCCCGAGTAAATCGCGTGAGAGCTGAGGAGTTTGGAGGTTCCATCTACGGCCAGATAGAAGTCGCACCATGGTCTCAAGTTTTGAACGAAGGCGGTTGGCGACCGACAGCAATTTTCCGCTCTTCCACTACTCTTACTATGACAAGTCCAGCAAGACCCGAGAGCGTATCCTGGGTTGGGGCCACCCAGTCCTGATAAACATGTTTAAGCAGAAGAAGACATCGCTCTTTGTGGACGGAACGTTGCGGTGTGTTCTGCCCAAATTCAAGCAGTGCATCGTGTTCACGACCTACGATCGCCCAACAAAAGGCTATTATCCATGCGCGTTCGTGTTGGCTACTTCGAAAAAGTACACGGTGTACTTCAATGCTATTTGGCATGTTCTAGACGCGACGGACGATGCGATGGACTCAGAATTCGTGTACTGCGAGTTCGAGGCCGGCCTAATTCGAGCGGTTGGTGACTTTTTCCCCAGTGCGGCCACGATGGGTTGTCTGTTTCACTTTAAACAGGCGTGCAGAAGACGTCCGGATCCAAGATCGTGAGTGTAAGATTGCCAGGCGCAGTGGCGTGTTGGATATGCTCACTGTCGTGCCACAGGAATAAGTAGATAAGCAAGGGGTCCAGTGGGTTACGAACCAGATTAAGGCCAGATGCGAGACCGCTGGGATCACGTACTCGGCATCGAAATGGGCAGCGTTTTGGGGATACTTTCACCGGACCTGGATTGTCAAGTTCCCGCCGAAGTTGTGGAACGTCGAACCGTTCACACGTGACGCTGTGAACAGAACAAACAATCCGCTTGAGCGCTTCAACCGTGAGATGAACGCTGTATTGCCAGGCCCGCACACCAATCTACCTGACTTTGTTGCCGGCATAGAGAAGATAGCGCGGAGGTATGCCAACCTGAAGAGCGACATTGAGTTCGGAAGAGCGCGCCAACCATCGAGACCACCCATCCGTCTGTCACGTCCTGTTGCCCTCCCTGATATTGCGCCTACATCGAGTGAACGTGCCACGGTTGCAGCAGAAGATGCCGATTCTAGCGACGGAGGAGAAATTAATTGCCTGCGGGATGATGGGAGACGATTGGTGTAGCCGCAGAGAAATGTGTCGCGCCCGATCCAGATGTCGACGCTACAGCGAGTTCAAGATGCCGGACCAATTTATGACGTCGGTGATGAAGCGATTGGAAGTAGCGGTAGCAGTGTCGAAGGAGACAGCTCCTAAGGAACTGAGAGGTAGCAGAAAGAGACCGAAGTTGGAAAGAATCAATATGCATTTGAATATACCGTTTCTTATAAAGCTCACGGGGCTGAGTGCGGAATGTTGCGTTGATCACTGATCTCTGCTGATACTGCCGAAGCATCTGTAGAATGATGGCAGTAGTGGGGGGTGAAGTTCTTGAGCTCGGTGCGCATGCTGAGGGTCGGTCACGAGGGATGCCAATGGAGCCACTAAGACTGCCTTGATTGTAGTCTGCTTGCAGCTGTACCAAGGTTTCCTGCTCAACAACTCGATAGAAGTTCACACGCGCCGAGTTCAAAGTGTCCACACTGGTCATCGCGCGAAAAATTCTCGGCAATTCGCCCTCAACAACAGCGTGCTCGACGTCATCTCGAATGCGAGGGCGGTTGCTTGCTGTCGAACCCGCCAGTAGTAGATCCGCCAGTGGTTCTTGAGTGGGCAGCCGGTGCTGGGTTTCGGTTCGATTTCTTGTACGAGAGAGCCGTAGTTGGCGGCCTGTACGAGTACGCTCGTCCAAGACGCCGTCAGTTCCTTCTGGGAATGTGGGGTCTGAGGTGGCCTCCATCATCCGCTCTCTTTCGCTGGGCTGCAGTGCTAACCAAGCGCGCCGGAGTTTTTTGCCTCCGCTACCACGAAGCCATCTCGAATCACGATGACGACGGTCCTCTTCGCGAAGTTGAAGGCGCTGATACGGATATTCTTGTTCGAGGTCGTTGGCTGCGGAGACTGCGTAGCGCCAGACGGCTTCGTGTACGCGCATGGTATCTGGCTAGTGTGGTGGCTGAATGAATTGTGAGAATGGAGCTTCTTGCTGCTCAACAATGACAAGAGGGCAAGTTCTTACTTAAAAATAGATGATCAGATAGGATAAGTGTATCGAAGATCGAATGAAAACTATCTAAATGTTTATTTAAGTAAAAATAGGATCATTGTAGAACATCGGATGTGAGCGTTAATTATAAGTAAATGGATACTTCGTCAGAGTAAGTATGAAAGCCTTTATGGTTGTATTGCCTGAATAGATTTAGATACAATTGCAGTGCAGACAAAACCTCAAGTACCAATAGAAAAGCGTAGTGGCCGTGTTCGTATTACTTAAATCCTTAAGGCGAACCAACAGAATAGAGATCAACCTTGCGAAGAAATGAAATTCCATACAGCCACTCCAGATCACACTGCTGAATGCCCTGGTTGAACGTAGTCTCGTCACTTACAAACTTTTCGCCTTCGAAGACGCGAATCACTAGACAGTGGCTTACTCGGAGCGAACTGTATCCAGCACATAAATAAATACCGTCTTGGAGCGTCAAGTCAATCAGCTTTTGCAACGTACGTGACCCGCTGATCCCGCCTAGTAGATTCGCGTCCAGCGTCCCGGTACTTATTTGCTTGCATTGCACGGGCGTCTTGTCAATAGCGAACTTAACGTAGAACCTGAGCTCACCGTAGTGACACCCCTTGGAGAAATCGGTTTACCTCGCGCTGCACAGTATTCCTTGAACCCACTAACCACGTCGGAGGTGTGCCAGCCAGTGTTGCCTAAGTGGTCCGCGGCAAGCCCGACAGCGTAGAAGGCACACATACCCTGCGGTGATGCACCGATGTAATGCACGTGACCGTTGTTCCTGCAAAATATGTAGAAACTTGTAATACTGGAGGCCTTCCATGCATCAACCACGTCACACGCCTCGATAAATCCATCCTCCCTCAAACTCCAGCTGGCCTCCCAGGTATCGTCCCATCTAAACCCGTCCTCACGATCACACCACTGAACGCGATATAAAACACCTTGGTCGGAACTTTTACGATCAACTATCGCGAAAACGCGGTATTCGTCGGTTCGCTCATGTACAGGATTTTGTTTTAGTACTGGGAGCACTGGGCTACTCGGAGTAGCCGTAGCAGGGTACTTGTACTTGCTCAAATCCTTGGTATACACGGCTACTTTGCGAATCGGAGCCCTCAGCATCTGCGTACGCATCACACCACACCTTTTCCCGACTTTCATCGCGCTACGGACACCCATGCGACCACCATAGTCCCTCTGCCGCTCGCATCGGTCGAGCTACGGGCTCCACAGGCGGCGCCATACGGCATCATCTTAGCAAGTGTCGAGAAGGCGAGAGCGGGCCGGGTCACTTGATCACTTGCTTGCGTTTGCTGAAGTGAGAAGAAGCAGTGGGTAAATCACGAGAATTGCGAATCCATCAGTCCGGCAGTTTTGATAGAATTCTGCTACCGATGGTAGCCTACCGTACTTTTAACAGGAAGAAGTGCTGTCTTGGGCGGAACTAAGGGTGCCGCCCCCGCAGTTCAGGCGGATGGAAGCTTCGCGAAGCTTCCACAGCCGCCCTACATCTGCATATCTATTCTACGGTGAGTCGTACCTACACTGACCTTCTATTGGCTTACCTTTCTACCAATCAGATACACTCACCCCTTCTCTGGCTGCGCGCCCTTTCGACTTGTCATTCCCGAAAAAGACAGAGAACCGCGACGCTTCCGGCTGTCGCCTGAGGAATTAGTCCGACCTTGCTTTTCCTTCGCCTCGGCCTGGTTGTTGGAGGCTTGGATTGGTTCCTTGGGCTGATAGTTGTGTCGCTAGCGGTTTCTACTGCTGCCGGAATGCAGTCTCCTGCTTCCGCGCGTTCTGCCTCGCCTCCAGCGACGGCTGATCATGATGTTGAGGCTCCGCCGTCTGCGTCGCCTCTGGCGACCGCAAATCTCGATGGTCCGTCCATGCTACCGCCTGGCGCCGCCACGCCGGCAGACTCTGAATGCGCCGCCGCGCTCGCGCAGATTGTCGATGTTGTGGCCGCTGCTGATGAAGTCAGCGATGCTGACTCCGGGCTTGACGAAGAGATGATGCGTGTGTGGGAAGAATTAGAGCTCACCAGTCGCTCTCCCGGTCTTGGCTCTCCAGATTCGGGCTCTGCGTCCCCGGCGCTGGCGACGCAGGCGCCAGCGCCGCGTGAGGTTGTTGCTTCGGCTGGTGGTTTTTCTCCACCTACGCGCCTCCAGGAGTTGATCTTCATGCTCGATGTGGAAGGGTTGTCTGTCGAGGAGGCGATAGCTGCTGAGCCTGCGCTTGGGGCGACCTTTGAGGCCTCGCCTGAAGATGAATCCGGGCTTTTCGATGATAGTGACGACGATGAAGGCCTGCCTCAGGTTGACCGCTCGCGCTTGCGGCGCGGTGACGAGAATTCGACGTGGCATCCGATGCTGCTTCCTCCGGCGCCCAAAACGCACCCGTCGAACAACCGCAAGAACCACTACGACCCGAAGAAGCCTTGGGATTACAACACTGAGGTTGACATCGTCCGTGCCTTGGATGTCAGGGGCACGGCTCCGCACCGTTGCTACTTGGTGAAATGGGAAGGCAATCCGCTACAGCTAAGCTGGGTCTGGATGGAGCAGCTCGACAAACCGTCGACGCGCTACATGATGAGGATGGTGGACGCTTGGAAGGGATCGGGAGACAAGCGCACCTTTTGTTATTGGTGATTCCGTGTCGGAGGCTGGTACTTGTTCATGGATGCTTTCCGCTCGGCCTTGTACTATCTCGGACAGCCGGGTCTAGTCACAATGGAGATGTGGGATGCGTATGAAGACACGCGACCTGAAGCCATCCAGTACGGTGTGTCTCGCGACGACGTGACGGAGTTCTTCAAAGTTCTGCAGCGCAAGAGTGTGCCACTGAACTACGACGTCCTTCTCCGAAACGCTCTTCCAGATTCAAGTGCCAACATCACGACGCTCCAAGGTGTTTGCCGCAAACAAGCACCTGGTGTTTACGTCGTCAGCGCTGGCCGCAATGATGTCGGGCACTGCTTTGTCGTGGTTAACCGTGGTCCGGAGAAGCAACTTCTGGCTCTTGACAATTTCAATGCCCGCAAGAACCCGCCGGTGGACATTCTTCCTCTGAGTTACCAGCAGTGGATTCAGCACGTGAAATGGATGGCGCAAGTGGAGCTGCAACCAGGATACAAGTGTCGCCACGGCAAGCGCAAGTCGAAGACGCAGAAAAAGCGGGAGAAGCGCATGAAGCAGCAGGTTCTGCAACAAGAGGGGATGTAATACGGGAATACATGTAGGCCTTTGAGCCCCCCTTCAGCTGATCCTGCTTCACCGTTTTCGACGCTTCTTTCGCCTTGCAGATTCAAATTCCGCGATGAGATCTGGGACTTGCGACAAGTTCTCCACTGGTTCCCAGGTTTGTTTCGCCTCGCCCACCCACTCCACAAGATATTGGATCCGCCGTCTTCGCGTTCGCTCTCCACGTAATGCCTTGACGATCTGGCCAATGCTGCCGTCCGCTAAGATTACGTCGCTTGGCCTCGACAAGCGAGTCGGCTCCTTGTACGGCTTCAATGACGAAGTGTTGAAGACGGAATACACCTTGTTGCCAGCCTGGGTGTTGAGTTCGTACGCGTGGTTATGAATCTTCCGCACCACGGCGTACGGTCCAATCCACTTGGGTCCGAACTTGGTGGAGTTGGGCAAGCCGGAGTGCTTCGGGTCCAGATTCTTCGTGCTCAAGTAGACCCTGTCACCAACTTCGAAGATCTGCTCAACACGGTTTCGGTCGTAGACGTCGCGCATCCGTTCTTGGGCCTGAGCTAACGCTTCGCGACAGCGTAAGAGAATCGCCGCCTGTCGCTCGTGAAACTCTGCTCTGCATCGACTCTTGGGAACACTCTCAAGTTGCTCGGATGCAAGTTGAAGTGGATTCAACGGAATGTAGCCCAGATCGGCTTCGAACGGCGCAAGCTTCGTGCTGGAGTTGACAGTCGAGTTGACAGCGAACTCAGCGTTGGCGAGATAAACGTCCCAATCATCTTGAAGTGGACCGACGAAGCACCGAAGATACTCTTCCAAGGTTCGGTTCATGCGCTCCGTTTGTCCGTCACCTTGAGCGCGATGTGCAACGGTCATGCTTAGCTTCGTCCCGATGGACTTGAAGACATGCTGCCAGAAGGCGGACACGAACTTCCTGTCGCGGTCGGAGACGATATTCGTCGGCATGCCGTGTATCTTCCAGATGTTGTCGATGAAGAGTCGAGCAACACCTTCGGCGTTCATCGTCTTGGTGGTTGGCACGAAATGACACCGCTTGGTCAACCGATCGACGACGACCCAGATAGAGTCGACGCCCCGCTCCGTTCGCGGCAGATCAGTGATGAAGTCCATGGAGATGGATCTCCAACGCTCGTCTGGAATACTGAGTGGCTCGAGCAATCCAGGAGGTTTCGTCAACCGCGGCTTGTCCCTCCGACAAGGCTCGCAGTCGGCGACAAACTTCTGGATGGACTTCAACATCTTCGACCAGTACCAATGGCGCGCCAGTGTCAAGTACGTACGTTCGGCACCGGGATGGCCTCCGTAGTTGGTGTCGTGACACTCGCTGATAATTGTCTGTCGCAACTTCACATCGTTGGGCACGACAATCCGTGGAGCGTCATCTGCAGGCGTTTGATACCACAGTAACCCGTTCGCTTCGGAGTAGCAGCGGTATTTCTTGTGCTGCTGGTGTTCGCGATTTCGTTTTGAGTCGGATTTGCGTCGCTTGATTGCTGTCAAGATTGCTTGGACATCACGATCTTTCTTGTACGCTTTCTTGATGCGCGTAATCAGCTCCGAGTCACCCGTTTCTTCGCTGATCGCGAGGCTGAAGGATGTGTCGTCGAAGCTGGTCACCCGTAAGTCGTGGAAGAACTTCGTCTCCGGTTGTAAGTCTGACCTTCGACTTAACGCGTCTGCGATGCCATTCTTCACACCGGGAAGGTACGAGAACGTCGACTGGTATTCCGCAAGGATGTCGTACCAGCGAGCGAGTCGACGGTTGGCCATCTTCTGGGTGAACAGTCCTTCGAGACTTTTGTGATCTGTCTCGACGATGGGTGGTTTGTCCAGGCAGTAGATCCGAAACGCTGCCAGCGCATGAACGATCGCTAGTAGCTCCTGCTGCTGAGTCGGATAGTTGAGCTCCGCCGACTTCATCTTCCGGCTTGTGTACGCTATCGGGCGCTCAACTCCGTCCACCACTTGAAAAAGGACTCCACCGACAGCAAACTTGCTGGCGTCGGTACGCAGATGCATGGGGCTGCTGAAATCCGGCAAGTGCAATACTGGCGGGTTGCACAGTCGCCGCTTCAACTCCTTGAAGTTCTTCCGCTGCTCGTCGCTGAGATGAATCTTGGCGTTCAGCTTGTTTTTCTTCTTCAAGAGCGCAAACATGGAGGCTGTCAGAGATGCGTACTCTGGACAGAATCGCTGGACGTAACCTGTCAAGCCAAGGAAGCTGTGAAGCGCTTCTTGCGTCCGTGGTACAGGGCAGTCCTTGATGGTCTGCACCTTGTCTGGATCCATCCGAACTCCATTTCGCCCTACGAAATCTCCGAGACACGGGATCTCGTCGGAGCAGAAGACACACTTGGACAGCTTGACGTACAACTTGTTATCACGCAAGATGTCAAGTGTTTTCCGCAGTGCGTCCAGATGGTCCTCGATCTTCGGTGACTTGGTGAAAACATAGATGTCATCGTAGAACGACTTCGTGTTCTTCAAGTCTCGAAAGAGCTTCGATGTCAATCTGTGCATCGTTGCTGGCGCGTTGCAAACTCCCATTGGAAGAACGAGATACTCCCAGAGACCGTTCGGCGCTTGGAATGCGGTAAACTTGATGTCTTCTTCCTGCATGAGCACTTGGTAGTACGCGGACATCAGGTCCATCGTGGAGAACCAGTACGCACCGGACATGGCGTCAAGGATGTCTTCCTTCCTCGTCATCGGGATACTTTGACGCACGGTGTTCGAGTTCAAGTACCGGTAGTCGTGAACAATTCTCCAGCCAACTGGTTTCCGGACACAGAATGTTGGGGCTGCGTGGGGACTGATGCTTGGTCGAATGAGCTTCTTCTTCACCATGTCTTCGACAGCGCACGATTTCACGCTGCTGCTCCGGTGACTGTCGCCACTGCTGCCGGTACATCGCCATATTTGGATCCTTCACATCGATCCGGTGTTCGATGTCACGCTTCTCTGGTAAACCTTCGGGTAGTTCTGGACGAAACACGTTGTCCTTATACTCCATGAGAAGATTGAAAGCTGGATTCTCTCGGAAGGTGTCCCAGTCTGTCTCCAGATAGCGTTGTGCTTTCGCACTCCCAACGTTGTCGGGCTGATCTCGGCGTTGCAGTGAACGTGCAACTTGCTTGATCGTCTCGTTCGACAACACCAACATGAAGTCAGGCTTGTCGCACGTCTTGGTCTTGATTGTCAGGAACTTCCGCAACTTCTTGCGCGTGATGTATTTGGTCTGTATACCACTCTCGTCGACAACTCCCATCGTGAACATCTTCTCCACGGCGTTGTCTCCACCCCTGGTACTGCTGCTTCCATTAGCCTCGACTACAGTACTCTCGCGCTCAGACGTCGCAACGTCGTCGTCTCCAGCTGAACTCTTGCCAGCTTGCGCATCATCATGTCGTCCGCGGACAACACTTGGGGATTTCTTGTGCACTGCGTCACCAACAGCTTCAACCGTGAGCGTCACATCCGTTTCCAGCGCGGCACCTCGACAGGAATCGGGTCTTTTCGCCGACAGGCCTTTCGCCTCGACAGATCTCCGAAGCCCGGAGGTAATCACCGGTCCGCCTTCCTCGATCGGCTCACAGGTCTTCCCTGTTCGCTTCCAGTGCAGAGTCCTCGTTCTCGTTTCTACGATTCGTCGACCTCTCCAGTCAATATGTGGTTGCATGTCTTCGAAGAATGGTATTCCAAGAATGCAATCAAATTCGTCTGGAATCGGGTAGACGACTGCCACACACTTGTAGGCGTCGTCCAGCCTCGAGACCAGAATCTCTATCAGCAGAATTTCAAGCTCCGCCTCGACAATTTGGTTGTCTCCCAGCTTGACACGAATATTCTTGTCGCTGAACTTGGTTGTCTGAAGTTGGTGCTCCTCGACCCAACGCTTGGATACGTAGATCGTGGTGGCTCCACAGTCCAACAACATGCTTCGTGTCGCGAGACACTTGTCACCAACACTGATTTCACCTGTTACGGAGAACAGTGGACGTGACTTGTAGACCAGAGGGTTTTCGCACAGAACGTTCAAGCTGATATTCTCAATCTTTGGTGTCCCGGTTACGCTCTCGCCCACGCCAGGACCCTCATTCACTGACGTGGTTGCTCGTTTCCCTGCTTATCTTTCTCCTTCTTCCAGAGGAAGCAGTTGGCCTTGATGTGGCCAGGCTTCTTGCAGTGATAGCAGGTGCGGTCATCAGTACGTTTGGAGTCAGACCTCGGCTTGAACCGTCCCTTGCCGCGGAAAGGTTTCCCTTTGAATGGCTTGTCTTGCTTGGGAGCTTGATCAGCGAAGATCTTCCTCTTGTCTTGGCGGGACTGACGGTCGCGCACGTCGTCCACAAAGTGTGTAACTTCGTACTTGATCGCCAGGTCCATAGCCGCGCTCAGCGTCTCTGGGTTCTCGAGCTTGACGTAGCTACGGGTACGAGGCTTGAGACCGTTTGCGTAGCTTAGCACCTGGCCAAGTACACTCATGCCCTCAACTCGGAAGATAAGAGCAGAGTACTCGCCGTTGTAGGTCTCGATGTCCGCCGTTTGCTTGAGTCGCTGCAGCTTTTCTCGCAAGACGGCCTGGTAGTTCGAAGCTTCGAAGTGTTGGAGCACATGCTCACGGAAAAGCCCCCACGTGTGCTCCTCACTTCTCGTCGTCGATGACCAGTGCAGGAACCATCCTGAGGCCGGCTTTTCCATCGCCGACCCGGCGATACCCGGCAGACGCGCGCTCGCGTCTTCGATTTGGATTCCGTTGATGCGACAGGCGTTCTCGATCTGGAACAGCCATTCGCGAACGTCTTCCCCCCCCCGCTTGCCGGTGAACTTGGGCAGATTGGTGGGCACTCGCGTGCGCTCTGCCATCGCTTGATTCAGCCGGTCGATCTCGGCTCGTAGCTGGGCGTTCGTCGGCATGGGCTTCTTGTCGTCAGGTTGCTGGGACCAACAAGTGCTACCAGTTTAACAGGAAGAAGTGCTGTCTTGGGGGAGGGCGTGCGGAACGAAGAGTGCCGCCCCCGCAGTTCAGGCGGATGGAAGCTTCGCGAAGTTCCACAGCCGCCCTACATCTGCATATCTATTTTAACTTGGTTTCACTATATCTACGGTGAGTCGTACCTACCCTGACCTCCTATTGGCTTACCTTTCTACCAATCAGATACAGTACTAGTGAGAGAATGCGACGTTTATACTACATAGTAGTATTGATGGCGAGTTTACCTGGCCCAGCACATGTGAAGCAATAACATCTGTATGTCTCGACTAGCACTGTTCGTAATTGGCTTTTTTTGTTTCCGCGTCACAGGCATCATATGTGGCGAAGTTTTTGTGCATGAACTGAGCCTGAACTGAACTGCCTCTGACCTGTAAAAAACGCTAACACAAAATGTACTTGGGTGCAGGGTGAGTGTTGGACGCCGTAGCGAAACAGACAAAAGTACTCCGTGCATACCCTCCACAGGTCCCTCTTAGCTGGAGTGCCAGTAAGCATGTCACGGCGACGTTATTCAAGCTTGTCGATATCCTCCCGCAGCTCTCGAGTATACGCCTCCAGGGTGATGGTTAGGTCACGCTGCTTCTTTCTAAAGCGGGCCATGGTGATCCCCGCCGCTCTCTTTCCAAATCCTTTACATTGAGAGCCTGGACTGCGCTTGGAGTCTCTCGCTTGAAGCCCGACGCTGCTTTGGTGATGTTCGCCGGAGTCAATGAAGGCGGTGGGTTTTTGCGAGTTGGAGCAGCTTCGAGTGACGCTGAACGATGGAGACCATCACTCGCGCGGGGATGGATAGAAGTTTTTTCTTCTTGTGAAGAGGTGGCAACGATGAGCTCCCTGCTCTGGTGGACAGACCTTTTGCGTGGTGCCACGCTGACATGACTAACTAGCTGGCTGTTGGGGCATAGGAAGCTGGAATTCATTCTTGTACGATAGTGATTCTGCTGAGTACAGCTCGATGCGAAAATATGGTAAATAATGAAGCTTGCCGCTTGCGTATTTTACGTATAGATAACTCGCCTGCGTACTGAGGGTGTGTTATTCAGACAGGAATTTGTAGCTTTGCGCTTTCTGAAGCGTGAGTTTCTTGATCCCGGAAGTCCCAGACTCTCCGGTTCGTCTCCTCGCTGTGCACTGCGACCGAGAGTTTCCTGTCGTCGTCTCGTCCAAGTCTACTGGTCTACTTCAACTAAGTACGAAGTTCGGTATCGGGCTAAGTGCGGTTCTTCTAAGTTCGCCTTAAGTTCGGTCAACTTCAATCATGCCGGGCTACACTGTGGACCCCCAGCCGATCTTCGAGGTGATCAGGGCGCCCGAAATGTCCAGCTGGGACCATGCTGCTCTGATCGAGTGGCTCCATGAGTGGGAACGTCGAGAAGATGCGTCATCGCTGCACCACCACGGGCGAGATGTACGAGAACGTGGTGGCCACCGTAAAGGGCTGCGTTAAGCGCAAGACGCTCAAGAACATGGCTACCTACGTGCTGAAGAAGCCGGTGGCGGACGTGACCGACGCCGACATCGTGAGAGCTGTGCAGGTTCGGTGCCGCACCCTCAAGAACGAATTCGTGCCTGACGTCATGTCGCGGTTTCGCCAGAAGCTTAAGATAGACCTATCGATTGATGACTGCGATGCACGAGTGTTCCGCTACTACGAGGATGTCAATGGTATCATCGAGGACAACGGCCTGCAAGGGCTGATTGGGGCAGACAACACCACCGACGCTGGCTGCAAGAGCAGAATGAAGGCTCGGTGCCACCTATTGGTTGAAAATCTGCAGCCTCCGGTCGTCAAGGCGCAAATCACCCGTCTAATCGATTTAGAGAGGCGTGACCGTAAGTCTGATGACGTCGCCCTCTTTGATCTGACATTGGAGCACGCGAAGGTACAACAGCGGTTCCATCGGATGTCGCAGGACTATGCCGCAAAGGGGGACTCGAAGGCTGCAAAGCCAGATCGTAAGCCTCAGAAGACCAGCCTCGCCGGCGCGAGCGCCAAAGCCGAGTCAGCGTGCCCAACGCCGTCTGCAGCTCAACCGCCTGCCTCCGCCCGTGCACCACGACCGTCTCGGCCTCCGCCTCAGGTTGGCTGCCTGGTGTGCAAGGGTGCACACTGGCTCAAGGACTGCCCCACGACAGCCGACGCCCAGAAGGAGGCCGCCCGGACGCGGTATCAGGCCGAGAAGGAGCCTTTCGCTCTAAAGCAGCTCGCACGGGTACTACAACGAACATGGTGCGGATCAACGCGCTACTCGAAGTACCGTACATTGCGGACACGGGTGCAGACCGAAGTGTGGTCTCCAGCGCCATGATGGACTCTCTACGTGCTGTTCAGCCAGACCTTCGGACCAATTTGCTCTCCTCCCCCATTAGTGTGACTCTTGCGGATGGGCGACCGGAATTGTGCGATATGGAAGTGGTGCTGGAGAGGAACTACCATGATCCACTAGAAAAGTACTGGATCGCCCCCAGGCCGACCGAAAAACAAACTACTGTCACAGTATTTGCCAAGTTCGTGATGCGTATTTATCAAGACGTATCTACCTACTCTCTGCGAGACTGGATCCTTGCGCTGCGTCGTGTCGGTCGTAGATGGCGAGTCCGACGTCTCCCTCTTGTCGATTGGTAGACCCAGATGAAGTCGATCGATTCGCGTTCGAACCGTAGGTTCAGGCGCATCGGAACGTGGCTTCCCGGTTCCCATGTAAGCTCCCGGTACCCAACCCATTGGATGAGATAATATACTCTTACGTTGATCCACCTTTTCGCGTATATTCGCTCTACCTCATATAGCTGCCCATCCACGCCTCTCTGGGCCCTTCGATTGCTTGCGAAGAGGCCACCACCCCTACGTCGTTCTTCTCGGAGTCCACCCCCGACTGATGATTCTTCCTCTTCCTGCTCGTCGGTGTCTTCGTCGCTGACGTCATGAGCGGAAATACCGGGATTCAGTCGGAGACGGTAAAACGAGCCGTCCAGGCGGCGCTGGATGTTCCGGGCGTGGCGCTGTCGTGGGTTAAGGCGACAAAGCAGAATGGGGCTTGCCGAAGCGCTGAAAATGTAGTTCGCAGTCTATTTCTATTCTAAGTGTTGCCTTAAAATAAATACAGTAGACTTCAGTCCGGAGGTCAGGTTGTGATTTGGCTAAATTTAACGTAGTTAAATTGCAAAATTCAGATTGCAGATCAACGTAGCATATTGTACCATTGCGGCTTGAATTATATAAAAAAGGGTGTACCATGGAGTGGTACATTCGTAGAGTTCCTACTCCTTCTAGAGTTTAAGAGATTTTCACGAAATATTTTACTCGCGTGTTCTTAGGGCACAACACTAGAGATCTATCGGTTTAGATTTTTAATATATCTTACCCAAATATGACTCAGCAACACTTGCATATTTGGTTAGAATTGTCGGAAAGCACAATATCTATAAATTATGAAGTGTTGTTTATCAAAAATACAGATCGATAAAGTATAAATTGGCTTTGCCCGACGAAGCTTATTCTTGTCCCTACAGCGCGTTTTTCACAATCTTTCGCTTGTGTTGTGGCCTCTTCCCCGGCTTCAACCCTCTTTTACCAATCCGTTCAGGAGTGGGTTCAAGTTGTGGAGGAAGAATTGTGTCGTCCCGCTGTAAGGTTGCTGTTGTCGGCCAAGGGAGAAATTTGAATGTGTACGTATCGCGGAAGTGCTCGATCGACATACGCTTGGCGTCATACAAGTCTTCGATTCGTCGGCCGTCCTTTGAAGCAGCGCAAATTGCGTGGACACAAGGGAACATTTGGTCTTGACAATTGCCACACGTCCACGCCTGCGCTGGAAAATCCATTTCCTGGTCTGGGTGCACGTATCCTTTTATGGCAACAGGGCCCTTGAACAAGACGCTGTACGCACCCCCGAGAAGGGGTGTAAACTCGCACATATCAGCTGCAGCTTGGCGGTCTGTACGTCGCTCTAACAACTTGGGGACTAAATCCGAGAGTGCGCCAGATTTTGTCCACGTTACAATCATTTGTCGCCTTTTGGACATCAGTTGACTCAGCTTCAAGAAGTACAAGTGGAATCCGTCCAAGGGTTTGGCGGTCCGAAGCTCTTTACCCATCCAGTTGTTCGCTTGCTCTGACAAATTTGTGGTTATTTCGTCGAAAGTCGGGAGATTAAACTTTTCTTGGAAACTGTACTTCACCCAGTGAGCACGTTCGATTCTGTCCAGAAAATTCGCAGCGGCAGGGTTGTTCACGGCGAGTTCACTTCGATACAGCTTATAGTCATTTTCACAGTCGCTGCGTGCCATTCGGCATACCCACGCACGGTCTTCCTGGGACAACCTGGAACATTTCCTGTTAATGTTGTCCATGATATGCCGCAGGCAGTATCGATGGCCAGCGTTTGGGAAAATTGTTGCGACAGCTGGAAGCAGACCTTTTTGTCTATCCGACAATATCGTGAACTTTTCCCAGTCAACTGCCTAGTTGAATGCTCCCAGGAACCAAATCCAATTGGCCTTGTCCTCTTGTGAAACCAGCGCGAGTCCAACTGGAACGATGTGGTTGTTGTAGTCTTTCACGGTAGCTACCAGATAAATGCCCTGTTCGTGCATTTCCTCTTTAAGGTGGACCCCGTCAAAGCCGACCATCTTTTTGCAGTTCTGGGCAATGTGAATACCAGCGTTAGGGATGAAGCACGCTCGACCAAACGACGATCCGTTCGCGGCAGTTTCCACTCTCCAAACCGATCCGGGGTTCTTGTGCGCCATCAACTCGAAGTACGCTCGCAGTTTTTGGTAACTTTCTACCAAGTCGCCGTGAATTTTGTCGTCAATTTTCTGCTTCATTCTGGACACCGATGTAGCGCTTACGTCCGCTCCTTTTGATTTCAGAAAATTCCTGATAGCGGCGCCTGACATAGAAGCCGTAGATCCATCGTGGGCGAGAAGCATCTCGGTCGCGACAATCGCTGTCAGCTTGCTTATCTGCTGCGTGGTATTCCGCATGGGCTTGGACGGCAACGGGATGGACCCTTCAACACAAGAGGCCTTGGCACTACCAACGAACTTGAGGTGATTGTGCGCAAAATTTGCCTGGGTTATCTTCCACTTCCCCGATTTCCCGTGAACATACACGAAAAACGGACACGTGAGTTGGGCAGCTGGTGTAGTCCGGTCGAAATATTGCGTTCCATTGAGCGCCTTGCACGCCAATTTCGCATTACCGGAGTTGTCGGACTTCACACTGGTCTGCTTCACAAAAATCTGGAAGCCGCACCTCACAGCCAAATCTTTGCACTTGCTGTGGACTGCTTTTTGTGAAGAAAAGACTGAATTGGCAATATTATCTCGGAGCTGGTAGGTCAAGCCATACGTTGAGCTTGTCGGGTTCGTCGACTCGACTGCAACATCGTCCCTGAGTAGTCCCAACTCCTTGGCAGCTTCGAGATCAGACACGTCGAGTGAAAAGCGAGCAGAGCCGTAGTTTGGGGGGTTTCTTGCTCTTGACTTGGACATTTGCACAATGCAGCAGAATATAGCTGTGAATCACCCTTTAGAGAATTATTTATTATTCAAGTCTACTTGGTTTTTATTTAGCACTAGCCTTCGAAATCTTACCTCCCACGTATCTATTTCAGGTGTCCCGCAAATAAACTGAGAGCTCGAAGTTAGCCCATAAATGGTTGATAGGTTCGCAAGTGGTGTGCCGGGCGTACTTAGGATTTTTTTACTGTATGAAGAAAATGGCTGTCGGCCTGGGGGGGCGATCCAGTACTTTTCTACTGGATCATGGTAATTCCTCGGTGCTGGACCTCGAGCTAGTGACCATAGCCGGGCCCGTCAGTCTCGGGGCGGTACCGTGTCTAATCCTGGAAGGCGGTGGAGACGAGTTCCTGCTGGGCAAGGATGCGCTCAAGCGACTGGGAATTGATGTGGATCAGGCTCTGGCCAAGTTAGCAGATTCCACATTACTGGCCGAAGAGGACGACGAGTTTCCGGTGGGTGCTGAGCTGCCAGACCAAGACTCGACACCAATCGCGACTCTGGACCAGTTGCTGGAGCGGGCTGTTGCAAATGGACTCCCCCAGGAACATGTGGTAGCCGTGCGCTAGTTACCCGAGCTATTTCCGGATATTTGGCGTGCGGTGGTTTGTGCTTTGTCGCGTAGACCGGAGGTTGTTACCAAAGAGGTAAGTTTATTAATGAGGAAAAACAAAGCAAACAAATTGGCGGGCCTGGGCTAACTTCTGTCCTGCATTCCACCTTGTGCTCTTGCCCAGGTCCGGTCTTCATGTAATTGTGAGCGCGTGCCCGCGTCCACTTGAAGCGTGTGCCGCGTGCTCCAAGCCTAGTACAATCTCCTACCGACGTCCTTCTACTGCCTCACTGGTGCTGTGGCGCGTGCCAGGCTGTCCCCTGCGTCTCTCACTGGGCTCCAGCTCGTGCTCGTGCAGAACTTGCACTGGTTGCACTGCAGCCGAGGCCCAAGCTTGCTCTTCAACCGCAATCGTGGCGACAATGTCGCGGGAATGTTGATGCGAAGACTTGCACGTTCTGGTAGAAGGCTCGCGCGGCCGGGAAACACATCGATACGTAGCGCAAGCTGCCGAGTAATTTGTTGATTGTGGATAAAGTGCAGCGGTCGGACGTAAGGAGTTCCGTGATTCGACACTGTGCCTTCGTGATTTTGTCCTCCGGTACTGACACGGTGCCAGACTCGGTGTTGCACAGGAGACCGAGGGCTTTAATACACGTTGACCACTCTGTGAACTTTTCCTCATTGATGGCGGTCGGTCCCAGCACGACAGGCATTGTCCTCCGAAGAGCCAGATTTGCTTCCATACAACAAGTACCCGTGTCGAGTTCGACACAGATGTGATCGTCGCACCACACGTTTCCGGTCAACAGGTTGGTGTCGTGTGAATGCTGGGACCGCTGCTGTTGGTAGAGGCTGTTGATCAGTAGTAGGCTGGTGAGCCACACCACCCGAATCCACATGAAAGATCGAGCACGATGACTCCTTCAAACTGGAAGGCGAACATGTGTACGTGAAGAGCGCTTACAGGAATATGACGAAAGGCCCCAGACACGTCCCCGAGCATCGTCAGGATCGGGTGACCGGGAAAGCGAGTCTTCAGCTCAAAAATCCGGCGCGCGATATCACTCGGGTTGTATGCGATCTTAGGAAAGTCAGTGCGGTCGGTGAAGTCGTTCACGAAGGCACCCTCCGGGAATGAATAATCGTTGACTCGAATCGCGGAAGAAGTGCCGGGTTTATCCACGACTCCAGCAGGACTTAAGAAGATGTTACCCCACAGCTCCAGTAAGTCTGCCTCCATAATCAGGTAGCGGCCTTGTTGCTGGCCTTTAGCGATGTGCTCACGTATTTGACCCGCATGAGCATCGATAGACTTGTGACTTGATGGCCGCGCGAGCTGCTGGCGAGGTGTACTTGGACGCCATAACGGCATAACACCTTCTCTTACGACTGCGTTCCATCGAGGTGTGAGGTGTCGAAGCCCAGGATCAGACGGGAGCGGGAGCTCGAACAAGTCTTTGTTGGGTCTTGGGTCGCTTGGTGTCTGGTCCCTATACACGCGGACGAAGTCGGACAGCGCTAAGCCGCACCTGCAGGCGAGTTGCGAGTCAGCTTGAATGCGGTGAACGTCGAGGCGTCCGTTGTGCGATGCTGCTAAATGTGGGATGTTCACGTCGAACTTGGCGGCGTACTGCTGACATCGTCGGTTGCGGTCCCTGACCAGTGCTTGGTGCACTGCTAACTGGGAACTAGTGGACGTTTGATGAGCAGCATGACATTGTTGGCTGAATTCCGATTTGTATTCTGTTGGTGTCGTGGTATTTGTTGACTGACTATCGAGAGCTAGTGCTCCCCATAGCCCGATAGCATGTGCTCTCGGATGAACACTGGGAGCCTGTACTCCTGATGTGGATGCTGACTGCCCAGCACCTGGAGCCTGTACTCCTGACGTGGAAGCTGTCTGCCGCGGGCGAGATGCGTAGGCTGCTGGCACCACTGTCCCCCCGAGACCGAGCATCAGTGCACCCTGGTCCGGTTGGGGCGACGTCGTTTGGCGTCACAGATCCTGGAATGCTGGTGCCAGACCGAGAAAGTTTTTGTCGATAAAGCTTTTGGCGTCGGCTGGGAGTGCGAGCCGCTTGAAGTGGGCTCTGTTAGGGTCAAAGCACTGTCCCGGAGCTGGGCCGGTGCACCCCTTCTGAGAAAGGTAGAGCATGCACAGTGTTTTTCTGTCTTGCTTGGGTAGCATGGCGAGTAGGTCTCGTGGAACGGATGACGGCTTTGGCGTACGGAACTCGCGGCTTGAACTGGGGCGCGTGCTGCCGGGCGTGCGACTTGGTTTAACGGCTACTTGTGCGCTTCGTTGGCGGTCCTGTAGTGCTTGGAAGAGCTCCAGAAGGTGATCATCGTTTCTTGTGAACTCTTGACCCACAAGTGCTGCCGTCTGGAGGTCCGCAGCAATAATTTGACTGCGGAATTTGCCGAGCTTGGAGTTAATCCAGAACACCAGCATGTTGCAGGTTGCTGCATCTGGACGCGACAGCACAGCAATACGTTCCATAAATGTAGCGCCGGCTTTGATGAAGTTGTAGACCGTGCTGTTGTAGAAACCTTCGGCAAACAGTAGCAGCGTGTTGAAGGCGTCGACAATCTCGGTGGTGTTCGTTGGTGCTGGGGCAGGTTAAAGAGCGTTGGATCGGCTGAAGTTCGTCATGTTGCTGGTGGCTGACGTCGTGTGTTGCTCGAGCTCTTGGTTGAAGCGTTGAAAGGGCATGAGGTAGAGCCCGCGAATACCAAAGCTGAGATCGTACGACAGGCGAAGTACTGGTGGCGTCCCCAAAAACTTGGTCCCTGAGCCTTGTTGCGCCGACTATAATACAGCTTGTGCATTCTTACCTAGTAACGACGGATGCACGATCGCGTTGTGAACTTGCTTCTCCATCTGGGACGGTCGAAATGATGATGCGTGTGCCTCGGTGCTGGTAGGAAGTACGGGTACGTCGCTGTCGTCTGGCAGGAGCAGGTCCTCGTCTTCTACATCGGCTTCTCGTGTTCGTTTGCGCAGCTGTCGATTTTGAAGACGCACCAAGTCGATGTCCGCTTGCTCCATCGGTCTTTTCTTCGTCCTCTGAGTCACTGCAGGCCAAGTTAACGTGGTTAGTCAGCGAACTGGCAGCTGCCATGTTGGGACGAACGGTGGCTGTCGTTGGGTCTGTTAGCAGAGGATCCTTAAAGACGTCCGCTGGGTTGGGGTTCCGTCCGTCGAGCTCACAGTCCACGATGTGCTGTCGGCGAACGAATACTATCGCGAGTGTGTCGGGTCGGATGAGAGGTACCTTCTCGTCTGGAAACCCATGTGCTCGACGGTAAAGTCTATCCTTCCCTTAGATTTTTCCTTACGCCTGTAGAAACTACAGCAGTAGGTGACCTTTTTGGAGGACGTTCCAGCCTTCGTGTACTGGAAGCCGTTCAACATGATGACGGACTTAAACTTCGTGCGCTGGGGCTCGGCGCGCACCAACTCGTAAGAGGTGCCATCCGACGCCGTCTCCGTCGGAGGCAAGCTTGGCTGAGGCGAATCCAGGCTCCCTCCAGTCGAGTAGGCCGACAGAGGGGAGGGGGGTAGCGGCGACAGGGACGGTTTGAACGGCGCCAACAGCTGTGGGCCCGTTTGGGGCGTCGTTCCCGTCGAAGCCGACTCGCGCAATCTCCGTCCCAACGCTGATAGGCAAGGCGATGACAGCGGCGTCACCACCGGTGACGACGGAGGAGACGGTGTGAGCGCTGCCACAAAGCTCGCTGGTATCTTCGACACCACGGGACTCGAAGGCGCAGACGAAGCTGGACTCGATGGCGCCGAGGACGCTGGACTGGCTAGGGCCATGGCTAGCTGTCGCTTGGTGCGCGTTCGCGCTCGGGGTGATGCAGGCTGTTGTTAAGCAACCTTGCGCGGAAGCTTGGACCCCTTGGCGACTTTGGTGGTGGTCGTCTTCGTACGCTTGGCCATGCTGATAGTAGAAGGCAGGGCCGGTTCAGTAGGGTAGTTTAGCTTGCGTGGCAAAGCCAAACTGAAGCAAAACGTGGCAAAACTTAGCAAACGAGATCCAATCACTGGTTCATAGAGAAAGTACTATCACATCAAATCTAACACCTGTTCCCCAAAAGACCCATTTAAAAATCTTGCAAACCGTTTTCTTTGCGATCTTCCGGAAGGAACTAATACGACTGGTATCTCAGTTAATTCCCGTGGTAGTATGGGTAAAGGAATCGCTACTCGAAAACAAGAAAAATGGCTTCTTTGTTCCAAGATCTGTATATTCCTCTGATCGACGCACTACTGTAGCTTTGTACTGCCATTGTGGAGTTGGGTGACCCATGTTTACAACGGATACGCTACCGAGAGGATAATGTAGAAATTGTCTTCATTTCCATTAAATGGAAATGACAACAAATTTAGTTGTCAGAGACCAGAACTTGCAGTTAATGCAAGGCGCAGTATGCAGCTTCATCGGTGACTATTTGGTCTAGCTCAGGCATACTCAGGCTATGCGACGATCATTACCTGCAGTATTTGACTATCAAGTGCAAACATGTACATTGATGTATTCCTTGAATGGCCCGTGAGAAAAAGAAAAGTTATTCTTCTTGAGAGCGAATATTTAGCTTTTCAGAGGTAATGCAGCCGTGGGGGCGCAGTCAAATTGTGTTCGGATACGTGTAAGGCCCGTGTTGGAGCTAGATAAAACCCCAGGGAGTGGTGCACTGGGTTGTCGGCTTTTAGCGCGTTGAAAGTTTGGGAATGACTGCATCTACACTACACTGAATAGCCGGCCTTGATCTTGTAGGCCAGGGTGGTCTTTTCCACTCGCACTTGCCATCTTGTATCTGAAAAAAGGCCTTCCGTGGAATTAACGCAGGAAACCATCCATAGAGAAACGTGCAGTCGTTTAACCTCTATAGGTGTTTTGTACAAGGGTAGCGGTGGAAAACCCATTTTTCGAGAGAAGAAGTGAGCCACGTTTTCAAGCCCGAACTCGACACCACAACAGACCACGGATTTGCACCTAGGCTTTGCCTGGCCAGGAGTAGACAGCTTACTTTTAGTTTTAGGGGGCGGCGTTCCTCAGCTACCTAGCTTGCATGCAGGCCAACTAGCTGACCGACTATAAGAGCCGCCCCCTACCATGGCGCGTTAGCAGCCGCTGTGTCTTCCAGCACCTCCGCCCCTGCGTCTCCTCCATGCTGTCGGTGGCCTCAGCGGCAGAACCGGCCCTCAGCTCAGCAGCCGCAACCACGATCAGCCCAGTCCGGCACAAGCCCTCCCAAGCCCAAACAGCCTACCTTCAGCCCGCGCCCATCAAGCCGGCTAAGTCCCCATGAAGCATCCGTCCTTGCGCCGACATTGCAGCCCTCACAGCGCGTGGTGACGGAACTAGCCCCGTCCCCAGTTCCCCGCCGCAGCACCTACGCCGTCAGCACCTGTCCAAGCACCAGCAGCCCAAGCTTCCGCTCCGCCGTCGGCTGCCATTGCGCCCCCATAAGACCTTGGGCGACCCTCTTCAAGGCGGCACACGTCACCAGTGCCAATACTGCCCCAACGTCATATCATCAAGAAGTCTGGTTCAGGCTACACGAACCTGGTACATGTACCAATGACAAACACAGCAGAGACTACGTCGGCTTAACACTTGCTGCGGGTCGGAGATTCAGAAGCTACAGGACAGCGTCTCGTATCTTCTGAACCTCGTGGGTTCCGAGTACGAACACCTATCCTCTTTATATACGCTCAGACTCTCAGCAACCAGGGAGCCACCCGCCTCGTGACTTTCAGCACGAGTGGTCGGGATGCACTCGCCAATCTGCGCCGTGGAGCTCAATTCGCCTGGAGGACCAATCAGCGGGCAGCCTGACGATAGAGCCGGTCCGGCCAATCCGAGCGCGCTGGCGAGCACTGATTGACCCCTTCCAGGCCGGAGCTCCAGCGGACGGCGTATACCTGGCCGGTGTGCATGCATGCCACGGCCGGCAGCAGGCGCGGCGTGGCGAAGCAAATCGCAGTGACAGGGATCCAGACTCGGGAAAGGCGACGACATGTCGCCGCACATAGCGCTGGTGGGGCGCTCAAAGGTGGCCCGCAACACATTGTGACGAAGGAACGCAAGTCGGCCCAGCGGAGACGCGCAAGCGGAGGCCAGAAGCTGCTGAAGGAGCAGCAGGACCGCGACGGAAGTCAAGTATACCGTTTCAACTACTCGGCGGGGCACGGAGAGATGTGAGCTCGGTGTTGACGGTGAGAGTCATTAAAGCAACATTGAAAATCAGCCTCAATGTGTGGGATCAATAACATTGGTGGGGTCCAATGTTGCGTGATCGCTAACATTGACGCAATGTAAATTTTCCAGACGTGAAATTTCATGTTTGGAGCGACTGGCTCACAACAGCTCTCATTTCAGAATCTACCGGGTAGGAAGCAAGCGCCTGCGCGCTCGCTCATGCACCGCGTCGTGCGACCGTCTGCAGCGGTTACCCGCTCAACCTTATTCTAATGTGTGCATGTCCTACTGCGGTGCTTATATGCGTGTGTGTACTACGTATGCGGGAGCAAACGCCTTCCCAGTGCGTTGCGTTGCGTTAGGCGCGATGCGTGTTGCATGCGTTCGAATGCGCTATCTTCCGAGTAGTCGTAAGCGCTTTTAATGCGCCTCTAGCCAACAGCGCAGTTAGGTTAAAGGGGGAGGGCGAGCGAACGCGAGCGCGAGCCTCGCTGAGCGCGTTCACCGATCGTCAACACCCGCCGATCAGGCGGGGGCGGGTCTGCGCGAGCGAGCGAAGGCGAGCGCTGCAACCCGACATTTTTTTATAGACACCGCGCCTGGCGGAGCCGAGGACTTAGCGTAAGGCACGAGGGCGTGGGGCAC